TAGCGGATGTCCGTCTTGTCCAGGTCGAACACCAGGTGCATGATGTTGCGGTCGTAGTCCGCCGGCGTCATCCGCGTCTTCTTCACTAGCGGGATCAGCTGCGCGTCGCCGGGCAGGAAGCGGCGCCGCGACACGTGCGCGCTCGCGTCCTTCACGGACACCGCGAAGTTGCTGGGCGGCACGCCTTCGTAGACCGGCTCGGGCACGCCGCTCTGCTCCCAGAACACCGGCACCCAGTTCTCCCACGCCGTCATGTAGCGCTCCGGATCCTGGTCGTTCGCCAGCGTCAGGTCGATCGACTTGGCGCCCAGGGCCTGCAGACGGGCGTGGATCTGCTTCGCCGCCGCGTTGTAGTTGGCGAAGCTCGAGTCGCCCAGACCGAACACGTGGATCTCCACGTTCTTCAGCAGGTCGCTGGGATGCTCCTTGCTCGCCTCCGCGAAGAAGGCCTTCGCGTTCTTCGGGAACTCGCCGTTGCCCGCCGTCGAGCACAGGATCACCACGTGCTTCTTCGTCGCCAGGTCCTCCATGCTCATCTCGTCCAGCTCGTTCACCGTCACCTCCACCTGGCGCGCCTCCGCCTCCTGCATCAGCGTCAGCGCCAGATCCTTCGAGTGGTTCGTCTCCGATCCGTACAGAATCGTCAGTTCGTAGCTTGATCCAGATCCAGATCCAGAACTCGTCGCCGAAGCGGCAGCCAGCTTGGCGAGGGGCATGGCGCGACGCACGAAGTCGTCGTGGCGCTCCTGGAGATGGTTCTTCAGCTCGGCGTGCAGCTCCTCGGCCACCTGCGGACGCGTGCGATTGAGCTCCAAGAATCGGCGCTCGTTGGCCAGGAAGTTCTTGAGGTCATCGCTCAGATCCTTCTTGTAGTCCAGCTGGAAGGCGTTCTTGCCGTTAGCGCTCAGACGCGGGTCGTAGCGGTAGAGCGGCCAGTAGCCCGACTTCACCGCCAGCTCCACCTCCTTGAAGGTGGCGCGCATCGCGGGCACGACGTTCTGCATCAGGCAGGGGCAGTAGCAGAAGATGATGGACGGTCCGTTGTACGACTCGGCCTCGTTGAACGCGCGGATCGCCTGCGCCATGTCGGCGTAGAGCGCCACGGAGGCCACGTACACGTTGCGGTAGGACATGGCCATCAAGCCCATCTCCTTCTTGTGCGTGAACTTACCGCCCGCGGCGAACTGCTGCACGGCGGACATGGGCGTGGCCTTCGACTTCTGGCCTCCCGTGTTCGAGTACATCTCCGTGTCCAGCACCACGATGTTCACGTCCTCGCCGGTCGACAGCACGTGGTCCACGCCTCCGTAGCCGATATCGTACGCCCAGCCGTCGCCTCCGATGATCCACTGCGAGATCTTCGGGAACAGATCGCGGTCGCGGATCACCGCGGCCAGCTTGGCGGACACTTCCTTGCCCTCCAGGCCGCTCAGCACGTCCATCACCTGGTTCGCCACGCTCTGGCAGCGGCGGCCATCGCTGTAGTTCTCCAGCCACTCCGCCAGCAAATCGGCGAGTCCCTCGGGCAGCGTCGCGGCCTCCTCCTTCAGCAGCGCCTCCACGTTCTCGCGCAGCACGCGGCGGCGCTGCGACACGGACACGGACATTCCCAGACCGTACTCGGCGTTGTCCTCGAACAGCGAGTTGGCCCACGCGGGTCCCTGGCCGCGCGCGTTGTGCGTGTAGGGGTTGAACGAGGCCGTGCCTCCCCAGATCGACGAGCAGCCCGTCGCGTTCGCGATGTTCATGCGCTCTCCGAACAGCTGCGTGATCAGCTTCACGTAGGGCGTCTCACCGCAGCCATCGCACGCGCCGCTGAACTCCAGCATGGGCTGGTGGAACTGCACCGAGCGCACGTCGTTGCGGCCCACCAGGTCGCCCTTGCTCGGCACCGTCATCGCGTACTCCCAGTTCGCCGCCTCCTGCGTCTTCATCACCTCGAAGTCCTTCATCACCAGCGCGTCGTCGCCGCACGCCTCCACGCACAGCTGGCAGCCCGTGCAGTCCAGAGGCGACACCTGGATGCGGAACCGCATGTTGTTCAGCGCGCCGCCGCCCGTCGCCTTGAGCGTCTTGAAGCCCTCCGGCGCCTTCGCGGCCTCCTCCTCGGTGAGCAGCACGGGGCGAATGCAGGCGTGCGGACACACGGTGGCGCACTGGTTGCACTGGATGCACTTGTCGATCTGCCACTCGGGGTTCATGATGGCGATGCCTCGCTTCTCGTACCGCGTCGTGCCGGAAGGCATCACGCCGCCGGGACGGAACACCGACACCGGCAGATTGTCGCCCTCGTAGCGCACGATCGGCAGCATCACCTTGTTCACGAACTCGGGAGCGCCCTCGATCTCGTGCGGCTTCTCCACCTCCGCGTTCATCCACGCCTCGCGCGGATACTCGATCTGGTGCACCGCCTCCAGCGAGTTGTCGATGCAGTCCCAGTTGTTGCGCACGATGTGCTCGCCCTTCTTGATGTACGTCTTCTCCACCATCTTCTTCATGATCGGCACCACTTCCTCCACGTCCATGCAGCCCGTCAGCTTGAAGTACACGATTCCCATCGTCGTGTTCACGTACTTCCCCAGATGGTACTTGCCCGCCAGCGCCGTCGCGTCCACCACGAACAGCCGCGCGTTCTTCCGCGCCAGGATGCGCTTCGCCTTCCCGGGCAGCAGCGCCTCCATCTCCTCCAGCGTGGTCGCGCTCGTGTTCAGCAGGAAGATTCCGTTCTCCTTCAGCGCGGAGAACATGTCGAACTTGTACAGATAGGAGCTCTTGCTGCACGACACGTAGTCCGCGCAGCGAATGTTGTACGGACAGTCGATCGGCTCCTTGCCGTAGCGCAGGTAGTTCACGCTCCAGCCGTTCGACTTCTTGGCCTCGTACTCGGAGTAGCCCTGCACGTTCAGGTTGTGGTAATCTCCCAGGATCTTCATGATCGTCTTCGACACCGACACCGTGCCGTCCGATCCCATGCCCCACATGATCGCCTGGTAGATGCCCGCGGGCACCGTGTCCGGCTCGGGCAGCTGCGGCAGCGAGCGGTACGTCACATCATCGTTGATACCCACGCTGAAGCTGCGGATCGGCTTCTCGGCGCGGAGGTTCTGGAACACCGACATCGCCTGCCCGGGCGTGAAGTCCTTCGATCCCAGTCCGTAGCGACCGCCGATGATCATCGGGCGCAGCTCCGTCTCCCCGGTGCTGAACGACGTGCACACGTCCAGATACAGCGGCTCGCCGATGGCCGCCGCGTCCTTGCTTCGGTCCAGCACGGCGATGCGCTTCACGGTCTTGGGCAGCACCTCCAGGAAGTGCTTCACGCTCCACGGACGGAACAGACGCACCTTCAGCACGCCCACCTTGCTGCCGCGCGCGTTCAGATAGTTCGCCGTCTCGTGCACCACGTTGGCGCCCGATCCCATGCACACCACCACGTCCTCCGCGTCCTCCGCGCCGTAGTACTCGAACAGGCGGTAGCGGCGACCGAACACCGGCGCCATCTCCTCGAACACCTTGTCCACGATCTCGGGCACCTGCGTGTAGGCAGCGTTGCCCGCCTCCACGCACTGCATGTAGATGTCGGGGCTCTGCGCCGTGCCGCGCAGGTCGGGGTGGTTGGGGTTCACGGCGCGCGCGCGGTGACGACGCACCGCCTCCCAGGGAACGAACTGCTTCATGGACTCCTCGTCGATCACGCGGATGTTCGTCGTCTCGTGCGACGTGCGGAAGCCATCGAAGAAGTGCACGAAGGGAAGACTCGCACGAAGGGACGCTATATGCGCGCATAAAGCAATGTCGTGCGCTTCTTGCACCGACTGGGAGCACAGGAAACTGAAACCCGTCGAACGGCAAGCCATGATATCCGAGTGCTCACCGTAGATGCACAGAGCCTGACCCGCCACGGAACGGGCAGAGACGTGGAACACGCAGGGAAGCATCTCTCCAGCAATCTTGTACATGTTGGGAATCATCAGCAACAGTCCCTGAGAGCAAGTGAAGGTCGAGCAGAGACCTCCTCCCACCAGAGCTCCGTGAACAGCACCAGACGCTCCAGCCTCGGACTGCATCTCCACGACCGTACTTAAATATCACAGAAAGAGGCTGCAACCTACCCGACCTGGCCAAACACATTCTTCATTCCGCGGCTGGCATAAGCATCGCAATTGGTAGCCATCGGAGTAGAAGGAGTAATCGGGTAAATGAAGCAATTGTCACAGAACTGGTACCTATACGGAAACGCCCATCGGAGGCACGTACGCAACATAAGAAGCAGCATCATTACCAGTCACTGTTTGATTCTTATAATGCACCTCAGGCATCGTTCTACGTGATTACGTACATATGGAGCTACCTACCTTTGTGATAGAGAAGAAAATGATTCTGTTCCAGAGTTCCACGGTTCTATTACATGAGCACAGTAGAGAGTGACGAAACACTATGGTTCTAGGGCAATATTTTGAAACGAGATAGCTATTTCAATGCTGATTTGCAGATTGTGAATGTGTTTACGGCTGAAAAAAGGAATGGATACGAAAGGGTGTCATTCCACTGGAATCAATAGGAAATAGTGTATAGTACTCTATTTCTAAAATGGATGCGAAATGAAAGTTGCAAAACGTAACCTGTAAAGTGAAATCGAAACAAATTGGCAAGCTTTATTTCACACTCGATTGATAGAGTTTCCATAGAGATCTTTCACAACTCAATTCATAGAAAAATGAGTGAATCAGAACCGAAAGTAGTAGCTGTTATAGACGAAGCAGCTACGAAAAAGAAATATGTTGTCATGTTTGGTTATTGCGGAACTGCCTATCATGGCTTACAAACGTAATATCGTTATCGAATAGGATCATTTTGCAGGAATAAGAATACAGACACGATTGATGATGCACTAATCGAGGGATTGCACAAAGCCTGTGTAATCACAGATTCGAACTTTTATGCGGAAAATCGATTTGTGAAGGTATTAAAGAAATCGAGTTGCACTGATTGTATATAGAATGGATGGAATCGCGCAGCTAGAACGGACAAGGGTGTTCACGCAGCAGGAAACGTGATCAGTTGCAAGTTGGAAGTGGTCCAGGGAAAGGAGGAAGAGACTGTGGATCGAATCAACAGCTGTCTTCCAAGCGATATTCGCGTTTTTAAGATTCTGCGGTAGTTGCTTTTCTCTTCCATCGTCTCATATCTAGAACGACCAAGAATTTCAACGCCAAGAATTTCTGCGATCGTCGCCAGTACGAATACATTCTTCCTATCGAAACGCTCTCTCCCTTCAGCTCTACTCCTCCTCTTTCCATCCGAGAGGATATTTCCCACAATTGGAAAGAGTTTGTCGAAAATGAAGCCTACTTGCAGAAGTGCAGAGAGCACCCCGAGGAATCGATCGACAACCCCTTCGAGGATCGTCCCGATAATAGACAACGTGTCAAATCACTTCAAATCGCACAGCAACTGCTTCTCAACGAGGCTTCCTTCTCCACTTACACAGAGGATGCACAGGATCGAAGCTTTGGAGGGTGTGTTGTGAAAGACGAGTGGCCAGCCTATCTCTCTCTGGCGCTATCGCGACTGCGAGCATGCATGTCGTTGTTTGTAGGAACGCACAATTTCCACAATTACACGGTGGGCAAGTCCAGTGCCGATTCCTCTGCGCAGAGACACATTCTAGGGATTTCGGTGAGCGATCCTATTCGAATTCACGATGGATTGTATATCCGCGTGTGTTTGGAGGGACAGAGCTTCATGTTGCATCAGATTCGAAAAATGATCGGAATCGCGATCGAAGTGGCGAGAGGTCGTTGCTCACTCCACACAGTGAATAGTAGCTTGAGTCGAGGAACCATGTTCACTCCCATGGCTCCAAGCACGGGATTGTTCTTATCGATGGTACTCTGTTGCATTATCCCTCTATTGTAGCCTATATTTTCCGAGTACAACAAGAAACAGAACGACCCAACACGAGTGATCGATTTCACGAGTGAAGATGTTCAAAGAATTCGATGCGAATTTACGAAGACACAAATTTACGAGCATATTGACGAGCAAATCAAAGCGGAACATGTATTTTCTGCTTGGATTGCATCAAATGACAGTTTGAATAAAGAATATGTGGTAAGAATTAGGAATTTGAATTTGATGTGTTGTAGGTTTCGTACCCGAGCAAGGAAGATTTAAGCCGTATGGAGACGGAAGCACGGGAGTTAAACAAGCTCAAGAGGCGAGAAAAGGATGAGAAATGGGAGAAAAAGAGAAAGATCGAAAAGAAGGACTAAACGAAGTGTAGAACACCTCTTTGTTGTATCCACGTTGTGCCTCCGAATATCTATGTGCTATCTGACGTCATCTTCCTCCTCTTAGACAGATTAGGATTGCAATCATCACGAATAATTTTGGAAAAAGCAATGCAAAATAATGCATAAATCTTATTTCGTCGCTTGCCCGATTTCATGATAATGAAGGAAAACCACTGTACATATGTTCTAACCACTCCTTATCAATAAACTCTTTCGTTTGTAATCATGGGTAAGGAAAAGCCTCATATTAACTTGGTCGTCATTGGACACGTCGATTCTGGAAAGTCCACCACCACTGGTCACTTGATCTATGCTTGCGGTGGTATTGATAAGCGTACCATTGAGCGTTTTGAGAAGGAGGCCAACGAGATTGGTAAGGGATCCTTCAAGTACGCTTGGGTGCTGGACAAGATGAAGGCCGAGCGTGAGCGTGGTATCACCATTGATATTTCTCTGTGGAAGTTCCAGACTGAGAAGTACTTCTTCACCATCATCGATGCCCCTGGTCACCGTGACTTCATCAAGAACATGATCACCGGTACCTCTCAGGCCGATGTTGCCATTCTGATCATTGCTGCCGGAACTGGAGAGTTCGAGGCTGGTTACGGAAAGAACGGTCAGACTCGTGAGCACGCTCTTCTTGCCAACACTCTGGGAGTGAAGCAGATGATCTGCTGCGTGAACAAGATGGATGACAAGTCCGTGAACTACTCCGAGGCTCGTTACAAGGAGATCAAGGCTGAGATGACCAGCTTCTTGACCAAGGTCGGTTACCAGAAGGTGGAGGAGCGTATTCCCTTCATTCCCATCTCTGGATTCAACGGAGATAACATGCTGGAGCGCTCTGCGAACATGCCCTGGTACAAGGGACCCACTCTGATTGAGGCTCTGGACAACATTCATCCTCCTAAGCGCCCTGTGGATAAGCCTCTGCGTCTTCCTCTGCAGGATGTGTACAAGATCGGAGGTATTGGTACAGTGCCTGTGGGCCGTGTGGAGACCGGTATCCTGAAGCCCGGTATGACCGTGACCTTCGCTCCCGTGGGTGTGACCACTGAAGTCAAGTCCGTGGAAATGCACCACGAGTCGATTCCTCAGGCTCTGCCCGGAGACAACGTCGGTTTCAACGTGAAGAACGTGTCTGTGAAGGACATTCACCGTGGAAACGTGTGCGGAGATGCCAAGAACGATCCTCCTTGCAGAGTGGAGTCGTTCACCGCTCAGGTCATTGTGATGAACCACCCCTCGGGTATTCGTCCTGGTTACTGCCCTGTGATGGATTGCCACACTGCTCACATTGCCTGCAAGTTCGAGAAGATCATGTCCGAGATGGATAAGCGTACCGGAAAGGTCCTGCGTGAGAACCCCGATATCGTCAAGAACGGAAAGTCCATGATGGCCGAGCTGGTGCCTTCCAAGCCTCTCTGCGTCGAGTCCTTCCAGGATTATCCTCCTCTGGGTCGTTTCGCCGTCCGTGATATGAGACAGACTGTCGCTGTGGGTATTATTAAGTCCACTGTCCGTGCTAAGTAAACGAAAGTACATTTCTTCAATCCATTGTGTGTTTGTTGGGAACAAGTTTGAGAGAGAGGTGTGTGATGTGATGTGAGCTGCTATAATAATAACCAAGGCGTTTCATTCAATTGTGTCTCATTTCATCCCCTCCCCACTATCCTCATTTTAATCTTTAACTATGGTAAACCTTTTACTTCTCTTGACCCTTTTCACGAGTGTATTTGCTGGTAATTTTACCATCGGAAAGGATTCGTATCTTCTCAACAACCAGCCCATTCAGCTCATCTCCGCTGCTTTCCACTATTTCAGAGTCCATCCAGATCGCTGGGAGGACACCTTCAAGAAGCTGGCCAACGCAGGTATGAACACGGTCGAAACCTACATTGCTTGGAATATGCACGAGCCGGAGCAGGGACAGTTTCAATTCGAGGGGGCCAACGATCTTAACCGATATTTGACCCTTGCTGAGAAGTATAACTTTTTGGTCATTGTGCGTCCTGGACCCTATATTTGTGCCGAATGGGAGTTTGGAGGCCTTCCCTACTGGTTGCTCAAGGAGGATGACATCCAAATCCGAACCAACGATCCCAAGTACATGAAACCGGTCACTGCCTGGTACAGCGTGCTGCTCCCCATCCTGGCTCCCCATATGATCACAAACGGAGGAGGCATTATCATGGTGCAGATTGAGAACGAGTATGGAAGCTACCCTGCCTGTGACAAGGACTACTTGACGCAGCTCTACGACCTCACGGTTCAGTATTTAGGTCCCGACACCACCTACGTCACCTTCACAACCGATGGTCCCACCGACCAAATGGTGACCTGCGGTCGTCTGGCCGGCAAGGCCTACAGCACCGTGGATTTCGGTCCCGGCAACGCGCACAGCCAGCTGGCGGTGATGCGGAAGTACGAGCCGGTGGGTCCTCTGCAGAACTCGGAGTTCTACCCGGGGTGGCTGGACCACTGGACGGAGAAACACCAGAAGACGGCGATCCAGCCGATCCTGGACACGATGACGGAGATGTACGAGATGGGAGCCAATTGGAACTTCTACGTGTTCATCGGAGGCACCAACTGGGGCTTCATGAGCGGCGCGAACGGCGGCGGCGAGCTGCTGCAGCCGCAGCCGACGAGCTACGATTACGACGCTCCGCTGTCCGAAGCGGGCGACATGACGGAGAAATACAAAGCGATCCGCGATCAGATCGGCAAGTGGAAGAAGCTGCCGCAGTACGACGTGCAGGACACGAAGAAGGCGAGCTACGGAACGATCCGCTTCACGGAGCGCGCGTCGCTCTGGGAGAACTTGGAAGCACTGGACCGGCAGCCCGTGAAGGCCGATCGTCCGTTGTCGATGGAGAAACTGGGTCTGGACTACGGGTTTGTGCTGTATCGCACGTCCATCGTGCAGGGCGGCACGCTGCGATTAGCCACCGTGCACGATCGCGCGTACGTGTTCCTGGACCAAGCCTTCCTGGGACTCATCGAGCGAGCGAACTGCTCGGTGACGGTGGAGGTTCCGGGCAGCGGCGTGCTGGATATCCTGGTGGAGAGCATGGGCCGATTGAACTACGGAGCGCAGATGACCGATCGGAAGGGCATTCTGGGCGATGTGACGCTGAACGGAGGCGTGCTGCAGGGATGGGAGATGATGCGATTGGGCATGAAGGATCTCTCCAATGTGCAGTGGAAGCCAGTGAAGGAAGCGAACGAAGAAGAGGCGGAGCGAACGGGACCCGCCTTCTATCGAAGTTTTGTGGAGATTAAAGAGACGGCAGACACGTTCATTAACCCCAAGGGATGGACCAAGGGACACATCTACGCCAATGGATTCAACTTGGGACGCTATTGGACCGTGGGACCGCAGTTGACGCTGTATGTGCCCGAACCGCTGTTGAGAAAGGGAACCAATGAGTTTGTGAGTTTTGAGATTCGTGGAACGGACAGACTGACCATGTCCTTGGACGATGTGCATCAGATTGATATTTAAGAAGAGAAAGAGAAGTGTGTATTGTTGTTAGTGTTGTTTGTTGCACTATATTTGTTTTATATTCGAATGGAATAAGCATTGAATACTCGCATTAGTGGTAGTGAATCAAGTGAGAATATCATTCTTAGGAAGATAAGTTGGCATACCATTTTCGGAATGGATTATTCATATCTACAAAATCCTCAGAGCGCTCTAGCTGCACGCCCACAACAATCTTCTGAGCAGGCAAGAGACTCTACAGCCCTTTGGGAGATGTTGAAGCAAACAGACCCTAAACTCCATGTCTTTGCTTTTCTACTCTTTTATTAGTAGATGGAATATCAATTTTTAGAACAAGAAAAGCTTCCGGACTATTTCAAGCGATTACCTGATAATTTACAAAAATTCCAAGTGGCCGATCTTCAGGACCAGTATGGTACACCCACGGAACTGCTGTTCGAGCAACAGCCCCAGGAACAAAACGTTTCCTTTCAATGGATGGATTATTTGTAGAATGTAAAGCATTTCCGAATGAATAGAGAAACAAAACTGCAAATCTTTCAGCATTACCCTGAGGTGTACGAAGCATTTAAAGCTGAAGAGGGAAAGAAGAAGATGGAGAGAGAGTTCTGGGAGAAAGAGTTTTGGGAGAAGTACTTCCGAACCTATATCGTTGAAGATCAGCGTCCCCTGGAAGATGGTATTGCTTATCGCATATCTCTTGACACTAGATACGAACTTATTTGCAAAATACAAAAAGAAGATCGCTTCGACACCCCGTATCCCATGTTGCATTTTTCTCTCTCAGAAACTCCTAAAAATCCACCATCGCAACTCTATATCTCAGTAGACGATTGTAGCAACGCTCCTGCAGATCGCCATGCCAACACCTACGAACCCCAAATCAATGATGGTACACCAACGTTCCCCATGTACCGCAGACGAATCCCTCGAACAGCACTTCGACCGAATCATCACCAAACTCAATAAGCACACCGATGCCATAGAGAGCGTGAGCCAGTCGACGGATTCAATGCGTTCTTCGCTCGTTTCCGCCGATTCCAAAGCGCCGCCTCGAAAATTCACCAAAGGAACCGCCTTCGACTACGATTCCTCCTTCAAAAAGGAGGACAATCGGTTCTTTTCGACGCGATCGACGACGTCTGTGTCGCCGGAGCAGCGAAAACTTTTCCGCGACGCGTTGAGTCAATTTTCGTTGACCGACGGCGCGATCGCTAGTTGTGTTGTTTGTTCAATTCGCGTTGATGCCAGCGTAGAACGCTCAGGAGAACTCCGATTTCGTTGATAAACAGATCCGCACGGTGCAGCGCGAGGCGGACGACCAGAGTCGAAGCAGAGAAGGGATGTAAAGCGTAGTGAAGATGGAAAAACACAATTTTCTGCCGTTCGATGTGCAGAAAAGCTTGCTGGAGCGGCAGTATAAGGTGTATTGCCTGATGCACGTCATTCGAATTTGTGTGGTTCCGAATATCCGGTCGGAGATGGATCGGATGAACGCAAAGCGGAAAGTGGACGAGGTGATTATATCCTGATGCGTGAAAGTTGGTCCTTTATTGTAGAATCGCTTTGAACGAGAGATGAACACGGAATTTGCCACAAGCAAGTCGCTTTTCCAGCATATTATCACGGACTGGAGGATTCAAACTATGATTTGCATTGTTTGTTTGAAAGATGGATTTGTTGCTGAACTCTCTCTCTACAAAGAAAGAGATCGACAATGTTATTCGTAATACGGAAGATAAAGTGAGAATGCAGGAGTGGAGTCAGAAGTAGGTAGTTGTCCTTCGGTTTGGGAAGGCAAACGATGCAGTCTGTAGAGAACTTGATAATATAGTATAAAAGAGTGTACTTCTTGATTACGTCATAGCTATACAAATGCCAAGTCAAAGTATCACGAATGGCTGATATATATATCGTTGATGCAGATGCTGTTTCAATTAATCACTTCTTTGACCCTAGGTGCCAATTTACACACAATATTTCGATGTTTCCTTGATTCCTGCAACTATATTCTTTTTTAATGCAACTCATATCAAAATCGATTGCAAGTATCCGTCATTGACACTTTCTTTCGTAGTCGTCCCGATAACACCAAATGGATCGGTTCCTTCGCTTCAAAGCAAGATTTTATCGACGTCGTAGAGGTGGGAACTGATGTCTCAAATCTGAGTGTGGTAGACGGTTTACCGCGGAGGTCTTTACGGAAAATATATTGTAACATGCCCTCTCCCGCAAGATCGGATCCCCAAGTATGATTTAGTGTACTCCAACTCGCCTGTTTGTAACAAACACCGCATCCAATCACAAACCCATCAAGTTTTTCTTTCAATTTGTACTTCTTCCGAAGCACAGGACGAACATCCTCCACTTTCACCAATTCCTGCAAGAACGGAATGAGCTCCTTCAGCGCCGTGTCCGTTTTATCATCAAACCACGACGTAATGGGAATTCCATTATCGATTTGGTATCCAAATGCGTAGGGCGTGTTATCGATAATCACCGTTTTCTCCTGTGTGTTAGAATCGAGTTTTCGAGTTTACCAGCTCTCGATCGAGCGAGTTTAAATCTTTGAGATAGTTTTCATCGATACACAAGCACTGCTGTCGATACAGTCGATGTCTAATGCATCAGCCGATCGAATCGAAAAAAACTTGATTGTGTGGTTTGGGTCGATGATATCCAGCAGCGCATCCGCATAACTAGGTCGTAATGTTTTGATTTCAAGCCAGTACCAGCTCTGCGAAGCAGTGAACACGACAATCTCGAACAATTTCGAGGCTTCTGCTAGGAATTCGGTGAGATACGGTCGAAAAAGAGCGAAAACGTCGACTTTTTCGGCGTTGTAGATGATCTACGCTGGCAATTCGATCGCGATCGTACAGAAAACTTTTTGTCGTATTCTGCAATCGGTTCCATGACGCAGTGCACCAATGTCTCGTCAAGATCGAGCACCATGGTGAATGCAGGGGCGTCAGCGGATTTGGGTGGGAGAATGTGAGTGGGAAGGATTGCTTTATCCAATGTGGAGTAATTTGGAAGTGTTTTCATGATAAGCATTCTAATGATCAACAACAACAAAACAGGGTGGATACGAATAGGCATCGTCATCGAGGTCATTGACGTCTTCTGAACAGAGTAACGACTCTTCAACTGATGGGATGTCACCTGCAATATCAGCTATAATGGATTCAGAGAGCGGGTGATCCGTCGAAATATTTGATTGACTGCGTAAAATAGAGTGGTCTAAAGAGAAGGAAAGGTTCGAGTAACTGCTGTCCGTGTCAAAAGCACCATGTTTGCTGAGAAGAGACTGCCTATTTTCTGGTTGTTATGGCCAACCAATAAAACTACTTTCGCTGAGTTTTACAGTGGGAGTAAAGAGTTCATCTTCAAGATCGAGAGTGGTCTGGTCTGCGGATGTAGATACACGCCTATGAATGCTGTCCCTTCGAATTGGCGCTCGGAGGAATGAGTTTTCATTGCTCGGGGTGATACTTGTTCGTTCTATGTGCTGTACAGCTTTTCCTATATGAAAACACCAAAGAAACAAAACGCTTTGCAGGGGCAGAGGCAATGATGACATCATCGCCTTTTTCCCTCTTTTGAGATGTCTTATCCATACGAGAATAAGATTCTAGTGATAGGAATTAAATTCAATCGAATTCGCAAAGGCAATGATAGAATCGATCCAAAATTGGTTGAATTTTTGCCTTTACCGTTTCAAATCGTATTGTGAGATTAAGAAAACTATAATTCATGTCCACATCAGACGTTACCGGATCGTTTTCCCACAATCACGAAGAAAGATACGAAGTCCACGATGGAGATGTTATCATTGACCGATGTAGGCTCTCTTTTGATCTTTTTTAAACGTCAGATATTGTATTGAGGACTATTGGGGCAGGTATCCATGGCATTTGTCCAGTTTGTAATGTTTAGGAAAGTGTAGTACAGTAACCGTTGCTTGGGATCCAATAGAGAAAAAACATGTAATAAATCCTTTATGGATATTCAGGCACTAGGTTGCGTTAAAAATAAACAGGCGAGAGAAGCGTTACGAATTGGCTGCGATGAGAGAGATAAAAACCATAGTAACTCTCCACAAACGTTCAGGAGGGAAATGGTATCCTTCTGAAATCCGCGTCTGATAGGTAGTAACTCTATTACCGAAATCCTGGCTTGGTTCAACTTGGATGGCTATGTTTTTGAGATCATGCCATTCATGAACAAGAATCTCTTCGAAATTCTGATCCAAAGAGACTTCAAGCCTTTCGATGTGCGCTTTCTCTTTCCCCTCCATCTCACTCGCAGACCACCACGCTCCGCCTTCTTCTCCGACAGATGGTTTCGTCTCTCGGTAAAATGCACAACTGTGGTATCATCCACACGGACATCAAGCCAGGTACCTTCCTCTCCTCTCCTCCCACCCAGAAAACGTCATGTTCTACCCTTTAGACGACGGTCGTCCCGTCGACAGCGCCACGGTCCCCGTATGATTGCCTGCCTCCCTCGACGCCTAGGATTTTCAGCCGGATTTCAACCATCTTTGCCTCATCGACTTCGGCAGCGTCTCCACCGCCAACACGCCCAAGCGAGGACTCATCACCACGCGCACCTACCGCGCGCCCGAGGTCATTCTCGATCTGGAGTGGAGCCTGCCTTGCGATATGTGGTCTCTTGGCTGCATGGCGTACGAACTGGGTTGTGGCCGCCCGCTTTTCCAGACACACCGCCATTTCTTCGGCAATCGCGAGCATTTAGCGCTCATCACCAAGCTCCTCGGACGAATCCCGGCTTCGATGCTCGCCAAGCTGGACGCGACGACGGCTTCGATGTTCAATGAGGAGGGCGATCTGCTCTGGCCGCCTCCAATCACGCGGGAAATCCCGGAAGAGAAGCAGCCGGGTGGGTGGGCGTCGAACGACATTTCGTGGAGCGCGCGCGTCCGCGCGGTGCACGCTGTGCGAGTGGCGAAGACGTCGATTGAAGAGGGAGTGGGCGAGAAGAGAAGAAGTGAGGCGTAGATGGTGGATATGGACCCGGATTTGATTGATTTCGTGAAGAAGCTGGTGGTGATAAAGCCGGAGGATCGAATGACCGTGCAGGAGGCCGCGGAGCATCCGTTTATTACAAATCGGGGGGTGCTTCCAGCGGTGGATATTTCGGTTACGAATAGTGGGGAGGACAGAGCGCAAAATGCATAAAGAAGTGTTTGTTTGAAAACGAAAACATGGAAAAGAAGAAGAAGAAGAAGAAGAAGAAACGTGGAGTGTTTGGATGGACTGTTTGTTGGGAACAAAGAGAGAAAGAGTGTGTGATTGAATGAGCCTCCGAAAAGGGAGAGACGGCAAGGCAAATAAAATCTTCATCTAAGCGGGGTAATCCTATCGATGACCTCTTGCGAATTGATCTACCTTCCAAACGCACGATCCCAAAGTATTGGAAGTTGAAATATCCCAAGATCCGAGTTAAACTAGGCATTTCACTCATCTTGAATGTGTTTTTGTAGTATCCCAGCCACGTCGTGTTCGATTTGTCGCCCATTATACTGTTCGAATCCATCTTCACAAGCCGCAACTTTGGTAGATCTACATGATTGGAGGTAAAAGCGTCTCTACTGCTCCATTTCAACTCGTGCAAACAGCAGAATGCATCACTTTGGAAATCCATTGTTGTGAGAGAGGCGAGATCTAAACAGAATAATGCGAGAGAAGCGATTGTACTCTCAAGAGTGAAATCGAGACAATGATGAAAGCAATTGTCACCGAATTCCAATGTCTCGAGTTTGGGGCAATTTTGAACTTTGAAAACTGAATAGTGGCAAAATGAATCCTGCTCTACTCTGATTGATTGCAGCTCCGGACAGTTCTCGATCCTAAAATACCCAGAGTCGGTTGCACTGTACGAATTACTCATGACGACAATCGTTTTTAGGTAGGGGAAATTGACAATCAGGAAGGAATTCGTGTGGATATAGCAGTTCTTTTGAACAGTGAAAGACTGCATGAGGTTGTTGTAGTAAAACAGATCATTCGTATCAGGAGGAACAATAACATCGTTTGATTGTATGTTGCGGTCACTGATGGTTTCTATCGTATTTATGGCCTCTCCCATTCGTGAGTATGTCGTTCCTTCCCCGAACTGTTTGCTGAAACAGAGCGTTCCTTGATAGCGAATCTGCTGTGAAGGCAAATCCTCAAAATAGTAGGTTCCATAGCACACGTTCCAGCTCCAGAAGCGAAACCCAGTATATACAGCCGTATTGTTTGCAGAATAGTATGAACCCCAGCCACATGGCAACGTTCCCAGCGTATCTCCCTCCCATCGTTCTCCACCATCGCTTAAATCAACAACTTGAGTTGTTATATTCGACAACGGCAAGGGTGTCCAGATGTCTTTGGTTTTGACAGAAACCATTAGAAGTTTGTGTGATTTTATGCTTGCTACGACATATGCACTGAAATTTTTGCGTCGAAAATAGTTTACGGCGATGAACGGGTCGTACACAAGTAATTCCCGCATTTCCCCATCCTTGTTTGCATAATCCGCATATTGATGGAAACCCGACACATCCAAAAGGCCAGAATCGAGTGCTTGCTTCATGGAAGAAGAAGAGAACTTCCAGGGATATAGGTCAAGAAGATTCCTATAAGCCTGGTTCATGTATGCCACCAACAAACAAAAGTTTACAATTCATCATGTTCAAACTGTTCCCGAATAAACTTCTCGATCTCTCCACGCGTCGAGGCCGCGACGTCAACAGGCTCCAGCACATCCTTTTCCGCAGCGAACCACTTGATAGCCGGGAAGTGATTCATCTTGAACGCCGCCTAAGCCATCAATTCAACCTTCCAAACGCATACACAGAAGTCCACATACATCTGCGCATCCATACTCGCCACCACCACGTCATACTCCATCTCCTTCGCCATTAACTCCTACACATCACCTCGCTCCCCCACATCATTCCATGTCCTTCAGCAAGTCCTGGCACTCCACACACCAACTCGTATAAAACAACACAATCACGTTATCATGCCCATTCACGATATAATCAAAGCTCCACGGGTTCATATACACCTTCCCTAAACTCCTTTCATCGCTCCTACCAGCGTCCGCGTCGTCACAATCGGCTCAAACTGATGAATTATATTCTCTCGCTGCCGCAGCTGCGGGTACTTCGGGTCGTCGAACGAGATCTGGCTCATCTGATCGCGAATGTCCTTGAGTTCGCGCATCACCACCACGGAATCTTCTTTCTGCATCGCCTTCATGATCTTGTAATACTTCGCGGTCGCGTGGTACCGATGTCGCAGCTTCGCCGTCTCGCGCACATACCGCGCGCGCTGGCCCTCGTTTTTCTACATCGCTACTCCACTCCATCGCTACGTTCGTTGTGAATTGCCGAGCCAGACGATCCAGCTCGAAAACGCGGCCAAAACGCTCGTTGAACCCGCCTTTCGGGTCCACGTCCGTGTCTACTTCGAAGGTTTCCACGGTTTCTACGCAGGATCCGGTTGAGGTAGCGCACGATGCCCTCGCCACGCGTCGTCTGCAGCTGCTTTCCGTCGAATTCGACATCGGGGGCGGGCGTGAAGATGAAGTGGGGCATTTCTTTGCCGCTTTTTTCCTGGCAAAAATCGCTGTGATCCAAGCAATTCACGCGGCCGAACACCACTTTCGCTTCGATCTACGCTCGCAGGGATCGTGCGGGTCTACCTTGAAGGCGTAGGCAGCACGCTGGTATTGAACCAAGGTGATTTGGGAGGGTTGGTAGTTCGGGAGATAGTACATCACCATCACGCTTCGGTAGGCGTTCCGCTTCATGAAGGAGTGGTAGGAAGTGGGAGTCAGCTCTGTAACGCAGTCAGGAAGAGGAACAAGATGCGCCTGCTTCGAAATCCAAGTAATCTTAGAGTCAACAAGGTACTAGACGGAAACGAGATCCTCCGAATCGTCTTTCGCAATAGGCTCACGCGATCCTTTCACAAAAAGTCGATATTGGGTGTCTCCCTCGTTCGGATCAATGCCGTACTGCGACTCCAAAGTCTCATTACTGCCGACAGTCGCCGCCAAGACAAAGTACTAGATCGAGAAAAGGTTTGAAAAACGAACTTTCTTTTCGTTGATGTAAGAGTAAATGGACATATAGACAGTCCACATATTAACAGAGCATATCTTACAATTTGGGGGATTCCAGACCACGAGCACAGTGCTGTTTGAAGAAAGCCCGAATTCAAGATTTTCGCTTGTTAGAATATTGAGCCCACTAGATATCACTTCGATTCGAGTAAGTAAACTCCTTGGTCAGCTCCAACGAAGCAGCATTACACAGAAGAAAAGCTAGGAACAACAGGGTAAGCACCTTCATCGAAAGATTGAATGAAATCGAAGGAATTCTGAAACAAATGATTTCCAATAGAAAATGGAAAAATGATCTGTATTCTTGGTATTACCGAATTTTGGGCTATTTTTTTAGTTTTTCTCATACAAAATGGATTCTGTTTTATCATCGCAAGAGGTAGTCTATCTGCAATAGCGAAGGGTCTGATATTCTAGCTCAATCAGTTGAAGTCATACTTCGTGCTTCTCGACACGGATCAGGACGGTTATATTGATAAATCAAATGCCATTCTGATTATTCGTGGTGTTGGCATTTCTGGATTGGATTCCGTATTTGAAAGCGTGATTCAAAGCATTACCACTGAAGCTTTGTCTTTTGAGGATGTCTTGAACGTGGCGATCTCAATGAAGAGATCGCAGGTCGGTAGGATTTCTCTATTTGTGTTGTGACGTCAAGATGATTATGATAGTATTATTCAGGTATTCAAAATGTTCGACAAGAACCAAGACGGCACTGTCCTTGCATCGGATCTCAGACACATTCTGTCTCATTTAGGAGAAGTGATTCCGGAGGATGAGATTGATGCCTTATTCCATGCTCTAGGTTATGGTGATGTGATTAAATACGAAGACTTCGCGAAACAATTAATGAACAAGAGTTAAGTCGTTTTTTCTGTAGTTTTTCTTCTATTCTTCTGATTTTTCTTTACAAACAGTGAAATACTAATAAAGAGTGATAAGGTGAATCCTGTCAAGTTAGGGATTCACCTTATCACTTAACAAGCTACAAAGCATTGTTGTTGTTTTTTTTTCAATTTCTATCAAACAATCAATCAGTTAGTTAAAAATTAATTCCTCTTCACTTCTGATATCGACTTGACATAGAAGGCGCAAAGAATGTAAACCACGAAGAATATGGGATAGAACCAGAGCCAGTTCACGATCCTCTCCCAACTCATCACGCTGCAGGTTACCGTATCAAACTCATCGTTTTTCAAACGTATTGATGAAGGAGCTAACAAAGATTGGTAAAGAGCATTAAGTAATTAAAAAAGAAAGGATATAATTGCTCTCGAGGAAATTGTAGCGAGAGAGCATCAACACGGAGAGGAACATGTAGCTGTAGCGCATGAAGACAATGAGCAAGCGATGCTGATTAACAAAACCTTGGCTTGTTCTGATAAATGGCTGGAAGAAACGAGTCTTCTAAGCAATATATAAAACAATCGATATCGATTACAATGAGCGAAGGCTTGTATTCCACAGCTGCTACAGCCAGTAACCCCAAGATGGAAAAAGCGACCTACGCAGATGAGTACTATACATTCTGCAGTACCATATAGAACGGCTTAGTGAATGCACCAGAATCTACATAGAAAGCGAGAAAAATGCAGTACCATCTTGAATATCAATCGTGAAAAGCTCGTAAACGAGATAGACGATGCTGAGCAAGAAAGGAATCATACTCAACTTGTAGAACATCGCTACGTAAAACCAAAAGGTTGTTTTCTAATTGTAATGCGGAAAGACAACAAATTGCAGATATTAGAGCCATTTTAAGGAAATGAATGAGAACAAACAACGTAGCTATAGGAAAATTGTGTATTATTATTCATTTTATTATTATAATCGTGATTCGTATTGACGCTAATTCGATCTCCGAAAGAGCGAGACTATAAAAGAAAGACATTTACTCAGAACTCTCTTTATTCCCTTAAGGAGCACTACCTTTCACTCCACTCAACAAATCAAACAAAAGAGTTTTCCTCCCGATGGAAGCGATTCAATAACATACACAGCCAGGATGGCGATCTGGGAAAGAGAACACACAATCGTCATGACGTAGCTTTTGCGGACAATCGAAAAGAAAATCGTTAAAACTACGACCAATGTGCTTACAATCTCAACCCTACCCAAGGATCCCAAATACAAAAGAGTCTTTGGTAATCGATCTTTCTGTAACATTGAATTGACGTATGCGGAATAACCGCGTATTGAAGCGATCGTGAGCATTGTCATCAGGCTGCCCATTGTGAAGCTCATGGCAAATTTCACAGGACGGAAGAGAAGCTAGAGTGAACACGAAGAAACGCATATACGGTGGGGATGCCGATAAAATACGCAATGAAAAAGAAAAGAAGAGCGAGAAAGCCGAACATTGCAGTTTCTTTAAACCGTTCGCCTCTGGGTTTCACATAGATCGGTCATTCCTACGTCTCCCGAACTTGATTAGGCATGTTCTTGACTGAATTGAGTAATCCGGAAGATTCAAGATCTCCGTTTGATCCTTTTGAGAAGAAGGACGAGAACCAGGATTTCGACGACGCAGGGGTGGATGGAAGCACCTACATAAAAAGGACGTCATCTTCCAAACAGGATTATCTTTCTGCATCTTGTACCACTCTCCGAAACTTTTGGAAGACATTTCACAAATAATTACAAAACAACTCTGACGATTGATTCAACAAACAGTATCAGCTACTACAGAAACAACTGGTTTCCACGCATCGCCACAATACAACACAGCTCCACAAGAAACTCCCTCAACACGACATAGCCCTCCATGAATTGCGAGAACGTCACATCCACCGACAATCGATCCTCTCTCTGGATTCCAATCCGATGATCGCACAAATTAAGAGACGTCTCCGTAATTTTCAAGTACTGCTCAAAGTTAATGACTTCCTTCGACCGTTGCACGGCTTTCGTCCAAATCTACATCTCACTCCCCCCTTTCTTCCTTCACTTTATCCAATTCCGCGCTGAACGAGATCTCTCCCGCCTCCAAGAACAGCGCTTCGAAGACTTGCGGCGGCGCCACGATCGCCAGCGTCGCCACCAATCGCGTCACTTCCAAGTTTACCTCCATCGACTGCCTCAGAATCATCCGCACGCGCGCCAGCAGCACGGCGACGAACTCGCCGCCTCCGGCCTCTGCGTCCGCGCTGGGAACTCCGTGGCGATAGCGCTGGAGGACCGCGAACTCGTGCTCAACGTCGCTGTGAACCAGCGGGGCGCAGAGCGACGCGTCCTTGGCGAGAAAGCGATCGATCTGCGGCAACGGCGTGTGAAATTGCTGCGCGAAGCGCGAGAGAAGCGAGGCAGAAGGCGAAGGAGAGGGGGAAGGAGAAAGAGAGAGTGCGGGGAAAAGGGTTTTGAAGACGACGGGGTGCTGCGAGCGGAGCAATGTGTCGAAAAGCTGCATGGTGGCGATGGAGACGGCGGTGGCGTTGCAGTTCACGCGCTGAAGCAGAGTGGGGAATAAAATGGATTGGTGGGACGTTTCGCCGCAGAGAAAGCGAACGAAGAGCTCGATGAGGGGAGAGGAAGGGGACGGGAGAAGGAGAGAGAGAAGAAGGCGAGCAATGCGAGTGCTGGAGATGATTCGCTCGTTTCTGGGGGTGAGAAAAACCGAAGAGAGAGAAAAACCGAATGTTGAGAAGCTCGACTTCGATGTATCCGTGCAATACGCTGCTTAAAATGGAGTCGAGGATCGCAGAGTAGAGCACGAGCGCCTGGTTGGGATCGTCTTTGCAGTCGACCGAGCTGCGGCAGAGACTGAGCAATTCGGAGATGAACTGAAGGCGATGTTTCAGCACGTCTTCGGGAGATTCCATCTGAGAAGCCACGGAGTTCATTGAGTCGAACTGCAGAATCGCATCGAGAAGGTTCTGAGTGAGCAGTCCCACCATTTGTGTGTTGTGTGTGAGATAGAGAGAGATTTGCGTGTCGGGGAAAGCGGCGAGAAGGAGGATGAGCTGCCGGGAAGTGCGGCCAATCGAAGAACTTTCGTTTCTAAAGGAGAGTCGAAGGAAGAAGAGAGAGGGATACAAGTGAGGGATCAGAGGGCCGACGAGACTGAAAGAGGCACCGGAATTGCGATCAGGAGACGAAGAGGAAGTAGTAGCAGTAGTAGTAGTAGTAGTAGCAGAACCAGCAGAACCAGCAGAACCAGCAGAACCAGCAGAACCAGTACCAGTACTAGCAGCAGCACCACCACCACCAGCATTACTCTTGATGAAAAAGGCGTTGATCAAAACGGGATCTTCGCAAATCTTTTCGCAAACCACTTCGATGAAGAGAATGATAACGCGCTCCATCGATGAAGAAACAAAAGTGCTTTGGTACATTTGAACCAGTTTCTGCATCAACGCAGAGATTGTGATTTGAATCGCCTCCGTTGTAGAGAGGGGATACTTCACCTCCTTCAGAAGTCTTGTTATGTGAGTCGTAAACAGTTCCATGCACCCCTTCGGGTTATCTGCGATGGCGATTCCACAGAACGTATCCACCAAATGCTGCTTGAGAAGGTAATCGAGGCAAAGTCCACGTTGCTCCGAATTGTCGTAACTATCGCGCGAAGACTTCTTTAAATCCTTCTCTTCCTCGACGAGAATATCGATCATTTGATTTAAATCCTGGGAAATGTTGGTTCGCCCAATCCAGTCCTCTCTTTCTTCTTCACCCTTTTCCTGCATCTCGGCGATGATCTGAGTCACATCTTCATATAGCTTTTTGTATCGGTCCAACCGTTGTACATCGGGTGATTCGTTCGTAACAATGCCATTAAGGAACGAGGAAACCCCATTCACCGCATCTTGAAAGAATCGGATGTTGAACATGACAACGAAAAAAAATGTTGCTGCAACAAACAACCCACAGAAGTATAAAAACACATTATTCCTTTGCTTTCTTCATAGCTAGCTAATTTAACACTGGTCAGGAGTGCGGAAGTTCAGTCCGGCATAGATGGCCTTGTTACCCAACTGCTCCTCAATGCGGAGCAACTGGTTGTACTTGGAAAGTCTCTCCGATCGGCAAGGAGCACCGGTCTTGATCTGTCCCGAGCACAGACCCACCGACAGGTCGGCGATGTAGTTATCCTCAGTCTCTCCCGAGCGGTGAGACACCATCACGCCCCATCCGGCGGCCTGCGAGTCCAGGCAAGCCTGCACGGACTCGGTGATCGAACCGATCTGGTTCACCTTCAGCAGCAGAGCGTTGCAAGCCTTCTTCTGAATGGCCTCGGCAATACGAGCAGGGTTCGTCACCAGGAGATCGTCTCCCACGATCTGCACCTTCTTGCCGATCTTCTCGCGCAGAAGTCCGTAAGCGGCCCAGTCGTCCTGCTCGAAGGGATCCTCGATGGACACGATGGGGTAGTCGCTCACCAGCTTGATGTAGAACTCGGTCATCTGCTCCTTAGTCTTCTTCTCGCCACCACCCTGCTTGAACATCAGGTCGTAGTAGCCGTCCTGAGTGTAGAACTCAGAGGCAGCGCAGTCCATAGCAATGCGCACCTCCTTCGAGTATCCGGCCTTCTCAATGGCCTCGCTCAGGATATCCAGACCCTCCACGTTGCTCTTGATGTTGGGGGCGAAACCACCCTCATCACCCACGTTCGTGGCGTCCAGACCGTATCGCTTCTTGATCACAGACTTCAGGCTGTGGTACACCTCGCAACCCATCTGCATGGCCTCCGAGAAGGACTTGGCACCCACGGGCATCAGCATGAACTCCTGGAAAGCGAGAGCGTTTCCGGCGTGCTTTCCTCCGTTGATGACGTTCATGGCGGGCACAGGGAGCACGAACTTGTCCTTTCCAGCCATCTCACCGAAGTACTTGTACAGAGGCATCTTTCTGGCGGCAGCTCCGGCCTTGGCGCAGGCAAGAGAGGTTCCCAGAATGGCGTTGGCACCCAGCTTACCCTTGTTCTTTGTACCATCGAGTCTGAACATCATATCATCAATGCTGTAGATATCAGTCACATCCATTCCCTTGATGTGGTCAGCAATCACGCCCTTCACGTTGCTCACGGCCTTCATCACTCCCTTTCCGTTGTAAGCCTTGCCTCCGTCACGAAGCTCAACAGCCTCATGAATTCCGGTAGAAGCTCCGCTGGGCACGGAAGCGGTGAAGGTTCCGTCCTGAGTGGTCACGTCCACCTCCACAGTGGGGTTGCCACGGCTGTCGAGCACCTGTCTGGCGTTCACAGCGGTGATGGTGGAGGCAGCACGAGTGAAAGACTTCAGAGAAATAGCAGAAACACGAGAAAGCATTCTATAGAAAAATTTTGAGGATGAGGGATCGACCATTCATCGGGTGCAATCCACAAAATATGGTCACCAAAATAATTGCCCTCTCAGGCTTCACCCAATCTTATTCCGATCATTGCACTCCTTCCAATTCTTTCAATTCGATCCTTTACTTCTTCTTTTTTGTGAATACCTTGTATTACCGAGCTATTTGTGGTCAGAATAAATAACCACCGCGAATTCTTCGAGTATCCAGTTTGCCTCGAAAATATCATATATGATGATGGATTATGCAAATAGATAGAAAATAGGACTTGTTACAGTTGTCATTCCGCTTTGCTACGAATCTCCTTCAGTTACACCATTAAAATTATTGTTGAGCTCGATACCTCATCAGCACAAAAGTTAGATTTAGTTTAAGATGCAAACCTCTGTCGAGAGTTTTTCTCCAGACTACTTTGATTATAGTAAGTCTGCCTTTATGAAGCGGTCGGCAAGGAATATGAGGAGAAAGAGGAAGAGCAGCAAACATCACTCAAACTCGAAAGAGAAGTATATCAAGGAGAAGAAGAGTACGATTTGTATCATAGTAATCAATGTAATCAGTCTGGCTCTACTCGGCACAATCTGTGGTATTGTTTTGTCCCGATCTTTGCAAGTACAACATAAAATTGAGTGTCCGTATGGATACTTTGGCGAGAAATGTCAGAGAAACGACTTTATCGATTATGTTGAGTGGGAGTCAGATGTTGGCATGTGGACCGATGACGGAGAGTGCCGTTCTGGCTACTCGTTTCGTACATGGGCTCCTGGAGCGATTAGCGTTCGGCTTCAGATTCAGGACCCAACTACAGAGGCTTTGAGATACTATTTTATGCAGTACCACATTCTGCTATAGTAGTTATTTTTATAGGAAGCAGGATCATGGCTTTTGGTTTGTGATGATTTGTAACCTAGCTCTTCATTCCCAATACACGTATTCTATCAACTACAACACAGAGAGCAGGTACTCCCTCTCCCTTGGCAGCTTGGAGCGTACTCTGTGAGTGTAGCTTCTTTTTATTAAACTTTAGCTTTTCTGCTCGAGAAGCGAACATCGTTTCAAACACCGACTACGCATGGAGATATTCCGACTACGTCCCTCTCCCTCCCAACCCCATGTTCTACCAGATCAATCTCCCCACCTACATGGAAGAAGAATGTGAACAATTTCTTCCCTTTCAACTCACCCGCAGACTCCACTCCCTACGAGACCGTCATTAATCGACTCGAAACCATTCAACTACTCGGAGTCAACGTTATCGAACTGCACGCTCTGGAGCAATCCAGTTGCGATGCAGAGTACGATATCTGCTGGGTGGAGCCATCGTATTCTCCGGGCTTGCTTCGTCCCACGATTGGTACTCCGATTCAACTGAAAGAACTGATCGACTCGATTCACGTACTGAATATGAGCGTGGTGCTGGATCTGAATTGGGAGTTTTTCAATATCAACTCGCCCATCTATCATTATCACCAGTTTTACACGCTGTGTAGACATTGAATCGCAACGAATGACCAGCAGACACAACGGAGTTAGCAGGCGATCCGGTCTACAGCGATGTGTTTCGCGATTCGTCGACGTGTGGCGCGAAGTGTTCTTTGAACATCGCCGAAAACGAATTCGTTCTGCTTCTCCTTCGCTCCGTTCTCCATCGCTATCGCGAGGAATTCCACATCGACGGGATCCGATGGATCACAAACGACTGCGATTCCTATGTTGGCGGATCCTGCAATAGCGGTGAGGAACACGGCGACAAATTCGAGTTCGCGATCCGGAGTTTTTGGGAAGACGTGCGAAGCGAAGGGTTCTCGATTGTACAGGAGAGCAGGCCGATTGAAGCGTAGATCCGAGACACGCAGTCGATCGTTCCGAACTACGATTTCTTCATTGACGAGTCGCTTTGTCCGCTGATTCAAGGCGTGTCTGCGAGCACGGGGATCAGCTATTCGCTCTTGAAGAACTTCATTCAAACCATAAACTCATCGGATCCGGAGGTTCTATTCTCGCTCGAGTGCTTCCGAACTCTCAATAGCCGCTTGCTGATCCGAACGAACTACAACATCGCGTCGATTCTCCTCTCGTTGTTCTATTTGCTCCCTCGAAACATTCACTTCTTTATGGGCACTCCCTTCCTAAGCGATATTTCCTTCACGAAGAATCCCCAAACGCTGGATATCAGCGAAGTGGGAGTGTACGTCGACGGATCCTGGCAGAATCCACACAAGAAGTTCTTGAAAATCTTGCTGTCTGTCGATCTGAACAAGATTCGCGAGCAATATTTGGTAGGTCGCGAGGGTTGTGTGAGAACGAGATGGACGCGTTCGACGGTGTTTTCATCGAGTATGACAACAACAACGACAAAATGATTCTTCGTGTGGGAACGGAGCCCGATCCATTGCTGATCGTGATTAACTATGGAACGACCCACTACACCGAAACGTATTTCATGCGATTATCGGTTTGAATCGCAGGCCTTTCACCGCTGCTATTTATTCGACCCTTCCATTCAATCGGCAGGGAACCTGGAATCTTCTCCTCTCTACTGCCAACAGAAACTACGATAGCGAAGCCATCACCGTCAACTCGCCAATGACAGGAAGCGCGTGTCAAGGGCAGGGAGGCCATACGATTCCGGGCTGTGTGTATTATTCGGTGCCGATGGCCAGGCAGTCGCTCTCTGTTTTTATTCACGAATAAATGTACACGCAATGTGTTGATTGTTTTTTAATTGTTTTTTAATTGTTTTGGGTGTTGTTACTCATAGGAAAGGAAGGATCACACTGTTCTTTTGAATTGTTTGCTTCGTCACTCAGTTTCACATGTTTGCTAATTACTTCTCAGTTTTGCTTGTTTTGTTCATCCTGCTCTTGTTTGATAGGATACACACAACATGGATTTCACTCCACATGGATCGAACAAACACAATGTAGAATACACTGTCTATAAGTCTAGTTCGAATTCACTTTCAATATCGTCCATATCAACAAGCCCACGATCATAAAGACCATGATTCTCCAAATACTTCACCATATTGTCGTATAAAGTATCGGCATCGTAATAATAATAATGGTACATTGGAGAAAAACCAGCATTATTAATCTCATAATCGATACTGCCATTTGGATTGAGAAAGAACACTCGGGGGTAGTACTTCCCACGACCATCTATTTCGAATGCGTAGAAGATACAATACCTGGAAGCCACTTTTCATCCTCAGGCTCTTCCTCATCCGCTGCTAGAATCATCACAAATCGTCTAGAAAACTCAATCAGCTTCTCGTCCGAAGCTATTCTCTTTCCTAAACTACGGCAAGCACCACACCAGTTCTTGTAGACAATAACTATCCCAGGCTTCTGTGTTTTACTAATCTCATCCATGCCTTCACTAAACGAAAGCCAATTATAGCGGTTTCCAAAGAATCCTCCATCTACAGCTTCGACAGCTGTATAGAGGAATAAGATGCTTATCGTCTATAGATAATTTAAAGAGAGAAAAATTGACAAATGATAGAGATGAGAAAAGCATATTTTGGAAATGTGTATGCAAACAAATAGGATTAAAAATATTAGAATAAATAAGCGCGTCTACAGTTACTTGGCAGTTACCTCAACTCCCTTCTTCACAACGGTTTTCATTGTTCTTCTGTCGATCATAAAGATGCCCCACAGAATAGACCAGATCCATCCAATAATAATAACCGATAAAAGGAGCTGTAGAACTCCAAAAAGATAGGTAAGACCGTTGGAGTGGCACATTACTGCTCCAATCAAGGTTCCAATTCCTAAGGGTTATTCTATAGATCCATAGTAATAATACCTGGAAGAATAATGTTTACTATACCCAAGATCCAATTCCAAGGACTGCTCAAATCGGGCACCGTGTCTATGACCTTCTTGGCCGTCTTCAGTTTGCCGTACCAACCCATAATAGAATAAAGTAATATAGAGTTTGGTTCAGTTTTTTTATTAAAGAGCCAGCCAATCATTTGTGGAACAAAGAAACTACGATTTCGAATTGGGCAAAAATGGTATCAGAATATAAGTATGCTTTCTATATTCCTCGTACTCTGGAAAAAACGACATTAAATATTTCTCCTCAAAACTAATCATCAGACCAGGATCATTAAAAACTTACGGTATTCGGAAATATAAAAGTCCCCAGTTGACTAGAGCTGATATTACAACGCAAAGTGGATTGCAAAGGATCATTTCGCGTCCTACACAATAATAGAACCAGCCTGTATAAGAAGGATGTCGGAGCAATGCGTAAATCCCCGAGGTAACCAATTCATGGGAATTTACGTGCTCCGTACGAATTAAATGAGTGAAGTTCGTTCCCATTTGGACTTCTGCAGCAGCTCGTAAAGCAATCCCCAAAACTGTTAAAAATAACCCTAACAGAATAACGATTTGATTTTGCTTCCACCTACGAGTTATTTAGGAAGACAAAACTCACAGAGGGAAGAAATAATACTCAATTAAGAATTCCATAATACCGCCTGTAGTCGTCATAACATAGTAAACACTTTGGTTTACTAAAAAGGCTACGGACTCATTCTAACAAGAAAACAGGGACAATCAAAGCATAAATCATTTGGACGATAAATCGCAGTTAAAAAGAACTCAAGTAAGTGAAAACCACTACCAACGATACAATATATACACCAGTTCAGCTATAGGTAATAAACACGATGCAACATAATTACGGGAAGTAGAAGCTCCATTCCAATCACATAACAACGAACACAGTACAGATTGTAACCCAGGATTCCCCCGAGAATAAGACCACATAATATAACTCTTACCCAATCGTTTCTACTATATGGCTTCTTATCCTCTCCCATTTTATAAAAAAACTCCTCCTCGTACAGAATTAAACAAACAAGCCACAAAATAACTAAAGCAACATTACATACTCGCAATTGTGCTGGGAGTAAGCTGATTGCACAACTCCTCATCGACAATCGACAGATCGCGGAGAACAAACGAATTTGTTGGCAAAATCCCATATCTCTTAAACAACTGCAGCTGCAGCGAGTTTCTGTCTTCGTACAGCAAGTACAGATACATCGCGGAGCTCAGCACACAGACGTACTCCGACAACCCTCTCCAAAAATGCATCACTCGGCAACGAGGATAGTTTCGAATGATTGTCCCTACGGCTTACACCCTGGACACTGCGCTACAGCCGTCGTTGTACCTATCTTGGTAGAAAAAACACTGCTCTTCGGAGGTGAGCTGGAAGCATTCCTCCATGCTCATTACCACGGCTATGGGTCACAGAGGAATGGAATTGAATGGGTACATTTGCAATCTTCGATCCGGCCAAGCAACGTAAAAAGAATGATGCCCCCGAGAGAGCAAAAGAGAAGCATGAATTTGAAAAAAATCTTGCGACCATCCTTCTGGTTCCCATATCGGATCATTTCATAAAAATTAAACATATATTGGAGGTTTAGCGGACAAGCAAACAACACTACACACTACGATTAACAATCTCACATGAACAAACCATCTCATGAGTCAGGGGATAGTTCCCCATGTCAAAAAATGCGACTCCATGCATACCAATTGCAGCAATGATAGAGAAAACCAGCTGGAACTACAAACTCCATCAAATCAGACTCTACTTACCTTTTGAGAAAGTAGATAACGACGCTTTCGTTTTGGTTCCGTCACCGTCATCCCGAATAAAGTGAAGACACGATAATAATCAAAAGCAAATATTATCCACGGAATCCACCCAATGCCTGTACCTACTAAGAAAGAGAGCCACCCGAAACCGCTTCGAGCAACCTCTGACAAGTATGGATACTTGCAACCTCCTTCAAATCTAAAATTGAGAAGACCAATTCGTTCTTTACTCATTCAACACTGTAACGATCACAGCTGCAAACAATGCACCAAAGGAAGCTCCATAGTAAGCAATAATCGACCCATATGCCTCACAATATTTATACAGTCTTGTTAGCTTCATTCGAATCCACGAGCACCTTCTTATATTAGACATATCTACTTTAGTATTTTCGTTGCAATTTTCTTTTTCGTTTCTCTGATATGCCATTTCTACGGCAATATTCGACTCCCACAACTGAAGTGAAGTTGCCTTTAGTGAGTGAGCAGAAAGTTCAGGAATAGTGCAATTCCGAAAATCGTGTATTTGGATCTTGGGAATGAGAGTTGCAGATTAAAGCTACAATAATCAATATGGGTACAATCCCAATAAATAATATTGTAGAATGGTTTTTCTTGCGAAAGAGGAGTGTGTTGATCATGTGGCACAATAACCGAGCCAAACGTCAGCGTACTGCGGATAAGGATAAGGATAGTACTCGATATTTATCAGAATTATAAGCGAGATTTTATTGTGGAAATAACACATTCGCTTGGATGAGGTGAACTAAGTGCCCGAATTATATATATATATATATATATATATATCATTCATCATCATGATATTCACACAAATGACTCCAATACACTCCCTCTTTCCTTCCTTCCTTCAACAAACACCCCATAAAAGACATCAGGATTCCCACAACTCTTTCATTTCGGGGTAGTTCTCTACCCATTTCTGGTACGCCTTTCCGGGCGTGAAGTCCCACAGCCATCTTCGGTTGCACAGCAGGTTCCACACCAGTTCTCGGTAGTTTCCCTGCGTGTGCGCATACAAGTACTCTCTCTGGAACTCGTTCATCGCTGCCCGTCACTCCGCCTCCTCTCTCCTCCTACGCGAGATGATGTCGTTCTTCTCGAACATGTCCACGAACGCGTCGAACACCTCGAAGCTGCACTTCCCCACCGTCAGGTTGTGCTTCTGTCCCAGCTGGACCACATCTTCGAACTTGATCTGTCGCTCATTAGCTCCGCCCTTCCCTACGAAGTGGTCGTATCGGTTCTCCACCGCTCCGATCACCACGCCGTTCCGCAGCGTGTTCTGGAATGCGATGTGCGGCGTGGGGGGCATGGGGGTCTCGGGCTGGAGGGGCGGGACTTCGCGATGGAGCTGCGCGGCGCGCTGCTGCGGGAAGTCGTCCAAGGCGCGCTCCTGCATCCAGTCCGCCTCGTCGAACACGCGGAACAGCGAGGGCAGGTAGAGCTTCCGCGCGTGGATGCTACGGTGGAGGGAGGGCGCGCGCACTACGGCCGGTTCTGGTACTCGAAGAGCGAGTAGTCGTGCAGCGCGTTGTAGTCGTCGATCGCGATCAGCACCGGGTATCTGCGTCCCACGCGCCCGCTGCGCCCTACTCCGTGCACTCCTCCAGTTCCCGCTTCACGTACGCCGCCACTTCGTACGACTAGCTTCGCACATTCACACGAATTTCCTACGTCACGCGCGCTGTTCACGCCGTACAGAACCAGCTGGTCCACCGTCAGCCGGCTCGCCGCGCCCGAGTCGATCGCCTACGTCCCACGCGCTCCGCGTCCCTACCGCGCCGAACTGCGACTTCGCCCAGAACAGGGAGCGGTCGAAGTGCCCCTTCACGCGCACGTTCCGCAGCAGATGGCCGCTCGTGATGTGCAGCTAGTCGTCGCCTCCTCCACACAGCGCCCCTACGTCCAGCAGAAGCTTCTGACAGTGCTCCGGCTGCGCGAAAAAACCGCCCGAGCGACGCGTCATCGGAATCACCTGGTAGCCTGCCTCGCACACACACCCGGATGCTACCTCGATGGGTCCACACGCGCGCAGAGGGAATGAACCACGTGATCCAGTTGTTACGACGACACTCGTAATACACGCTGCGAAGAACCATCCTGCAATCGAGCCACTCACCACGCACAAGTACGATTTGCCACTACCCCGAGGACCCGTGAGGCACAAGAACGGATAAAAGTCGATGCTTTCTCCCGCCTGGAACGCTACCTATCACCCCGCGCCTCCCATACTCACCATTCAGCTTGGATATGATCCGCAGAGCTTCTTTGCGAATTTGCATTGTGTTCATAAGCGTCAGTTCTCTCTGCTTCTCAAAACCACAGTAGAAACTAGGACTCACCTCACTAATCACACCCTATACTCATGAGGAAAGTAGTGCTTAAATTCCTCGTCGTCAAAATAGACAATGTCGCCCTCTTTCTTCTTACTCAAGTCAACACGCTTTTCTCTAGGCACATTTTTCAGATAATCTCGATTTCGAATTCCTTCCTTATAATCATCCTGAATAAACGGGAATTCAGGGAAATCGGGCAACTCTACACCTTTCTTTGTGGATTGTTTTTCATTCGCATTGGGAGTTGCTGTCTCGACAGGTTCTCCTTGTTTCGCCGCAGAATCGCTGTTGGCAGCCGATTCGCTCTGAGTTGCAAAGCACCGAACGGTACGATAGAGTGCAACTCTCCTCGCGGAAGAGATTGCGATGCGGTTCCTCAAAGCAATCGAGAGCATTGGAGAGAGAATAAAAAGAAATCGATCAAAATCTCCCCATTTCTCTTTTTTCCATATTTATCGAAAATCAACAAAAATATCATAATCATCACTATTATTACTATAACAAACAACCCTGAGTAGAATACAAACTACACATGCAATTGAGAAGCTTAGAAGCACTTTCTGTGGACAATGGTAGGACCAGCCTCGTCGTACTCAGACTTGGCAATCCACATGTTGTGGAAGGAAGACAGGCAAGCCAGCAGCGATCCTCCGACCCACACCATGTACTTACGCTCAGGAGAAGCCAGCACCTTCACCTTGATGCTAGGAGGAGCCAGAGCCAGCAGCTCCTTCTGCATACGCTCACCAATTCCAGGGAACATGGTGGAACCTCCAGAGAGGACCACGTTGCTGTAGAGCTCCTTACGGATATCCACATCGCACTTCATGATGGTCGAGTAGGTGGCATCGTGCACACCTCCGTGACGAAGCTCCTTACCCAGCATAGCAGGGTTGAACAGAGCCTCGGGCACACGGAAACGCTCGTTTCCAATGGTCACGATGTTTCCATCGGGCATCTCGTACGACTTCTCCACCACCGAAGACTCCTCGGCAAGCTTCATCTCCTTGTCGAAGTCCAGAGCCACGTAGCACAGCTTCTCCTTCATGTCGCGCACAATTTCACGCTCAGCAGTAGAAACCAGACTGTATCCACGCTCAGACAAGATAGTCTGCATGTACTCGGTCAGATCACGACCAGCCAGATCCAGACGCAAAATGCAGTGAGGCAGCGAATAACCCTCGTAAATGGGGACAGTGTGCGAGACACCGTCACCGGAATCCATCACGCAACCAGTGGTACGACCCGAAGCGTACAGAGACAGCACAGCCTGAATCTGGACGTACATGGCAGGCACGTTGAACGTCTCGAACATAATCTGAGTCATACGCTCTCTGTTCGCCTTAGGATTCAAAGGAGCCTCGGTCAGAAGCACAGGATGCTCCTCAGGAGCGACACGCAGCTCATTGTAGAAGGTGTGGTGCCAGATCTTCTCCATATCATCCCAGTTAGTCACAATTCCGTGCTCAATGGGGTACTTCAGATTCAGCACTCCTCTCTTCGACTCAGCTTCGTCTCCAACGAAGTGATCCTTGTTCTCCATACCCACCATGTACACAGGATGCTTGGGACGTCCCACAATCGAAGGGAACACAGCGCGAGGAGCATCATCTCCAGCAAATCCAGCCTTACACATACCGGAACCGTTATCAATCACAATAGACTGCACTTCAGCCATTCTCGAGGTTTACTTGTATTAAAATTAATATGACTTACACTTTGATATCCCGTACCGTTAATTGTACAGTGGTTCAATTCGCTTGATTATCAAGCTTGCTCCAGTAACTCGTTTTTTATCGTTTTTATCAAGAATCTAGTCCCGATTCTAGCACATTTTAGACGATCCTGCAAAGATTGCCAGCTTGAAGGAATGGGGATTAGGTGTATCGTAATTTAGACTGAGTGTTAACAAACTTTGGAAAATTATTTAGATATTTACAACCTGGACAAGAGGAGAAGTAAAGTTGACGCTTTCTCCGTTGGAAGTTGCCGTCACTCTCGCATAGACCATCGCGTTCGGAGTATAGGTGTACGCTACGTGAAATACCAACAGTATCTGTACGATCCACGGTCACGTTTGCAGGCAGGGAGCTCGCTGATCCCAGAAGCGTTCCCGAGCTGCTGTAGAAGGATACGCTACGAGTAACCATCGTTTTACCTCGAATTACTTGTCAACCGTGAAGTTTTCCACAGGTTGTGCTAACGCGCCGGTGAGTTGTAGCCGCGAGTTCGTAGAGTCATAAATGGCCGTGATATAGAATCCGTTGAAAGCCTGAATCTCGGTCAGAACAGAATCATAGGAAAGTGGCAGCTCTGGGGTCGGTCCCGTGGGTCCGGTGGGACCAGTGGGTCCCGTAGGTCCCGTAGGGCCCGTCGCTCCGGTCGCTCCGGTTGCTCCCGTCGCACCCGTAATTCCAGTTATTCCAGTCACGCCTCGAATACCCGTGGCGCCCGCAGGTCCCGTGGCGCCTGTCTCTCCGGTGGGTCCCGTGGGTCCCGTGGGACCGGTGGGACCGGTAGCGCCTTGAGCTCCCTGTGGACCCGTTTCTCCGGTCAGTCCGGTGGCTCCCTGCGGTCCCGTCACGCCGGGCACTCCCGTCACGCCCTGCGGACCTTGTGCGCCCTGCGGACCGCGAGGACCTTGATCTCCTTGTCTTCCCTGCGGACCGGTAGGACCCGTCGGACCCGTCGGACCGTCCACGCCGACCGCTCCCTCCACGCCCATAGCGCCTCGCTTGCCTTGTCTTCCCTGCGGACCGGTGGCGCCGGTGGGACCCGTTGGACCCGTCGGTCCCGTGATTCCGGGCGCTCCGGAAGGTCCTGCCATTCCGGTGTCTCCACGAAGTCCTTGCGGTCCAGTGGGACCCGTGGGACCGGTGGGGCCGGTGGGACAGTTGATGCAGGGAGTGGGTCGCGCGGGACATTTGCCAGGATCGACGATCTCGCCCATGTAGCATTGCTTGGAAGGAGGAACGGGGTAGGGTCCTTTGCGGATTCCCTCGTCGCAGGTGATGAAGTAGTCCGTGCATTCGTCCAGAACGGTGTTGCCATCGGCATCCGTGCACACCAATTCGCAGAAGGTGCAGGAATCATCGGGACCCACGGCGCAGGCAGTGGCCTCCACGATCGAATTATCCAGACAGTACATGCCATTCCCGACAGGGAGAGGCGACGAAACCTGTCCGTGGTTGCAGTAGGTGTAGTACAGCGTGCAGACGCCCGCGCGTTCGTTTCCGTCCTGGTTGGTGCAGCGAATCCCGGTCCAGAAGCAGTCGTAGGGAATCGGCTCGCAGTCGTCCGGCGAATTGATGAGCTTTCCATTGGAGCACGACTTCCCAGAGGGAACTGCGATCACGGAGGAGAGATATCCGTTCGTGCAGGTGTGGTAATACTTGGTCTCGCCGCTCTGATCCTGTCCTGCAGCGTTCGTACACGAGATTCCCGAGAACGAGCATTCATCTCCCTGCCCAGAAGGCTTGTCAGTGGGCTCAGAAGGCTTGTCAGTGGGTCCAGAAGGCTTGTCAGTGGGCTTCGAAGGATCCGACGTCGTGACAGAAGAACACTTGTCGGAATGGACCAACGCACCATTGAGACACATTGTACCCGGCGACACAAACATGGGCTGCGACCAGTAGCCATTTCCGCACAAAGCATAGAATTCGGAGCACGATCCAGTCACAGCATCACCGTTCGACGTCTGACATTCGATCAGACGGGAGCCATCACAGATTCGAGGGGAAATCGTAGAGAGCCCGGTGCGAGTGATGATTCCCTGGGAACACACCATTCCTTCAGGAACAGGGAGGATCGCGGAGAGCTTTCCGTCCACGCATGTTCGGTAGTAGGTCGCGTCGCCCTTCTGTGCTTGGCCAGCGCTATTCACACACAAGTAGTCAGTGAAGGAACACTCGTCAACTGGTCCAGGGGCACTCGTAATCACCGAATTACACGTATCGGAGTGCACAAGAACACCCCGGAGGCACATTGTACCAGGAGACACAGGCATAGGGTCCGACCACACTCCATTACCACAAAGAGCATAGTACCCGGAACAAGCATTATTATCTACAGCGTTTCCGCTGGCCGTTTGACACTCTACAAGTTGACTACCATCACAACTTCCTAGAAATGAAGAAGCACACAGTATTCATACTATTCGCGATTGCGATAGTAGCGAGCAATACAAAAGCTACAAATCCTTTCATCAGAATCTGGAAACTAGAGAGCAGCTTGTCATCTGCTTCGCTTCGTCTAATTTCAACATCAAGTTGATATAGTTGTATAGATAGATAGACTGGTAGATTGATGACCGAGATATTTACGCAACTATCACTTGTGATTCAAATAAAACACAAATATAGCGATACACATGAATTAGATATATCGTATGATTACAGGGAGGTGCGTACTGGTATTCATCAACAATATTGGCGGTAAATCTTTCACCAACGCTCGTAATTGGTTTATGTACTAAGCAGCTCTGTATGATTTCTATTGGGGAAGTGTAACTTTATCAAAATATCATGTTTCATTATATGAACAGCTGCTAAAATAGTATATCTCACTCCATTCACTCTGTATGGTATCTAGTCTATTCTCATATTATGAATATCATCAACATATTTGCGATTGCTCAAAAATGTGGGATATAATCCATAATATGCAAATAAACAGCAGTTTTGAAAAGTCAATTAGATGTTTTTAGCATAGGTTTCATTATTTGAAATGCAATAATAGATGTGCTATATAATACAGTTCAGGGTAATAAGCGCAATAAGAGGCAAATGATAAAGATACTTGAATGCTTTGATAATATATGATGAGCATGCGTTTATCACAGTTTTCTTTCAGTTGGATAATATCATAAATCCGTAGAAGAGATATAATGGAATCAATAAAAGCATAAAGCATGGTTGTCATGCAGATGCTTAGTATTGTATTGATGTACAAAGAAATGCATATAACGGTATGCTCTCTTATATTGCTTTTAATCTTCCGCAGTCTAAGGATCCAATCTTCTTTACAACTATCAAACAGAAATAATTTTCAACAATATGGGTGATTCATCATAGTTTCTAGTCATTTGATGCCTTGTTTAAAAAATAAAAACAAGTGTTGAATGTGCTATTCTTGTTACTAATAATCATCAGTTTGCTTGATTTGTTTGTTCAGAATTCTTTGCCATCATTTCTGGGCTATTCAATGATGAACAATCCAATCATTTGGTTACTCTCTAAACTCATTACAACTTATATTTGCTTAGTTAGCATGCTTCAATCGCTATGTAATCGATGTCTAACATTGCAGTCAAGAATACTGAATAATTGAAAAACCAAACTGAGAAAATGGAGACTGGATTAGTATAATATCTACTATAATATGTTATATATGACAGCAAACGAGGTAATCAAGCATCCACGAGTAGCGAATCAATGGGAACTAGTACTGCGTGGTCATTCTATGATTGGAGAATAGACACTCATCATTTCCAGTACCACTACAATAGGCATATTGAACAGCTTTCGTAACCGAGACAATACTCTTAACTATATTCGAATTATATCATCTTCGATTCATTTTTAATAAGAACAAACAAGAATAGTGTGCACACAGCAACAAGTAAACTATTCTTTTTTACACTCTTATCCAGGAGTAGGTAGGAATAGCTAATAAATGCTGGGAGATCTATTGTGCCGTGTTTTTTGCAGGTATTATGGAATGGAAACGGCTATTTAACTTCAGAGCTTGTTTGGATGTCACAGAACCTGAAGTCACGGTTGAAGAATTGGGAGAAGATATTGAAGTGATATCTTTGGGCGAAACAATAAAACTAGCAGATCTCAAAATGTACCTGAAGTACTGCAAATCAAAAGCGCTATTTTGTTGCAAGGTGGAAATAGTAACACTGTGAATTAATTTGATAATCTAGATTTCTTCTTTTCTTACGATGATCTTCTGTCTGACGACTGAAAGACCTCTCGTCCTTATCAGCGGAGTACTTTACTTTCTGTTTAGCATATTTTTTTATTTCTGGACCAAAAGAAATCATAAGAAGATGATAAAGATGGTATGTCTTGTTTTTATATCATTATTAGTACTTACCCATCGCTTTTGTTGATTTATTATTGGGACTGACCACATTCTATTATTGGTTAGGTTTGCTGATGATTCGAATTCGATTTGGGGTCCTTATGTGCAATTTATTCGTGTTGGAGGCATTGATTTCTTCTTTCTTGAGTTGCTTCTTCATAGGAAGGATAGAGACGGTATATCATTACATTCCTGTTCAATGTTTCTCTTTTCATTGTATATCTTATTAGTTAGATCATGAGAGATTAAGCAGTGTATTTTAATTTGTATTTTGTAATGTTTGTGAGATGATTGTGTTTGTAGTATTACTTACGTTTTTTACATTTGTTTAGATCTAGCAGTTGATAAGTATCGCATGCTATCATCTCAAAACTAAAATCCTATTCCTACTGTATTAAAGCTTTGATCACTTTACTTTCCTTTACTCTTTCCTTGGATCTTAACGAAATTCTATTTCACAATCATCCTCATATTCGTCGTACTACTTTCATATGCTTCAAAATAGGAATCTTAGATTGTACTTTTACACCACTTCTCCAAGCATATCTCTAGACTCCATTATAGTACATTATTTCTCACTCTGTGCATATACTATTCACTCTGTTCAAAATATTGATTATTTCTAGAAACACATCTTTCAAACTTCCAGTGTTTTGCTCATTCGTGGGCCTGTATAATAGTATTGTATACTGTATGTATTGTTCTTCCGAATAATATCTGTAGAAGTGTCGAAGCGCTTGCTTTTTCTCTACAGACCAGTATCGATAATCTGCATTTAAAATGTTATCAGGATTTTATAATGATGAATCACTTCACGGTGATTATGATACTTTGTTCAATGGTGAGATGTTTTTATATCTTTTCAACTCAAAGAGCCTAGTATGGCAATTGATAAGGGAGATAAAAATCCGCAGCCATCTCAAAAGGAGGGAAAACCGAAGTCATTCATGTACTCTCTTGATGACGCAGACGCTGCAATTCGAAGAGAGGTAGAGCAAGAAACGAGAAACGGTCTTGGTTTGAACTTTCAACATCAGGCTGAAACTCCGAGTTATTTAGGATCTGATTTAAATTCTGGTGCGGGGACGATTAATTTACGATCGAGCAACTCATCTATGTTTACTCAAGCGGATTACAGTTCTGGAGTGTACAAGCCGTCCTATCCTTATCCATCTCCCACTTTCCATTCTGTTGACATCCCTCACATTAACGAGCTTGCTACTCCAGTCAAGGTGGTGAACGTAATCCATTCCCACACTCCCTCCGACAGTTCCACCCTTCCTCCGTTTTCGGAGCCCGGGATTCCTCCCATCCCTCCCTCACCCCAGCTGCGCAGCAGCATTCCTCTCGTCGTAAAACCGGATCCCAGCCCGGATCCTTTGCAGCGAACCTGGAAACCCGTCCAAACCGACACATTGCAGCGCTATTCCGACAAATCCCCGTCCGTTTCCGCAGACGACGACACGATAAACTCCGTGAAAATCACGCAGGCGATCAAACAAAACGAGCTCCTCAACTCGCTTCTCTCCCGAAATCAGGAGGCGCGGCCAGGCTCTTCTGTGGACTTTTCGAGTGTCAAACCGAAGCGACCTTCGCGGTTCGCGTCGCAGTTCGCTCGGTTTCTCCCGAAAGACGTTCCATCGAAGCAGCAAGCGAGCGATGGAACGGAGAAACGATCGTGGCTGCCCGGCTCGGAGGCGCATCGCGAGAGTTTGGATCGCGATGTGGAGATGGGATTTGAGATTCAAGCGCATGATATGCTGTATAACACATCGAATAGCCGAGCCGAGGAGGAGGGAATGAGCGATGATTTATCCTTCGGATTGCCTGTGGTGTATCGTCCCAACGCGATGCAGACGCTTACGACGCAGACGTCGATGCAGGAGCAGGAGAACGAACAGATTTCGCCGCAGGAAACGCCGCAGGAAACGCCGCAGGAAGCGAAGCCGCTGGATTTGCAGGGAGCGAGCGAAGAGAAGCTTGGAGAGGAAGGGAGAAGCAATGTGGAGACGACTGTGGAGCAGATGAATAAAAGTGGGGAGAATGGAGGTGGAAAGGAAGGAGAGGAGGGGCAGAGAGCGAAGGCAGAACGCGATCTGCAGCGCGGAGAGAGCGCTGGGAGCAATCAGCAGGTGGAGGATGGGCAGAATGGACTGCAGAAGGAGCCAAACGGAGAGAAGGAGGAGAGAGAAGAACGGGAAGGGAAAGGCGAATATGGAGAAGAGCAGGCTGAAGAGGGGCAGGAGTATCAGAATCAGAATCAGAATCAAACCCTCCAGGATGAACAGCAGCAACAGCAACAGCAACAACAGCAATATTTGGATGAGGAAGAGCAATATCAGGAGGAACAACATTACCAAGAGGAACAGAATTATCAGGAGGAACAGCATTACTTGGATGAGCAGCAGCAATACCAAGATGAACAGCAGCAGTATCATGATGAACAGCAATATCTAGAAGAAGAACCGCAATATCAGGACGAGCAGCAATACTTAGATGAGCAGCAACAATACCAAGATGAGCATTATCAAGACGAAGAACCACAATACCAGGATGAATTACCACAGTATCAAGATGAGCATTATCAAGACGAACAACAACTACATTATCAGGACGAACAACAACTACATTATCAGGACGAACAACAATTACAATATCAGGACGAACAGGGATTGCAGTATCAGGACGAACAGCCACAATACCACGATGAGCAATATTTGGATGAGCAATACCAAGAGGAGCAGCCATCACACTATCAGTACGACCAACCCTCCTATCAAGACGACCAACCTCCCTACCAAGACGAGCCTCTGAACACGCAGGAAGACGATTCTCCCGAGAAGCCAACCTCCCAGGGCTATTTCGATTCTCCGCTCAGCCAAGAAGCCGCCTACCGCTTCTCCCAGGAAAACCACCAATACCAAGAACCTCTCGACGCTCCCTTCTCTCCCGAGACCGACCCCAGCGAGCAGCCCAGTCGCTCTGTCTCGGACGTGTCCTCCTCCAAGCTGAGCTTCCCCCTAAACGTCACCACCGAGCTTTCTCCGATTCTGGTCACAGCCGCGCGGCTGGGCGATCGAATCGAGTCGCACCTCGCCTCGAATCGCCCCAGCGAGGACTTCAGTCGCCCCAGCATCGCGCAGCGAATCGAGATGCATCAAGAAAAGGAAGAAATCTCCGCCATCAAAAACCTCCTCGACCAATCCGAGCGCTCGGCCGACTGCAAACCCTCCCTTCCCGCCTATCACCCCGCCCATTCTTCCCTCTCCACCCCAATCAAACGGCCGCTCATCCCTCCGGCCACCCAGCCAGCGCCCATTCCTTCGCTTTCCTCCGCTCCTCTCCCTCCTCCAGCGCCCTCCGCGCCCTCCATTCCCGGTGTTTCCTCGTCTCCGCAGGTGCTCCCCGCTCCCTCGCTCGGCGTGATTTCCTCTCTGGAAAGCCTGAACGTTCCGCAGAAGTATATCCAGCGGATCTACGACTCCTCGAAGAAGTACACGGAGTACGATTTGATCGTCGAGCGGACCAAAGCGCAGGAGCAGGCGCTGCTCGAGCTGAAAACGGCGCGCGCGGTGATCGAGAAGCAGTTCGAAGCGGTCGAAGAGGAGCTTGTTGGTGCCATAGCGAAGCCTGACGAATAGAAAGAGAAGGACGAGCAGATCGAAACGCTGCAGAACTCCCTCGCCGAGCTGACGCAGCTGAACGACGACTACGATCGTGTGGGAAGGGCGGATGTCTAACGCGTAGGACAGCTGCAAGAGACGAAGGAGAAGGCGATCCAAGCGGTGAGCGAAGAATGGTCGCGACGGATGGCCGAAGAGAAGCGAAAGAACGAAGAGCGGATCGAGCTCGCCGAGCAGAAACTCAAACGCAAGCAGACGGAATTGGAGGCGCTGCAGCAGTCGATCAGCACGCTGTCGCAAGAAGTCGAGGCGAAAAACAAGCAGATTCAAGAGCAGGAAGAGCGTCTGAATCAGACGATCATGCAGTTCAAGTGCGTTTTGAATCGATGAATGAGAGGCAGAATGGACTCGCTGGACGTGGAGCACTTGAAGAAGCAGCTGGAGGAGGAGCATCAGCAGCACGAAATCCTCATGGAGCATCAGCGAATCTCGTACTCCTCGCTGCAGTCGCAGTACGACGAGCTGTACAAGCGGTACCAGTCCAAGCAGGAGGAGCTGAACAAACGCGACAAAGAGGCCGTGCTGGCGCGCTATGAGCGAGGCGACGGCGAGGAAATGAAGAGATTGAAGGAGCAGATGGAGCAGTAGGGAAGGAGGGGAGCGCTGAGACGCAGAGAACGGAAAGAAAAGGAGCGGCTGAATCGGGAGATCGCCAGACTCAATGCGGATCTGAGCAATATGGCGGAGAGGGTCCATGAAGCAGAGCAGAAGCAGACGTTCGCGGAAAAGGAGGCGGAGAATGCGAAGATGCACGAGAGTGAGCTGAACAAACGCATTCAGAATCTGGAAGTATGGGTTGGGGATTGGGGTGAGTTGTAGGAGGTGAACGCGAAGCAGAATGCCTATCTAGAGGAGTTGTTGAATTATTATGATGATTTAACAAAGAAATGATCTGTTTGTTGCATTAACTACTACTACTACTACTACTCTACAGGGATCTTTTTGATTGTCTTGTTTCGATCAACATTGTTCTTGCCGATTTTTATAGTTATCACTCCATTGATGTAGGAGCAGGAAATCTTGTTGCAGTCGGTCCCCGAAGGCAAGAGAATCTCTCGATAAAGCGAGCGCTCGGAACGTTCACTGCTAATATACAGAAGTCTCGACTTCAGGGCGGCGAGTTGCCTTTACAATCATGCAGTTGTTTTCAATCGAAATGTCGATGTTTTCCTTGTTTACTCCGGGAGCATCAATGTAGATCATAAACACATTTTCCTCTTCGCTAATATCCATCAATCCATAACCCTGGCTTTGATATCCTCGGTCCGAGCTCTTTGTGTAACGTTCTGACGCACTTTGAGCCGCTTGGCAGAGAGAATCGAACGCATTTCTAGAATTTCCCTCCTGTGTCGCATCGTCTAGAGTGTGAACTTCCAGCCGTTCCTCTACTGAGCTTCACAACTGGCTGCTTCCCTGTCGGTTGAGAAAAGGGGAATGGTTGTGCTGGAGCTGCTTCCTGTTTGATAACACTCTCTTCACCTTTCTTTTTTTGCTCCATATATTTAATTTCTGTTCCTGCTCGAGCCAACACCGTCCAAAGCATATTTGTGAGATGCACTTAATCCAGATATAAAACAGAGCTATTTAAAATTGATTTTCACATGAGTCTCCATTATCCATAATCCTAAAAAAAACTTTGCATTTTGCTATACACACTTATGCATAATCGATTGGCATACAGCATACCAATTTATGACGATTCCTAACGATAAGAAATTTCTTGGAAATTTCTTTTGACGCGGATAAGTGTTTGGGACTTCAAATATAAAATATTTCAATGTCGGAAGTTGAGCCTCAGACTCCTACGAAGAGACAAAAGGTTGGATTTGGTGTTATTTTTGGTTGGATTGTTTCGTTCTTAATCTCTGGTACCTGCTCCCTAATCTTTGGAAAGTTGCTGTAGACAGCAGTATTTTGGCTATTATATGCAGATATCAGACGCAATCAATTGGAAGAGATGGTCAGTACCACCATTTTGAAAAGCCTTGGTTCTCGAATTTCATCATGTTCCTTGGCATGTCCTTCCTTTTCTTCAAGTTTGAAGTAGATACTAATGGATTTCTTGAAGATAGATTAATGCCTGCGCAAACGATCGCAAGATCGCGAAAAATCCGGAGCTTGCCGACAAGATCCTGTATTTCGCTTTATTCCTCCACTTATTGATAGGAACGAGGACAATAAGCGTCCTCAGAAGAGTGTGTATTACAAGGTCCTTTATCCCGCTTTTTGCGACTTTTTGGCCTCTTTCATTATGTTTGTTGGGTTGCTGTGGATCCCTGTATCCATTTGGCAGATGATCCGTGGCTCGATTATTCTTTTTACGGGTCTCATTCGTCAGTACTGGCTGAAAAAGCCTTTGAACAAGTCGGAATGGACCTCTCTGTTCATCATTTTCTTCTCCCTCATTCTGGTCGGAGCCGCGTACTTTCCGCCTCCTCTCCTCACCGCTAGGAGCATCTTCAGTGAGGACACCAGCGCGTCCGAGCCTGTCTCCGCGGGTCTGAAGATCCTCGGCATGTTCCTCGTGTTCATCGCGCAGGGCATCCAAGCCCTCCAGACCGTCATCGGTACGCTTATCCATCCTCTCTCACCGCAGAGGAGCACCTTCTGCAGGGCATCGAGGCCCCTGCGACGATGGTCGTGGGCATGGAGGGCGTCTGGGGCTTCCTGCTGACGGCCTGCGTGGCGCTGCCGATCGCGAGCATTCTGCCCGGCGAGGAGGGCCAGGGCCTGCACGAAGACTTCATCGACAGTCTGATTATGTGGTAGGAACAAGGAGAGAGTGCGAGGGTAGCAAGAACAGCATGACGGTGCTGACGCTGAACGTGCTGTCCGTGGTGGTGCTGCTGGTCTTCAATCTGAGCTCGATGCGAGTGACGCTGGTAGGGGAGGAGAAGGGGAGTCACGCAGTATACCAACTCGCTGGTGCGAAACCTGATGGAGCCGGTGCGAACGTTCCTGGTGTGGGTGACGACGGTGCTGATCCATTGCTTCTGGCCCGCGTAGGGGAGACGACGAGCGCTGAGCCGTAGATTCGGAGAGGGCCTGACGAAGTGGTCGTGGCTGCAGCTGGCGGGATTCGTGGTGCTGTCGCTGGGAATGCTCATGTTCAACGGCACGATCAAGCTCTTCAAGGAGGAGAAGAAGGAGGAGGAGAAGCCGATTATCGATGCGGAGCAGAACGCCGCTGCCGCTGCGTAGGAGAAGAAGGAGGACTGATGGACTCTTGTTTGAGAACAAACACGGACAGACATCATAAATGACACGCATTCTTTCTGATTACTTTATTACGATTTCATGGATTACTACTACCACTCATTCATTCATTCATTCATTCATTCATTCATCGATCGATTGATCTTTGATTCACGCGGCGGGCCGCTTATCCGAACAGATCCGAAATTGAACTCCTTCGAATATCGATCACGCCCTGCTTCCCCTCCTCCTCGCTCCCCTCGTTCTCGTTCTGCTCCTCTCCCCACTGCATGCTGATGCTCGACTGTCTCTGCAGCCCCGTCAGCCGGCTCTTCAGCTCCGCGAACCGCTGCTTCTTCGCCAGCTCGTCCAGATTGTACGTCTGCGCCAGCCCCGCCCTCGACGTTTCGCGCAGCGTGTCCTCGATGTCCTCTCCGGTCATGATCATCGTCATCAGCACTTCATCCAGCGAGATGATGTGGAACGCGTTCGTCATCAGCGCGTACTGCGCGCACTCCAGCGCTCGCGCCGCCGCCATCGCGTTCCGCTCGATGCACGGCACCTGCACCAGTCCCTTCACCGGATCGCACGTCAATCCCAGCATGTGTTCGATCGCCATTCCCGCCGCGTATTCGATCTGTTCCGTCGTTCCGCCCATCAGAAAGCACGCTGCGCCCGCGGCCATCGCGCAGGCCACGCCCACCTCGGCCTGACAGCCCGCTTCGGCTCCCGAAATGGACGCGTTGACCTTGGCGAGATTGCCGATGACGCCAGCGACGGCGAGAGCGTCGATGCAGTCCTCGTCGGTGATGCTGGGCTGGTGCTTGTGGAGGTAATAGAGCAGTCCAGGGACGATGCCGCACGCGCCGCACGTCGGAGCGGTGACCACCGTCTCCCCGCCCGCGTTGTTCTCCGACACGGCGAGCGTGTACGCGAAGAGATACGCGTTCTCCTAGCGATGAGACCGCCGCCCTGCCGCTACGCTCATGAACTTGCTGCTGCGCTCCGCCGCGCGGTACATGTCACGCGCCTTGCGGGGCAGATTGAGTCCGCCGGGGAGCACGCCCTTGCCCTGCAGACCGATCTCCACGCAGCGCTTCATCGCGGTCCAGACCTCGAGAAGATAGGAGTGAATCTCGTCGTCTTCGCTCTGGTAGACGTAGTCGTTCAGCTTGTAGCCCGTCTTGCGGCACCAGCGCATGACCGACTTCATCGTGGAGTATTTGTACACTGGATCGAAGGTCTTGCGGTAGGGACCTTCGATCTTACCCAACTCGGAATCGGTAATGATCGCTCCGCCTCCAACCGAGTAGTAGGTTTCCTGACCGACCTCCTTGTCGTTTTGGAAGGCCTTGAGGGTCATACCGTTCACATGGAAGGTTAATGTTTCATTAGCCTTCCAGATGAATGTGACTTTTTTGGGCTTCAACTCGTTCTCAATGGCCACGTCGGTCATATGTCCCTTTCCCGTAGCAGCCAGAGAACCATATAAAATGACTTCGTAACGATCCGCTTTGTCATCGTACAGTTTTTTGAACGCTTGTGCAGCAAAAGAAGGTCCCATCGTGTGGGAACTGGATGGACCGTGTCCTATTCTATCCGATTACCGATTCGAAACGGCCGTACCTGTAGAGCTCTCGCAGCGAAGGCATGCCATCGGTTTGAGTTACAGAAGTGTAGAAAAGATGACTCGTTCCCTACTAATAAAATCCATCAAACGCGCTCGTACATTCTTTGAGACTAGGCGAATGTAGGTAGGTACTCTTTTCTACACATCAATGGATTCTTACAAGACTTACCACGCCCACACTATCATGAGAAGAAGTTTCTCCAAAAGAATCGTCGGTGTCAGCATCCATTTTGATTTTTTTGAATTGTTTGGAGGTAACAGAAACCAGAGATTGTTATCAATGGCTGATCATACTTCCAGAAGTTTCCACCTTTTGTGTATAATCGGCATTTTGTTATCGAAAGAATAGACGATGTGCCTCCTGTTGAGAGCGACGATTTGTTTCAAGAACACAGACAGAACCGCCATGAATCAATGGATAGCATAGTTTGAGAAATATAGAGAAAACGACCATTCGAACTGATTTTACGACACCACGCTTTAAATCATAATAATGTCGCTTCGATGGGGGGTTTCTATATGGAGGTGTCGGTCCCTTTCTAAGACTCTGAACCAGCCCAAATTCCTTCAACCTCGTCTGTTTGCGACAGCAGTCTCAGAAACCATCATGAAGCAGTTAAAGGATGGATACACGTATTTCACCTCGGCTATAACTCAGTTACAGACGCTATTGTGAACTTTCGACGTTGTTGGAGAAATCCACTGATCTTCCTCGAGACCAGTACATTTCAATTAACCACGAATTGTCGGAGTGGAGCGACAAATATGAATGTTATAAAAAATACCTAGTCTCTATTTTGCTATATCCTTACGTTGTAGAAGATATCGCAAGACATTTTGGATGTGAAAGAACTAATAACCGAAGAGAAAGACAAGGAGATGCGCGAAATGCTGAATGAGGAGTATACCCACCTCTTACAGGAGGAGGAGAAAGTCTTGGAAGAGGCAAACATAATCTCTCTGCCATCAAACAAGTATTGCTGTATCACCCTCTTCACCCCAAGGGAAGATCACAAAAACTGCACGATCGAAGTGCGAGCGGGCGCAGGCGGAGCGGAAGCGTGCCTATTCACCGAAGACATTATGAATATGTACAAAAACTACTGCTCGCTCAAAGACTGGAAATGGAGCGTTCTCAGCTGCAACGCGCCGACCGGAGGCGGGTTTCATTTGTTTGTTGTCGTACCAAACTAGAATCAAAGAAGCGATCATCAAAATCACAGGGGAAGGATCATTCGGTGTATTACGCACCGAGTCAGGCGTTCACGTAGCTTTTCGCTTTATTTCGTTGAGCGTAGCGCGTTCAACGCGTTCCCGAAACAGAAAGCCAGGGACGAATTCACACATCCACAATGACGGTCGCCGTGTTGCCAGAAGTGGAAAACATGGAAACACTCATTCGACCTTCCGATCTCCGCATTGATTTGTTTCGATCGAGCGGAAAGGGCGGGCAGCACGTCAACAAAACGGAATCAGCGGTTCGAATCACGCATCTCCCCACGGGAATCGTTGTGTCCAATCAGGATGAGCGAAATCAGGTGGCGAGCGACGGATGGGAGTGAGGAACAGCATATGAACAAGGCGAAAGCGATGCAGATCTTGGCGATTCGACTGCAGAATCGACAGAATTCGCTGTTTAACGAGGAAATCGATTCGGAACGACGGTCATATCCCTTTGCATTTGATTGGGCGGCTTAACGGACAAACAAATCGGAAGTGGCGAGCGATGCGAGAAGAACCGAACGTATAACTATCCAAATGTGAGGTTGGGAGAGGAATGTGAGGAGTAGAGTCGAATTACGGATCATCGAATTGGCTTGACGCTGTATGGAATGGATAAAATGATGAACGGCGAGCTGCTCGATGAGTTCGCCGTGGCGTTGAAGCAGTGGAGAATCGAGAAAGAGTTTGAAGCTTTGAAGTCCGAACTGTAGTTATTTACACACCTCTCGTTCTGTTTGTTCTCAAACAATCCACATTTCATCCGTTTTCCCGAGCAGCAATTGCTCTTTGCGAGCGGTCGTGAGCTCTTCGTTGCTTTCGTCCACGCTGCTCGACTGCTTCTTCCAGTTCTCCTTCAAGTCCACCGGCTTCGAACTGCTCCTCACGCCCCATCCTCGCAGCATGTAGGAAGGAGCGCACTTCAAAATCTCCGAAGTGTACGCCTTTCGTACGTTCTTCAAAACTTTGCTCCACTCCGTGAGCTCGTTGCTGTAGATCTGATGCTGCAACACGATATTGAAATTGTTCAGATTGATGTGCATCACGCCCTTCGTTGAAATCACGATCTCCACGTTCCCTAGACGGAAATGCTCCAAAAACACGAGACTCGTCGGTCTCTGATCCTTCGGTACGGTCGTTTCCTTTCCCATCGCCTTCCTAAAGCAGCTTTTATCCAGTACGATTCCGCACTTTGTGCAGCGATACCCCAGATTCCGCACATGCGCAATTCGCTTCTTGCACATCGCGCAGACGCCCGGTTGGTCCGTAAAAACAAAGGTATGCTCGCATTGGCCACGCTTTCGCGAGCCGAACAATCCAGAAGAAAGCGTCATCGCGCTGCCCGACCCCATAACGATGCTTCCGCTGCGATTCGGGAGTGGTTTGACCGTGTCTGTGACCGATAAGTACGCGTGGGAGGAGTTTTCGGATGGCTACGATCAAGTGTCGAAAACAAACAAACGTCAGGAGAGTTGTCCGAGCTGTTCTCTCCCGTGGAGAGCTCGAACACAATCGAAGGCCTGCCTTGAACTCGCTTCTTTTCACCCATTTCAGCTTCGGCTTCAGCGCCAATTTCGGGCTCTGCTTCGTCTTCTGCTTCTTTTGCGTCGTTCGAGCGAAGCATCGGTGAGTCCTCATCGTCCGAAATCGCCTCCTTTTCAATCGTTCCGCTATCGGAAGTGCCGTATTCCTCGGGGAAGAAATAGCGAAGCAGCTCGCCCGCGACGCTCGACGTCAGCTGGAACAAAATGTAATAGTGACACCCGGGAAAGACGTTGACGCCCACGTGCTCCAGCACGGTGACGGTCATTCCGTCGCATTTGATGGGTTTTCGCGTGACCGCGATGATTTCGAGAATGTTGTTTTGGTCGTTTTTGTCGCGGTCGAGAATCACAGGATCGAAAATGACTTCCGGAGACTTCCATCGCTGCGCTCCGCCCGAAATCGCGGGGTTAACAATGCGAAGATCGTTCAGCACGATGCTGTTTTCGCTTTTTCCATCGAAACAGAAAACGTGCTCGCCGACCAATCCTCGCAGTGTGGCCACCGCGATCTCTTGATCCTGGCTCGTCAGCAGCGTCCACTCCACCTCCTGCAGATTGTATTTCAGCTTTAAATAGGGCAGCATCACCGAGTCTTCGCGCTTCACCAAGTTGATCACCTTGGCTTCGATCGCTCGCATCACTTCCGAGGATAATTTCTTCGCGTTTCGAAGCGCCGCCGAGGAATCTTCCGACTTGGTTTCGTCGTAGATCGGGTTTGTAGGGTTCACTAAAAGCGTGAATCGGATTACGTTGAGGAATCGGTAGAACTCCTCGCCGGTCATTCGAACGGAAAACGCGCCGATCGTCACCGAAACGCGACTCACGCGATCATTGCGGCGAATCTCGGGGATCGAAAGCGAGGGGAGCCATCCGTTCTCGCTTCGCGTTTGCATGGAGAGAGAGAAGTCGCGGACGATTCGCTTGAATGATTTGGAGCGAACGCTGTCGATCTCGGGATCGAGAGAATGGAGGTTTTTGTGCTCGACCCAGGGCTTCTTGAACGATCGTCGATCGCCGAGATACAAGTCCACGCGCTCAATCGAAGAGCTCAGCAGGTAGCAGTCGCGCTTCTGCACCACGAGCGTGCCTTTGTAGAGATACAGCAAGAGAGACGCGCCGGTTGCTAAGGACGCGATGTGAATCTACGCGTTCATGAAATTAGGAAACATCCACTTGGGAGTCTTTGAACATCACATCCAGCAAGAAATCTTCCTTTTCTCGCTTCTCTTCGCGTTTCGCGACCCATTCCTCATCCGTGTACACCAACGTCGTCGCCTCCTTCTTCCCTCCATGCGTCGCTTTCTTCCGCAGATACGTCAACAGCGGCGGTTCTTTTCGTCCCTGCAATTGCTGCACTTCCTGCAGCTGCCGCTCTTTCATGTCATAATACACTTGCTGGCGCAGCAGCGGAAGCTTTCCCGTCTTCGCTGCCGCGCTCACAGAGCGCACACTCACCATTCGATCGAGCAATTGGCGACGTTCGTGATCGGAAGGACGCGTCGTCGAGTGCCCAATGCTCCGCTGGAGCGACTCCGGACGGGACCGATAGATCGTCGTGCTGTAGCGAAGCGAGTCGCTCAGGTTCGGGCGCTGGAAATAGCTCGACTCGCTGCGGTACAGCCCGCCAGGCGTGATGATCGATCGGTTGATCATCGGGTCGCGCCGGAAGGACGGGTTGCGCGGGTAGAACGTCGACGACATGCGCAGGTCGCTCGCCGTCTGCAGGACCGGCGATTTCCGGAAGCCCACAGAAGCGATCCCGGAATTGCCCAGACCTCCGGAAACGCCCGGAAGACTCGGCATTCCGGAAGTTCCCGAGGCGTTGAGCGCGTTGAAGGGCTCCGAAGCGGTGAAAGGCGGCGTGGGGCTGGGATTAGAGACGGAGGAAGGCGTGTAGAGAGGCGATGTGGCCACGACGGGCGTTTTATTCGCAGTCGTGGAAACCGTGGAAACCGCGGAAACATCCGGAGTGGTGGAAACGTTGGGAGGAGGGATGGAGTCGGTTTCGGAGGCGGGGGCGGGGGTTCGAAGCGCGATGGATCGATAGGTGCCGCGAAGATCGTTCATAAGCTGCGAATGAAACGAAGAACCGAATCAAACCATCGTGAGTGCATCGCGAATGTCCAGCGAGTAGATCAGCTTCAGCTCCTTCACGAACACAGCGGCCTTTCCTTCGCTCTTCTCCGCGATTTTCCCGTTGAGTCCTTTGATTTTCTCCGCGTACATCTCTGCGATATCCTCATCAAAGCCGGAAGTCGCCGTGTTGACTCCCTGCAGAATCCCAACTTTCGACACCCGGGCTACTAAAATGGGGGATCGCACGCTCTCTAACGGAGTCGATCGCGTCGCACCGGGAATCAACACCGCAGGCTCGTCGATCGTGAGATAATTGAGGACGCAGTCCTCCATTTTGCAGTAGATCCGAGGGAAAATCCAGTGCGAATCTTTGTAGACTTCGTAGTTGTACTTCAGTTTCGAATAATCCGGTTTTTCTCCTTGATTCATGGATCCTTTCGCGCCGTTTTTCTCCAAATAGCGAGGCAGGAGTTTATACATTGTGACCGAGAAGTCGTTTCGTTTCACTGCGAAGTTGAATCCGCTCACACTGGAATCATCCGTAAATCTATTCATCACTCACTCCACGTCTCTCCCTACAGCCAAAACATGCTATCATTCAAATTGAAATCCACGTCGAACGCCGTGCTGTTTCGCGATAAACCAGGCGTCACATCCACAGGGAACTGCGGATTCGGTTCAAATACCATATTCCAGAAGTCCCACAAGAAATTGGCCATTTCGAGTCGGCCATAAATCGAAACACTGTATTGTTCTGCATGAACGGGAAGGAGTTTCATCTTCCATTCGATGGTATTCGATCGATAGCGTCCGTATTTGTCGACATCGTCAGAAACAGCCGGATCCAACTCGACGTAATGGTTTCGAGTGTCTTCGTTTCCCCAGAGAATGGAAACATCAAACGCTCCGCCTTCGATTTCGATCAACAACGTCTCGACCAGCTGCTTCCGCGAGTCAAACGTCGACGTTCCGATCGAAAACGTATCGAACGCGATGTTGCAGCCTCCGTACTGTCGAAACACCATATCCGCGTTCATAAAATCAATCAGTAAAGCTTCGTACTTTCCATCGACCTCTTTGTTCGTGATCCAATTCACTCGCAATTGGTCATGAACGCGAATAAACATCGGACCATGCACTGAAAAACGGATTTTATCATACCAGCACATCTTGGGCGATTTGCTCACGCCGCGCGGAGTCAGATCCCCCATCCCGTTCGCAAAGCTCGAGCGGACCCAGTACAGCGGATTGCCCCAGAACACTTCCAGCTGATTTCCTTCTATCACCAAGTTCTGATAGAACTTCGTTCCCACGGAACATCGTAAAACTTCCACCGGAATCGGATCGAACGTCGTCGAGCAATACAACTGCACGACTTCCCTGCGGACATACCGCTCCACGCGGTTCATATCTGCAAATACGCACGTTCCACACGCCGAAAGCCCTTCGCCCGCAACCAAAGGAGGCAGTTCGCCGAAATCGACGAGCACTTTCTCGACATTCAAATCGTGAATGTGGAATCCCAGGACGTCATCGAAGCCCTGCTCGACCGGCGTTTTCGCTTCGTCCATCGCCTGCATGAAGCTTAAGAAATGCGCGCGGCTGTGCAGCTGCGGGTTGTAGAGCAGAACGCCGTCCACACCCGTGACAAAAAGTCGGGAATACTCGACAGACTCGGAAGAATACGCCGCAATGATGTCCTGCAGTCGAATCACCACCGAATTCGCGACCAACTGAATCCAAATTCCCCCTTTCTGCACAATGTTCGAATCGAGCGCTGCGTGTTCACTAACCTTCGCAGCGCGCTCTGCGTCGGGATGAGGGAAAAGCGGCGGCGGTCGCTGCCCTTTTCGGATCGTTTTGAAGGCCTTCCATTGGAGCTGCGCCTCGTAGATCAGATCTCCCCAGGCAAACCGATGATCCTGCAGACAATCGGCGGACTCCACGAGGATCACATAGGGCTTGATGCCATCGGGGATGTGCGCCGTGTGCTGGTTGCAGCGATTGTCCCAGCCATTACATTCCTTGCTGAAATCGTGCTTTGAACACGTGGGACATGTCATGTATCGCTTGCAGGCCAGGCACTTTCCGCAGCAGCAGATTTGCGTGGACAACGTTCCGCTGGAATAGCCGTCCATGGAGCATTTACCGAGCGACGAGAGGTAGAGCTTGTCGTACACAGAGGGCGAATAGAGCGTGATCTTGTCGAGCGTCAGCATGAGACAGACCAGAACGCTTTCCTGGAGTTGCGAGATTTGGAGATTGGAGAGAAGAAGAAGCGGAGACAGGACGGAGTCGGGAGTAACCGCGGTAATTTTTTCGATCTCGACGCGTAGACCGACTTTCGGAGTGAAGTCGAACAGCACGATCAGATCGATGAGCGACGCGCAGAAGCGGAAATCCAAAAGGAACGAAGATCGGTTGACCTTCGGAGATGTCGGAGCTTGCTTTTTGAAAGACGCCAGAATGGATCGGATCGAACTCGCTTTAATCGTCTCAGCGAGCTCCATGAACGAATGGTAAATCACAAAGATGGAGCCGAAAGAAAGCTTCATGCGAGGCCGTTCGATGTGAATATGGAACTCGTTCAAGTCTTGATTGTTGGTCGCGAGAAGCACAAAGCTTTGATCTCCGCGCGAAAACCCATTGAATCCGCCGAGCGATGAGGATTGGTAGTGCGATTGATTCAGCATAAAGGCGAGATCGTTGCGAGGAGGAAGCTGCGAAGAAGGAAATGAAAGGAAGAGAAGCGTGGGTAGCGAGATTTGGATTCGGGGGATCGCGACAGGAAGTCGCGTTTGCGATGAATTGATCCGCCCACTGTCGATTTGGGAATAGTCGGTCGCTTCGTGCGATCCTTCGTCGCCAATGATGTTCAAATTCGAAATATCGATGCTGAGAATGTATTTCAATCCTCCATTTCGAAGAAACGGCATGGAAGAAGAATGCATGGTGTAGCTATTCATCGAGAGTAAAGGCTGGTGCTGCCGCACATTCTTCCGCATTGTGACAGGAAGAATCGGGATCGAGGGAGGCGAAATTTCCGAAGACACGTCCGGAATCATCGAGAGATCGATTCCGGGACTGGACAAAAGACTGGCGTTCGATTCATTGATTGGCTGCAACATCGGAACGGCTCTCTGCGCATCGTCTCCTTCTCGATTGATCGTGGAAGGCACTGTTGAAAGCGGGTTGTTCAGTAGTGGCTCGTTGCTTGCAGTCGCGGAATGCGGCGATGAATATATCGGCATATTGGAGAAGCTCGCTTCGTTGAATCCCGTATACAATCCATCGACTGGAATCTGCGGCGACGACGACGCCTGCGTGAGAACCTTCTCCATCGATTCGAAGGTCTGCGAGACCACCGTGACGCTGATGCATTTCATGGTGTAGCTCGTGCTGTGCGAGAGATCCTTCCCGATCACCTGGATCTCGATATTGTTCAGCTGAACCGTCAGGTTGGTGAGAAACAGCGGACAGAAGCGATAGCCCTGACTCAGGATCGCTTCGTCGGCGCCGTTCTCATTATCAGACAGGTAGATTTCTTCGTCGGACGACGCGGAAATCGCCTCGAATGGAAGGTTCTTTTGGGGAGACGCATGCGCTGAGATCTCGTGAAGCGACCCATCGAGCGACGAAGAAGACGATGAGTCTTGATGTGTAAACGGAGACCCCGAGATCTCCATCTGTGTCAAATCCGCGATTTCGTTCAATCCATCCGGGAGAAACGATCCATTTAGCAAGTTCTCCAGAAAGATCGCGTCCTCGTCCGCTTCGCTCATCGGCCGAATCGGCGTCTGCGGCGTAACGCCCGACCCAGAAGACAGATCCATCGAGTAGAACGACGCGGATTTGGGGAGCGAATCCTTGCGATGTTGCACGTAATCCGCGATTTCTTGGAGATATTCCTCGGCTAGCAGAACCACCATATCGACCACCGAATACGAAAGAGCCACGTTGCACGTTTTGCTTCCGCACTCCACAGAGAGACGCTCCCAGTTCGAGAGAATGGAGGAGATCTCGAGGTTTTCGAGCGAGAAAATGTGCTCGGAACAAGGAGGAATCGCGAGCGTTGTCGCCGAGTTTCGAAGAATCAGACGGAGCGTTTCGCGCGAAATCGGGACGTTTTTGATCCCGAACGACCCGATTTTGAACTGGAAATCGTGACTGAACGAGAGAATCGTCTCGACGGATGACCGCGTTGGAGAGGGGAGGAAGCTACACGCGATGGACTGCCAGACTGCTTCGATCAGCGGTGTGGGATGCGACCAGGAGGCTAAAAACCCGATCGAAATTTCCTCGATTCGGAAATCGAATTTGAGATGGCATTCGCGACAGAGGGAAGAGACCAAGGGCCAGAGCGGCTTCTTGCGACGAGGAGGCGATGAGAGAGAAGCGAGCGAAGGTTTGGAGGCGACGGATCGGGGTTTGAATTGATGAAGCATCGATTGGAGGTAATCGACGGTTCGAAGAATCGACGGAACCAACACAAACGTTGTTTTTTTATGATTGTAATTGACAGAAAGCGAATCGAAACGCGTGTGCGTGTGATGGAGTTGGCAGCACGTATTGATCTAGGGAACAGACAGCAGCCAAAACGACTTCGATTCCGTTACACGTCAGATACAACGATTCGAATTTGGTCAGTTCCAAACTGAAATTCACACCCGTCGGCTTCGAATTAAAACTATTGAAGAGCGTCTGCAATGAACTCCGTGCCTCACTCCCACTTCGTTCTTTAGATTCAGTCCAAACGCGATGTGAATCGAGTTGTGGTCCACGTTCCCCGACTTCTCCGCGTTCAGCAAATCCACCAACACGTTGGGCAGCGCGACTTCGATCGAATGCGGCAGTTTCTTCAGGGTGTTCGATATTTTATCCAGCAGCTCCACCTGCAGTTGCTCGAGCGAGATTTTGTCCTCCTTCTCTTCCGAGCTCCTTTCGCGTTTCTGGAGAGGCGAGGAAGCGACGGGTGATTGCTCTGCCGTCGGAGCCGGCTTTCTATTCCTCACGATTCATTCAATGCGTCACATAATCTTCAATACAGCGAAGACTTGGCGATGCAGACTTTGATCGAATCGCAAATGAATGCTGTCTCCTAAGTTCAGAATACACTGCTTCAGCACCATGACGTGCGAGAATTCCGCTGTGAGACGCAGCCAGAAGTTCGTAATCACGATGTTTGGCTGGTTGCCGAATTCGTTCTCGCGATTGTTCAAAGAGATGTTGGCAATCTTGAGGTTGGCCGAGTACGAGGAGGACGGAGTCAGCTGTGCCGTTCCGTTGACAACGACGTGACGGATGATGAGCTGGAGACGAGTGGGGAAGGAATCATCTCCAACGGACAAAGAAATCTTGTTGATTCGAAAGTCGAAAAGACGGAGGATCGGAAGGAGGAAACGGGGGAACGAAGGCTCTGAGGATGGAAACAAGGAATTACAACTACTGCTCTTTTCCTTCTCGATGGGAGGGGATGTTGGCGTGTGAACCGGGTTCACTTCCTTCCTGGCCTTCGAAGGGGAATTTTCAGGAGCTTGAAAAACTGTTCCCTGATTCATGTCAACTTTGCGTCGAGCTACTACATTCACCGACAATGAGTCCACCTCCAAGATGAATGGAGACGACACGGCGAAATCAAAAAAGGCTTTTTTGAAATTTGTCTGGATAGAAAGACCCTTTAGATCAACAGATAGACCAAATCGCTTTAGAAGCGACGACTGATCCAAATTTTTAAAAGAGAATTCGAAAGGATAGAGCTTCTTGTAAGTTATAGAAAACCCTTTCTTTCTCAACAGAAATATATCAACACACCATACAGCTACACGTAAGAAGATTAAAAATAGGAAAAAAAGAGTAGTCAAGAGGATTCCCAGCCAACCCCAGAAGTGTACTCCAAAGGCTTTGGCTCCATAGTAAAGACTAACGAAGGCCGTTACAATGAAAACGATGGAAATCTTCATGAAAGAATGAAACCCATTTCCAACAAACAGATTACCATGTGGAGGGATCCCACCTCAGCATCATTTTTATTACTTCCTCAATATTCGGTCTGTCCTTCTTATCCCTGTAGCACTTGGTAATCACTTCGCTCACCTCTACAATTCAATCCTTCCATTGCTCCCGACCTCTCGGCACGTTCGCTGGAATCCCGGGTCGGAATCCATCTTTCAATAACTTATACAACTACCCATCAAAACCCGATCACAGTTCCACTTCTGCCTTATCCCGAATCTTCCTCTCGCTCCAGCAGCGCATCTCGCTAACCACCTCGCTGATAATGCATCCAAAACTGTAGACATCGGCCTTGTTGGACGCTTCCTCTTGATTCACGATCTCCGGCGCGATTCTTCGTCCCATTCCAATCGAATTCGTACGTCAACGGCGTCCCCACCGTCGTCATGAAGATGCTGCTCTGGTTCTGGAGCTCGCGCGAGAGTCCGAAGTCGGCAATAAGCGGATGTCCGTCCTTGATCAGAATGTTGTTCGTCTTGAGATCGCGATGAATGAACCCGAACGTGTGCATCCACGCGATTCCCTGCGCGATCTCCACCAGGATCTGCATTTTCTGCTTGTTGCTCAGTCTGCGAGGGGAGTGCGAGCAACGAAATCCTACTTTTTGGAGTAGGTCTGCGTGACGACATCGAGGGAGTAGTCGGCGAGTTCCAGAACGAGAATGTATTCCGTCTGGTTCCCTTTCTCACAGCGAGACACGCCGTAGAGAGGGAGGATATTCTTGTGGCGGATTTTTCGCTGAATGCTCGTCTCTTTTTTGATTAACTCGTAGTTCACGTTCGTATACAAGACTTTGAGGGCGACATCCATTCCTTTCCAGGTTCTAGGGATGAAGGAATAGATGAAGAGCAACCCTTGGTAGACAGTGGAGTAGCCGCCTTTGCCGATTGGCTTACCAAACGTTAGCTCCTCGTATGGAATCTCGGTGTAGGAGTATTTCGAGACATCCTCGGGGTCCTTAATCGTCATATGCGAGGGATCAAACTGGAAGCTGTCAATAATCTTGTCAAAGAGTTCCACAAACCGGGAATCCTAGATCAATAACAGTGAACGACAAACTACATTCCCCCATGTCATAAAATCGTTTACACATATTCTCCCATCAGAGTGAACTAATGTTTGATTCAAAAGATGAAAACCTAGATGAAATGATAACAATAGTATAAAAAATACGCTCATAATGAGTATCGACCGTTATCTGTGGAGGTTTCTCAAAGCAGTGAAGTAAAGGCACAGAAAACAAACAAGGGACAAAATGTTGCATACATTCTTTGTAAAAATGAATATATATATTAAAGATCCCAAGGATATCCCCGTCCTCAGTATTCTCTAGTCATTAACTATCATCCTCGGACAAACCCAAAGAATAACTATTCAAATAGATTATATTTTTCTTTAACAGACAAAGAATTTGTTTATAAAACTGAAGAGCCTACTTGTCACAAACCTACGTAAGCTTTACATTTGCATTGTTTATTTTCTTTATATCCACGGAGAGACTGCGAACGAGTTCAGTAAAATTCATTTAAGAACAATAGTAAAACTAAACTGAAGCTTCTACTCTTGTAACAGCACATTGGGATCGTACACTTTTACTTCACATGCATAAAATATATAACACGAAAATAGATCACCGTGTTCCACAGTTGTCTAACAAATCTTTCTTATGAATACAAGTACTGAGCTACTAGTTGGAAAGGATATTCAGTGGTGTACAATCGAGCAAGTTATTTCGTTCTTGGACACATCGCATCGTCCATCGTTGCGACTCGTATCAAAGGACTTTGACGAGTTTATTATGGGCGTATTCATATAATTTCACCATTTCCTTTTAGTTATTCACCAAAATAATCCTTTGTCAAACCACTGAAGATCTACCTCATTTGTTTAAGAACTGTCAATCGCTAGTTTATCTTGAAGGTATGGTAGAGAAATGATTTGCACCTAGTGAATGGTATTTCGAAGCCGTTGGACGTATCTCGCATCTGCCAAGTGTTGGAAGACGGAATTCTTCCAAATCTGCTAACACTGGACTTTCAATGTGGGTTAGACTTTCCCAAATTGTTATTCTTGTGTAGATAGTCGAATTACAGATCGCAATATTGTTCATTTGTTCCATACACTTGAAACGGGTTGCTGTCCACACCTGAATACTATCCGTTTAAGCAACAATGCAATGGGTGTAGCCGGAGCATCTGCAATGGCGTCTTGTTTGTCCCTAGGCGTATTAAACGAAATTAAAGAGATTGACCTCAACCGTACTTCTATTTCTACCCTCTACTGATGCTACAGATAACCTCATCTTCGCTGGTGGAATCAAGAAGATCAGTCGGGCGTTTATGAACTTTCACAGCCGCAATCTGGAAGATGTCAACATTTCCAGTGCGCTCGTTTTCACAATTCGATTGTAGGATGTCATTTAGCCAATCCAGGAATTCGATTTTTCTGTGAGTCAATGAATGGATGTCCCTTAATCACGCTGCGAAGTCTACGACTCTATTGGAATAGCATCAACAGCGGTGGAATCAAGCATTTAGCATTGTCGATCTCTCTGGGGATTTTGGATTCCCTGGAAGTTCTAGATATTTCCAAGAACCCGATCGGATGGAAGGGGATCGAGAGGCTTACGGAGAGTGTAATGCGAGGCAACCACCTTCCTCACTTGAAAGTATTAATGATGCACTGTAGGATCAACTGGGTTGAACACGAGTTGTAGCTTGCAAATTGAGGACGAAAGGGATGCGATGGACGGGCATTATGATTCGTTTTTTGAGAGAGATCGAAGTGTTATCGATTGGAAGTGAGGAATTGGAGTGGACTATAAAATATGCAGATAACAACATCAAGGCAAAAGGAATGAGTTATTTGGTGGAAGGAATGAGGCGTGAATCCTTCTTTTTACCGCGCCTTCGTATTCTAGATCTTACAAGTATGAGAAAATGGCTTCTATTTTCCTGTAGATAACAAGATAAAGCAGGAAGGAATCGGATACCTCGTTGAGATGATCCAGAATAACAACTTCCCAAACCTGGAAGAGCTTTCTCTTATCAGTAATGACATTCGAGATGAAGGGTTGTTGAAACTCATTGCCATGATGCGATACGGCTTTCTTCCGCACCTGAAAACCATCTATCTCTCAGATAATAAGCTCCGCGATGAGAGCGTTAAGCAGCTAACGGCAGCTCTCGCAGCTCGGAAACTGGCTGCGAATGCAGAACTCTATCTGGGATGTAATAAGCTTTCGAGCGGTGTAGTCCAATCGCTGGTCTCGCTTTTGTATCTTCGACCTGAGAGTCAGGATCCTCCCTTGAAATACGTCGTTTTAGAAAAGAGTACTCGGTTTTTTTTATGGAGAGGATGATCGATAGAACGCAAAGAGATCCCGGAACGCCTGATACAGAACGCTCTGGCAAACCCCACAGCGTTTTCTGTTTGTTAACAAACACCCAAAACCCAAAATAAACCAATTAATTACCAAGTCTCGGTCTCTGCCACTAACTGCATCTCCGCGATCTTCCACTGCATGATATTCAGCTCGTCATTATGTTCCTGCTGCAGAGCCATATAGTAGTACATTTTCTTGATCTCGTTGGGATTTCCCTGCACCACCGCGCCGGTTTTATCATACACGCAGTCGACCATCTGCACCGTCACCAGATAAAGGAACGTCGGGCACTGGCGATCGACGATCTTCGCGCTCTACCACTCATCCCTTCCCCGTTTCCTCACCTCCAACTCCACATCGCGGACCTCCATGATCGTCTTGTCCATCTCCAATCCCTCCGCTTGCTGCATTTGGATCACAGAATTGACCTGCGCGAAGGCGTGGTCGTTCATCACCAACCGCAGCGTCGCTGTGTCCTGATTGACCCACGCTTTCATCATCGACGGCACGATCGATCGCTTCATTTCATCGCGCAGAGCTTCTTCGAAGAAGCTCGGATCGGTTCGCTGCACTTCGCGAACCGTCTTCGCCATGTCGCTCTCAGCGAACAACTCGTCATACACCGCGGTCATCTTGTAGATGAACGGGTGCTGCGATGTGTTCCACTTCTCACGCATGTCTTCGGCGGCATACGTGATCGTTTCGCCGAACTTGGAGTCCTTCACCTTGTTCGACATCTCCAGAAGCGACTCAATCAGCGGCGCGTCTTTCAGCAGATCGGCGATTTGCGCCCACAAATTCTCGGAATTGTCCACATTCATCAGCTCGGTCTTGAGCGGCTTTCCTTCCTTCTCCGCTTCTTCTTTCATCTTTTGAGCTTCATTGCGAGCATCCAGAATCTCTTGGCGTTGACGGTCCACTTCCTCCTGATCGAAGATGACGCGGTTCTTCTTCTGCGAGTCGTTCACGATATCGTTCCACCCGTCTCGGAAGAAATGCTTCACTTTGTCCAGCGTCAGCTCGTGCAGCTTCACCTTCATGCGTTCCTTCGACTTGGAAAGCGTTTCCGACAGCCGCATTTTCTTCTTCTCGTAGTTCTCCGCTTTGATCTGCTTCCGCTTAGCCTCACGGCGAATCTCGTCCGCCTCTTCTTCGCTCATTTCGGGAGTGATACCCAGCGCCTCGTCGCTCATCGGATCCAGTTCCTCCTCTTCTTCATCGTCTCCAGCGGCTGCTGCCTCCGCCTCCAACGATTCCACCGACTCAAATCCCGAAGTGGAAGCAGAAGCAGAAGCAGAAGTGGAAGTAGAAGTAGACTCACCCGACTCCGTTGTAGTTGTAGTCGTGGTCGTGGTCGTAGACTCGGTTGAACTAGGAGACTCGGTAGAAGTGGTCGTGGTTGTGGCTGCTGCTGTGGCCGTTTCGGGCTTCACAGCCTTCGCGGCGCGCTTTCGGGGAGTTTTCTTGGCCTTCGCCTTTGTCTGCTTGGACGGTTTGATGTTTAATTGCGATTTCAGCTAGATGGAAAGAGAGACAGAGTCATTACCTCCGTGCTGAATTCGCCCCAGAAAGAGGAAAGGGCTTCCTTCTGCTTGCTCATCTGCTTTTTCGCTTCTTCGGTAAAATCGTTCATGCTCTCCTTCAGCTTCTGAGACGAACTGTCCATCGCCTCCTTCACTTTGTCCTTTCCACTCTTTGTGTTTTCTTCCTTTGCACCCGAATCAACTTTGGGTTCTTCTGTGTTCGTTTCCGTCTTTTCGGCATTCTCAGCCTCGTTCTTTACAGCTTCTTCGCCTAGATAAGCACCAACAAGTATCATTCATACCTTCTTTCGCAACTGCATTTTCTGCCTTCTGTTTTGCCAAATCTTGCAAAGCTTTCGCATATTCTTCTTTGAAGGTATTCGCAAAGTCAGAGAATCTCCCAAAGTAGCGCGCCTACACTTAAAAGAGAAAATGAGTACGAACTTGTACATACATATTGTTCACTCCCATGTTCATGACGGGATAAGGCGCTTCCAATCATTCAAAATAAAAATCCCCTACCCCTTACTAATAAGGACGTTCTGACAAGATGCTGCATAGCAGGAATTCTTCTTGTAGTAAAGCCTAAAGCCCTCGATAGCATCGCTCTACCTCAGTCGAAAGTTATTGTTTTTAAGAAAAAAGAGAAACGGTCAGTTACCACGTTTCGATTATTCTTGGTTTACAGGAATGAGGGTTTCATATTCGTTATATCATAGTGCAATAGGATTGTTCCAAAGAGTTTTCACTCCCTTCAGAAATAATGTGTTGCTTTCCGTATTTGTTTGCAGGTTCGTGTGTGTTGTATACCCATGCAACAATGAAGTTAGGGCATTTTGATCCAACGTTCCCTTGAATTGTGGGATCCCACGATTTTCCACATTTGAATTGAGTGGTTTTGATTCAATTGAAAAACAACTATGAACGATAACAAGCAACAATCTACGGCTGTTGAACTCGGATTTTTGGTATCTCCGGAAGACAACTGGCATGTTTGGGATTCTGCCAAATTCGGAGGAAAGCCTTATTGGCTCGTTCCAGAGCACATCCCCGGATGTGACGATCTGAAGTGTCAATTCTGCGGAAAGACGATGTGCTTTATGATGCAACTGTATAATCCTTGCGATGATAACGAGAATGCATACCATCGCAGTATATACATTTTTGTATGTAGAAATCAGAAATGTTTGGAGAAGGGAAGGTATCCTACCTAATGGTCTGCTATTTTATATAGTGTCTGTGCGTGGAGATGTCAGCTTCCACAGAAAAACCCATATTATCCCGAGGATGTCGATTCTGTTGTCGATGACAAGTATTTTGACGCCTCTTGTAGCTATAGTCCTCTCCATTACGGAAATCACCTGTGCTCTGTATGTGGTATCAAGGCAACGAGCAAATGTGCCAAATGTAACACCTACTACTGCAGCAGAGATCATCAGGTGGCAGCCTGGAAGAACGGACATAAAGAATCGTGCGGGAAAGACACGAGTGGTTCTCAAGGAGACAAAGACTCTGTGTGTCCTGGGGTTCAGTTTCCTCATTGGGAAGTCGAAATTTTCCCGGAGCCCGAGCCAACCAAGGAAGAAGTCCTCTCCGAACAAAAGGAAAAGGAGCGTTTGCAGGCCTTTTCCTCTCAAAAAGGCGAACTCCGTAGCTCTCTGCTCTCTACTTCATGATAGAGATCTCGGACCAAGACATTCGCGATGCGTTAGGCGGCCGAATGGCGGACGATCCCGTCCATCTCCATTTCAACAAAGTCATTGAGCGAGCGAGTACGCAAGTCCTTCGACTGAGTCGATGGAACGACGACAAGATTTTATGGGCGAACGGAGGCACGATGCTTCCGCTCGATCGCGTTCCGTGCTGTCCGCTTTGCAAGCAGCCGCGGAAATTCGAGTTCCAAATCATGCCGCAATTGATTTATCTGTTGGGTTCGGACGGGAAGAACAAGGAGGAATATCCGGAGATCGACTTTGGATCGCTTGTCGTGTTTACGTGCTGCTCGTCGTGTGCTTATATCCTTTGAATGATGAGAATGCTTGGTTTGCTTCATGGAACTAGCGAAAGAAGCGACGTATGCGAAGGAATTCGTGTATTTCCACTCCCATTACTCGCAGAAAGATATCGAGGAAGTGAAGGAACAGCTGAAGATGCTGGCTTCGTAATCTTCATGATGGTTTCTGGTTTGTTGTTTTTATTTATCGATTGTTTGTGTAAACAAAGGATGGATATGTAAGAGTAATTGTTATTCCATTTTCAATTTAAGAGCATATTTTAAATGAAACGTAAATTGGAGAACGTACATAAAAAACACACAAAAGAACAAAATGCGAGGCAAGAATCGAATAACCGTTTACAAAAGTACGAAAATAATAAGTTGAATACTTGATAATACTAATAACAGTTTCAATAATAATAATAATAATAATAATAATAATAATAATAAAAACGAGAATAAAAATAGTAATGATAATGATAATAATGATAATAATCAAACCAAAGAGAAATAGTAATCAATGACGATCATAATGACAATGACAATAACAATAATAATAACAATGACAATAACAATAACAATAACATTAAATTCATAAAGATAATAATATAAATAAATATCCATAAATCAGCAATAAGATCAAAAGCATAACATAATTCCATAATATGCAAGACATAAACCAACATACATAAAACCAAATTGTCTGGATCGCCCTTTCTTTTAGTTCATAGAACTTGTAACCTCAATCTGTGATTCATCCCCTTCGTTTTTTTTCTTTTCAGATTCATCGCTAAGCTTATTAATAATACGGAGAATCTCAGATCGTAATTTGTTCACAGATCCCACTGAAAAGTGGAAAAACGAAAAGAGCTTATTCGTTTTCGTAAGATTGAAAGTAATCGGACCAGCTAAATCGAACGATCCATAATGAGAAATCAATTTCTTTGCGTATAGCAGCATATACAAACCGCTATCCTCTGACTCTGTATTCTGGAGTATCTCAGGAATCACCAAAGGCAACGCCTCGAAGCCAATCATCGAAGAAAACTCCAGATCGTATTTGTTCATCAATTCCGAAATAAAGCACCGTATTTTTGCGGTAACCGGAGTGAGCAATCGATGAACCGAATCGATCCATATGATAGATGGCTATGCTTGAAAAGCTAGAGATATCCTACGAAAAAGAAGTCAACATCAAGCAAGGGACTCTTCGGAATTTTCCTTGGACGCGTATACAGTGGTCTTAATTTCGATAATCCCAAGTTCCTTCGTCGACTTTCGATAGGACTCTCATCTCTGCGAAGCTTACGCTTCACAGGCTGACGGAAGAGAGGCATGATGTGTTGGCATTTAAAATAGTCAATTCCAAAATAACATTTGCGATCCTGAATGTATCTTACGAGGTGTTTGAAGTGGCAAATAACGAGTAAAAAACGATGATTGCTAGTGATTATAAAGAGTTCAATACAAAGCTATACTTTGAAGTGATTGGGAACAAGAGATGCTCCTTCTGAAAGATTGCTTCTTTTATAGGATTATGAAGCAGAGATGTGTTCGTTTTCTCGTCTCTTTTCTGCGGATCACAAGATTACCACTTTGATACCGCGTAGCCGCGACAGAATTGAAGGTAAAACGATGTATTGAAAGCGTAGAAACGATTGATCACACTTTGCACAATGACTTGACGAAACTTCTCGTTCTTGTTCAGCTCGCTCACTGGAGTGCTCAGATAAGAAGAGACATCAGAGGGTTCGACCCCAAGCGACTTCAGCTGACTGTCAATATAAGAAGAAATATAATATAGTAAGTAGAAGTTAATAATAGTATCGTTTATCATTTCTCCTTTTTCAACGAGAGACTATGTCAAAGAGTATCCCTACACCAACCCGATCGTTTGACGTGACATCAATGCTTGATTCGAAATAGGGAGATTTGTACGTAAATAGCAACTTGTTTGACTGTTCCCTTAGTTTAGTTTCTTCATTCATCCTCTTCAAATCTTGTACTCTAAAGTGTCACACATAATACATATTCATATACGTAAAATAGCGATTTTCCGATTGGTTTTTTTCCAAGTCCGTACTACCGTTACCATTACCACCAACATACTCATTCGTGTCTTCAGGGATTAAGCTCTTCTCGACTGCGATGGGATCGGATTCTATGGTATTAGGAAGAAATAACGTCATTACGTTGAATGCCACTACTATTCATAGTAAAGTACACTGGTATGCAGAAAAGAGAGCCAAAATGTTAGTAAAAAAATACTAAATGCATAAATGGTAATCGAATAAGTCCCCATTTTTGTCAACACACATTCTATTTTACTTAAAATTGAAAAGCAGCACGAAAGAAGGAATTATTTCTATGTCTAGAATCATTTCCTGACTGTTCCGACAAACTGATCAAATGCCCATGATTCCCTTTTTATGCAGGCTTCCATACTGTTTTACATCAGGAAAAACAAAACGGAATTACGTTCAAAAATGTGATGATTCTGACTTCCCTTTCTTTCTCCCGAATTTGCTCGTTTTCCTCTGCTACAAGGATGGTTCTACTCACTGACCTGCTTCGATTGGAAAGAAACACAATTTTCGATTCAGCTGAAGTGGAAACCAAGGGTCATATTTTGGAATTCTTTTTATGAAGTGTCTTCGTGTGGTCGTTTCTGGAGCAGCAGGATTGATTGGATATAGTTTGAGTGGCTTGCTCGTAAGTTCTTTTACGAAAGTTTACCATTAGGGAGATGGTACCGTTTTTGGAACGGATCGGGTATATTCTTGATTGCCCATGTTTTACTCTAGCTTGTCGAATTGGTTTTGCACGATATCCCTCGTTGCGAACAAAAGCTGGTAGCTCTGAAAGCGGAGTTGGAGGACTGTGCTTTCCCTTATGTATCAAGTAGGAGAGCTTTTCGAATTTATCTAACATCCAGGTATCGAGTTCTTTACGGATCCTCTCAATGCCTTCCGTGACGCAGATATTGTGTTTTTCCTTGCAAGTCTGCCTCTGACTGGACCCGACCGAGCCAGTCTCCTTGAGAAGAACATCAATATCTACATCGAATTCGGAAAAGCTCTGGAACAAGTCGCTTCCCGCACGTGCAAGTCGATCGTGGTCGCCAATCCTGCCAACACGCTCGCCTACGTCCTCATGCAGACCGCTCCTTCTATCCCTCGTTCGAACTTCGCCGCTTTGAACCGCACCGACCACAATCGCACGCGTTCTCTCACGCTCGACGCGTGCCGCAAGGCCTGTACGTCTCCACTCCCTTCGTGTTCTTCTCTAGACGATGCCTCTCTGCAGCTCTCCGACCTCTCCGACACCTTCGTCTGGGGAAACCATGGAAACACCATGTTCGCCGACTTGACCCACGCGAAAATCCGTGGGATCCCACTGATGGAGGCCATTCCGGACCGCGAATTGTGGGAGAAGACGCTGCCCGAGCAGGTGGAACGACGTGGCTGGGTTTTGATGGAGCTGCGAGGCGGAGTGTCGAGTGTTCTGTCGGTGGCGAGAGCGAGCGTGGATGTGGCTCGTGACTGGTGTTTGGGAACGAATGTAGGGGGAAACGTGGAAATTGGAGGTAGGGGAAACGAATCACGATGGCGGTGTGCAGCGATGGGAACTGCTACGGCGTGGAGGAGGGACTGATCTTTGGAATGCCGGTCGTGTGTGAGAATGGAGAGTGGAAATGCGTGGAGGGACTGAAGATCGCGGAGAACGTCCGAAAACACATCGAGATTACGACTCGTGGGAGAAAGGTGTGGAATTGATTGTAGAGGATCTGAAGAAGGAGGTGGAGATTGCGGATGCGGCGATTGAACGTGCGAAGAATAATAACTAAACGTGTTTGTTAGAATCTGCTTTCCATGTACCCTAACGCGGGGAATGAGATTCACAACGCCACGACCGTGGAGAACAGGGAGCTGAAGCGGCAAGAACAGCCCCTGGCACGAGACATTGCGAAATTGCCAAAGTAGAAGCGAGCCAACTTCACTATTTAGACTAAGCGCATTCACACCTACGGATCATCAGCAAGATGTTCCGTCTGAGATTTCTGAAAAGATCAAGTTTGAAGAGGGAACTCTGGTCGCTGTCCTATTGATTCCTCATTTCTAGCCAATTGAGACATGCAGCAAACCGTCGACTGATGAGCTTGTTCTTAATGCGGAAGAAGAGCTCGACGTTTCGCCTCTTTGTCTACCTAACAGCTAGCTGACGAAGTTGATGCAAGCAGCGATGATCTTTCCTGCTGATCCGCAAGAACTTCCTCTCGACCCTGAGAACTCGGTCGAGGACTCGGTCGAGGACTCTTCCGACGACCGTCTTGAGGACGCAGCACTTAAGCAATTGCCTTTAGAGCCTCTTTCCGAGAGTGATTTCAACCTGTAATCTCTGCTGTTTCTTGGAACAAACAATCGCACGCGCAACCAACTCAAATCCCCAGCTTCCCCCGTCTCCAAGCAGCATTGCTGCTGAAGATCGGAATATACTTGTCGATCTTCGCTCTCTGTTTCTGCACGATGCACTCGCAGATCCACACCAGATTCCGAATCTCCTGCAGCTTGAGATGGCAGTAGCAGTAATACGACGCTACCTCTCACCCTCTCCGCCTCGCCTACCCAGATGGAACTGGCTATCGAACCCGGCCTCCAGCAATCGCACTTCGTTCAGATAGAACGCGTCGTCCACCGTCATCTGATCGCCCTGGATCGCCGACTCGAAGATCCGCTTGTACACCCAGTACTTCTCCAGCACGCGGCCCAGACTGTCCACGTCCTCGCAGTTGTTCAGCGGCTCGATGCCCTCCGGGTACAAAAACCCGATCGATGGCAGCAGCGAGTGGCGCAGATTGCGCAGCTTCGGCTACGGCATCTCACCGAGTTCAAAACGAGCTACATCGTTGTACAGCGTGGAGAAGCTGTTCAGAATCAGGTTGATCGCCAGCGCGTCCGCCTTCGACTTCAGAATGTCGCCCATCACTTCCGCGGTGAACCCGCCGACGCGCTGCGTCCAGTAGTAGAAGTCCTCCAGATACAGCTTCTTCACGCCGATCTCCATCATCTCGATCGAGCTCTCTTCCAGCAAGCTCTGCACCAGCTTCGCGCCCTACGATGAATGAAATGACCGTCGGAGAGGTACGTGGAGCATGTGGTTCTCGGTCTGGTCGTCCAGGTAGCGGCAGAAGTACTGGCCCACCGGGAGCTCCACCAGAACCACGTGGAAGAGGTCTTGGAAGCCCTTCGGAGAGTTCTCGAAGCTCGCGATCGATCGCATGATCGGATCGGGCAGCGGACCCAGAGGGTTGCACATCTCTTCGAGCTCTTTGAGAGAGAGGGAGGGGTGGGTCAGAGCCATCTTGAGAATCAGAATCACGTTGTCGATCATGAATTCGTAGCTAGAGTCGGGAAAAGAGAGAAAAGCGGTACGAGGTCATGTCCATGAAATGGGCGAGCGGTTGAGTGGCCTGAGCTCGCATGAAGGACCACTCTCTAGCGAGCTTTCGGAGTGCGCACTTCCGAATGGCTTCAGGCATGATGGGCGCGGACTACACGGAGTGAGATCGATGGAATCGATACCTCTTCACTGAGGAAGTTGCCATAATCGGTTTCTTGCAGATTTAGCTTCACATCTAAATAGATTAGCAACAATTCAAATAGTGTGTGTACCTTCGATTGTTTCGCATTGCGTAATATGATGGTAGTCCGAATCTGTCAAAAATCCAGACTTATAGCCACGAATCAGCGCCTCGGAATAACCATGCTGCATATTGAAGGTGTTCATATCTCCACAAGAGGGGTCAATCATTTCTCTGCTAATTCTAAGCCAACGAATCCATTTCTACTCTCAACAACCGTCTCGATAAGGAAGTAATTATACGAAAAATAGAGAAACGTGGAAGCTTTGCACAGAAAAACAAAACACGAGAATCAAATCGTAATTGATCGAACAAACAACTCTATTCACCTAAAAGATCAAAATCATCGAGAGCGTCGTTGTATTTCATAATATGTCTCTTAATCTTGGAAGAGTCCACCCACGTAACATAGTCTTCCATCTCTCGTGTTACCAGGTAGGCGGGGTCGCTAACGAGGTCTGTGCCCACACGAACATGGCCCTATACAATAACGACTCTGTCCAACGTGTACATGTCTCACCAGTGTATCCGCCTCCGTAATTGTTTGGGCCATCTTCAAACGAACCATTACGACAGGAAGTCTTCTTCTAAATATCACAAACCATACACTCGCTCACCTGCAAAAGGACGACGCTGTTATTTTTTCCACTGCTGCGAGACTTCGCTCATCAGACAAAAGTCCCATATTAAACAGCTTTTCGGTTAGCTGCTCAGTCATTCGAATTCTGAACTCATCATCTTGAGGAAGCTGCCCAAGCTGATTTGTCAGGGACAGTATTTTGCCAAGTAGACGATTATAGCTAGAATTAAGCTTTGGCATTCAAAAATACTATTGGTAATCTTCTCTTCTGCTGATGTGATAGCGGTGCAAGATCGTAGCTTCTCGCGCGCTTTTATCTTGCTTCCATTCCAGAAAGTTCGTCTTCTTTAATAGCTTCTGCTCGTGGTATTTTAACTTTCGAAGATGAGACATGTTCTCTGGAAATTCGAGGAGAAAAGTGATGTAAACAAAAGAGTCAAAAACTCCCCAATTTTAGGTATTTGAATACAATGCAACGAAGAGTCGAAATCAATAGTGGCTCTGAGTGGATCAGTCTTACAAAGGTTGAAACCGACGAAAAACCCATTGCAAAAGATGTTAAGACGGATGCGTTTTATTCTGCTTATCCGAAAGTGGAACGATATCCAGATATGCTCCCTCCAGACTACCATGCAATTCTTTCTCTTCTTTTTAGCGTGTTTGGAATTTGTTGGTGTGTAGATGCAGTTTTCGTGGATTACATGTAGCGACCGTTTTCGGCATGGATGTCGGGCGTGTTGTTATGCGGTTCGTTTGCTGGTTTGAAGTTTAACGAGATTGACTATATTCAAGTTTTTGTATCATGTTTGTAAGTGCTCCTTGTGCCTTCCAATATCAGATTTACCCTTTTAGCAGTGTTGCGTGTCACCATCTTTCGCAATCTATATCCTCTTTGTTCAACAAACAATCGATTACTGGGCAAACGCCTGCAAACGAATACTATACGTGTCGTTCTTCAAAGGAGTCTCTGTGAACAGCACATTCACATCAGGTCTTCTCTGCATCATCGGAACCACACAATTCCTAAATCCTCCCGCTACAAACCCATTCACACTGCTCAGATTAAACCCCTTATTATGCAGCTCGGTAATGGGCTCTCCATTCACCACATCGGCGATCCACGCTCGAATTCTCGTCTTGTGATTCTCAGGGAATTTCCAGTTCGAAAACAGCAAATTCATCGCCTCGCTGTCCATTCCCTCCGACAAGTCGATCTCTTCCGGTCCGGGGAACGTGCTCGGGCCCTTCGATCCGATCTTCATGAACGAGCCCAGGCTGAATCCTCCCTTCTTCTTCTCAGAATCCGCAGCGGGAGCCGCTGGCTGCGCCGACGTCGCGGATTTCCGACCAAACGACATCTTGCCCCACATCGATTTCTTGTCCGTCTTGGTGCTCACCGCGTTCAGATTCAGCAAATCTTCCTCTTCCGGTTCCGCGACCGGCTCCGCAGCCGGCTCGGCGACCGGCGAGGCCGACATGCCAGCGAACAGATCCGCGTTTCCTGCGGGCGAGGCCGACATTCCGCCGAACAAATCGTCCCCATTCGCAGAGGGCGACGCCGTCATGTTGCTGAACAAATCGACCGCTGCCGGCTCCGTCTGCGGCTCCGTCTGCGGCTCCGCTTGCTGCTCGTGCTCCTTCGTGGCCATCTTCTTCAGCTTGTTGAACCCGGACATGAACGAACCCGCCACGTTGATCTTCTTCTTCTCCGGTTCCTTCGGTGTTTCCTTCACCGGCTCTCTCTCCAGCAGATTCGCCGGCTCCATGAGCGGCTCCGCGGGCTTCTCAGAGAGCGAAGCGGCTGCAGTGGCGGCTGCGGCGTTGGCAGCGTCGCATTGGTCCTGCAAGCGATTGATTTCTTCGCTCATGCGCACGAACTCCTCGGTCATCTGGTTGATCTGCGCCTCGTAATTGACGCGCGTCGTTTTCAGATCGTCGTTCTCGCGCTTGATTCGCTCCATCGCCGCCTGCTGCTCTTCCAGCTTCTTCTCCGCTTCCTGCAGACGCGCCGCCGACGCCGCGGCCGCGTTCTTCATGTCCTGCTCCATCGTCTTCTTCTCGACGTCCAGCGATTTCATCTCCTTCTCCAGCAGCTCCAGGCGGCCCATGTACGCCTTCATGTTCGTCGTCGCCGAGTGGCTCGCCTTCACCGCGCTTTCCTTCTCTTCCTCCAGCGTCTTCGCGCGCGCCGTCATCTCGTCCAGCTCGCCGTGGAGTCGCGTGATCGTATCCACGAGCTTGGCGCGGTCTGCAGCTTCCGCCGATCGCTGCTCTTGCGAGACTTGCTGCTTCTTCAGCTCCGCGATTTCCTTCGCGTACTCCGCCTTCAACTTCTCCAAAATCGCCTCGTTTTCTGCCATAACCTTCGCCATGGCGGCTTCGTTTTCTGCCTTCAATTTCTCCATCGCCGTCTCGTTCTCTGCCTTCAGGTTCGCCATCGCAGTTTCGCTCTCTGCCTTCAATTTCTCCATCGCAGCTTCGCTGGCCTGTTTCAAGTCGTCCAACTCCTTCGATCCCTTCGCTTCCTGCTCTTTCTGCGTCTCCTGCGAAGTCGCGACCAGCTCGGTCAGCTGATTGACTTGCTGCTGCAGTGAAGCCACCGTCGTCGAGAGCGACTCGCTCTCCGCCTTCGCCTGCTTCAGCGCGTCGCTCAGCTCGCTAATCTTCTGTTGAGACTGCGATAGCGCGGCTTCGCTCTCCTGCTTCTGCGCTTGCGAAGCTGCCAGCTGCGCTTGAAGCGTGTCTTGCGAGGCAGAGGAAGACGAAATGGCTTTCTGCAGCTCGGCTAACTCGCTCTCGAGCGCTTTTCGCTTGGTCTGCTCGTCGGTGAGCGAAGATTCCATCGCGCTCTGCTTCTCCTTCGACGCGGTTTGGAGCGATTCGAGCTCGGTTTGGAGCGACGAAACCTTCGACTCGGACTGCTGGAGCGATTTCTCCAAGTCGGCCACGCGTTGCGTAGAATCTTTCTGCAGTGCTGCGATCTTCGTCTCCAGATTGCTTCGCTCTGTCTTCACCGAATCCATCTCAGCTCGCAGACTCGCCAGTTGCTTCTCTTGGCTTTCAATAATGCTCTGCGACTTCGCTGTGTCGCCCTGCAGCGTGTTCTTCATCGATTCGAGCTGCGTTCGCATCGACGATCCCAGCGCCTGCTCTTCACTCAATCGCGACTCCGTCGATTTCAACGAGTCCTTGACTTCTGACAGCTTGCTTTGCGTCGATTCCAGCTTTTTCTGCACATCCGCCAGCGATTCTTCCTTCTCTTCCAGCTTCGATTGAAGCGCCTCTTCGCGCTTCTGGCTCTCTTGCTGCTCTTTCTTGAGCTCTGCAATCTGCTGCTTCGACGAATTGACGGTCTGCTCCAATTCGTCCGCCAGGACCGAGCGTTTCTTTAACTCGTCCATTTCCTTCTTCATCGTCTTCAGATCGCTCTTCTGCTGCGAAACCGTTTGCTGCAACGACTCGATCTGCTTCTGCGCCTTCGTGTTGTCGCCCGTCAGCGATTGCTGCAACGACTCCACCTGCTTGCGAAGCAGTTCTTCGTTCGATTGGCTGCTTTCCAGCTTGCTCTGCAGCGAGCTCGATTCCGATTCCAGCGTCGCCACTTTCTCCTGCGATTTCTCCAGCTTCTTCTGCGTCTGCGCCAATTCCTGATTCGCTGTCTCGAGCGATTGTCGCAGCTCGCCTTCCAGCGCTGTCGCGGCTGCCGACGATTTCAACGCGCTTTCCTTCAACTGCTCGATCTGCGTCTCCAATTCTTTCTCGTGCTTCTTCGATGTCTCCAGCTCCGACTCGGTGGTCTGCAGCGACTTCACGCGCGCGTTCAGCTCTTCGCATTGCTTGCTCAGCTCGCTCTTCTCCTTCTTGAACGAGTTCACGCTCTCGTTCAATTCGGCGATCGCCGACGTCGCGTTCAAAACCTCCTTCTCGTGCTCTTCCGTCGCCTCCGCTAGCTTCTTCTCCAATTCCTTCTCGCGTAGCAGCGCGGCAGAGAGATCCGTCTCCACATGGCGAAGCTCCGATGTGACGTTTCGCTCCGCCTCCAGCTGCTGCTGCAGCGAACCCACTTCCGCTTTGATGCTCTGAATGATGTCGTCCGGCGAGGAATCCATATAGGAAGCGAACTTTGCTCGGTAGTTCTCGCATTCCTTCTTGTAGAATCCCTCCGACTCCTGCACCTGCTCCAATTCCTTCGTTTTGCCAGCGAGATTCTGCGAGGTCTGCGATAACTCCGCTTTCAACTCGTCGATCGTGCTTCGCATCTTGCTCTGCACGTCCTTGGCCTCCTCCTCCGCTTTCTTCTTCATCGCTTCGAGCTGCGAGTGAGTCGACTTCAAGGACGATAGTTCCTGCTCGACCGACGCTTTTCGCTCGCTTTCTTCACGGAGTTCGCGCTCTTTGGTCTTCAGCTGCGCGGCCGTTTCGTCCAGACTGTTCTTCATCTCCTTCTTCTCGTTCTTGAGCGACTCGATCGCCGCTTCACGCTCTGCAAGCGAAGAAGAAGCACGGCTCATCTCCGATTCAAAGCGAGCTTTTCCCGTCTTCACTTCTTCTTCGAGTTCCTCCACGCGCTCCTGCGTTTGCGAGCACGATCGTTTCGACTCATCCAGCGATTGGTTCAACGCGGAGACTTGTTCCATCAGCAACGAACGCGTCGATGTCAGCTCCTCCACCGACTGCTGCAAGCTCTCCACCTTCTTCGAATAGTCCGCTTCCTTCTCTGCAGCGTCCTGCTTCAGCTGCTCTTTCTCTTCGGTCAGCGTCTCCACCGACTCCTGAAGCTTCTCTTCTGCCTGCTTCAGCGCGTTGTGTTCCTCCTGAAGCGATCCGAACGATTTCTCCAGCTTCACTTTCGCCTCCTCCACTTCCTTCAATCGATCGATTTCCGTCGACAACGCGTCGATTCGCGCGCTGTCCTCCGCTTTCTGCTTCGCTGCCGCCTCCTTCGTCTTCTCCAACTTCAACGTCGTCTTCTCCAAATCCGCCGTGACTTGACTGTCATGCTCCGCCGTGCTCTCCAGCTTCGCTTCCGTTTCTTTCAACGTCTTGCTGCAGCCATCGAACTGGTTCTGGAGCGAGGAAAGCTGGTTTGTCAAACTCATCATGCTCGCATTCGCAGCTTCGATCGTCGTTTCGTACGCTTTGGCGGCTTCTTCCTTTGCCTCCTGCGTCGTTCGAGCCAGCTCCGCCGCTTCCGCCTCTTTCTTCTTCCATTCCTCGACCGTCTCTTCGGATGTCTTCAGCTTCTGAGAGAGCTGCTCGATTTCGTCGCTCTTCTTCGACACCGATGATTCCAACTGCTTAATCTTCGCCTTCGCCGACTCCTCCGCCTTTCGGCTCGATTCGCGCAGTTGATCCAGCGTTCCTTCCGTCTTATGCAGCTCCTCTTCCAACTCAGCGATCCGCTTCAACTGCTGCTGGATCGTCGCTTCGGCTTCGCTCCGCTTTCCCTGCTCTGCGAGCAATTCGTTCTTCACGTTCGATAAGCTGTCCTCCAGCGAGGAGACCGTTGAAGAGAGCTCGCCGATCTGCTGCGCCGACGCTTCGGTGAGTTGATCCAGCGACGTCTGCACGCTTTGGAGCTGCGATTCCAGCTGCTTGATGCACTGGCTCTTCGCTTCGATTTCCTCCGAAGACGATTTCTGCAGCGTTTTCAATTCGTTCTGCGTGTTCGCGAGCGCGGAAGCCGTTTCCTCCTGCTTCGACGTCATCGCTTCCAAGCTCTTCTCCGTCGCCGCCTTCGCCGTTTGCGTCGCCTCCAGCGTTTGCTTCGTCTCCTCCAGCCGCTTCTCTGTGTCTTCCTTCGCCGCCGTGGTGTCTGCGAGCGTGCTCTTCGTCGCCTCCAAGTCCTTCGCCGTCGATTCCAACTGCGCTCGCGTCGATTCCAGGTCGTTCGACGTGCTTTCCAGCTGCTTCTGCGTCTCGCTCAGCGAAGTGGACGTCGCCTTCAGCTCCGCGTTCCGCGCTTCCAGCTGCGACTGCGTCGCTTCCAGCTCTGTGCACCGAGCTGCCAGCTGGCTTCGGCCCTCCGCGTCGGATTTCTTGCTCGCTTCCAGCTCGGCGGTGAGGCTCGCGATCTCCTCCGTCAGCTTCGCGATCTTCGCTTCGTCTGCCGCCATTTTCTGCTTCGCCTCGTTCAACTCCGCTTCGACGGCTTCTTTCTGCTCCGTCGTTTGTCTCAACGCGCTCTGCGTCTTCTCCAGCTCGCCCGCCAGGCGATCGCGTTCCTCCGTCATCGAAGCCGTCTCGCCTCGCGAAACCGTCAGCTGATTGGTCAGATCGGTCTGCATGGCTTCGAACTTCCCGTCCAGCTCCGCCTTCTGCGCGCTCAGCGCGTTGGCTTTTGTCTCCGCCTCCACCTCCAAAAGCGTTTTCTTGTGCCACTTCGCGAGGGCGATGGACGCTGCGACCAACCGACGATGCAAGAGAAGCTCCTGAATCGCCAGCACAGCGCGGCGCTGCAGCAGCTCGTGATGTCTCTGCTTCAGTCCCTCCATCGCAGTCTCCATTTCCTTCTTCTCAGCCATCGCTTGCTCGCGCAGCTCCTTCACGTCTATCGATGAATCGGCGCGTTGGCTTCATACGCTGGTCGTGTTTGGACTGCAGATCGGCGATCGCAGCTTCGCGTTCTTTCTCTTTCGCGAGGGTCACCAGCTCGTTCTCATGCAGACTCGCGCTGGCGCAGCTCCAGCGATTGAAAACGAGCGTTAGAGCGCGTCTCTGAGCGGCCTGCATCGTGCTCTGCAGACGACCGATCGCCTCCTTCGCGTTGCGACTTTCGAGCTTCTGCGAGACACAGTCGAGTTGCTGCGAAGTGGATTCCAAATGCTCGCCGACTTCGCTGAGTTGGTCTTGGTTTGCTAAGCGCTGCCAGAGCATGAACGCCATCATTTTCAGTCTTGAATGGAAGGAGGGAAGGAGGAAAAGTACGATTTGTCGAGGGACTTGACGATGCGGGAAACACGGATTACTGCCAGTTGGCGATCTCGTTCGTTCCACTCGCGAATCATTTCTTGTTTGCCGCGGTTCTTTTCGTCGTTTTGCTCTGCCTACCGATCATTGTACGAAAAAAACGGAGGGAACCAGCACGGTGGCCATCGAACGCATTCCTGCTTCGGCTTCATCGCAGAGCTGTCGGAGAGAGGTGTAGGAGTTCTCCTTCAAAAAATGCATCCAGCGATTGCAATCATCCTGACTGCCCATCAACAATATCAAAATAGAGTTTACGATTTTCCAGCAAACATGAATTTACGCTCGGAAGATGTAACCAACTCAAAAGCAAACGGAGCATTTTGGTTCTGAACCAGGTAACACTTTGCGTCATCGATGCAAATTGTGTTGATTGGGGACTTTGCCTAGAATAAAAACCAGCAAGCAAAACCCTACAGTTGTCTCCTTGTATACAAACAGCAAGTTATTCTTTAAAACGGCATATACAGAACGCATCTTCTTGCCGTTTTCTGAATATTCGAGCATCCCCTTCCTACAGATGAACCCCCACGACAAAATTCGACAGTTGGGGATTTTTAAGAGACTCGGCAGAACAGTATAGCTCGCTTTCAGCAGACTGTCCAAACGATATGATACTATTCATTCTAGATGTTGCGATATCTGACAATGAATTTGGAAAATAGGCATTCATTCAAATCAATCAACCACTAAACATCTCTCAAGGTTTTTCTTTTCCCTACCTTCTATGAGCGATTTTTCTCAGTTTACGAAGAAGGATGAGCCAGAGAAGGAAAAGACCGCGGCCGTTCGGTCATCGATAGGATCCTGGCAACGAGTAGCGAAAACTTGAATTATTGAATTCGTAGTATACTACAGGATTCGGAGTTGAATTAATGAGAAAGATGGGCTTTGAAGGTCGTTTAGGAAAAGATGGACAAGGTATTTCAAATCCTATTGCAACCAAAGTATTCATCAAATCGAAATATAATCTTTTTTTGTAGAAAAGACCCGAGGGTTTGGGTTTGGGAGCAAACGGGTTCAAAGAAGCATCAACGCTTAAAGCAAATAAAGAGATTGCCAAAATATATAATAAAGTATGCTATATCGTTGCTTTGTAAATAGAATGCTGGAATTGTCACAGAAGAAGAGGAGGAGGAAGGGAAGACGAAGAAGAATACAAAGAAGAAAAATTGGTGGAAAGACTCGGAGGACGAGGATTCCGACGAAAATGGAACTGCCGAAGAGAATAGCGAAGACTTCTTATCTGCGACGGATTCTGGAGACTACACGCCACGCAGAAGACGCGAGAAAAAGATGTACCTTCCCTATTTCCAATTCGAGCTAGATTCAAGACGATCGAGCAGCTGCTGGAGGAGCAAGAAGAGCTCAGTCCATCCAGCGAGTCCCGATCGCCCATGGTATTCACGGACCACACAGGACGCGAAACAAAGCAAAAAACGATGAGCTCGGAATTCACTCTCTCCAAAGTCGACCGCAGCGCCGTTGGCTTTGAGGTTTTCCCTTCTCCCTCCCTCGCTCCCATCTAGCTCGTCTACAACCTCGAATCGCTCGCCTCGCTGGAAGAAAGCCACATTCTGGACTTCAATCGAAACCGCGCGCAGCGCGACAAACGCCGCGAAGAGAAAACCGAGTTCGTCGCGAAGATGAAAGAGCAGACCGAGCAGCTCTCGCAGGAGATTCGCAATCTCGAGTCGTTGACGCAAGACATCCAAACGTACCTTCAGGAAGACGCGGCGGTTCGCAAAGCGCCGCTGGAAGCGCTGCTGCTGCTGGAGAAGTTCCAGATCAACTATCCGACGGAGTATTATCGCTATAAAGTCTATCAGATCTTGCCGTCGCTGCTGCAGCCGGCGATTCAGCACGCGTTCGCGACGTGGAATCCGCTCGCAGTGAGGACCGGGATGTGTGTTGAGCGTAGAACGCGGCGAGTTTCGTGGAATTGGTGGACGATGTGCAGTCGATTATTCTGATGAAGGAAGAGGAAGAAAACGCGGAATCGCATTTATTCAATTATGATTGGCTGGACACGAGCACACAGAAATACTACGACGAAAACCGCTTTCTCGTCGTCTCCATCTTCACCGCCTCGCTGCTTCCGCGCATCCAAGCCGCGCTTTCCTCTTCGTTCGACGCGCTCAATCAAGACCATCTCCTCAACTTCCAGCAAATCCTCAGCGCCGCGCGGCAGATTTGGGACGCCGATGTGCTGCTCGAGAAGATGATCAAGCCCGTCACAGCGCGCATTCTCTCCGCCGTACCCTTTTCTTCCTCCTTTGCTCTCTCCCAGATCCAGAGCTGGACCCGCGCGGCTTCGCAGCCCGTTTTCTTCTTCACGTCGCTGCTTCGCTTCCAGACGCTTCTCCCAGGCTTCGATTCCGACGTCTTTCCGCACTTCACCAACGCGCTGTCTGCTTATTTGAAGTCGCTGGCCGATCTGCGCGAGCTCAAATCCGTTCTCGCCGAGCTGAAGCCTCTCTTCGATTCGGAAAGCCCCGCTGCGCGGCGATCGCTCTTCGCGTTGGAGAACACGGCGCTTCCCAAGCTGGTCTCGCGGCTCCGCGCGCTGCAAATCGATCCGAGCGACCAGCAACACATCGACTACTTCACATCCGTTCTGGAATGGAGCGACTGCATCGATCTGGGAACGCTTTCCGCGGTGCTGGAGGGCGAGTTCTTCCCGAAATGGCTGGCCGTTCTGTTCGATTGGATCCACCAGCCCGGCGTGAATCTGCAGGAGATCGTGATGTGGATTCAAGGCTGGCGCAGCCTGTTTCCGGACGAGCTGCTGCGCGAAAGCCACGTGGTGCAGCAGTTCAATCGCTGCTGGGATATCGTGAACGATTTCTTGGACGGGACGAACAAGATCGATTCGACGCAGTTCCGAAAGCCAGTGTCGTACTATCGCGTGCTGCAGAATCGAAAGATCGAAGAAGCCAATCGGAAACTCCGCGATGTGCGTGTCGAGCGGGCTTGTGACGATTAGAAATTCCAGAAGGACGCCACCGAGACCGCGACGATGAACATTCGCGACGCGCTGGCGATGTGGGGCGCGAAGAACAACATCGAGCTGTCCCAGCTGGAGAACAAGCAGATGGACGGGAACGCGCTCTACAAGTTTGGGAACATCCAGGTGTTCTTCCAGGACAATGTCACATTTGCGAGGATCCCGGGACCTGCAAACGTCTGGGAGCCGCGAAGCATGCAGGAGCTGCTCAAGATGAATCAGGACTTTGAAAGTGATCCTTTGGATTCGGGTGTTTGTTGTGACAAACAGGGAATCTCCTCCCATGTGTAAATAGACTTAACGACGGCAAGTAGAAGGTCTGGTGGCAAGGAAAGTGCTGCGGTACTTCTTGGACTCGGCACGGTACTGGCGGTGAGGCAGAGCGTACTTCACGTTCTTGTGAGTGTACATGATGTTCTGGTGTCTTCTCAGATCCTCATCGGCCACCACAGCGGTCTTGATGATCTGGATCGATCGGTCACGAGCACGGTGGGTACCAGCCATCTCAGAATAGCACTGCTTGACAGCACCAATCAGAGAGGTGTCGCGGTACTCCTTGTACATGTTGTGAGTACCAGAGCGAGAGTTGTAGCGCAGCCAGATTCCGTAGTTCTTCACCTCGCCACTCTTCTCGAAGATCTAGCAAAATCACCAACTGCTCCACAAACACGAACCTCGTTCACAGCAAGGATTTCTCCAGTTCCCTTCTTCATCTTGTGAAGTCTGTGCATGAAATACCAGTAACGGGACTTGGCAGTCACAGGGTTGGGAGCAAAGAGTCTCATTCTGAAAATTTCAGGCTCAGGGTCGTTTTCCGTGGGGAGTCTGCGACCAACAACGTGATAATAGTGAATCTACACCAAAATGAGTATAAGTCGATTATAATCAAATTCAAGTAGCAGGGATATCAAAATTCAAGCGTACGGGCATGACTGAAACAATACAACACTGGAAGAGAGTTCGTATTAAATAAAAGGAATCCCAGGGGGTTGAATTCTCCCAACATAAATTGTCACACCTATTTTGGATCCCCTACATGCTATGGTTTATCGCGTAATTCCAATTCTTGGGTTGAAAAAAGTATTTAGAAAGGATCTTACAAAACAAAAGGTGACGTTGCTGCTTGGTTTTACTTTTTCTCCTGATTGAGGTAAGTTATCTCTACAGAAATATGCTCGTTGCATAGTACTCGCTTTGTTAAAATGAAGTAGGAAAGAAAATAAAGACATGTATGTCACAAACGTTCCAAACAGATAAAAAACAAACATTACTTCTTTTGATTTTCCGTAGATTCAACTCCCTGATTCCGTGCTTGGTTTACACGATCTTGAATAATGCGCTCTGTGGCTTCAGCTGTTCTCTAAAAAGGAGAATAAGGAAGACATTCCACAAAAAATACTCGTTGCTCGTGCATATCCATGGCACATAGGAATCCGATACAAAAGCCTGTTGCAACTATATATTTGTCAAAGACAACTTCTGATACTTGTTGCTGCAATAGCAGTTGCTATACTGGTAGGTTTCATAGATTTTCTAACAAAACAAACTAATTAATTAAAATATAGACAATATGGTTATACAGACGTAACAGGAATAATAAAATAAACGATAAGGAAAAAAGATACAAATAGAATAAGTAATGCTTAAGTTGTGCTAACATGCGTTTAGCCAGGACGTATAAGATGAAAAATGATATAGACACCACCATATTACTCCAGCTTTGAATGGAGTATTGCAGATAAATTGTTGCGACGAACAGGAGGAATCCAATAACTTCATACCCCAAAAGAAAGCGAATCAGAGCTGGTAACAGGTAGATAACACAGCAGACTGGAACCATTACGAGCATAAACTTCCACATCACTTTCTTTGGATTGTAGGAAGAAAACACCCAACTCGAGATCTTTGGGAAGAAATCCTTAGCCCATTGCAGCCGGCTCCATAGATAGATGCCCAGGCTCTTAATCTTATCCACCAACAGCTGGTCCGCCGTGGAAAGAATCATCACTTCCTCTATCAACAAAACGAAGAACGCCACCACAAATGTGAAATAAAGAACTGGAGAGATACGCTCTTGGCGATTGCAAGTACACAGCTCCGTCGTGTGCTCGGTGATCTCTGACAAGGATTGCTTGTTCTCCTCCAGTTTTCTATCAAATGTGCACACAATGCCGGTCATTTCTTCGAGTTGCGATGTAATGGCAGCCTTGATATTATTCAATTCTTGTGATAATTCCCTATGAAGGCATTTAGTAATCTGGTATTCCGTGCTATTCTCTATAAATTGAATTTTCGAGGAGCTTTGAAGAACGTTTAGTGTTATATCATCGTTGTCCAATGCACCCGACTTTCTCTGCTCCATTTCCTTCTGTCCCATTTTCATGAGCTTCTTCATGACATCGTGGACTGATACATCCAACGAAGAAAATCGCCCCAAAAGATGCGTAAACTGCAACATCAACTTAACACGATTTTGTGGTTTCGTGGCCTTCCAGGTTGATTCAAACCTCTTAAATAACATATCCTTTTCTTTATCCAAGAAGGAACTGTAGTGCGCAGAAAAGTACCAAGGAAGCACGGCCTTTATAGTACTCAAGTAATTGAATAATTGATTGATCGTCTCTTCAAATTCATCATCAAATTTCAGTTCCTTTATAACTTCAAATCGCTCCTAACAGAAACTAACATTCGAATCCCTTACTTCAAGATATGAAAAGCTCACAAGAGAGTATATGTACCAAGGAAAGAGATACTTAATAGTACTCAGGTATACGACTAGTTGAGAAACCATTCCTCCGATTATCTCAGCCAACCTTGTTTGAGCCAGAGATTGCTTCAGATCGATATTAGGCATAAAGCGATCTACAATAATAAAAAGTAACTAGTGCAAATACATATTGCGTAGCAAGCAAAGAAAATGCAAGCAAGTATCACGGCTGCAGAGATAATGTATCTATAGGTAATCGAATTAGGAATCGCAAACACTGATGGTTTTTCTTCAAAAGCTGCACTCTCTTCCAGACTGTTCACAACAGTTGGCATACTGATTTCTTTCACGACTTTTGATCTCTTAGACGGAAAAAATATGTTATAAATTCCATCTTGATGATCAGAAAACAATGCCACTAATAATCACGCACCTTTCCTGCATTATAAACATGATTCTTGGTATAACAATAATAGCAGGATCAACCAAATTGACATCCTATTTATTATCTTTATAAAAAAGTGTCCCAATTTACATATGATACTCAATTATTGTTGGTTTTTGTTAACTAAATTAGGCCATCGCCGAATAAAACAGTCTACCTCTCGTTTGGTCAAAATTATATCGCCCGATTGAACTAAAATGTCTGAAGGTAGGGAAGTGGAGTATGCAGTCTGAAGAATAGCCCCTGTTGCTACTGAAGTCCCTGTTGAAGCTGCTCCCGTGGAGACCACTCCCGCTGCTCCTGCTCAGCAAGAGCGCCGCCCCCGTGGCCGTGGTCGCGAGGGTCGTCGTCCTCGCCGTGGTCTTGAGGAGTCTAAGGAATGGGTGCCTGTGACCAAGATTGGTCGTCTGGTGAAGGCCGGAATGATCACCTCCATCGAGGAGATCTACATGTTCTCTCTTCCCATCAAGGAGCCCGAAATCGTGGACAGACTGCTCCCTGAGCTCAAGGAGGAGGTCATGCAGGTGTTCTCCGTCCAGAAGCAGACCACTGCCGGTCAGAGAACCCGCTTCAAGGCTTTCGTCGCCGTTGGTGATAGCAACGGTCATGTGGGTCTTGGTTCGAAGTGCGCTAAGGAAGTCGCCGGAGCCATCAAGGGAGCCATTCTGGTTGCCAAGATGTCGATCATTCCCGTCCGCCGTGGTTACTGGGGTGACAACGCTGGAGACGTGCACACTGTGCCGATGAAGGTCACTGGAAAGTGCGGATCTGTGCGTGTGCGTCTGATTCCTGCTCCTCGTGGAACTGGAGTCGTCGCTTCTCCCGTCCTGAAGAAGATGCTGACTCTGGCTGGAATTGATGATGTGTACACCAGCTCGCGTGGTCACACCCGTACTCTGGGTAACTCGATCAAGGCTTGCTTCGCTGCCTTGAAGCACACTTACTCGTACTACACTCCTAACTTCTGGAACAACACCTGCACTGAGCAGATCCCCTACCAGAAGTTCACTGATTTCCTCAGCAAGGAGGCCAAGGTGAAGGAGTATTAAGCAGCAGTCGATTCTGAAAGAGAGTATTAAGGAGAGTGTGGGCGACACTACGGTGCGTGTGTGCCGACCTTAATCGATGTGTTTGTTGAAACAAACAAACAGATAGAAAAAGAGTTTGTATTGTGATTTGCATATCTGCTTGCTTGCTTGGCTGAGATTGTATTTGTTAATTAGTTCCATTGCCTCCTTGCTCGTAGCCCAGATTGTAGGCATAGTCCTGGAGTGTTTCCGCCTTCCCGATCAATCCCATCTTCCGCACACACTCCGAGAGCAGGCGGAAGCAGTCAGCTCGTTTGGGATACTGCGTGGTACTACATCGAAACAGTGCCTCGCACACTACAAGTCGTTCAACAGTCTCTCCAGCACGCTGAACTTCCCCGCACCGCTCATCGCTTTAAAAAGCGACTGCAGAAGGAGCTCGCGATCTCTGGCTTCGCCTCCCAGACAGTCGAACTGCGGGACCAATCCAAACAGAAGCTTCGCCGCCACTTCATAGTGTTCCTAATGCCCACACGACTGCGTTCTCTACATTGTTCAGCTCGAGCAGCGCGTTCACACACGGCGAAATCAACGGATTCGCGGCCGTCACGTCCATCCGATCCTCTCCATTCACATGGTTCCACTTGATCTCCGTCTCCGCTACGCTCAAACCGACTCTCCATTCTCTACGCAGAGCGAACTCCTTCCACAGCGCGTCCCGCTCCTCGCTTTCCTGGCTCTCCAGCAGCGCGCGCAGCTTCTGCTCCTCCCCCGTAATCGAGAACAGAATCGACCGATACACCACGTCCATCGGCGCCAATATCTTCTTCTCCGTCGCGTCCAACAACCGCGAAACGCGGCTCCATCGATCGCCCATGCCTTCTCCCAGCAGCTCCATGCGGTAGAAGATCTGAATATAGTCGTTGATGTGATCGCTGCGGAGGAGATCCTGCTTCATTCCCTCGTTTCCTGGCAGCACGCCCTTCTCCACGAACTGCTCTTCGCGCGCCAGCGCGTTGTCTACGATGTCCATCGCGTTGGAGTACTGCTTTAGCTGCATGTTTAGCGTCGCTTTGTGAGAGAGAAGATGATGGTCGAGAGTCGATCCGTTCTTCATAACCGCGGGATCGACAGACCACGCTTCTTCGGTTTCGCGGAGAAAACGGAGTCCTTCGCGCGCTCGTCCCTGCATTCGAGCGAGAAACTGCTCCTACTTTGGACTCCATGGCGTGCAAAACAGCGTGGATCGCGCGGACGTCGCCCGGTTCTCCGGAGAGAGCCTGCATTCCGACCCTTTCTGCCTCGCTAGAGATGAGATAAGACGATGGAAGGCACTCGATTTGATTCATTTCCATCAGAGAGAGAGCGCGGTACCCTGCGATGGAAGAGTCGCAGGGGATGCCGATGCCCCAGTATGACCAGGTTCGGGATATGGAAGAAAACTAGAGAGAGGGACGAGGGATAAAATTACCATTTGACTGCTTTCTCCTAGTCGTTGGTAGAGAGAAAACAAAGTGTTGATTGCTAAGATATCCACGGGGTCATTCAGTAGGATTGCTTCAAGTGTGTTCACGGCATATCGAACTCTATTACACTTTAACGCCTTGATTACGTTGAAATAGAGCTGCTCATTGCGAGTAAAGTCCGAATCTTAATAGTAATCAAGGTAGTTTATGATACGACTCGATTCTACAGAAAACGCATCCTTTAAACGATTGAAATACACTTGGGAATCACCCAAACCAGAAACTAGGCTAGATATGCAGCAGATAATATTTCCCATAACAAAATCCGGGTGAGATTCTAAATACTTCTATAAGCAAAAGTGAGAGCAGATATACATCTCCAAGAATATCAAACGGGTATTGATGGTATGAAATTATCTTAGATGTTACAAAGAACTGAAAGAAACAACATTTGATAAGGCTTTATCGTACAGAGCCAACTCTTCGTCATTACGTGCTGTAATTAGCGTAGTGCAGACCTTCGACGCACGTCTCGTTGTTGGGATTTCGGGATTTCGTGAGAAGCTAAAGTTTACCATTTTCCAGTTATACGCACAACCATCCATATTCTCTCAAAAATTTGTTACAAACAATTCGTGTTGGTTTCACAGAATGAAAAACTCTGGAAATAGACAACATGACAAATGATCTTTGAACAAACAAGCAGGCAATAAACAGCTGAAAACACAACCTTAAGAATCCCAAGTAAGGTCAGAATTGAAAAGCTCCTGTCCAGTCTCCTCGCATTTAACAGTAACATGAACTTTGCTTTCTCCATCATAAGAAAAAGTTGTATTGAAATGAATTTCGCCCTTTGGCCTTTTGGGGAATCCACTGTATCGATAGGCTTTGAGAACATTACAACTCGAAAGAGGTGCAACTTCTTCTACATATGTACTTCTCCCTTGACAAAGTTGAGTATATATGGTTTCAGCATTGTCTACTGCAGTTGTCAGAACCACCGATTCGCTACACGGAATATCGTGATTTGAGGGAATGATGCACTCCACTTCGTTGTTGATGAGCGAAGTGCCCAAACTGAACGCTGTCTTTTCTTTTGGAAGAATGTCGTAAACAAGAGCCATACAAGCACCTTTAGCTACACATTCATCCGGATTGACAGATTGAGTCGTCTTTTCTTTACCAAAATGCTTTGCCAGTTTCTTTTGAACAAGCAATAAACGAGTCGATCCGCCAACCAAAACTACACGAGACATATCGTCTCTCGATAAACCAGCTTTGTTCAAAGCTCGTTCTACAATTGCTATCGTCTTGTCAAGTTCTTTATCGATAAGATCATTTAACGTATCTATAGTAAGAGTAACAGCATATCCTTCCTCCATAAATATCGGAGGTTCAATATCAGATTCATCCATACTAGATAATTGTTCTTTTGCTTGTTCACAAAGTGATAATAATCCACTTCGAGTTTGGCTCTTCGCTTCAGGAGTAAGACCTTCAGGAATCAGTTCTTCTCCATATGTCTCTTCCCATGTCTTTAATAACCATTCAAGAATAATTTCATCGATATTTGAACCTCCCAAGAAATTGTCTCCATCATGTACCAGTACCTTATAATTACCATTCGAAATGTCCAAAATGGAAACATCAAAAGTTCCTCCACCAAAATCATATACCATAATCTTCTTACTAGTTGTATCTTGTCCTAGTCCATAGCAAATAGCAGCAGCAGAAGGTTCATTAAGTAACTTTACTCTATTCATGTTAAATCCTGCTTTAGAAATTGCATCTCGAGTAGCTTGTCTTTGATTGTTATCGAAATTAGCAGGAATCGTAATAACAACATCACCAATTGTACAACCGCTTCTATTTTCAATTGTCTTTTTGATTTCTTTAAGTATCTCAGCACTCACGTCAGAAGGAGAATAATCCGCGTCTGTTTCCGCAATGTGGAAATAAGGTTTGTTCCCTTTGTTTACAACAGGAACACCACAATAATTTAAAGCACCTTGTACCTCTGTCGAATTATAGTATCTCCCGATTAATCGCTTCGCATTACGTACAACATTCCTAGCCCTTCCAAAATACAGTTTTGCGGAACTTCCAGAAATAATACCGCTTTTAGAATATCGTACAAAAGAAGGAAACAGCTTACGACCATTTGGATAATCAACGCATTCAAATTCTCCCTCTTTGTAGTAAAAAGCACAAGAATTAGTCGTTCCTAAATCAATACCAACAGGTACTTCAGGCATTTCTTCTAAATTAACTATAAATTATAATAATAGTTTTTTACCTGATACCCAATATATGGATATCCCCATATTATTGACCCAATATTATCAATTATAACAATATACTGTTTGTTAATATTGATTTCTTTTCATTTTCGATATTTCTACTATCATTAACGAAACTTGCAAATGATTATATTTACCAATTCTTGTTGATTAATTCGATTTCAGTAACAGTTTGACAATAATCAAACGAAAATGATCTAAAAATGTTTTAAAATAATCATGATTAAAGAAACCAAGAAATATATACTATTATATCAAATCATTAGTATCTTTGTTTAGATTAACAATCTGAAAATTATTGAAATACAATCATCTTTGTTGCGTATTTGTATATATGTGTATGTATATTTATCAAATTATCGATATACATACATACATAAACAAAGAATTCCAAAATGTAAATTAATATTAACATTAATAAACAGAAACAATTGTTTTAACAAACAACAATTCTCGTCTCGATGAATTATACAACAATTTCAATTTATAGACTAAGAAATGGATAGGAAGCCATGAGATTGATTCCACACGTTCCTGCATAACTATCGGATAGTGCCAAACGAATATATCCTTTTTCTCCCCAACTAGCTCCCCAACTGTTCTTCACAATCAAAAACGGAGTTGCTGTATCGAGTTCATAACCTACCAGCAACACACCGTGGTTTAATGTGGTTCCGCAAAGCTCCTCTGCAAGAATTCCGCTGGTATAGAGTTGAAAGAAAATAGAGTCTGCTCCGATTGCTACAGAAACAGGATTCTTCGTTGTAGCCTTTAGTAATTCATACGTACTTCCTACTGGAACCTCGTAATAACCCATAATACTCGTTACAAAGTCAACCTTCTTGCAACTCCCTTGTGAAGCCTTGTAAGGATAGTCAGACTCCAGAGAAATGCCATTGTTCATAACATATTCGTAAGCGTATGTCATTAAGCCTCCACTACAGCCTAAACTACTGTAATCACAGTCCACAAGTTGTTGAGGAGAAAAGTCCAAGATTTTGCCTGTTTTTTGTGCGTAAACACCTTCGATCGAGGCAACTGCAGCAAACGCCCAACATGCTCCACAGTTCTTCTGGTCTTTGACAGAGGAGACTGTATTCTTTGCCCTCCAGTCAATGCTACGAGGAAGAGAGCTGTAATCCTGTGATGTTTGCTGTGATGAACTCGATTCGACACTTTTAGCTTTTTTTTCAAATGCAGTGTTTGAGGCAAATCGCTCGCGAAATTCATCGTTCGATAAATCAATGAAAGGAGTAATCCCCAACACAAAGGAGCTTTGCTTTGAATTATAGTAATCGACTATTTTTAAATTGTTGGAAAACACGGACATGCGAAAGCGACGTTCTTCCTCTCCCACATACGTTTTTCCGAACTTTTTCTCAAAGGCAGCAAACTGTAGCTCTACAGATAGCGTATCCTTTGCTGTACACAATGAAATAAAGATCAATGCAAAAAGAATCATTTCAATCAAATAATATGGTTTGTAATCCAAAAACGCATTGAGCTTTCATATTCAACAAACACGCAAAGCATCTACAGAAATATTACTATCAATGGAGCTAGACCGCCGCATACTTCTCCAATCCCACTCTACAGTCCATCACCTCATCGACTTCCCACGCGACACCGCCGACTTACTTCGCGCACTATGAACAAAACTATCTGCCTGCAGCAAGAAATTCACATCGATCTTCAAAGAAGACTTGCATGTCGGGAATGTCGGGAACGTCGAGAGCGAAGCGGTAAACAGACTCATCAGATTCGAGTAATCGTCCGCCTGCGCCTCGTCGACCACGCGCGAGCACACAAACGGCACGTCCATCACCTCCATCGCGGGCAGCTTGCAGTACTGAATGGGACTGGCCTCTTCACTGCTCGACAACTCCGACGATTTCCCCTTTTCCACCTCGCTTTCTACATGTGGCTCCGTCTCTGTCGACTACCCGGCGAATCGGGAGGCAGAGGAAGCGAATCGAGGCTCTTCAGAACGACGGGAGTGGATCGAGCGGACATGTTGGGGTGGGTTCGGTAATAGAACTCGCTCTGCCGCTCCTGCATTTCCTTCTTGGTGAAGCAGTCTTCTTCCTTGGCCATGTAGTGCAGATACATGCACTCCGAATTCGTGCACTGGATCCCGCGAAGGAAAAAGTTGCAGTATTTCGTGGTTCCGAAAGAAGCTCTGCGATGAATTAGGCAGAGGAGGAATACCTGATCTGACTGCCTTTTAATATACATCCATCCACGGCTAGGATACAGCGGCAAGCTTCCTCGGAGGATTCAAACGTGATGTAGCTGCTGGTGAGACGGGAGAAGCGAGCTCTACGCGCAGCAACTGTGGACTTTCTCGACGAGCTCTGGATTGCTGTTCAGAATGATTTTTTTGATTTTTCCGTATTTGCCGAAGAAAGAATAGGAACGAAGCAAAGATTCGTTGGCAAGAGAGGGAGCCAACCCAATGATATAAACAAGATTCTTTTGGATTATTCTAATATTTTGTAAATATTGGATCTTCTCGGCGGAGAGTTCCCTTCCATGACGCTCTCGATCACTGTTGTAGGAACATCCTTCCGAGTTTTGAGAATCTGATGAATTGTCCCTATGTAACACGTGGAAACAACGGATACACCATGTGAATAACGCGTTTTGAATAGGGTCGCTTACACTCTGGACAGCAGTTGCCTTCGTGCAGGATCTTTCCTAGGCACCAGTGACAAATCTATTATTAGAACAGGAAAATAGGCACACTTGGAAACCACAGGGACAAATCTTGAACTTTGTTTCTATTGGTTTCAGTACACCAAAACACATAGGGCAAACTTGTGCTACTCATAATTCAAACTGCAGCAGAACATTACGTATCATCAACAAGAATGAGTTTCAACAGAAAGATGAGAATTAAAAACTGTCTCTTGGAAAGAGATGTATTAATCAAAATAGGTACGGTAACAAATAGGTATTTTAACACGAAAAGAATCTATTTAGTACAGCTATTTATGATTATCAACAGAATGACTGTGTTAAACTCATGACGTGTTTGTTAAGAATAATTAGCACCCTAGAATTGCGAGTGGATCGACAGAATTCAGCGTAAGAAAATGCAAATTCATATTAGCTGATTTCGGTTGATCACAGATTGTGCTTCGAATAAAAATGATTCAATGTGTGCAGACTGAGATCATAAAACGAACGTGACGACTCAATAGGAAAAGAGTTCAAAGAACCGAACGAAGAATGCTGAAAGTTGCAAAGAATCTTCGGTTTGGTTTCTTTACCAATGGTTATTCATCTAGACGTCTAATATCTTTAAATCAAGTATGGTGATAATGGGTACAACAATTCGATTAGATTCGTCCCTTTACTGTATCTACTACGGAGCAGGGAACTATTTTTGAGAAAAATGTGTGTGTCAGTGCCTTTGACTTCAAATTAGGTCGTTGATACGTTTAGCAAGTTTGGAATGAACTTACAGTGCTCAGGGGGACCTAACGATCGTGGAATCGACATTCAAGTAGTGATGCACTACTTTCGCTATTGTTTAGGGGACTTGGGAAATAGATTCCTTGTCTATTCCCCTTATTATTCAATGTAAAAACACAAAGAAAGCAAAACCACAATATGTGCGTTTTCTCAGTTGATCCTTTTATGGAATAGGTCCGAGAGTTTGTTGGAGTGATTGGTCGTGAATACAAAAATCGAGGGATTCCTATCAATACTGTTCATCCGGGAGATGGATCCGTTCCCTTGGGTATTTTGTGTACAGCATCACGAATTCAGAACTCACTCTTAAGGTAGTGAATAGTCACAGTATTTCTCTGTAGGGAAGCTGCTCTCTGCCCATATCCACTTATTCTCGCCTGTGTGGGACCATCTTCGATTTTGTCTTTTCAGCCAAATTACTCTGTTTTGCGGGCATTTCCAGACCTAAAATTCGTGTTTGATGTAGGAATAAGGGATTGTGCTGACGATTCTAGATCAACCAGACAGATGTTCCAACGGTGCTGTTTAGGGATAAAGTAGTAATGGGCAATAAATAAAACGGAGTTTGAAGAGGAATTGTATGCCATGATGCATTGGCACCCTATTTTGGCTCCATGTAGCGTACCCTGCTCCCCAGCACACAGCCTGTTGTTTATTTCCCTCTATTATTCTGTTTTCTTTCATACATTTTGTATTTGATCATCAGTTCCACGTTTCCCTGAAATGTTTTCGGTATTTCTTCCCAGATCCTACATAAAAGTCACAAAGAAATGTCGGTGTCTTCCTTTGAAGTGAATGCGGCAGCCGCCATGCGCGATTATTATGTCGAGCCTCGTCTTGGTAGGATTGTGGCGTGGAGTGCGTTAGGACATAGACTACAGAACTATCAGCGGAGTAAACGGTCCGTTGGTTGTTTTGGAGAACGTGAAAGTAGAAGTTGTGTGAAGGCGAGTGATTTCTATAGGGACCCCGTTTTTCGGAAATTGTAAATCTCCGTTTGGGAACTGGGGAGATGCGAAAAGGAAAGGTGCTTCAAATTTTTGGAAACAAGGCCATTGTGCAGGTGTTCGAGGGAACGACCGGAATCGATAACACACGTACTCACTGCGAGTTCACGGGCGATATTATGAGAATGGCCATCTCGGAGGAAATGCTGGGTCGCACATTCAACGGTTCGGGAGTGGCTATCGACAACGCTCCCCCCGTCCTGGCCGAGGAGTACTTAGATATCGACGGCCAGCCCATCAACCCCTACGCTCGCACATACCCGAAGGAGATGATCCAGACGGGTATCTCCGCGATCGACGTGATGAACTCCATCGCTCGAGGCCAGAAGATCCCTCTGTTCTCGGCTTCGGGTCTTCCGCACAACGAGGTAGGGTCGGTCGTGTGCTCCCAGCGTAGCTCGGCGCGCAGATTTGCCGTCAGGCAGGCCTGGTGGCGGGGAAGGACATCCACGACGACCACGAAGACAACTTCGCGATGGTGTTCGGCGCGATGGGCGTGAACATGGAGACGGCGCGTTTCTTCCGGAACGACTTCACGGAGAACGGCACGATGCAGCGCACGGCGCTGTTCCTGAACCTGGCGAACGACCCGACCATGGAGCGCATCATCACGCCGCGCATCGCGCTGACCACCGCGGAGTACCTCGCGTACGAGCGCGATCTGCACGTGCTGGTGATCCTGACGGACATGTCGTCCTACGCGGACGCGCTGCGCGAAGTCTCCGCGGCGCGCGAGGAAGTGCCGTCGCGCCGAGGCTACCCCGGGTACATGTACACGGATCTGTCGACGCTGTACGAGCGAGCGGGCCGCGTGACGGGCCGCAACGGGTCGATCACGCAGCTGCCGATTCTGACGATGCCGAACGACGACATCACGCACCCGATCCCCGATCTGACGGGGTACATCACCGAGGGACAGATCTACGTGGACCGGTCGCTGTACAAGCGCGGAATCTACCCGCCGATCAACGTGCTGCCGTCGCTGTCGCGACTGATGAAGTCGGCCATCGGCAAGGGAATGACGCGCCACGACCACGGAGCGGTGTCCAACCAGCTGTACACGAACTACGCGACGGGCAAGGACGTGATGGCGATGAAGGCCGTGGTGGGAGAGGAGGCGCTGACGGCCGAGGATCACTTCTATCTGAAGTTCACGGAGGACTTCGAGAACACGTTCGTGAACCAGGGACCCTACGAGTCGCGGTCCATTTTCGATTCGCTGGACAAGGCGTGGAACATGTTGCGCACCTTCCCCAAGGAAATGCTGAAGAAGATCCCGGCGGAGATTATCGAGGAGTTCTATGCGCGAAAGGGAGTGGAGATGCCCGAGGAAGAGGAGAAGAAGAAGGAGGATGCTTAGATTCAGTGGAGTGTTTGAGAGAAAAAACGAGAGTTGAAAGCAGGGAAGCAGGGAAGCGAGCAGGGAATGAATAAAGGGATTGGAAATGAGTTAGAGACTGTTCGTTTGGTTGTGGAATCGATTTTCCTCTGAGGAAATAGGATTTCGAAGAGAGCGATTCTCCCATCCTCGCACTTGATTGCATTCACTCTACGATCCTCCCTTCCATCCATCCATCCTTTCTTTCCTTCTTTCTTTCTTTCTTTCTTTCAACAAACACCTCCACGAAGGTAACTCCGATTAAAGTAGAATTGCGCAATCGCATGATAACAAAGATAGCCCCTCGCCTCCTCTACTTCTTCTCCTTCTTCTTCTTCGCCAGCACCTCGTTCGCAAAGCTAATAAACTCCTCCGCCGAACACGTATTCTCCAAGAACGGATGCTCCAGCAGCTGCGCCGCGCTCCACCGCTCATTCGGCTACGCCCTTCTCTCCTCCCTCCACTCCTACGTCCACCGCCAGCGCGTGCGCCAAGAAATCCTGGAACGAATCGCTCCACTTCTCCGGGTTCGCCACCGTCGGCGACGGGCTCGTCGTGATCAGCAGCAGCGCCTTCAGTGGCTTCTTGTGATAATGCGGCGGCTCGCCGTTCGCCATCTCCAGCGCCGTGATGCCCAGCGACCACACGTCCACCTTGTCCGTGTAGCCATCGCCGCGAATCAGCTCGGGAGCCATCCAGAACGGCGTGCCGATCACCGATTTCCGCACTTGGTCCTACCTTCGATCCGCCAATCCGATCCCACCTTCGACTTCAGCAGCACCGCAAACCCGAAATCCGCCAGTTTCACCTCGCCCTCGCCGTTCATCAGGATGTTGTCGCTCTTGATGTCTAGTTCTGAAAGGGGAAACGGGGAAACTACCGCGGTGGATTTGCTGGTTGTTGTGAAGATAGGCCAGCGCGTCCAGCACGCTGCGACACACGTAGGCGATGTGGGTCTCGGGGAATTCCACGTCGGGACTGACGATGCGAGCCAAACTGCCGTTCCCCATGAAGTCCATTACGATCTAATCATGATGACGCGATGGGAAGCAAACCCAGAGATTGCCTTCCCAGTTGAAGCAGTCGTAGACCCGCATTACATGCTCGCAGTTGCAGATCTTTTGGAGAACCAGCTCATTGCGGATGTCGACCAGATTGCTCACGCTGGTCACTTTCACGGCGAAGACTTCCTCGGTAGACTTCTTAATCGCTTTGTATCTGGTTGAAAAGCCGAAATTCAAAAAGTACACAACACTAAAACCGCCTTCGCCGATTACTTCGCTGAGACCGAGATAGTACTTTTTAGGGTCATCTTCGCGAATAAGGGACGCTGGTGATTAGAATGCAGGAAAGGAATACGATCATGCAGCAGTTCTTGCACTTCATTAATAATACTCTTCGTTAACTCGGGTTTGGGGTGGAAATTGTAGTACAATGCGCGGAAGATGGTACTCGTGTTCGCCTCAAGCTCCTCCTTCGTAATCTGACTCTCTTCCAACGCTTTCTTCCATTCCTCTGGCATTTCACTGAGACCTACATGAAAGGCAGTCGGAAATCGTACCGAACTGCGTTCCAGAATCCTGAATCGTATGCGTGACGTGGTTTACACACTGGAATTTGCTAATTTCCATATCTTCCGTTAACTCAGCAACAAAATCACTACCCTTTTTATGGAAAAGATTTCTAAAGAAACCTTTCTTCTTTTTCTTTTGCGATTCCGCTTGCTCCTTATATTTTGGCTAATAATGATATTTTAAAACGAGAAATACATCAATAGGAATGCCTTGAATTTGGGGAGGCTAAATGTTAGCAACCAATCTAATAGAAACGCGATTCGTAGTATTCAGTTCCATTCCAATGAAACGCTAAGTCAAAGAACTATATACTAATCCACGCTGCCAAAACCCTACAAAATCTAATCTCTTATGAATAGTAGATTTATGTGAAACCGCGGTTATTCACAACAAACAATCACTCCCGAATTATTCCCTTTTTCCTACCACTTTACGGATCCATTTCAATGCTCGGTCACACAAATACGCTAACAAGCCGTCCAGTAGGGATAGACCCAAAAACTGGAATTTAAACTACGTCTCACGCTCTATGGAACGAAAACTACCTCCTGCGAGGGGAACGGAACCAGCTGCATCCAGCGATTCAATGGAGGAATGATCTCCAGCGTCAACACGAAGAAGAAGGAGAATGAGACGCAGAACGCATAGAAAAGCGGTTTGTTCTCTCGGATGCTCTGCATGAAGGGATGTCCCTACCATCGACCCAACCTCACGCTCAAACCTGGTAGTTCACGATAAACACGAAGAGTTGCATAATGATATCCAACAAAAAGACCACAGTGTTCAACACATTCGGTACGAACTCGGCATCAGGCGACAGCTCCTCCGAACCACTAAAATATCGCATAAACACCCCAAAAATTACAGACTGACGTACGGCAGAGTCATTTTCCGAATCACGTACATGATGCCGAAGTGCACCATAAACTGCAAGGAAATCGTCGCCAAAATCGACCCAGAGAACAGCTTCGATGGCGGATGCTCCGGCGACAGCACCCTCAGCGGCTTCGACGACGAGATGAAGAAGAAGATTCCCGCGATTAACACCCCCGAAATGGTCATTTGGCTACCTCGAAACCCCCGCCAAATCGTACAAATCCCCGTTCTTCACGCCGTCCATGTACAAAACGGACATGGAATAAGCCCCAATAAGACTGTTGAGCGCGAGAATGATGTAGATCTGGAAGGTCGTGACCAGCGTGCAGCGGCCAAAGCGCAGAATTTGAAGAACTAAAAAAAAGCCGATTTCTGGAATTACCTTTATCGATGCCCGTGGATTTGCAGGTGAAGGGAGAAGCGATGCTGGCGTCGCCGAGCTTCAGCTGGACGTTCTCGCTTGCTTCGCGCATGAGCTGGTCGCGCCAATCTTCCAAGTCTAAAAATCGGGGCGATTTTTGGAATTCACTTTGGACGGAAGCAGGCGACGAATGCGACGCGGCGCCGGCGAGAGCGGACTGTTTCGAAGCGAAATGTGACCGAATGGGCATTCTCCGTCCCCCCACGGTGCGGTAGGCCAACTAAAAAACATGACGGAATGGAGGTTCGAACTTGCAGCGCGGGGCTCGGAGCGCGCTCCACGAAGCGTTCGAACTGCTCATTGGCCACTAAGCGGTCCCAGTCGTCCTTTTCGGCGTGCTCGTGGAGCTGCGCCTCGCGATCGGCGACGTAGTCCTCGATCTCGACGTTGGAGAGAATGCTGACGCCGACGTGCGACTGCTTGAGCGCAGCCACGTCGTTGGTGCCGTCGCCGCACATGAGACAGTAGGTCCCGCTGGCTTTGGTGGCGCGGATGGTGTCTCCCTTCTGCTGCGGAGACATGCGAGCGAAGATGGTCACGAAGGGCGTGAGCGTTTCGAGAACGGCGGGCTGGTCGAGGAGGAGCGAGCCTGCGCATCGAGGAGAGCAAACGAGCAGAAACCGTTCAGCACGAGGACGAACCGGGCTTGCAGCGCGGCGAGCGCGGCTGGGTCGGCGACGAAGGTCTGGCAGAGCGTCTGGGAGGCGAGGTTCTCCCAGTAGAGCGATCTGCAGGTCACGCCGGGCGCGCGAAGCAACTGGACGGGCGAGCTCGCGAGCACGAGGACCTCGCTGGAGGCAGGGATGATCCCGCACTGCTTGGCGATCTCGCAGGCGGTGTAGGGGTTGTCGCCGGTGATGATCTTGACGCGGTAGCGATTGTCGATGAGCGATTGGACGGTGGAGCGCGTCGACGATTTCAGCGGACAGTCGAAGAGCAGGAACCCGCAGAACGTCAAGTTCGACTCGACGGCGGACCGCGGCAGCGTCTTCAGCTATCTTTGGAAAGGTTCTCCGTTTCTACGTCGTGGGGAGAGACCGACTCGGGGAGATCCTTCCACGCCATCGCCAGCACGCGCTTTCCTTGCAGCGTGTGGTGCTTGTACACCGATTCATAATGCGCAGGCACTTCGCGAAGCAGTCCGCGCAACATTTCCGGCGCTCCTTTCACCAGCACGCTGCCCCTCACCCCTCCCTTCTTCGCCTACCGCAGTCCCCGCGCGCTCTCCACCTTGCACACCACCGCCATGCGGCGATTGGCGCTCTCGAACCCGTACCGGAACACCGGCGTGAGGCTTCGCGCGCCCTTGCTTCGCATCCATTTTGGCGGCGACAGCGTCCCCGACGCCGCCGCGAAGTCCCATCCGCTGTGCTCCAGCGCGGTGAGCTCCATCTGGTTGCCGAGCAGCTACGGAAGAGAGAGAGAGAAGCGCGACTTTGCCGTTGACCCAGACGAGCTCTTGACACGCGGCCATCACGCTCGTGGCGTCGATTGGGAGCTGACCGACAGAATGCAGCACGCCTTCGTCCGGCGACTCGCACGACGCCACGCCCAGAAGAACCAGTTTGTCGCTGGTCAGCGTACCCGTCTTGTCGAAATAGCACGTCTAGCGGTCAGTTCGAGGCATCGAGCCAACGCGGACGCGACCGGCGAACGGGATGCGGAACGGCTCCGTGCAGAAAATCCCCTTCTTCGAAAGGTTGATCAGCGAGTTGTTCACCGCGTAGGAGAGTTCTAATGGAAGTTCCGGCGGCACCACGTTGGTGATGATCATGATACAATGCAGAATCAGCTTCCAGTGGTTTCGTTTGGGGTCGCGAGAGCCGGTTCGGTACACATACAACGCCGACAAAATCGCGAAAATCAGCAGAATGAAGATGAAAATGAACGATTCGCGGTTATTCGCGGACGTTCGTGCGGACGAATACATCATGTTACGCAGCATATCGCCCTGCGAAGTGTAAAAACCCGTTCGAATCACATAGGCGATGCATCCCTGATTCGCAGGCTTGCTCACATCCTTCAGAGACGATTCCGAGTAGTCTGCTTTGTGCAGGATGATCTTCGTGCCTCCGTACACCATGTGACGACGATGAAGATTGTGTTCCTCCGCGATGGCGAGACACTGATGCCGCGTCTCCGCGGTGACCATCGCAGAAATGCCGATTTTCGATTTGGGAACGGACTCGCCGGTGAGCACGGCTTCGTTAACGACGCAGGACCCGTTGAGAAGAAGACAGTCGCAGGGCGCGACGACGGAGGAGCTGCAGTGAAGAGAAGGAGGAAGAGAGACTCGTCGTTTTCCCAGAGAGAGTCGTGGATTCGCTGGCTGCTCAGACTGATGAGATCGCCGGGGACGAGCTGGCGGCTGGAAATCCGCTTCCAGACCTTCTAGAAGGGAGAGGGAGCGAGGAGAGCGACGTTGCGGTAGACGAGGACGGGGAAGGATTCGGTGCGCATGTCGCGGAGGCTTTTCATGCTGAGGATTTGCTGCTTGACTTGGAGCGATTCCATGATAACCAGCATGCCGAGCGTGAAGAGCGTGTAGCCCACATAGTCGTCGATGCACCAGAGGAGCACGGAGAATACTTGGAATACGAAGAAGGGGGCCGTAGCATGCTCGAAAAAGAGAGACCAGAACGAGGGGATCTCCATGCAAAGATCGTTCTCTCCCCACTTGTTCTTGGCTTCGATAAATGATTCCTGTGTGTGTCCACGCGCATTCAAATAGGTTTCGAATTCCTCGTGGTCTGGGAAATCGAGCAAGTGGAACTCCGAGTCCTTCCCGTCCTTCTCAGATACAAATCTGAGCTTTTGGAAGTCAAACCAGAAATAAGAGGTTCCCTAGTGTTCACAGCCCCTAGTTGCTCTACGTCCTGGACTCGTTTGTGTAAATCACAAATTGCAGAGCTTCCACAATTCGGCGCAGCCACCACATACACAGAATCGGCATTTTCCAGCGATAGCACCTATTCATTCACCACTCATTCTAGTAACAAACCCGCTTGTATCTCACATGAATGCGGTACCGGAAGGACCAAATACACATCAGAAAAGTCAACACATGAATGAAAGCGACTGAACAGAGAATAATAATAGCCCCAATCTGTTCAACCTTCCAAAAGGAAGAAATTGCGATGATATAAAATGGAATCAAGGGAAATACATTCCTGTACAAATACCAAGGTTTCTTCCTCAAGCACTCAACTCTGCTTACAAGAGGATGATTAATAGAAATCATAACACTTCTAATTATGAAAACTAATGATTCTGTAACAACCTTTCTGCGTCTCCAACTTCGTATATACAACAAACAATCTCACCAAGCTGCAGTCTCATTCTTGAAAAACATTTGCTTATGCGTAAGATGCGACAAATCCGACGGACTCACAGTCATTACATTTCCACACTTATAGTTCTCCGGCTGCATGCTCTCTACCAATCAATCCAAAGCTCGCTCATTCTACTGGGCAGACAGAACACCCGGCCCGCAAACTTCTCAACATACCAAGAAAACGGTTTGCATTGCAGCCTTTGCTTCAGCTCCAGCCTCTCTACAACAAAAATCGCGTTCTCCGCACCCTACCTGAAATATCTCCGAAGTCGATCCCCGGACTGCCATTAATGATCTCATACTTGCCAGCCTCATAAAACAGCGCCAAATGCTTCTCATCCAGCCACACATTCGCGATTCTCAGATAGTTCCTCCGCACATCCAGCCCATTCACTTTATAATGGAACTTCTCTCGGAACGCGTGCGCCACAAACGAATCTTTCGCCACCACGATTCTCCCGCCACACAGCCACGTTCTATCATCAACACCGCCATCCAGACCCACCGCAGCGAGATCTCCACGTTCTCGCCTCCCCAGGTTTTCAGCTGGGAGTCGAGACGGCCTTCGTTCCACCACAGTTTGCTCGTGGCGAACATTCCCATCGTGATCGGAGAGAAATCGTCGGTTTTCGAACCGCCGCCCCAGAATTGACGGAGCTCCGCCGTGATGGAGGCGGAGCTGCCGATGCCGTCCCATACCCTCTTGGGAATGAATTGATCGGGGTCTAGGCGAAAGTTAACGAAGTTTACAAGGGTTTTGGGGTCCTAGAAAGCAGGGCTGGACGGAATGTACTTCCAGGAGGAGACGATGAGGCGTGGTGAGCCAGTTCGGTCCGACATAGACATGTGCGTCGATAAAAGCAAGAAAATCTCCGTGAGCCTCGTTGCCACCGATAAAACGTGCTTTGATAAGACCCAAACGCTCTTCTACGATGTTCAGTCAGTATTTGGATCTACCGCTACGGACTATTCGCACGCGGGACTCGGACGGATCCCAAGAAACTGGAATGGTCGAATGATCATCAATAACGAGAACCTCGAAGTTACCAAAAGAAAGTGACCTTACCTCATAAAGATACTCCGGCTTTGTATTCTCCAGGATATTAGAGATACTAGAAAACAGGCAAGGAGAGTATTTGCTACGTTTTGTTAAGCAGTGGCTCATTGTAAGTAACAATAATCACTGAAAATTTAGAATATGGGCGATTTCTCTCAACTTGTAAGCAATTTGATCCTAAAGCAACAGTTTTATGCACCAGTCCATCACAATCAACGGGAATCCCATAGTACCCAATTCGATTAACAAAATGGCTCACAGCTGTCAGCTGTTGAATCGATGGATATTTGGCTGATAACTCCACTATTACGAAAAGAACCACACATGAAAAAATAAAAATAGAGTAAATGCTACCTTGCATTGTACTCTGGGATGCAGTTATCCCCAATACTAAAAACCAAAGTTCAATATTTCGCCCTAATTCTGGATGTCCAATTTCCGAATTCTATTAGATGATATGAAACCGTTTTCAGGTTATTTTGTTATAATCAAAAATATTATTGTTACTTATCAATTATGCCTATTACCACTATCGGTGTCTCTAATCTAGCTAGGGATAAATCGCCACCTCAACAAGACAGTAATGAAGCACTCACTTCCATTCCTGGATCTAATATAGTCTATGGAAAGCGTGGTACAGAAGAAGGAATATTTTATAAAGAGGGAGAGGGTTACTCACTTATTCGAGGAAAACGTCTATTAACTGGTTTTACATATTGCCGTGTTGGAAAGGAATGGAAGAGACATGAGGATCTCATAATTAATTCAACCATTCCCAAAGAAGTCTCACTGTATGAAAATGATCAACTAATTTACAAAGGTGGGATTAAGAATGGCTTGTACCATGGGCGTGGAACAATTTACAAAGACGGAAAGCCTGTTTTTGAAGGCCATTTCGAAAATGGCAAGAAATGTGGAGAAGGCTGTGAATTTGAGGACAACGGATTATTTATAAAAAGAGAATATAAGGATGATAAGATTACTGGCAGTTCTTCTGAAGACCAAGAGTATAGAAAAAGTATCGATAAGTTAAAGAAATCCTTTGAAAAGAAAAATCCGAAGTTGTATATTGCAGATACCACTTATTGCGACTTTATAGTTCAAAGAAAAAGAGATCCAAGATTCCAGGAATCTCCTATGGTCTTCTATGGATATGTAACAAAAGAAGGAGCTCATCGAGTTATCGGAAAGGAATTCAAGGTTACTGGATATGATCATTTTGAAGGTATTTATGATGAGCAAGGTAGATATTATTATGGAACGTTGTGGTGTGATTCCAATGTTCGTTTTGAGGGATCATTTGAAAATGGAAGAATGAAGCACGGAAAGATCTATATATCGAAGGTTTTGCTGTATGAAGGGGATGTTAGCGAGGATGGTCAGATGCATGGACAAGGCCGTTTGTATTATACCAGTAAAATGAATACTACTCCTTTTGTGCAATATGAGGGCTCGTTCCAAAACGGAAAACCGGAAGGATTTGGGAAGGTGTTCTACAACACGGAAAACGAAGAAGAAAAGAGAATCAAGTACTGTGGGTATTTCAAGAATGGCTTGTTTGATGGAGATGGGATTTACTTCTCCAGAGACTTGAGTTATTGTTGTGGAACGAGCTACGAATGGAACAAAGCGGAGACCAAGCCATTTGGGACGAGAAGTGACAAGATTGAAGTTGCAGATATTATGAAAGCATGTAGTACTATGAGCCAAGCTGAATTCGATTCTCTTTCACACAAGTATAGTATTGCTGCTACAAATCCTGAAGGAGGTTGGAAAGAAGGAGAACTTGATGGACAAGTCAGAATTACCTCGAAAGAACATTCTTCTTATTTGGTAAAGATGGTTGATCGCAAGCCGACATTTGTATGGGATATGATGATAGATAATAAGAAATATACTGGAGAAGTGATAACCGATGATAAAAGTGATATTTCTTTATTATATTTCAAAGTTACTTTTACAAGATACGATGTCGTATTTGGTGGATGGAAATACTCCGATATAATACGAGATGAAAGAGGTCAATTATCAGGCTCCATCACTTATAATCAGAGATTATTGTATTGTGGAATGATCAAGAATTTTGAACCGAATGGAGAAGGACAGTTATTCGATGAAAAAGGTCAAAAGTATGTTGACGGTATTTTTGATAATGGAAGAATGACGCACTGCAGATTGGAATATCATAATTATAAATATGAATTAGAATCGACAAATTGGGACTGGAAGAAACCTGAAAGTTGGAAATTAAGCGGAAACGGAAAATTGTACACATTGGTAGAAACTTCTAAACGACCGCTACCTGAGTATTACCTTGTTTATGAAGGCGCTATGGTAAAAGGAAAGATGGAAGGTAAAGGAAAACAATATGAAGGGAATCCTGGATTTCAGCAAATCGAGAAATGTAATGCTTATGATACAATCAAAGACGGAGAGTTTCATAACGGAAAACTTGATGAAACTAAAACCTATTCTATCTTCTATCGATCGAAGGCAAAAGAAGGTTTTACATCGCTTAAGAAGGTATATTATCCATCTAACAAGTATATTCTTCGTATGTATATCAATGAAGAAAATGGTTCATATGAATATGTTGATTTTGTTAATGCTGATAATGATGGTTTAGGATGGTACTTTGAAGGAGGTTTGAATGTAATGTATGGAAAGAAAGATGAAAACGGTAAAAGAGAAGGAATCTGTACTTTCTATAAACTACCGGACAAAAATGAGTTGGATTCAATATTCAAAGGAATGCGTGTTGAATATGATGAAAAGACACTGGAATTGTATTTGACAAAGAAAGCAACATACAAGAATGGTGTTCTCGAAGGTGATGTGTGCTATAATATGAATGGAACTAGAATTGAAATGGTTATGAAGAATGAGAATGGTTATGAAGGTATAAAATATGAAAAAGGAATGACTATTATTCATAATGATAATGCTTGCGTGAAACGATCAACAACTGAAATCTATCGAGGAGGTATAATCATACATGAATATAATAATGGTAAAATGGAATACATTTATGATGGTCAAGGAGTAGGAGAAATATCGATAAACAAAGATTCTAGATGTTGGTTTGAAGGTGAATGGTGTAACAATAAGATGTATAAAGGCAAGCTTCGATTTGCTAAAGATGGTCGTATAATCGAAGGTGAATGGCAAAATGGCGAGATTGATCCACAATTTGAATACACAATCCGATTGAATGAAAGAGACTATAAAAAGAGTACACTATATAGAAATTATGGAGAACACAACGTGACTGAATGCAATATCGATGGAAGAGAATACAAGTTGGAAAAGAGAGATCGTTTTATCTATTGTACAGTGAAAAGTGGCACCGAATTACTCTACGAAGGATTTGTGATGAGTAAATCAAATTCAGAACACACGATGTCGAATACTGGAAAGGTACCAAATCGATTTGTGAAATGGGAATATATCCCACATGGAGCAGGCCGAGAATATGAAAATGGGAAATTGAAATATGTAGGTAGTTATGTGTTTGGAAAACGTGAAGGAAACGGAAAAGAATACAAAGAAGATGGAAAAACACGATTGTTTGATGGAAATTGGAGAAATGACCAATATGAGAATGGAGCTTATTATCAAAACGATTTAAAGATAGAATGTAACTTTGGTAAATTTACACAAGATCATAACGTCCCGATTTATCTGAATGCAATAGTGTCCAAAAATGGTATACAATTGTATCAAGGCTCGATACAGAAAGTTGGAAATGATATGAAGCCAGTCGAAGGAACTTGGTACATAAGTTTCCTTGGTAATTCTGGGTATCTTGTGAAATCATCTGAGTTGCGAGACAATAGAATCCATATCAAGAATACTGTGTTTGAATACACTGGTTCGATAAAACTCGAAGATTTTGATTTCAGTATGTCAATAGAAGGAAAAGGTGAATTAATACATAAAGGATTTGCATATTGTGGTAAATTTGAAAGTGTTGAAACTATAAAAGAATGTACACTAAGTCGAGTCATGTCCATTAGTCAGAAAACACCATTCTTTTATGGTGAAGTGAAATGGTTGACGATGTATGCTGGAATTCTATTTGATGCGAGTTATATTTCTGAAGGATTATTTGAAGATAATAGATTGATTAATGGATATGTTTTCGATACTGCTGGTTATTTGAAACAAATTGTAGGAGATCCAAGTGGTTATGAGGCACTTTATTCTGAGAAGAAGTACAAGTATCGCGAGTTATTCCAACAGAATCATGGAGTTGTTTTACATTATCCAACAACTCAACCTACTGCTACGAATCAATTCGTACCCAATGTGGGTAATCCTAGCAATCAATCCGCACCCAATGTGGGCAAACCTGGAAATCAACCCACACCCAATGTGGCAACCTCTAACAAGACTGATACTCAAGAGAAAAAGATTGCTAATGGTTCTGCCGTTATCTACAACGAAGGTGGTAAGTGCTTAATCAGAATGACATAAGAAATTGTTTTTTGAAAACACCATATATTTTGTTCAAATGTCTAAATGTGTGAACTTCGAGACAAGCAAAAGCAGCCAATCGAAAAGCAAGATTGATTGCAACGAGAACACAAATTCCGAGTGGAAGATCATATCCATTGACTCCAGTATAGTCCATTACCTATACATCACACCCTTCTCTTTTTCAAACTGATTGGCCGTCAGGGAAAAGACAGGGCTCTGGCGCTGGAGGACATTCAAATACTTTTCCACTAAACTGGTTAATGATAGTCAGCTTATATCCCCAATTAAACATGCTGATTTGTTTGATCCAAATTAGATAACCAGGGATTGGATGATCCCGAAGATAAAACCCTCCTAACAGCACAAGAGGAAGGATTGTGAGACCCGCAAATGCATTTGCAAGTGCTAAATCGCCCGTGGCTGCAGAGATAAAATGACCCAGAGCAACGGCTATTTCTCAAAAACGACGAGAAGATCTTACTAGAGTTTGTCACCAGCCAAAGAATTCCAATGTATGCAACAAATCGACTTACGGATGCATCAAAACCTATCATGTAATAGTTAATACAAGCTCCAATCAAGGGAAATATCAACGAAACGGGAATTCCTGCAACTGTTTTTGCCAAATAATATGCATCCACACGATAAAGACCTGACGCTACTTCGTTATAAATGATAGGAAGTTCTGCTGGGAATAACTGGATTTCTGCAAAAAGCAAAGAAAAGCACTCGTTCATCATTACCAGAAAAACGACAGAAAGTCGGTTTGTGATTCCGGACTGATCTAGTCCGAGCTGAAGAAACACAAGTCCCACAAGAACGGAAAGGACGATTGTTTGAAAGAATCGAGCTAATGTGAGTGAAGGGTCTCTTATAATGATGTGCATATTTCTGGAGAGAAGTGTTTTGAATTGTGTCCACCACGATGTTGGGCATTGACACATAAACATCGTGTTCCAAAAACGATAAAGAAGATTATGATGCTCAAATTCTTCGATTTTTTGGATTTGTTGCTGGATGCATTCTTCCTCCTTCAGTTCTTCGATTTTGTGGACCTCTTCATTGTTCGATTGATTGATCCAGCTATCTCTATGCCTAACCAATACGCTCTGACATCACTTGAACTGCTCGCAAAGTAAATGAACCTGCTGAATTCGCTTTATTTTCGCTTCTTCTTCCAACTCGTTATCGATCGCCATTGCGTGAATAGCGAAATCTCCATCCTATTCAACGAGCATTTCCTACCAGCCATGTTGTAATACGTGGGACAGGGCATTCCAATCGACTCAAAATAGTCCTGAGCATCCTCTCGTCGGCCGAAATAAGCGACTTCGCCATCTGCGAGATACATTACGCGGTCGAATAAGTTGTATGTTTCGGTTGGAGGCTGGTGGATCGTGCAAACGACGGTCACTCCGTGATCTGCCTGCAATGAAAAAAGCCTTTTGAGCCCTACCAACACGCGGAGTGTTCGAATGACGGTTTCTGCCATGTAGGAATCCAGTCCGCTGGTTGGTTCGTCGCAAAACAAAATACTCGGATAGTTGATGAGTTCGGTTGCCAGGGTGACTCGACGCATTTCTCCTCCAGAAATCCCCTTGATTTTCGTCCCTCCTAACCGAACATTCAAGCAACGAGTTAAGTTAAAATGCTTTGTAAGCTATGAGTGAGTGTACCTAAATCATTCCTTGCCCAAATCAAACGGTTTCGAATCTCCTTTTCTGGCCGATCGCCAAGTCGAAGAATCGCTTGATAGTATAAGTGTTCTTCCACGGTTAAAAACTCATAAAACAAGTCGTGTTGGCGAACAAATCGGCAGACCCTGCGTAGAGAAGTTGCGTTCACTTTATTTCCGTTGATCGTAAAATTACCAGTAAAATTGGAATTTCTTCCACATAACACGGATAACAATGTTGTTTTGCCTGCTCCACTAGAATCAAGCGTTTCGTTAGATGTGTACCTTGCTCCTAAGATAGCAGTCATTTCTCCGTGTTTTGCAAATCCATTTATATGACGAAGGATCAAACCGTCGTTTCGAGGAGGAATTTCTTCGACCAGAGGAAAGCTGGAAAGATCCGATTTGGATGTTAAGGACGCTTGTGTTTTGTTATCTCCCATGGAGACGATCACCGTATCCGACTTTTGTGTAAAGCTGGAAAAGCTAGAGCATTCCGCAGACGAGTAATGACTGCTTTTTGAGAGTCCGAGGGAAATGATGTTCTCCTCCTCTTCCACCTAGTAAATACCATACACATATGAATACTAATTCGAATAAGGGATTTGGTTTATGTGCCTTCTTCTTGCCTGGAAGATGAAAACGATGTTGTTTGGGTTTCCAACACAGATCTTCAAACGAAAACAAGCATGGAGATATTTCTTCTGGAATAAAGTATCGTTCTAGTGCAGCTTCCTCTTTATCACGCGCTACTAGCTGTTATGATATACACGAGCACAAAACCGGAAACAGATGCAGCAACCCCCTTTTCATGGGATTGCAAGCCAAGTTCTAGGGAATCTGAATCAGAAGAATCAGACATTTGCTACTAATACAAAAGGGATCAATCTATATCCTGTTAACTCCAGTATCTGTAGGATTGAGTTCGTACATATAAGGATCTTTGGATATCATGATATGTCAAAACTTTTTTACCATGCTTCCATAAACTTGCATATTCTATTGTTCTATATATGGTTGATACAGGTGAACTTTTAAAATATGAATCGCTATGACCTTTTGTTATGGTCAAAGCATTAAGCTTAATTTGTCTCAGATAAATTACGATACTGCTCGTTTACCGTCCTTTACTCCACAGTGATTCTATAAAAAAACAAGTATTCAATGATATCTTTGAAATCATCCCAAATCTATGCATTATTGTAACTCTTCTTTATGATATATTCGTTGTTATATATCAATATCGATATCAACCTTCTAGTCATCAATGCTTGTCTCAGATCGCTAGTTAAGCACATGGATCACAAAGGAAAACCCCAAATATTATGACCCACATAAAACCTCCACTCACCATGTGGTTTTAGCAGTTGTTGTTAGTCATTCAGGTTAATCGCGGTTTTTCATCATTATTCTAAGAATTCAAAAAAAGGTAGAAATGGATTTTGACAAGCAGTATGGCAATATGAATTCTGCTCCTATGGTAACTCGAGGCAGAGGATTCAATGAAAAGCCAATGGCTGTACCTGAGTCTGCTCCTCGTCAAAATCACCCCAGAAATCCTCGCAAGAAGGTTACTATCAACACGCAATTGTATTCTTCAATATCGCCTTTTTAAGCCGTTAGTGTCGTATCGAAGAACAAGCAGTTCAGAGATTACTCCCAACAATCCTCCAGCTGGAAAAGGAAGAATGGAATGAATAACTTCCGTGGAGAAGTTTCGAGGGATAATCGCTTCCGCAAAGAGGGCCGCTATGATGGAAATCGTTACTCCAATGGACGACAGAGGAATGATAAGAGAAGAACCTATCTTACAACCGAACGTCTTAATTCTGATCTAGATAAATATTTTATGAAGGTATGACAAGAGTTCATTCGTTATTTTCGTTAGGATGAAGCTGCGATGACAAAGAAGTTAGATGATGAACTGGCGTTATTTACTCAACAGCGCGACCAACTTGTTCAGCCTATCGATGAGGTTGATAAAAACACTCCTTCTGCTCAGTAACCAAACCTTATGTACCCCATCTCGTTGTTTGTTCAACAAAGACACTACTTTCTCTCATATTCTCTATGCTCCACATGCATCTTGATCTCCTGAACGATCCGCGAGAAGTCCAGACGCTCCTTCACCTCGTCCATCCATTCTGCGATCACTTCTGCAGCAGGTCCCTCGATGCTGCGTCCCACCTTGTACGCTCCTTCCAAATCATCTCTACCCATCACCCCCTCCTTCTTCCGCTACTTCATCAGCAGTTGCTGCATCATCTCCAACTTCATCAGCGGATCATCCTCATCGAGTCCCTTTGTTCCCACCAGCGACACGACCGCTCGGCCCAGCAGCTCTCCCGCGAACCCCGCGTTCTCCGGCGTCTTCGCGGCCACCCTGGCTTCCTGCCGCACGGCCTGGAACCTACGCTTCGCGCCTCCATCCAACGCTCACTTCGTGAAATAGTACAGCACGTCCGGAACGCGTTTCTCCACCACCGACTGCGGAATCTGCTTGATCAGGTGCAGCAGGATCGGGTCGTCGTTCGCCTTCTCTTTCTGTGCGTGAGCGGAGTCGAAGCGTTTCTACCAAACGGTCGAGATCGGCGCTGATCGACGCCTTCGCGATGATGTGCTCCTGCATCTCCCAAATCGCGCGCTGGTACTCCTGCGTCTTCAGCATGTTCGACAGCAGCGCCTCCTGCGCCTCCAGCTGCTCCACGAGGTGCTGGAGCTTCGCGTGGAAGGCTTGAAGCGCGTCGATTCGCTGCGATTTTTCGCTGTCCACTCGGCGTTGCACCTGGTTCATTTCTTGCAGAATCCGAGCCACCCACGATTCGTTCTGCGCGATTTCTGCGCTCAGTACGCGGCCCTTCGTCAGCATCTCGCGCTCGTAGATCAAGTCGTCTTTGTAGTCCACGTACTGCCGGCGGACCTGCGCGATTTCGCCGTTGTACTGCGCCAAAATCGAGCGGATTTCCGCCATCTTCTCACCGTCGATTTGCTGGGCGATCTCCGCGCGCAGATCGACTTCCAGCTGCTCCAGCTGCTGGTTCATCGACGTCGTCAGGTCTTCGCGCTGCTGCTTGAGCATGGAGTAAAGTCTGCGCGATTCCTGCACGGCGGAATCTCGCAATTGCTGCTCTAAAGAGTCGATCTGCGCAGACAGATCGGTCGTTAGGCGCGTCTGGAGCGATTCGTTGAGTCGGGACGCCAGCGAATCGACTTGGCTCATCACGGCCGCTTCGACTTGGCGTAGAACGAGTTGCTGCTCGGATGATTCGGATGATGATTCGGATGCTTCCGAGGGTGCCTCCGAAGATGCTTCCGAGGATGCTTCCGATGATAACTCGGTGGATGGATGGGGCAGGAGGCACGCTCGCGCCTCGGCGAGGAGAGACTCGACGTAATCCCAATCGATGGATTTCCGCGGTGGGGGTGGAGGCAACGCGACGGGCGTTTCAGCGACGGGCGTTTCAGCGGCGGGCGTTTCAGCGACGGGCGTTTCAGCGACGGGCGTTTCGGCGATGGGCGTTTCGGTGGAGGGAGTTTCAGTGGCGGGAGCGGGAGAAGGGAAGTGGAAGGGATGCCATTCTGCTTCCGATTCGTCGAATTCGATGGAAGATTCTTCGATGGAATTCGAGGGGGCGAGAGGGCAGGGCAAGGATGCTGGTTCTACGGTTTCCACGGTTTGTAACTCGGTTTTTTCTTCTACGATGGGTTGCTCTTGTTCTTTCTCTTCCTTCTTTTCCACTGTTTCCACTGTTTCCACGATCTCTTCCTCTTCCTCTTCCTCCTCGTCTTCTTCCTTTTCTTCTTCCTCTTCTTCTTCTTCTTCTTCTTCTTCTTCGTCTTCTTCGTCTTCTTCGTCTTCTTCGTCTTCTTCGTCTTCCTCTTCGGATCCCCATTCGCCAGGCTTCGGTTCCTCCGATTGATACACAATCCAATCCTCCTCTTTTTCCACAATTGTTTCCTCTTCCTCTTCTTCCTCCTCGTCTTCATCGTCTTCTTCTTCTTCTTCTTCCTCCTCTTCTTCTTCCTCCTCTTCTTCCTTTTCTTCCTTGTCTTCCTTTTCTTCCTTTTCTTCTTCTTCGCATCCCCATTCTCCCGGTTTGGCTTTCTGCGATTCGTAAAGAATCCATTCCTCCTCTTCCTCTTCTTCTTCCTTTTCCTTTTCTTCCGCGACCGGTTTCTCCATTTCCACTTTCTCTTCCACAATCGGTTTCTGCTCCTCCTCTACGACGGGTTTCTCCATTTCCACAACCGGTTTTTCTTGTTCTTCCTCTACGATGGGTTTTGCCGCCATTTTTTCTTCGTCTTCGTCTTCGTTTTCATCGGATCCCCATTCGCCTTTCTTCACTTCGCTCGGTTCACCAAACAAGTGCCATTCTTCCTCCATCTCCTCCTTTTCCACTGTTTCCACTGTTTCCACTGTTTCCACTGTTTCCACCTTCTCCTCCTCTTCTTTCTTCTGTACGAATTCGCTTCGATCAATCTCGCAAATATCTTTTCGAATTCTTTCTTTCTCTTCTTCCAGCATCGCGCGCGCAGCGGCCAGGACCTTCATGATCCGAGGAATATCGATCTCTTCCTTCTTCGATTCCTGCTCCACGGAGTGAATCAAATCCACCAATTCTTTCTGGAGTTCTTCTTCTCGGATCGTAATCGTAATCGGACCCTCCTCCTCCTCCTCCTCAGGTTCGGGCTCTGGGGCGGGAGAGGATGAAGGCTCTGGTTCAGGCCATCCAAGAGGAATGTATTGACGAATGAACGAAACCGCCTTCGGGTAATCTTGCTCACACTTATAGAAAAAGTCCGGAGACAATCTTAGAGTTACGAATCATCAGAATACCAATTACTTCATGCCTCCCAAAATACCAACAGGAAGACCAATGGCAATTCCCAAAAACAGCTTCGCAGCGTTCCCCATTCCCTTTCTTTCCGGCTTTACAGCTTGGTTATTTGTAGAGTTGCCCATAGTTTTTGTCTCTGCTTTAATAACAGGCTGCTCAGCAGTTTTCTCCGGAAAATTAGGCGCAGACGGAGGTGCAGTGCTACTTCCACCTACATTCTAAACAAGATTAGTCAAATTCACAAAGCTGGAAGTTCAAAACCAATACTTACCTTTTGAGCATTTGACGTATTTTTTTGGACAGGAGAAACTTTTTTATTTGACTTTGAACTAAGATTACGGACACCCTTCACCACCAATCTGGAAGAAGGCGATTTCTACAATGATAATATCACTTTCGATATCTCCTACCGATATCCTGACAATTCGAGAAAACATGATCGTCCAGAATGTTGCTGAATCTCTTTTGCCTTTTCCCCTCAATAGTCCATATTTTTGGAATTCCGTTTTTCAAACAAACACATTCAAACCTCTTTCACATCAGGTAAGACACAAATAATGATATCTTCCTTCTGGAAAATATAGTCTCGATCGGGGACCGCAACCCTACAATGCACCCAGTCTCCATGGCCTACACATACGATCTCCCGGTGCCACAGCAAAATCTTCTCACTCCCAGAATCATCAGGCCATGCCCCGACAATAAATCATAAAACAAATCCGAGGCCTTCGTGTTGCCTCTCGCTCCCACACTGTATTCCACCAGCCGTTTCCCTATTTCTCGCCATCCCCGCGGGTTCCTACCCTTCTCCTCCGACAGCAGAATCTCCAACGCGGTGATACTCGACTCGAAGCACGTGGATAGCGGGTTCAGATCCTGCATCGGCTCATCGACATATCTACCTCGCACTTCCCTTCCAAACCGACATGTTCCCCGCGGCAAAGTCCGGCGTAAAGTAGTACTTGTTGTCGATGTAATCAAACGAGGGCGGACAGGGCAGTCGGATCAGGCTGGTCAGCGACGACGCGTTTTCTAAATGCAGCAAAAAGTTCACCGCGAACTGATGAAACTCCGGGTTCACCGTCTCCTGGATGAGTTTCCCCAGTTTCTCCTACGGCGTTGTCGCCGATCTTGTGCTGGAGCTGCTCTCCGTACTTCTGGAAATGCTCCAGCGTGAGCAGCGAGACGGCGGAGGCCTGGTCGAACATCGATGGTTCCTCGCTGTTCGGCAATTTGGACGGCTATCTCTCAGCTTTTCTCGCCCTTCGGGTACTCGGTAGTCCTGCCAGGTCGCGTACGGCATCAGCAGGATGCGGTCGGCGGTCTCGGCGCCGGCTTCGCGCAGCGCGGCAATATCGGTGGCGCTGCCTTCGACGAAACGGAGCTTCCCTTCGAATTGGTCCACGAGCGCGTCCCAGTCCACTAGGATCGAGGGGAAACGGGGAAACTACCGGTCTCGGGGATGGAGGGAGCGATGATGGCGATCTCGGGGAGGTGGCTGTTGATGGGGTAGAGCAGCATGCGGCGAAGAAAGGACCCGACGTTCTGAGGACATCCCTGCGCTGGTTAGACGAAATTCAAACAATTTTGCGGTAATGCAATCATGGATTCATTCATGGATTCAATCATGGATTCAATCATGGATTCAATCATTCAGTGATTCAATTCATTCAATTCAAACAATAGTCATGGATTCAACTCAATCATTCAATTCATCCATTCAATTAAAACCCGTTCACTCATTCATTTATTTATTCATTGACTTATTCAATCATGGATTCAATCATTCAGTGATTCAATTCATTCATTCACTCATCCATTCAATTCATTCATTCAAAACCCGTTCACTCATCCACCCACCGAGATCACGACCCGCGAAACGTCCACCGCGAAGCGGCTCGCCACGCGATGTCCCTCCGCGTGCTCCCCTCCCCCGCGGGGGAACAGGGGCGACGACAGCGTCTGCGAGTACGGGATCGGCTGATGAAACGCCCGCTGCCGCATCTTCGCGTTGCTTCGCCTCAGCTTTTCCCTCTCCCGCCTACTGAAACGCCAGCGACCCCGTCGTGCGCACGTGCTGCGGCGTCTCCAACCCTCCCGTGAGCCCGCCTTCCGACCCTCCCGTGAGCCCCTCCTCGGACAACGAAACCTCCGCGACCGGGTCCCGCGGGGATTCCGTGCGGGGCTTCGCGCGGAGTTCCGCGGGGGAGGCCAGATCCTCGTCGCTGGACTCGTAGAAATGCGAGGTCTGCGGCCAGAGCGAGGAGTCCAGCACCATCCCGCGGTTAATCTGGATATCGCTCGAGGTGATGTTCACCGAGGCCGCCGTCGGCAGCCGCTCCAACTCGATCACTCCCGCGGAATCGCTCACCTCCGATTCCTCCCCCGCGGGGATACTCGCATCCATCGAGTCGCTCTCCGCGGCCTCCTCGGCCTCTCCGGACGGCTTTTCCGCGGGGATTTCCGCGGGAATCTCCGCTTCGCGCGGCATGTCGGCCAGTCTGCATGTCGTCCCGCCCCCAGACCCCACTTCTCGTCCGCGTCCTCCGCGCACCGCAGCGCGCCGAGGCTGCGGCTGCGCGCGATCTCCTCGCTCCCGCGGGGCGCGCGGGGGTTCCGCGGGTCCTCCTCGCGCTCGGGAATGATGGTGAGCAAGGCGAGGGCGGTGGGCAATGCCCGCGTGGTGAGCGGCGCGCCGAGGCGGGCGGAGAAGGCGCAGTCGAAGGCGGCGTCGCTCTGGAGCCAGGCGAGCGCGTCGGCGGCGGCGGCGGCGCTGGAGGCGAAGAGATGGAGCCGGTCGCCGAGCTGGAGAGGCGTGAGGACGGGGTTGATCTGCATGGGACCGTTGAGCTTCTAAAGGGAAGGGAGAGAGGAAGGAGGAGGCACGGTGAGGGCGAAGAGGAGCTGGCCGGTGTGCTTGTAGATGGCGACCGAGGCTCTAGGGGAATGGGGAAACGAGGAAACGGAGTACTGTCCGAAGAGGAGGGACTTGGCCGGGAGGTCGGTGAGGGGGACGGTGAAGAGCGATTTGGCGAGGGAGCGGCGGTACTCGTTCTTCCAGGAGCTCTCGTGCAGGACGTTGATGACGTAGCCGGGCGTTCGCTGGCTGAGAGGGAGCGGGAGAGAGAGAGAGAGGTACTTGATAGTTTGATGGACGGTGTTGGTGGAGGCGCGGATGGAATCGCCGTACTTCCCTTTCATTAAAATCCGCGTCTTCTCGGCGCTCGTGTAGAAGGGCTCGTGCGTGTCCTACGCAATAAGGGAGCGAGCTCGATCCATACGCGCGTGTGCATGAGAAGGAGGTTGTGGAGGAGCGGGTAGGTCCCCGGACAGAGCAATTCCGTGGTCACGAGCGCGTGCTTCAGCGATAAAGGAAGATTGATCTTGACGGGGAGCACGAATTGCTACGCATCAACGATCGCTTCCTCTTCTACAGGCACGGCGATCACGCCCGAGAAGATGCTGGTCACCACGTGGGGCTTGCGTCCCGAGGACGCGTAGAGAGCCAGGTCGCGGATTTTCTTTTGATCCTGCGTCGAAAAAAGGCACGATTTTTGTACTTTTTTGGGAAGGCCTTCGACGTAGTTGAGATACTGCACGTTGGTGATATAGGAGTTCTCGAGACTCACCAGAGCCAGCACAGTCTCTTTATCGCGCGAAGCGAGATCCTTGGTGCGATCGGGGATGTAGATGACATCGCTCGCAGACATGAACATACAGCGGAGCAGATCGTTCTATGCATCGCCCCTCTCTCCAATGGGCACATGATTAAACACGGATCCGGTGAAGAACTGCACTCGCATCACGAACCGATGCTTCCAATACGGACTGTGTCGAAACCCGTTCATTGTTAAATTCGGCGTCACCACCGCCACTACCCTCACAAGCCCACACTATTCCCACGAATGAAATCGTCTCCGACGAAGTCTTCGCGCCACTGATAGACCAGCGTGGAGAAAACGTCGCGGTACGTGCAATACCCGGTCAGAATCAAATGTCGCTTGTGCGCGGAGTTCTGCAACCGGCTTCGATCCCGCGTCGAGTTCTCGCTTTGCCAGAGGTGGTAGAGCTGGATGGCCTGGGTGTCAAGGCGAGAGCGAGGCTACGTTGCGAGGAATGAAGATGATGATCATCGCGAACAGCGCGATGAGGAGAACTTTGCCGGCAGGCGTGCGGGGATAGACATCGCCGTATCCGACGCCCAGAGCGGAAGTAATCACAAAAAAGCTACGAAATAAAGGGGGGAAAATGGAGCGAGACAAGCTGGTGATCATGTCGAGTTCCAAACCTTGTGCAGCCCACTCGCTGTACTCGAGAGTCTGAAACAACGCTGTGAGTGAGAAAAGAGTGTGGGAGAGAGAGTGTGGTACATGAGAAAAAGAGGAATAGAATGAATGATTTGAGGAGTAAGTAAGTGAGATGATCCACAAACGCGCTGTGAATTCGAAGGATTTCGCGGCGTTGCCACATGCGGAATAAACGAATCACGCGAAGTGGAGTGAAGGAGGACACGATGGAAGGGAAGGAGGATATAAATACGAAATGCTGGGAGCTTTACGATCCAGGATGAGACGTTGCCTGTCACTTTCATCCAGATCATGATGATGAGAATGGGAAAAGAAGTTATGATATCGATTAGACCCGGCCTGCGGTGAAGATAGAATCAGAATGAGTACTCAGAGAAGATAAATGCAAACTTGTTTGGTGCCAAATAGAATGTTAAAAAAAAGTCGAACGTGTAGTAGATACTTACGGATAACTAAAGTAAAAGGGTGCAAGAACGTCTCACTGAGAAGTACCACACCCATCCAGGAATATCGAATTCAGCTTCGTTCATATACATCACGAAGATGACCGCTCCCAAAGTGGAGAAAAACGTATTTAACTATACTATAGGAAATAGAGAGAGTGAACAGCCGCATAAATATAAAAATAGTACGAATAGTCTAGGATTTCAGAGATTTTGTCCTTGCAAGTCTTTTTCTTCTTGATTGAACCTACAACAAATTACAGACCCCCGTAAACCTCACTAGTAGTGTTTACAGAAGGTTCATAGGTAGTTTCGTAAATACTCTGCCCACCAATAAAGGTGTCATAGTAGTATGGCTAAACGTGAGCCTTTCATCCCCAAAGCCAACTTCTCTAATCATTATCAAACCCGGAGATTTTTTTTTGTACTGTAATTCCCCTGTTGGTTCCATCATTCTCCTCTCTTCTTTCCGTCATTGGTGGTTCCAAACAAACACAATTTTATGTAGCAATCGAGTCCTGCATCAAGAACAGTTCGCGATCTTCATCATTCAAAGAATTAAAGTCCTCCTCCGTCATAATGGGCAGATTTCGATTCTTCCGCTTCATGTTGTATCGATGCCAGTCGCTGCGGAAATGTTCGCGATGCTCCTTCGCATCATCAAAACCTGTTTCGCAGGTCGAACATTTGAATTTAAACGACAAATAACTCGGCTTCGCGACCTCTTCTGCATGTTCTGCACTCGCAGAACCCGTCACTGCCTCCGAATTCCCTTCACCCTTCGCCATCTCGCTCATGTCTCTCTCCGCGTTCTCTGCGTCTTGCTTTCCATTCTGATCGTTCCTACGTCCATTACTCGCATCAAACACGCAGTACGAAGCGTCGGGAGCGGCAATCGATTTTCGAGCCAGAATGTCGCAGGTAATATGATTTTGCTGACAGAACTTGTCGACTGCCTTGTAATCCGCAGGATCGATGAGGAATTCGCGCGTTTCGGAGGACTCGGAGTCAATCGTCTGATTCGTTGCTCGGATTTGCTGCATTTCCAGAAATGAATCGACAGCCTCCGCCACTACGCTGAATCCAAGGCAAGAACCAAACAATGAACAGGGAATGCGAGCTTGATTTGCATCTTGTTTCGCTCGATTCGCATCGACTTCTTGAGCTGTTGAATGATGTGCAGCGCCTGCTTCTTGGGAGGCTGATTCAGCTTCACGATGATGTGACAATCCTTGATAGCGCGCTGGATCATGCTGACCGTGAAGGCACTGCCTGTATCTGGATTGTAGCACATCTCGGAGATGAGCGTCGCGATTTCGTTCGTTACTCTACAGAATCAGCAATGAAAATAAAAAAGAAAAAACGATTGAAGTTGGTGCTCTCGTTCTTTTCCAGAAATCTGCTCGGTTCCCTTTTCTAAGATGATCCGAGAGATGACCGAGATGTCTGCTGTTCCGAAACAGCGAAGTAGCTCATCGTTGCTTGCTGCAATGCCCTAACTTTTTAAAGGAAGCCACTTTGCAAACCTTGGTAGCGTTGAGGAAAATGTAGGGAGTTTGAAGAACCTCATCGATATCCTTTTCAATGCCATTTCTCCAGTTCACGATCTAACACTCACGGATTGCTTTTTCGATCACCTTATTCTTGTAGCAAGCGATTTCGAATCGTTTCCCGCCATGCTCGTACTTGATGATAGCCACATTGGTTAACTTGATCTATTGTGCTAGGAAATAACAGTGCTTTACCTTTCCGACGGGTTGAACAATGCGTCTGCTCATTTGAAAAAAGAATAAAAAAATGCAATAATAAGAATATGATTAAAAAGGAGAAAGCTACCTCACAAAATACACAATTCAAATGTCTACAGAGAGCGCTTTGACCGGATTAAAGGTGCGGTGGCATATCCAAGGATCCGTAACAACTAGGTGGTGCTGCTGGGCGATGCGGCAACAGGAAAGTCGAGTTTGCTTATTCGCTTTACCACCGGTGTTTTTAATCCCCAACTCGACAGCACGATCGGTGCAGCTTTCAAGTCGAAGTATCTAAAACACAGTGTTAATCAGTGTAGAGTGATCACCGTAAACAATAAAACATATCGTTTAGATATTTGGGACACAGCAGGTCAAGTGGGTTCCTCCATGTACGACTCATCTAAAGGAGCGCTATCGTTCAATCTTACCAATGTACTATAGAAATGCGGCGGCGGCCGTCATTGTGGTTGACATTACGAACCCCGCCTCTTTGCAAGTAGCCGATCGCTGGATCCTGGATCTTCGTCAAAAGACGGAAGGCGAGGATTGTTATATAATATTAGCTGCGAACAAAGTGGATCTGGAAGATCGAGCGATTTCGCACGAACAAATCGAGGAGTTTTGTTCTCGAATTGGCATAGACTTTTTGGAAACTTCAGCGCTGAACGGACACAATGTAAAGGAGGTGTTTGAGACGATTTGCCAGCGATGTGTGGTTCCCGAGGCTGCGGATGCCTCGCAGGGGGACAATGTGATTCAATGTCGTTCAAACAGCGAGCAGCCGAAGCGCGTATCTGTGTTGCAGAGTGTGTTATAACAAATAGAAATCGTGTTGCTAGGAAGCAATTCCCTTCCAATGGACCTAAACATGAGCGACGGGCGTCTTATTTCTTTGTGTTGGCAATGTTTTCTTTCGATACACGATCACAAACACCACCACCATGATCACTACCACCACCACCACCACGCTCACCGTCCACGCGATCCACGCGTTTCCTCCCTGTCCGTCCTCTCCGCTGGGGTCCGCGGTGGGCTCCGTCGAGGGCAGCGCGGAGGGCGCCAGCGTGGTGGGGTCGGGCTGCGGTCCCTCCGTCGGGATCGGCGTTTCTGCGTGTCACTCCGCCACTCCACTCTCACCGTCCACCAAAACCAGCGTGAATCGCTTCGTCTCGCCGTCCAGCGACCGCGTCACCGTGTACACGTTCCAGTTCGCCGCGAAGTGACCCGCACCGGCTCCCGTAATCGCGCCCGTCGCGGCGTCCAGCGTCAGCGACGCGGGCAGCGCGGGGAAGATCGCGAAGACGGCCTCGCCCTCGAAGGGCTGCGGCTGGATGTCGACGGTTTCGCCCACGGTGACGACGCTCTCGGGGTACATGGCCGCCTCCACGGCCAGTCCGCTCAGCGAGACCGCGAACTCATTCACCGCGATCGGGTCCTGGCCGCTCGCCGCGCCCAGCAGCGTCATGCGGAAGAGCCGGGACGGCTTGTTGAGGTCGCTGGTGATGTGCATGGGGACCGCGCCGGACCAGGTCTGCGTGAGGGAGCTCTGGGAAATGGCGGCCCAGTCGGTGCAGATCGTGGAGTCGGTCTTGCAGGCGTAGAGCGTCCACTGCGACACCGCGCTGGAGCCAGCACGGTACACCGAGTAGTCGTGGAGGAACACCATGCTGCACGTTAAGAAAGGGGAAACGTGGAAACGAGGGAGCCTCGAGAATGAAGTAGGGGTTCTGTCCGGAGAAGGAGCAGGACGTGGAGGGATCGCGATCGACCAGATGCGCGGAGTCCTGCGTGGCCTCCATGCCCTGCGTGGAGCGAATCGAAAGCGGCAAGGACGAGCTCTCTACGCATCACGTCTCGCCTCAAGACCCACGCGTCTGCGGATTGGAGGCGTAGATGGGGAGAATGGCGTACTTGGCGTCGGTGTGGACGGGGTCCCAGGACACGTAGTGGAACGATACCACGACCAAGTTGCCGGTCTGCTTGAAGAGCGACGCGGGGATCAAAATGCTACATGCAACGCGGTGATCGCACACTACTCCTTCCAGATGTGGGTTTCGTACTGGCTCGTGGCCGGGTTCCACATGGCGATCGATCCGCTTCCGCTACGGTCCAAGAGAGGAAGGAAACGTACTCAATGTGGTCGTACATGATCTGCATGTCGTTGACCCACAACGCGATTCCGTCCTGGTAATAGAGACGAATCACGATATGCGAGTATTTGGACAGATTCGGCAGATCGAAGTTGTAGCGGGTGATGAAGGTTCCAGCGGTTTCAAAGCCGTTCAACGGAGTCAGAGACCACTGCGAGTCCATCTCGTAGCTGCTGGACCACCACTGTCCGACATCGAGAGCATTCTTCATGTATACGAGTCCTCCAGGTGTAAGGACATAGTTCACTAGACGATTAGAATACAATAGAGATAAAAATAAATCATACTGGAGAAGTCATAGGACGTAATCGACTCGACTTGATTTCCGTTGAATACAATGACGCCGCCATCATTCTCAATCGTAAGCAGAGACAGAGAACTCCATTGCTCGTTATCACTATCTGAGAGATTTGACAAATGTGTACCTGTGAGAGAGTTCGACGGTGTAAAGCAGGTCCGGTGTCTGAGAAAGACATCCTTCTACGACTTTGTAAGAATAAGACTCGGCGGCCTGTCCCTCGAGCATGACGGTCTTCTCACCGTCAACGACTCCATAGATGGTATACGTCTCCTTCTCTCCAGAAGGTCCACTGTATTTCTGTACCTTGACGTACAGTTCACCGGACTGGCAAGTGATAGACGTAACTACGATAATAGACCCAACCTATAGAAAACCCAGGGTAAAACAAATAGAAGCCAAAAGTATCCACTTCATCACCTCGAAAAAATAAATGAAGGGGTCAAGAGGGTACTACCGTTTCTCTCTTTAACAGAGTGGTTCTTTCTACGATTCTCCAATATTATTCGGATTATTGCCCTACAGATGCATTTCATAAAACAAACAGGGTCATTTGCATAATAATACAGACCTCCTTCTCAAGTTCCAGACAAAGGTTCAAACACCTCGTTGTACAGTAGTTCTTGATTATCATGGCGGAAGCACCGCACACAAAGAACACCTCCAATATCGAACGAAAACGTGATATCTATCATCGCAGGAGCTACAATCCTCTTCTTTAGCAGTGACAACTCCAAGTCAAATATATAGTGACAATTCTTTTCAGAAACCATCGAGAAACGTTCTGTCAAGTCTACATTCCCGGAATGCTGATAGATTTTCATGTTCACTTGCTGCTGCCGCTCCACTGTGGTGGTGAACGTGTAATACCGCGATGTGAGAGGGAGCGTGCAACCCTTCTTCAACATTATGAGAACCTGTCCGTTGCCAATCCCTAGTCCATAAGACGTCGATAGCGACTTCTGTAACGCTTTGGGATTCGTGCAATCCGAGTGGAGGAGACACATGGCTCCAAATGCTACACAATGGTCGGGATCTACGCTGGGAAATTGGCAAGATGATCCAAAGAGAGTTTGGAGACTTTTGGTGACAGAGGCGAGTTTCGATGAACCGCCCACTAAGAAGACGTAAGAAATGTTTCCCGGCTGGAGGTCGTTGTTTTCCAGCAGACGGACCACGCAATCAATAGTTCGTTTGATGATGGGGTTAATGATCACGCCCAGCGTGGCAGCGGTGATTGTAAAGGTATCGAGCGCGTCGTTGACCTCGGAGAGATCAATATCTGTACTCAGACTTGTTTGCAACATAATCTTCCCGTTCTCACACATGGAGCGCAACCGGCTGCTCTTTCGGCGCGCCGACTTGGACGGAGGAATCAGCTCGATGTGTTCTTCCTCCCTCACTGTGTTTTGGATGTATTCGCACAGAGCGAGATCAACATCGTTCCCTCCGCAGTGGTTGTCCCCGTTTTCTCCAAGCACTTGGATTCCACTGCTCTCGTCATAGGTCAACAAGGAGGCATCAAAAGTGCCTCCTCCAAAATCGTACACGATCATCTTCTCTTGCGGCAAAAATGTGAGATCTGAGTTGAGAACGTACGAGAGAGCGGCGGCCGTGGGCTCAGCAATCAGTTTGCGGACAGTTAGACCGGCGAGCGTTGCAGCCAGCTTGATTGCTTTGCACTGGCGAGCATCGAAGTTAGCAGGGATCGTTAGATACGCTTCGTCGTACACATTCGGGGAACCATAGTAATCCGCCCGCTTCTTGATCGCTTTGAAAATTTCGGACGCCACTTCGATGCAACTCCTCAGTCCACCTTGATTATTCACGACAAAACGGGGATAGCCATCTTCACCCCGAACCACCTCACATCCAAAAATATTCTTTTGATCCATTTTCTCGTAGTCCTCGTATCTCAATCCAATCAGTCTCTTCACGCTGGCTACAACATACTTCCCAGGTTTGCCCAGATTGATTTTTGCAATATTTCCGATGACGGCGACGTCGCCGTTGTACATTACATAAGATGGAAAAAGATAGTTTCCGTTACTATCTGTTAAAACCTCCATCTTTCTCTTGAAAATGTACGCCGCCGAGTTTGACGTTCCAAAGTCAATCGCCAGAGTGTGATCCATAGCAATGGAGTAAAAACACCTTGGATATCAAAAAAGTAGTCTGGTCTGATTTGAGTCCGGTTTCCGGGACTGTATAGTGCAGTGGCCAACACGCTCGCTTCACACGCGAGAGATCCCGAGTTCGATCCTCGGTATAGTCATTTTTAACGTTTTTTGGTTCTTTTGTTTTTCCGTTTTTGCCTTAATTTTGGTATGGATCTGTACAAATCTTCTCGGTTACGTTTTCTCGACTCGCAACCTTTTACTGGTACTGTTTTTGGAAGTGTCTCATGCAGATCCCTGTAAGTATTCTGATATCTCGCTTCCATCTTCTAATGTGGACCAAGTGGTGGTGCGTACCAATGGAAAATTGTTTGCTGTTCCAGTAGCGGGTCCAACGGGCCAGCTTTATATCCGTCCTGTAAAGGGAACGGAGAGGTATACGCACAAATCTGTAAAGTTGAATTGCCACAAGTATCTGCAGCATTAGCGGCTCAGAAATAGACATGCCATATCCTCATTCGCCTGGGATCCGTTTTCCAGTTCCATGTTGGTGACAGGTGCTGAGGATGGGGAAATTTTGGTTTGTTACGTTTTTTCCGCATCATCTCTAGCTGTGGAAAATCCCTGCCGAGGGAGTGTTAAACGATAACGTGACCCCGATGCTATCTCTGGACGGTCATAGACGCAAGATTCTAAACATGGAGTTCAATCCAGTAGCAGAAGACGTGATAGCGACTGGCTCTAGGTGGGAATGTGTGCGCATCCTCGTAATCCACAGTGATAACACTTGCCGAATATGGAACGTGTTTGCCAAGCAGGAAATCATCTCGATCGACCTCGTCGGCGCGCAGCTGCAAGAGATGAAATGGGACTTCACAGGCTCCCTCCTGTGCACCGGCCTCAAAAACCGCGAGTACTCGATCTGGGATCCGCGCACGGTGACCCCCGTGAGCACTTGGATCGTTTGTTTTTCTCTGTTTTGCTGAGAATCGTAGGGCCATCAAAGCCCTCGCCGCTCCTACATGGCCTGGCTCGGCGATAGCTACTACATCGTCACCACCGGCTACAACAAGCAGAGCAACCGCGAAGTTTTGCTCCGCGACATTCGCAATATCGACAACGTCGTCTACACCATCACCGCCGACAATGTAAGCCTTCCCCGCGGGTCGCGGCGTAGAGCCCCGGCCCCTTCATTCCGTTCTACAACCCCACGTGTCACGTGCTGTGGTACTCTGGCCGCGGGGATGCCAAGCTCTACGGCATCGACGTCGACGACACCACCATGTGGACCAATCGGGGTTTCCACGTTTCCACGGTGTGATGGATAGAGGGCGGGAACTCGATCGTGATCAGCCTCAAAAGTTCGGTCAAAAGCCTCGCCATGCTCCCGCAGCACATGCTCGACACCTCCAAAAACGAAGTCGATAAGTTTCCACGTTTCCACTTTTCGAGGATAGATTCCTGCGGATCAACATGGAGAGTGGCGTCGATGGAATCGAGGTTATCATGCCGCACCAAGCCGGAGCCGCCATTACCGTACTTTGATTTCCCGCGGTTTTTTATCCAGGAAATCTACGGGAAAATCCCGACCCCCGAACCCGCGGTTACCTGCGACCAGTGGATCCGCGGGGCTGTCGAGAAACCGCACTCCCGCCAGCTTCCCTCGAATTCCCGCGGGTTGTCGTCTCTGCAGAGCCACGCCGCGTCGACGGAAACGCACCTGCTGACTCCCGCGGATATGAAGGGCTTTCTGCGGGACTTCCGTAATCAGCGTATTTCTTCCCCGCGGTTCTGTCGTAGATCTGTCGGCGGCGCGGCGGTCGGAGCTGGAAGTGGAACTGGGGAAACTGGCGGACGGGATCGCGCAGCTGCAGGGCGAGGTGCGCTCGCGCACGATTTCGAGCCGCACGGTTGGCGGGAGCGCGCTGCGCGCTGCGGAACCGCGGGGATTGCGCGGACGCGGGAGCGGCGTGTTGGAGGGAGGGACGATGGTGAACCGCGACGGAGGTGAGCAGAACCGCGGGGATGAGAGGTAGTGTCGAGACGCGTGTCCGGATTGGCGGGAAGCGACGCGCAGCGTGGGAATGGCGGGAAGGCGTGAGGCGTAGAGGCGGCGGCGAAGAAGGGGCTCGCGGTGTAGCGTCCCGCGGGGATTTCCATGTAGGGCGCAGCTCGAAAAGTCCAAAACCCGGCTTTGTCTCAATATCCGGTCACGTGCCCAATCCAAGGACGCCGCCACCGCAGCCAAGGGAACCGCGGGAACCATGGGAACCATGGGAACGCAAGCAACCGCGGGATCCATGGGAACTGCAGGGAGCGCGGGAACCATGGGAACCGCGGGGAACCTGTCGACCAGTCTGGTGCGGCGCAGCGCGGGCGTTTCGGGACAGGGGAATCGTGGAAACGGCGGTTCGGCCCCCAATGCGGTTTCATCGACGGTTTCATCGACGGTTTCATCGACGGTTTCATCGAGTCGGGGGAGTCTGGGGGCGGGCGGCCATCGCGCGTCTGCGGTGCCCGCGCGGTCATCTTCGCCCTCGTTGACCAAACCGCCGTCCTCTGCGTCGTCGTCTTCTTCGTCTTCGTCGCTGGTCAAGCCTGCGGCCACGCTGGGCTCCCAGGCGCGCTCGGTGGCCAGCAACGCGGCGACTGCTCCCTCCAATGCCGTGGGCTCCGTCCAGGGCTCCGTCCAGGGATCCGTCCAGGGATCCGTCCAGGGATCCAGCGCCTCGGTGTCCGTGAAGCTGCGCTCGCCCGGCGCGGGGAAGCCCGTCACGCTCGGCGAGGTGCGGCGTTCCCGCGAGCGGACCTCTTCGCCCGCCTCGCCCTCTTCGCCTTCTTCCTCCTCGGCGACGGCCTCGGCGACGGCCTCGGCGACGGCCTCGGTGGCGACGCAGCCCTCGACGACGCAGCCCTCGGCGACCCCTCAAACGCAGGAGAAGACGGTGAGCCCGTCGCTGCGGCTGAGCGCGCGGTCCAACGTGGCGCTGCCGGCGATCCGGTCCTCTCTGGGCAATGCCCTGCCCGGAGACTGGGACGCGCTGCAGCGACGATTGGACGCCATGGAGGCCAAACTCAGCGTGGTCGAACGACTCTCCGTGCAGATGGCGCAGCTCACGCAGACCGTGGATAGGCTGGCGCAGTCGACGAGTGTGGGAGAGGCGAACCGAAGGGATCTGGGGGAAATAAAACGGTCGTTGGAGGCGATTCGGAGAAGATTGGAGTGCTAATTTTTGTGTGTGACAATTGGTGGTTTGTTTAAAGAAAAGAGAGAGAGAGAGCAGTTCTCTATGAATTGAAAAAAAAAGAGAAAGGAAGGAAGAAAGAGTCGTTCACTTAACAACATCACTTTGGTCTGCTTTTGAGATCCCTAGGCTGTCCCTAGCATTGAATAGACCACAAGGTTCTAAATATATTTCCAGTGTACTCTTTCAAGAATACCCCCTATCTTATGTAATTCCATTTCAAGTCTCCCATTATTCATTTTAGCTTTGAAATAATAATGTAGCTACCAATATGCAATACAACCACATCCTTGTTCCATGGTTATTCTCCTTCACATTGTTGTTTTCGACAATGAATATGCAAAAGAATACATAACTGTATCGGAAAGCCTTATATACCTGCGAACATTCTATCCTTCGTACTTTATTGTGAACCTTTCAACTGAAAGCTATTTTCGTTTTGCACATAGTTTAGATTCAAATCATCTATTGCTCATGTTTATGGCAAGCATTGGAATTGTATCCGCCTATGTAAATACCTTAGCGTTACACAAAACAACGTTTTTGTTAAGGAGAACACAATTTTAAAAAATCGTATAAACTTCATATTCCTACTGGCCGGCGAATCAACACCAAGAACGAAAACATAGAACCGTTCTCTTCAGATCAAAATGAAATCTTTCCTGAAAGCTGCCTCCTAGGTAGCCTAACTACGCAATCACGATATGAGAGTCTGGTTGACAAGTGAAATTAAAAATGAATAAGAGTGAATACACTTAAAGGGAAATTTGAATTTTGATATGGTTCTTTTCCACGGATTTCTATCAACCACATTCATTATTAATCAAAGGAGGTTAGCAACAGAAATAATCTCTGAGTTTCTATCCTTAGTTGTGGAGCAATAAGAATTCCTACTCGATCCCTCTAGGTTAAGAGTTCTGTAAGCTTGAAAGTGCCTTTTTTGAGCCTCTTTTTGTTATCATTTGGTTGTCCTGTCTATGCCCTAACTGTTTGTAGTGCATATAGGAAGAATCTGCGTAGTATATCAAAATGAATAGCGAAGCGTCTAACGCAAATAAAGAAAATGAAATCGCTAAGGAGCAGACATGTCCAAGGGAATGCCTCAGTCCGCAGACTCAACAGTGTGTGGACCTTTTGATGGTGGGAAGAGGAATGCTGGTTATAATGAATAGGGCATGAAAAACAGTGTGCCTAGGACCGGCAAAAAATCAAAAAGCTTTCTTCCGGCGCTTAGCGAGAATGTAGAAGAAAAGCAAGATGTATGGCCACCTGTAATAACGAGTCCTCTGAAACTAGTAGTCCCGCTAACTAACTCCACGTCCTTTACTTTTGTAGCATTTCTGTTTGTTCATGATCTAGGGTGACGCGCAGTGCAGTTCTCACCTCTGCAGCTCCTCCGCCGAAGTACTCAGCGCAGCCAACACAAACTCCCTCTACTCTCACTCCTCTCGCTCGAGTTCGTCCTCCATCAAGCGCGGCGACAGCAGCGACGCTTTCAACCCTCCCAGCAAGCTCTCCCGCTCCGATCCCTCCGAACCCACCTCCTTCTCTTTCCTCCTCTCCGCCGCCAGCTCGCGCGACGCCCTCGAGAGCGCCTTCCCGCGGGAAAAGTCCGCCAAATCGACGCGCGCGACGCAGCCGAGCATTCCCGGGCTGGTGACGTGCAACTGCAAGAAAAGCCGGTGTCTGAAGCTGTACTGCGAGTGTTTCAAGAGCCAGGAATACTGTTCCAGCGAGTGTAACTGCCTGAATTGTTACAATAACCGCAAACACGAGTCGGAAAGAGAGGAAGCCGTGCAGAGGATGAAGGCGCGGAATCCGCATTGTTTTGAGAATCACGTGGATGAAAAGGTGGAAACGTGGAAACGGAGAAGTGATGTGTAGAAGGGAGTGAATAAGAGTGGATGTCGATGTCGGAGAACGCATTGCGATAAGAAGTATTGTGAGTGCTTTAGTCATGGGGTACCGTGTGGGGATCAGTGCCAGTGCAAGGATTGTAAGAATGAGTATGGATGTTACAAGTTTTAATACTATTATATTACCTTTTGCATTCTGTGTTTGTTGCAAGAGAACAGTGGAATAACGGGATGGAAAGCATGGTAGGCGATGGAGAGGAGACAAATGGACGACAACAGGAAACTCCGAAGGTGATCCTTGTGTTAAGACGGATTCTGGAAGCTGCGGATCCGCTGTCTACAACAAAGAATTCAATTATTCAAACGCTGTGTGATGAGTGTGGAGAGGAGTTTCACTTGTTTTTCCTTTATTATTCGTAGAATTGATGATTACGCAGAAGAAATCTTGAAGGAAATCGATGTTTTTGTTCATGAAAAGCAACAAAGGGAAAGCAAGGAAGAAGACCCTTCATTAAATTTGTCATATATTGTGTCAAAGGAATTAGAGGCGATCACAGGAAAACAAGAGTGTTCTGGGAAAGAGGTCTTTTTCAGCGTTTTGATATCATTTTTAGATTTTAAAATGTGTGTGGAAATATATTCAGGAACACCAGCTCATCGATCCCTCAAACCCGGAAGTGATTCTTCCAGATCCTACTCTGCTTGAAGTAATTCATAAGAAATAGAATTCCTAAGCTCTAGGTCGTGCAATCAGAAACCTTGTCCATTTTTGATGTGACGATATCCTATTATCATATGTTGATAATATTATTATTATTATTACCACTATTGAATGTCCTTAACACCAAGACTGCATTAACATGCATATTTCTCTCCCTGACACATCGCAAGAACAATCTCACACACGTACCCACATATTTGTGACCACGAACCGTTAGAAAAGCGGAAGAATCCGTTTATGAAGCCACTTCGACTCTCCGAGGAACTCGCTGCATTTGTTGGACAATCCGAAATGCCTCGTCCTCAAGTACATTTCAGAGATAGAGCTGCTTAGAGCGTAGTTAGTGAAAGTGTTCTGGAGCTATTTCAAAGAGAAAGTACGTGCAAGTCGTTTAACTAATTGAGTAGAATCTGCAAGATCCTCAAAACAAGCAAATGATTCTCTGTGATGAACCTCTTCGCGCCTTGTTCGGGGAAGAGAGGATCCGAGCTTTTGCGCTCATGAAATATCTGAACAAGCATATAATACCGACGGATTGAAAATTGTTTGAGAAAAATCGATTTTTGAACAGACCCCCTGGGTCGATTTTGTTCTGGGAACTTGGCAAGAGTCAATTGGGAGGGCCACGCATTCTCAACCTCTTGCCATTTATCACCGACTTCTTGGTTATTGAGTGAATAAATGGCTGCTATTCAGGAACAGGTACGTAGCTGGTCAGCAAGAATTGTTTTGTTTGGCAGGACGATGTGTGTTGTGTGAGTGCTCGATATGGACGAATTCTAATTGCGCCGTAGAATCAAGCTGCTTTCCAGAAGCAAGACAAGTTCTCTTACCGCAAGGTCCATCTGTTGGGCAAGAAGGCCAACCAGCGCTGGTACGCCAACATTGGTTTGGGAATCAAGACGCCCGCCACTGCCATCAACGGAAAGTACGTCGATAAGAAGTGCCCGTTCACCTCTGATGTGACTATTCGTGGAGCCATTCTGAAGGGACTCGTTATTTCTACCAAGATGGAGCGCACCATTATTGTCCGCCGTGACTACCTGCGTTACGTCAAGAAGTACAGACGGTATGGATCTCGAGCTTGGGTTGATTTTATATAGTTACGAAAAGAGACATCGTAACATCCCTGCTCACTGCTCTCCCTGTTTCGATGTGAAGGAAGGAGACATCGTGACCATTGGTCAGTGCAGGTAAGGATCCTTTGTTTCGGAATAACAGTGTAGACCTCTGTCCAAGACCGTGAGATTCAACGTGATCGACCACGAGTCTCAGAAGTCGAAGGGTCTCTCCAACATCCGTAAACAGTTCCGTATGTTCTAAAGAGACGTTTGTTGAGTCGGTGGTTTTAACTGTTTGTTAAACATTTTTTGATTATGAGCGAACTGACCGTGGATTGGAAGTGGAGAGGGAAATATCTAAAAATGGGAATCAAGAAATATCGGATCCCAGGTGAAGAAAGCATTCGTGTTTGATGTTAGAGATCCGAATAATGACTAGCTCTATGAAGTTGTGGAGAGAGTAAATAAGAGCGAGAAGGATATTTTGGCGCTGGACAGTGAGGTTTGCTGAACTTCTGTTTTCTTTAGGCGTGAACATCCTGCCAATATGCTGCTACCCGGACAGTGAGGAAAAAATGATTCTCGTAGAAAAGATATATCGCGCTCCTGTTGATTGCTATTGTATCGAATTTCCTGGAGGTAGCCTCTTTTATTTTGCTTATCTAAATGGAATAGGACTACTTGAGGAGAATGAATCTCCTGAAGTTTGTGCCCTGCGGGAGCTGAAGGAAGAAACGGGCTATGTCGGGAAAATTGTTCCAAATGTACACTATTCCTTCCTTCCCGTTTGCTGCGGAACGGGTTCGGAATCAACTTGCTTGGTTCCCGTTACTGTAGCTGCAAAATACTTTTCTCACATCTCAGATCGATTTAAGTATTCCTAGAGAAAACCAGAACTTAGATGCGGACGAAGTGATTTCCACTGTTCAGATTCCGTTGAAGGAGTTTCCGGAAAGGATCAAGGGTATGTAGAAACGTCCTGTCCTCACTCCTAGAGCTGTCGGATCAAGGGTTTGGCATCGAACTTCAAGTGTACTATTTCGCAATGACGCTAAAGCTGAAAAAGTGGCTGATGAAGTAAAAATCTAGTCACTCCGTTCTGCATTGTTTTTGTTTTTTTGAACACATGAACTTGATCGATCCTCTGCTGCAAAGGCAATATCCGAACAATGCTCTTTTGATGATTGTATCATCGATTGGTGTGGTAATCCCTCGAAACGAGAATAAAGGACCTAGTTGTTCTCTTCGATTCAAATTGTATTTGTTCATATGGATCAACTGTTATTTGTCGGACTTACGAACCTCGTCGTGAATTTGGAGACTTTCTTTGCTGCGTACAATTTCTCGTACAAGGGAATGCGGTTTGTATGATTTCAGAGTCGAATTAACGTCTAGTTATTCTTTTTGCATCTGCTTCTGTTAGTGGCAAAGTACGATAGGATTTGAAGTCTTACGGATAGTGTCGTTATCGGACTCTTTTTAATATTTGTGCAAGAGACACATTGCAGTGTAGCAACCAACCACTTCGAGTGCCGGGCCGTTTCTACGATCTACGGATTCAGTATCTTAATCGGAGGTTGCATTCTTTCTGTACTTTCCAATTGAATGTATTACGTAGGGATTAACACTGGTGTTAACCTATTACTTCTGTCGGCTGTTTCCTACGGAGAAGGGCGGGATTCCATTCGTGAACCCGCACCCATTCACCGAAGCGGACACGTTGAAGCGCGTGGAGGAGTACGACAACATGAAGAAGCCGACCGATTTGTCCCTCTCTCTGAACCCTTCGTTCTCATCCTCCTTCGTTCTATAACCCTGTACTCTACATCCGGAAGAACGTAGTGCTACGCTACGCTACGCTATGCTATGCTGCTTAGCCACACTCAGCCCCACTATGTTGCGAATGCATGCACATGTTTGTTCTCAAACAGGCGAAAACAATACAAACTAGGAGCGAATGGAAAAGAGGAGGTCGATAAACGCGTCATAGGTCAGTTCGATCTTATTTTGCTTCTGCGTATCTAATGCATTAAACCGAATCTGTCCTAGCTGAAGCTCCGTTACAAGCTATCTAAGAATCCTTCTCCATGACTACTTTAATAAACTGATCGAGCTGAATCGACCCCGAACGATCGATATCCGAGGCGAAAAAGACTGTTTGAAAGGTTCCTGGGGAAAGTTGGATTCTGTGAATCAAGGCAGGAGAGAAACACGCACCCAATCTGAACAAGAGCTTCTTGTAGTTCTTGAAAGTCAATTGCGCCACTCTTGTCACTATCGAAAAAATCGAAAGCATTCTATGGATGACTCGAAGAGGCGAGGAGCGACCTTCCATTTCCAAACTTCGTCTAATAAAGACTTAAATTCTTCAAAACCGAGCTGACCACTACTGTGAAAAACAAAATCTGAAAGGTACTTTCTCTCTCTGTCATGTTTGGCGAGGAGTATATTCACAGTTTGAAGAGAAAAAGAAATGCCTCCAGAAGATAAGGCAGCTTGCAATTCCTGACAATCTAGGAAACCACTATAAATTTGAATTTTGAATAGCGCAACATACTTTTTGTTTATGTCTACTGACTGGAAAAGGCTATAGGCATTGTTGGAAATACTCGATTGGCTGGCTTGGGAAGGCGCTGGGTCTATAAGGCTAAAACTTTGAAGAAACGTTTTACTCAGTGCAGCAGTGCGTGTACACACAGGACACTAGAATATTACGCAAGGGTTACGATCGTACTTGAAAGTTTCTCACATATGACGGAATCTCTAGGAGTGCATGGCAGGATGGACAATTAACATGAATATTCCCAGAAGTGTTCATTCTTAATGTAGAATGGTTTCTCATGCAAATCCGTTTAGTGGTCCTTTGATTCTTGATTATCAAGTATTACTAAACACCCTTATTTCTTAAAACAAAGAATATTAAAGAAACCATTTATTATGCATCCCAAAAACCAGATACTTCGGATACATTTCTTTTTCTCTTGATGCAGCAAACATCCACTTCCCCGTTATCCGCCTTAACAGAATACATGAAGGCCGGAGGTGCCGAAATGCAGTTATAAATCGAGTACATGGAGATGGAATAGGCCGCAGTGTGGTGGTACACGACAAAATCGCCCTGCTCAAATGCGGGCAGCGGAACCTCTTTCGCGATCAAATCTCCGCTGAAGCACAGAGGACCCGCTATGCTCGCTGTGCGCACATTATCTCGTTTCTTTCCTCCATCTCGATCGTACACAGAAATCGGATGAGACCATGTGGACGGCATATACACTTCTCGCACGAACATATTTCCGCCGGCGTGCGTAATTCCGACAAGTACGCCTCCGGCAATCTTGGTGTATTCCACTCTCGAAACGAACCATCCCGACGTGGCAACGACCCACCGTCCGTTCTCCGTGATCACAGTGAATTCGCCCGAGAACAATCGAGGCACCTTGGCTCGTAATTGCTCTGCGTAGTGGAGAGGCATGTGGTTGCTGCAATCGCTCTTGTAGTCGACGGGGAGGCCGCCGCCGATGTCCAAAACCGTGATCTGCTTCCGGTGGAGATCCCGATTTAATCGGTCGGCCAGGTCAAGAATGAACTTGACGCCGTTCACCATAGAGCTGAGGTCAATTCCTTGTGATCCCACATGGCTGTGAAGGCCGTTCACTTCGGGCCATTTCGCAAAGAGTCCTAAAAGCTCATTGTAATCTGTGTCTTTGATCGGAACACCGAATTTGGAAGTCGGCGCAGCGGTGGAAGTGGCCTCAATGGCTCCAACTCCGTACTGCGAGTTGATACGGACACCGATCGAGCCGCGAAGCACCTTGCCTTCCGACTCGAGGGAGCGGTAGAGATTGTACCCCATTTCCATCTAGAATGGAAGGACAAAGCAACGAACCACCTCCTGCAGATTATCGAAGTTGATGTGGATTCCATGCTCAAAGCAAAACTGCAGGTCATGCTTCCTCTTCAGTGGAAAATCGTAGACAATCTGAATATCACACACAATGTGTGGTTTACCTCACTTGCCGGAATACCCGATTCCAAAGCGATGGATAACTAGGGTAAATTTATACGGCATGTGGTACCTCCTCAAACGATGCGCACTCCACTCCAAATCCATGCTCGCCGATAAAGCGGATCAATTTTTTGATCGGGTTGGCTTTGATGGCGTATCGGTGCTTGAAAAAAGGTTCGGGAAACGCTTCTTTGATTTCGTTCATGTTTTCGAGCAACACACCACTATCGATGAACAAACCACACGGGTGCTCCTCGGAAATAATTCCTTTCGATAGGAGATGCTTCAGGACCTTCTCTGTTTGGCAACGGCAACCAAATTCGCTCATTCACAAAAGATAAATAAGAGTTTCTTTAGAAAACAAGAGAAAAAACTTCATAACAAGTTCCAAGATGGAGGCTTTTCACGAAATCATCCATTTCCTTGTGCCCTCTATCATCGCAAAAGAGAAGTAAAACTACTTTCGGACGTCTTCTGCTATTCGTGGTAAAATGTACGAAGAGAAATATCGTTCGCACTATATCTCGATTCTCAAAAAAGGATTCTACATTTTCGTCTTGTGAATTGTTCATTAGTAGTAGTGTGTCATACTTCTTGTTTGGATTGGGATTTTTCCTCTTTCTCCCGCACTCTACCACCTTCGCGAGCTCAGCCTTGTTGAGAAAAATATTCTTGTCGGCTCGGAAGGAAACGGAGTGCAACGCCAAAGGTGTGCTGGGAGCGAGAGGCACTTGAATGGCTGGCATCGTAAACGCTAGAGTATAGATGTAGAGAAACCAAATTCATGCAGGCGTTGAGATAAGGAAAGCTCCAAGAGCCACACGATACAGCGACAGCTCCGCCAATCATTTTTCGAATCTGATGATAGAGAAAACTATTTCCGTTGAGTAGAACATGCAGGTAGCGTTCGTTTCCTATCGTTAGAGGAGTTGCTGCAATGTGATTGCTGAAGTGGCACAAATGAAAGTAACAACTACATGGTTCGCAGGTAGAATTGACGGAGATTCTTATTTCGATGACTACAAAATAATCACAAGAACACGAAAGAAGAGAGTACTGAATGGAACCTGAATAGTTCTTCATTGAATGTGTGCCTAAAAATACTGAGAGTGCTTTCTGAAATTTTGCTGTGTCTATGTGAACGCCCAGTTCTATAATTCGGCTTGGAGCATAGTGACTACTCTGATACTGATCAAGGGGAAGATAGTAAGAATATGTGCGTGTGTGCGTGTTGAGATGTGGGTTAAATGACTTACTTACTCGCGTGTCTTCGGGAAAGAGACATTGAAAACAAGTACAGCTAAACACTCGAATGTCTTCAGGGAGCAGTTGATTTAGCTGCTCGACTGCGAGCTGGTTTTGCATGGAGGAGTCAAATTCGTCGTCATAGTCCATCAGTTTTCCAGATACAACGATACTCCTCGCACTTACACCCTTATCCGTCCCTCTATAAAATCATAAGTTGTGCATCTCACTTGAGCAGCGTTCCCAATCAAACTTCGACGACTTGATTACATTCCACGGTTCAATTTTATCGAGCATGAAAAGACAATCGACAAGTTTATCCTCGACCGATTGCCTCGTATCGTTGACCTGCATCCCAGAATAACTATTTCGATAAAGGAACCATATCTCTCGCATACTTCATTCCATAAAACCCTAGCACAATCGCTATTTTGTGTTTCCTCCGAACTCTGGCAACGGCTGTCGAGAAGCTCGCTCGCATCACCTTCTTAGCAATTGTGAGCATACCAACAAACAGACAAACCGAAAAAGAATACACTAAATAGATATAGAAACACGCTTCGTCACGAAGGAATCCTCGTTCGTTTCGTTGCTCATTCGAAGTCTTCGATCGAACCGTTTGATAGGCGGACAGAATGATGTACACTAAATTGTACATCGCTAGGCAATACATACGCATAATTCGACCTTGCCGGGAGTTTTAAGAATATGCGGAGGTGCGCTTGAACGCTTTACAATTTCTTCTTGCAAGTAATCGCGCATTCGCTCGTAAATCGAGTTGATGATTTCCTTCCGCGAAGGGAGAGACTCCGGCTTTGAAACAGCAGATTTGTCAAAAGAGCCACGACGACTCGTAGCAGGACTGTTTTCTAGCGAATCTAATACGTTCGTTCGACTATGCGGATCAAAAAGTTCTTTCGATGGAGATAATATTGAGGTGCCAGAGTCTCCATTGAGAGACATAGATATAAGCTTCAGTTGCTCGTGCTACATTACAGCAAGATATCAAAGATACAAATCGGGAAATGGGAATCGTTTCCTGCGACTGGGACAGAAACGAATTTTGCGAAAATGTGAGAGGTGTGAAGCAGTTGTCGTAATCACACTCGTTCAGTACGCGCGTTATTTTTGTAGAGCTATCCAATTCCTAAATATAATATTCAAAATTCAAAGGAAACAAAGGGCTTTTTGGTTGACAAGGGAGTTTTTAGACCTTGTGGAGTGCTCTAGTACGTTACGTAGAGGACTGAAAGATATACTTCAACCTCTTCGTCCTTCTCTTCCTTTTCGCCTTTCTTCTCAGGAACCACTATACAGCTCATTGTTAAAGTATCTTATTCTATAGCCCTTGTCTTTCTCTATCAAATCACAGAATCGATTTGCTTAACGGTGCAGGATTATCGATTCTTTGCCCCAACAAAAGGGCGAGAAACAAGTCGCCGATATTTCTCCAAAATCGCGGATCCACATTTACGCGTTAAAAAGTGGTTTGGGATGAATCGGCTCGTTTCACTACCTCTTAGGTCAGTGTCTGCGGTGGCCTCGCAGACGATGACACTGAGAGTCGCTTCGTTTGCTACTGCAAAGGAGAAAGACGACGGGGCGAAAGCCAAATCAAAGAAGGGATCAAAATCGGAAACAGCAAATTTGGACCGACAAGTTAAGTCGCTCGTAAAGCACTATTACAAAATGCGGACATACGAACCTCCCAAACTGTCTGAAGAAAAGCAGAAGGAGTATATGGAGGCTGCAAAAGAGTACTCTCGACAAATGACTCGCCTGCATCACTATTACGAGCAGCGCCTAAACGATAAAATCTTTTTACGCGATCTCGCGATCTCTGCGCTGCCTACAGAAGCGTTGCGAGAGCAGGCGAAGAAGACAGATCCCGAACAAATTCCAGGCAAGTACTTTTATCCTGCAAGGAAGGCTAGATTTGAAGATTTATCGAAGGAATTGGCATGGTAATTTGTTTGTTGAACATCGCGGAGAGAAAAGGATAGAATATGTATGGTTTGGGTGTTTGTTCGGACCAATGCTAATTGTGTTGTTGTGGAGTGGATAGAACACATTACCAGGAAATAGGACTTTTGGGTGGGTTTAAGCGTATTTATGGTATTCCAAAATACTGAGTGATTATGTAAAAAAACAAAGCAAAACAGATTTGCTTTCTTTTCGTCTCTCTTTGTTGCATTCGATTGAACGTGTTTTTGGAACAAAGAAAATGGAAAAGTGGGCAAGTTGGGTGTGTGTTACCTTTTTTTACTTGTTCTTTCTATACATATCTTACTCTGACATCGGAAATGCTTGTTGCAGTGCTAAATCAGCCAAAGTGACAAGGTGGAGGAAAATAGAGTTTGGAAGCTGGAGACCTATGAAGAATGTGAGTACGGAGTATTGTAATTCATATGATAGATGGTAACAAAGCCATTGCCAGCAGAACGTAAAGTGAATGCGTTTTTATCAGCGTTTGCTCCAACAAGAAATAGTAAATTGCTGTACAGAACATTTTGACTTCGTAGATCGCAATGAAACGATTTCTACAGAAACACTCCCGCAACAGTCGGTCCTCGTCATCCCATCCGCCGAGCAAAACACTTCCATTCATTCAGAACCCTCTACACCCGCACCGCGTGCAACTGTTCCCCCCTCGTCATCCCAAGCCCCCACATCCGGCACGATCACGTCATCCCAAGTCCCCACAACTGCTCCCTCCTCGCCCAAAAAGAAGCGTGTGAATCCTCTGTTCGTAGGTCCGGTGGAAGAAGACTTCCCCGTGACGGACCCGTATTTCGACCACCACGGCAACCTCAGCTCGTTTCTCTCCGCCTACACCCTCTACCACAACAACCTCACCGCGTCGCACAGCAAGCGCGTCGTCGTGTATCTCCCCATGAAAGAAACGGGGCTGGGCAACAGTCTCCTCGCGCTCTCCGCTTCCTACATCTACGCCGTCCTCACCAAGCGAGCCTTCCAGCTCAACTACCGCCAATTCACCAAGCATTTCCGGTTCGATTTCCGCGAGGTCAACTCCACCTACACCTGTACTCCCGCGGTTTTCGCTCCATTCTAGTCTCCCGCCGGCCGACGACCGGGTTCCAGAGCTGGAATCGCCACTACGAAGTGATGCAGCCCACGGACAAATCGATGCGTGCGCTGTCGCCTCGCATTTTTCATCGCACGCCAGGCCTGATCGTGACCGGGTTTCTCTCCTATCTGAAGCTTATCATCCGGCACGATCACTTCATTCCCAAGCTCGCACGCATGGGTTTCATCGATCCCAAGCACGTGAATGGCTCCATCCCCACCGCGTTCGATTCGTTGTCGCGGGAATACGACGCGTATTATGAGCAGCTCGCGATGGAGGCCTCGCGGACGTTCTGGAGAGAAGTGATGCGGCCGCAGGCGTGGGTGGAAGCGCGCGTGAACGAGGTGCTGGACCCGATTCGACAGTACTTTTTGTTTGGAATGCATATCCGAATGGGGAACGCGGCGGGGGCCTTCAAGGACTCGCACACCTTTCTCATGCTCAACGAGATCTGGAGATATCCGAACGCCATCGAGCGGGTCATTCGAGAGCGAAATATGGATATAAAAAACACGCGATGGGTTTTGTGTACCGATTCCGATAAGGCGGAGGAGGAGCTTCGGAACAAGTACGGAGAGCTCATTGTCACCTCGCAGGATTTCCGGCGAGGCCATAGCAAGACGGGGGCGAAAGATGACGACGGCTTTTCGAGGGCGGTGATTGATATGGTGCTTCTGTCAAAGTGTGACTTCCTGGTTCTGACGAGACACAGCACGTATAGTGCGATCGCAGGACAACTCATCAAGAACCCCGATGAAACCATCTTTATGTCTAGTAGAGGATACTGAGACTCTGTTTTCAAACAAACACAACAGCACCAGATGAAGAGCGCCGTTTACCAGTCATCGTCGTCATCACCGAAGAGACCACCTCCACTCATGTCGATGTCCTCTTCCTCCTCTTCCTCTTCCTCCTTCGCCTCCTCCTCCTTCTTCTCCTCAGAAGCGGCAGGGGCAGCAGCGGCAGGGGCAGCGGCACCAACACCAGGAGCAGCCAACATGTCCATAACGTCCTTATCGGCCATGTTGGATCCGAACACGGTAGACCAGTAGGGAGCAATGGTAAGACCAGCAGCCTTCACGACCTTGTCGAGGTTCTCCTTCTAGTCCATCAGGTACGCATTCCAATGTCCTACGGTAACCTCCACCTTGGCATCAGCACACAGCAGCACGGCAAGAGAAATAGCGAACTCTTCCTTCTCAACAGCAGACATATCTTCAAAAGGGGCCATAGTTGATCACCTACAACGATGTTAGCACAAACCACGAAAAAGTCATCGAGGCTCCTCCAGAAGCCTCCAGCGGGTTCTACTCATCACGATGCCTACTCAGTCAATTTAAGCACGAAGGCAGACAGAAGTGTATGAACAAAGGAATGGAGAATATAGTGGTCTTCATTATCAACGAATCACTGTACATGCGACTTTCAAAACAAATACTAGGGAGAGGTGCATACTCTCCCTTTTAAGAATTCAAATTTCCACACTATTTTCCTTCCTTTCTTTTTCAACAAACACTCCATAAAAGACCTCAGGATTCCCACAACTCTTTCATTTCGGGGTAGTTCTCTACCCATTTCTGGTACGCCTTTCCGGGCGTGAAGTCCCACAGCCATCTTCGGTTGCACAGCAGGTTCCACACCAGTTCTCGGTAGTTTCCCTGCGTGTGCGCATACAAGTACTCTCTCTGGAACTCGTTCATCGCTGCCCGTCACTCCGCCTCCTCTCTCCTCCTACGCGAGATGATGTCGTTCTTCTCGAACATGTCCACGAACGCGTCGAACACCTCGAAGCTGCACTTCCCCACCGTCAGGTTGTGCTTCTGTCCCAGCTGGACCACATCTTCGAACTTGATCTGTCGCTCATTAGCTCCGCCCTTCCCTACGAAGTGGTCGTACCGGTTCTCCACGGCTCCGATCACCACGCCGTTCCGCAGCGTGTTCTGGAAGGCGATGTGCGGCGTGGGGGGCATGGGGGTCTCGGGCTGGAGGGGCGGGACTTCGCGATGGAGCTGCGCGGCGCGCTGCTGCGGGAAGTCGTCCAAGGCGCGCTCCTGCATCCAGTCCGCCTCGTCGAACACGCGGAACAGCGAGGGCAGGTAGAGCTTCCGCGCGTGGATGCTACGGTGGAGGAAGGGCGCGCGCACTACGGCCGGTTCTGGTACTCGAAGAGCGAGTAGTCGTGCAGCGCGTTGTAGTCGTCGATCGCGATCAGCACCGGGTATCTGCGTCCCACGCGCCCGCTGCGCCCTACTCCGTGCACTCCTCCAGTTCCCGCTTCACGTACGCCGCCACTTCGTACGACTAGCTTCGCACATTCGCACCCATTCCTACGTCACGCGCGCTGTTCACGCCGTACAGAACCAGCTGGTCCACCGTCAGCCGGCTCGCCGCGCCCGAGTCGATCGCCTACGTCCCACGCGCTCCGCGTCCCTACCGCGCCGAACTGCGACTTCGCCCAGAACAGGGAGCGGTCGAAGTGCCCCTTCACGCGCACGTTCCGCAGCAGATGGCCGCTCGTGATGTGCAGCTAGTCGTCGTCTCCTCCACACAGCGCCCCTACGTCCAGCAGAAGCTTCTGACAGTGCTCCGGCTGCGCGAAAAAACCGCCCGAGCGACGCGTCATCGGAATCACCTGGTAGCCTGCCTCGCACACACACCCGGATGCTACCTCGATGGGTCCACACGCGCGCAGAGGGAATGAACCACGTGATCCAGTTGTTACGACGACACTCGTAATACACGCTGCGAAGAACCATCCTGCAATCGAGCCACTCACCACGCACAAGTACGATTTGCCACTACCCCGAGGACCTGTGAGGCACAAGAACGGATAAAAGTCGATGCTTTCTCCCGCCTGGAACGCTACCTATCATCCCGCGCCTCCCATACTCACCATTCAGCTTGGATATGATCCGCAGAGCTTCTTTGCGAATTTGCATTGTGTTCATAAGCGTCAGTTCTCTCTGCTTCTCAAAACCACAGTAGAAACTAGGACTCACCTCACCAATCACACCCTATACTCATGGGGGAAGTAGTGCTTAAATTCCTCGTCGTCAAAATAGACAATGTCGCCCTCTTTCTTCTTACTCAAGTCAACACGCTTTTCTCTAGGCACATTTTTCAGATAATCTCGATTTCGAATTCCCTCCTTATAATCATCCTGAATAAACGGGAATTCAGGGAAATCGGGCAACTCTACACCTTTCTTTGTGGATTGTTTTTCATTCGCATTGGGAGTTGCTGTCTCGACAGGTTCTCCTTGTTTCGCTGCGGAATCGCTGTTGGCAGCCGATTCGCTCTGAGTTGCAAAGCACCGAACGGTACGATAGAGTGCAACTCTCCTCGCGGAAGAGATTGCGATGCGGTTCCTCAAAGCAATCGAGAGCATCTAGAAAGTGAGAAATAATGGAATATTATAGAATTGGAATTCCAATAATAGGAGGTAATTGGCAAAGAGATCCATAGTTCTATTCATAGAGTGTAATATGGTAAGTTGCCGTTAGTAATAACGTTTCGATATTGATAGGGTACATCATTACTAATACTGGATACTCACTATCATTTCAAGGCAGAAAAAGCAAGTAGCTACAGAATACGAATTCATATTCGGTTTTGTGCTTAAAGTCAATTCAAGTGAGAAATTCATTGTATTATGTAAATAAATCTGGATAAATACGAATCTGTGTGCGTTAATCATCAATAATATCCAAAATGAAAATAGAGCGCAATAGGCATGAATTTCGATAGTTGAATTACTACAATAGTGTGTAAACAAAAAACACTCAATCTCATCCATCGCACGTATTTTCACTCCTATTTTCAGAGAACTATGAAAACGTACAGTGGTCATATTAGTTTTAGGCGCAAAAATCCTAACATTAAAATCTTTTCTCATATTTATTTTGAAATGAACTCTGCTGTGACTTTAAATTCTGGGTACACAATGCCCTTGTTAGGATTGGGGTACGAATATTCTCTTTTCTTGATTAATAATAGTACGTATTGCGCTGTAAACGAAGAAGAATGTTTCAACGCTGTAAAGACGGCTATTAAAGCTGGATATCGCTCGATTGATACCGCTGTTGCTTATGGAAATCAAAAGATTGTTGGAAAAGCGATCAAGAGCTGCATCGATGAAGGAATTATCACTCGAAGCGATATTTTCGTCACCACTAAGCTCTGGCTGACTGATTGGAAGCCCGAAGATGTAGAACGATCTGTGAAACTGTGCTTGGAAGAGCTCCAGCTGGAATACATCGATCTCTTCTTAATTCACCAATCTGTGTTCCTCAATTTGGCTCCTGAGGATGATAAGAAGCGTCGAGAGGGTTATTTCTTCGATTATCAGCTCGTTCCTGCGGATGATCCCACTCTCCGCCTTGGCTATAACCTTGAGAACTTAAAGTTGACTTGGGGAAAGATGGAGGAGCTCTGTGGCAAGGGATTGCTTCGTTCAATTGGGGTTTCGAATTTCTCCGCTAAGCGTATTCGTGACCTCGTTTCCGTTTGCAAGATCAAGCCTGCTGTGAATCAGATTGAGCTTCATCCCTATCTCCAGCAGTGGGAAACCAAGGCTACATGCGAGGAGTTCGGCATCTACTTGATGGCTTACTATCCCTTGGGAGGTGCTGTCTCGACGCGATCAACAAAGGCTGCATCGCCTATGGATGATCCGGTGATCATAAAAATTGCGAAGGCTCACAACAAAACACCCGCTCAAGTAATGATTCGTTGGGCAGTTCAGAGAGGAACGATTTGCATTCCTAAGTCTGTTCATGAGAATCGCATTATTGAGAACGGACAGATTTATGACTTCATCTTGGGGGATAAGGAGATGAGTGAAATTCGCTCACTCGACAAGGGCTATCGATTTGCTCGTCGCTCGTTCCTGTTGCCTAGTCCCATGGATTGGAAAGATTTGTGGGATGGAGAATATGTATCTGATTAGAGTTGTTTGTTGAAGTCACGCAAATCGCAAGGAGTAGTGTAGTACGATTGCACTCCATGTCTTTTCCATTTGCAAAGATAAAAGAAGTGCGACTATGGGTATTATGTTGGGTAGTGTCGTTTTCGATTCATTGTGAGAGTGTTGCAGTAACCTTTATGTGTAGGCGCCACTCATGCTATTATCTCCTCATATAATAGCACCAGTCCAGACATCCTAAAGGATTGCCATTTTGCCAACCGATTTCTGCTCTCTGAACAGAACTCTTCTTTGTCGTGTGATTTATGTAGGAGAATTATGCTTCCTACATCATAGTACCCTTTTCTTATGTTATTCTGATTGATCTACTTCTCAATACGTGTTACTACCTTGTTTGCTATGAACTTCGCATTTCTCTTCCCCTCACCTTTATCTCTACCCTAACCTGGATATTTGGAGTTTGGTGGGTGTCACTATTACGTCTGAACGATTTCTCATCGATCGCCCCACTAGTGGTCGTGATTCTCTTCGTACTAGCAAAATCAACACGCTCATTCTTTCTCACCGTGGCATCATCGGTTCTTCTCCTCTCCACATCATTCCACTTTCCTCACAACAGCAGCATTCTTCTTCCATCCCTTCTCTGCTCGCTTCTAGACAACACATTCATTGCCGAGTCTTGGCTCACAATCGTCATTGTTTTTCTCTGGAAGCTTCCTTTCCTCCAGCTCGCTATCGCTATCGCTATCGCTATCGCTCTCGCTCTTCTTCTCTTCTCTCTCCCTCCTCGCCACTGGCGACACCCCACTCTTTTCCTCATTTTGCTCCTGTCCCTCCTCCTCCAATCCTCCCCAATCCCCTCTTTTTCCTTTGCTCATCTCACCCAGCTTCTTTCCTTCCTCGTCTCCATCGAATCTCGCTCCTGCTCGGCCAATCAAATGATTCTCACAGCGGCCGTCCTCATCACCTCCAACGGATCTGCCTTGTCTGGGATGTTTCACCATTTCTCGCTTTGGACCGCGGTGTTCGCGGTGTTCGCGCGGGTTACATCGAGTCCCCGCGGTTATTCAGTGCTTCATGGGGTGATTCTGCTCGTGATGGCGGCTTTGGAGGGAATGGAAACGTTGCACGATGCTCGGATTGCGCGCAGCTCGTTCCAGTGGAGACTTCTCTGGAGTTTTCCCAGTTCGATTCGCTCGGAGATTCGAAGGGTGCGAGAGTTTGTGGAGAGTCATTCTCTGCAAGACGATTTGTTCTCGTTCGCCAATCCCGACCTGCTGTGGAGTGGTGCATTCGAAACGGATCGTTTTCGACAGATGTGGGGAAGGGAAGATGATGAAGTCTTTTTCCGAAATCTTCCCTTCTCGCATGTTCTGCTCTCTCCACTTGATGAATCCTTGGTGTCGTGCACGGGGAATGATTCGAGTTTGTACTGTGTATTGAAGAATCGGTTGATTGAGAAGAATTCGTATGGACTATGTCTTGACGTGCTTCCCTTTGTGTTTTTAGAGTATGCGAGCAGCGATTCATCTTTTTTAATTTATGCTCTTAGTCATTTTTGTATTTGTTGAATATGAGTACTGACAATTCTTTAACGATTATCTACTCAAAAGGTGGCCACAAGTTCGAGATCTACGTAGATCGTGAAAAATACCCTGAGTTTCTGAAAGGTCACAAGACATTCGAGGAAATCAGTTTAGGTAACGTAATTTTCAATGAAACAAAGGGCCAACTCTCTGAAGAGACATATACTACTATTTTTGGCACAGCTGACGAAATGACTATTTTGAAAACGATTGCAAAGAATGGAGAGCCGCAATACACAGTCCAACAGAGAAGGAAACTAGTCGAAGAAAAGAGAAAGCAGATCATAGAGTACATCACGAAAACGTACATTGATCCGAAAACCAATCTTCCACATCCTGCATCTCGTATTGAGAATGGGATGAGTACAATTAAGGGATTAAAAATTGATCTGAACCAATCAGTGATCAAACAAGGAGATGATATTGCTAAGCAGCTGAAGTCTAAGATTCTTCTTGTTAAGAATGAAACTCATGGAGTGCTCCATATCGATATAGCGTATTATCTAAGCCCCTTTACTACTTATGTTTAGGTACTCAGGTAAAGTCACTCCTATTTTGACTAAATGGTGTTCAATTCGAAGCAGTGATTACACTGCGACAGAGTATGTTGCAGAAGTCTCTTTTACCACGACAACTATGATGTCGTTTATGAATGACTTAACGCGAGTGACGAACGGAGCTTTTCGATTTGAGTCGGATACACGTATGGAAGGGTGTTGTGGATGATGTGTAGCAGTTGTATCCCCGTCTGCACAAGATTCTGTCAAACAAACAAAGGGAAAAAAGGGAAAAAAGGGAAGCAAGTAATCAATACTTAACTCGTTTGCTTTGTTCTATTCAATAATTGGTTACGTCTGCTGCATCTCTTTCCATACTCCTGCATGCTGAGCCTTCCCATAAAGATATCTCGCATGGTCAGAGAAATGGCCATCATAGGAGCAGTCTAGTTGAGAAAAGCAAATTACAGATACCACACAACAGCAACGCAAAACACCTTTCCACAGGAAAGAAGGCAAAAAGCAAAATTGCGAAGAGGCAGAGGAAGTTAGGTTTATGAAGGGTTGCACTAAAAACTGGGCTGCTACTCCGGTAACAAACCCAGTACTAAAGAAAACAGTAGCTCTACTAAATAGGAATCGAAAATGGTACGAAGGGTGGAAATAGGGATCCTCCAGGATACGCAGATTGTCGTAAAAAGACTGTTGCATCATGACTAAAGGAGCTACAGTCAAAGCACGCTGTCTGAAGGTCTTCCAAACGGAAGTCCATGAAATCCCTTTCAGTCGGTCTTTCAAATAAGTTGAAATCACTTCCGTGAGCCCCAAATAAGAAATTGCTGTTAGGCCGGCTAAATACCCCCCTAAATACCTTTTATGCAGGTCAACATAAAAGCTAAAGTCTCCGCAATGCATCTTCTTGATGTAACTAGATTGTACGGACAAAGGAACGAAAACCCCATATAGCTTGCAGTAACAATTCCTGCATAGACAACATTGTTTAGACTGCAAGTCACAGATTGTTTCAGCACTGCATCTTTGTTGGCCCTAATTGCTCGGTAGACAGCGTTACATGACTGATATGAAATGTTTCCAACAGCTCCTGAGCAAAATGCAGTGAGGGCGGAAGGAAAGAGATTATCCCTCCCAACAGTGCTATAGATTGCTCTCATATCATCTTTGTTGCTACCGAGAACAAGAGTAGCAAAAAAAGTCTTCATCGTTGAAAATTACAGTACCTCTGAATACTATCCTATCTAGAGAGCACAACTGCCAAGAATATCGTAGCAATAAAAGGGGTAATATATATGAGAATGTGTTTAACATAGCGTAAAATAACCTGAGTTTCTAAATGGTTTTTGTTATGTATCAAAAATAATTATCAGAAGCTCGAATCATGGAAGATCGTTTGTATTTTTCAGTTCAGGGAAGGAGCTGTTATGTCTTTTTGCAGAATGATACAGTTGACGACTTTGTAAGAAATCCTGATGGCAGTATTCGTATGGACATCGCCATGGAATATGATGGCAGCGGATACCACAGAGTCGGGTTTGACAATCGCACTGCCAACACTTTCAGTGGTTTTGTAGTTTGTCTTGAAAAGAAAGCAGAGGAAGCAGAGAAACTGCTGAAGGGAAGTGCGGCTGATCTTCGTGTTGAAGATAGCAACACTGATGGACTAATGCTGATAAACACCAGAACGGGTAAAGCAATGTCCTGCCGTGCTCTCCTAAAAGATTATTTGTCCACATTCAATTTCCTGAGTGAAAGACCAGATAAACTCACAATCTACCTTTCTCTGCCTCCAGAGTATGACGAAATGCAAAAATCGCAGTTTGTTAAGATATTAAAGACAGTTACCACGGCTAGAATTGTATATACGAATCCTTTCTATGGATTGTTCATTGAGGCATGCAATCCTCAGGCAGAGTTTACGCGAGAATCTGTTGCAGATACCTCCGTTGTGATTTTGAGTTTGGGATACTATTACTCTGTGGTTTCTGTGGTAAATTACCACAACCAGTTGTCTGTCGGGAGTTCTATCGTGTCCACTTCTCTCTCTATCAAGAATCTCATCCGCATGGTGAGCGAGTCCATTATCAATGAGCAATTGAGCGATTTGGCTCGCGACTGGACCGAAGCAGAAAGAGCTGAGACGATTTTGGAGCTTATGAAATTAGTGCTGTGCTCTCCTACGGATATTGGAGATGGAGATCGCGTCGATATCGATTTTGGCAATATGCCGAGAGGACAACGAAGAAGTCTTGTGATTACGATTAATCATTTTAATCAATGCGTTCAGTTTATTAACGAATTGAATAATGTGATCGATGCTCTGCTAAGGAAAGCGGGTCTGACTCTGAACGACATTCTGCGTTTTGGAATCTATAGCGAGTTGAACGTGCATTCGATGGTGTCGAACACGATTGCGAGGAAGGTGGGACAAGACAAACTTTCCATTCTGGGAAATTCTGGAGAAGACTACCTCATTGTTGGTTTGCTGTGGCTCCAATCTCTTTTCGATGATTCTTTGGTTGACGGCGATTCTCTGATCCGAAACGACCTTCCTCCTACAAGAATCGGTTCTCCTCCCCCAGTTTATACGGATTCTCTTCCCCCTCTTCCTCTGCCCCCAACCGCGGTAGAATCTTCTTCGCCACCATTGGTTTCTTTCCCTGCAAAAGCCGGGTCTTCGCACAGTATCCCAGCGCAGGGGTCTGCGGCTCATACTCCTTCAGGAACGATTGGATCTCCGATTCCAGGTGTTGTAAAAGACTCGATAGATGCAGACGATGATCCAGATTGGGAAGACCCAGATACCAATATTATCGTTACAGACGCAGACACAGATGAAGATGATGTACATATCGAAACCTCCTCCGTTAATGATCCTTTTTTGAAGTCCCATTCCTCTTCTGACTTGCAGTTGACTCAAACTACCGGTTCTCCTCAAAATGAGCTCGTTCCCATAGTACAACCCACAGAGCCTCCTACAGGAACAGATTATCCAGACCCCAGTCCCCAGCTGGGTCACTCGAGTTCTTTCTCCGAACTCAGTGCTGTCGCTCCTCCCGTGGTCAATCCCACCCCCGGAATTAAAATCCCCGCGCCCCTCAACTTTCAGTCGGTTGTGAATCCGCCATCGACCGATATATCGAGTACGATCGACATTGAAAAAATTCCCGAGTCCCCTCAGCTTTTCCCTTCTTCTCCTTCTGCGATACATGGACTGTCGATCACTACGGATACGTATGCCGTTCCTCTCGACTCTTGACTTCTAGAAATAAGCCTGGTACATTCATCCCCGAGTCGTCTTCGCCCAAACCCATATTCCCTCCGACTGGCCCCATTGTCCCTAATATGTTCCAGAACCCCCAGGAATTGAGGGAGTATATGCGATTGGTGCAACTCCCGGATGTGGTGAGACGGTTCTACGAGAATAAGCTGAACGATCTGTGCGATGATGACTATTATGTCGAGGGTGTCCCCATTATGAAGAGGGACCAACTTCCGCTTGCCTCGTACGATTATGTGATCAAGGAAGGCGCCAAGATGATGATCAGTCTGCCCGTGTTCAAGGGAAGAGGGAGCTCTGCGCCTTTTGGCTATGCGGAGACCACGATCAAAGAGATTCGTCAGGGTACAAAGTATCACTTCAAGTTCGAGCTGGAGAGGGGAACGATGTTCTTCAACGTAAAGGATGATCAGGGAAGAGAAGTGTGTGGTCGTAAGAAATTGCTGCTTAGTTCATGGCGTGTTGGATGCAACAAACAATCAAAGAATCATAATACACGCTAACAGTTCGCCTCCACAATCTGCTGAATGGATTTGATCGTCTTTGTAGGAAGGAGCGTTACTTGAGCATTACTATTCTGAGCGAAAAGGGTCCGCAGCACCGTCAAATACTGCTGAGCCACCATATAATCCGTCACCAGCACTCCGCTTCCTTCCAGCGCTGTCCGTCACGGTCCCTCGCCAATCCTACCCTTCGCTACAATCTCGAGCGACTGTTTCTCCGCTTCGGCCGCCATCAACTTCGCCTTCGCGTCTCCCTGCGCGCGCAAAATCATCGAGGCGCGCTGGCCCTCCGCGTTCAGCACTTGCTGACTGTTAGGAAGCGAGAAGGGAACATACCGTGGCCACGTTGCCTCGACTGATGATCACATCATGCATTCGATCGCCGTCCGCACGGAGCACTTCCGAGCGGCGGGAACGCTCGCTCTTGATCTGGTTCTCCATGACTCGCTTCAAGTCTCTGGGAGGATCGATATTCTGAATCTCCACACGGGTCACAGTCACTCCCCAGCGTTCCGCATCCAAATGGATCTAAAAGTGAGAGGGTGGCGAAGCGGCTACCTTCTCCAAAAGCTCTTCGTTGATAGCCTCTCGAGAGGAGAAGGTATCATCCAAAGTAATCTTTGCAATGATGTTTCGGAGGGTAGCCTAACTTTTACACCACCCGATCAAAGCAAACCTGGACCAAAAGCTCAATGGCATCAGGCAGGTTCTGAATGTTGAAGGTAGCCGATTTGGGGTCAGTGATTCGGAAATAAGCCAGGGCATCGATCTCCATGATCACATTATCCTTTGTGATCACGGTTTGCTTGTTGAAATCCAAGACATGCTCACGCATATCAATACGGTCAGTACTGATGCACTTTACTCGTGCATTACCACCAGACGAATCAATGAACTTCCAGTGAACATATCTCGTAGTATCAACGAAAGGAATCAAAAAATGAATTCCAGGCTTCAACGTTCTCTATAATTTAAAAATTCAGTAGCAAGGCCGCCTACATAATACTGGCCAAACCGTTCGACAATAACAAACGTTCCCTGATGAACCACACGTATTCCAGCATTGATAACTTTGCAAATCAATATTAAGTATATGATAACTAAAATAATCACAGGAATAAGGTAAGGATCCATTCGAATAATTTGAATTATGAGCTCAGAGAACACCGAATCTAGTCCGATTCGTTTCAACCCCAAATTCGGCCAAATATTTGGAATACTACAAATAGCTACTATTTTGGGAAAAAGTCGTTTCTCAAGAGCCGTCTATATTTCTTTGAGAGATCTTCTGGTTTAAAGCCAATATCTATCCCTTCAACCAAGACGAGTCTATGACTGTTTTTAATAAGTATGAACACCTTGAGCACCAACAGGGAAAATAGAAAAAAATATGACATAACAGCATTTGCCATGGTTCTACCAAATCAAAAGACTAGCAATCCCCTCAGCAATATTCTTTTTATTTGACTCAAACCACTTTTCATGGTAAACTATCTGCGTCTTGCTCTAAGAGCTTTTGCCATGAGAAGCTATTTGTATAGGAGAGGAGGAGGTATTACTGTGTGTTGCTGATTATGTAGTCAAGTGGCTAAGCAGTGAAGCAGCATTGATGTTAAAAGGTAAAAGAAAGATGGGAGATATAGTAAAAGTACTTCTTCCTTATTCGAAAGCAACACACAGTAAGCACTGTTATTTAATTCAAAATGAGGTGAGTCAAGTAGTGGAGCGAGTAAAAAGTGGCGTTTTTGGAAGTATTACGTTTTGGGAATTGGCGGAGGAATTATATACCTCATATATGAGACTCATATATGTTATACTCCTATTCTCAACCGAAAGCAGTTTGTTGTAAGTGTTTGAGGATTAACTGAAGACTAGTTTTTTTCCAGGAATTTCGAGTTGGATATACAAGATGTATTGCTAGAATCTTTAGAGGAAGATGTTCGCTCGAATGGGAATAACATAGTTGAAGAGAGTGATCCGCGCTATAAGTACATCAAGTCTATCCTTTCTCGACTAATTGATGCATGCGTTTATTTTTCTCCTGAGAGCGAAAAGTATTTTAAAGATATCAAACTTGTTGTTGTGGACACGCCTGAAGTGAATGCATTTGCATCCTTCGGTGATTGCTTGAATGCCGTTTTAATAAGTAGGCGGAATTGTTTTTGTCTATACTGGCATCATCGACCATTTCGAAAATATGAAAGAAATGAATAAGTTGATCGATGTCGATGCAGTTTTACTCCATTTCTACAGTTTTAGTTGTAGTGTATTGCCGGTACTCTAGCGCATGAATTATCCCATTTACTGGCGAGGTTTTTTTTATTTTTTTAACAATTTTATTCATTTTAGGCATAGCGCAGAAAGCATAACACGCTGGAATAAGATTCTCTACTATATCTACATCGCGACGATTCCCGATCTTTTCGTTGTTCCCACGATTTCATTTTTGTTTTCGAGGAGTATCAGGTCGATTCTGTGCCCATTCTTTAAAATCTAGCCGCAAACAGGAATACGAGGCTGACTACATGGCGTTGTTTTTGCTAAAGCGAAGTGGATACGATCCTTCATCGATGATTACAACGATCAGTTTGCTTGATATGAATAAAGACGATGAAGGGATCATGACTGTGTTATCTCAAGCGATCAACACGCATCCGTTGATCGATAATCGCGTGAGCAGTCTTCAGGACAATATCTTCAAGTTTGAAAAAACCTTTCAGAGCAAGTACGAAGTCTCTCCCCTCCCAGACCCTTCTCTTTTCTATCGCGTTCTCAAATTGTTTCATTTGGTGTTTCGTGTTTCTTCCAACAAACAAATTTTCAATCTTATTCTATTCTCTAGTGTTTTCTCCATCATTTCATCACCCCTGTTCTATTCTCCATTGATTTCTCCATCATTTCATCACCCCTGTTCTATTCACCATTGCTTTCTCCATCATTTCATCACCCCTACTCCTTTTTCCTTGTTTCTTCCAACAAACACACCACCGACCTTACTTATACTACTATACATTTTTCTAAATCACTATTCAATCATCATTTTCTTCGCGATGAACCGATCGCCCACCTCTTCATCCAGATCATTTCGCTGCCGATACTCGTTTTCCTTCTTCATCTTCCCCTTCATCCTCTCGAACTCGTCGTCATACGTCCCCATGTCCAGCTCCGACCGATTCACGCTCGACACGCGCGGCTGCACGATCGTCTCGGGGAAGTTCACGCCATAGTCCCCCACGCTGATGTCCGTCATGCTTCCGCTCGCGCTCAGCTGCGGCCCGAACAGCGGCGACAGGAAGCTCTGCGAGAACGAGGCGCGCTCGCGCGCAGTGGAGGGCGCGGAAAGCCGCGGCGTGATGGAGAAATCGCCCTTGAGGAAGAAGAGGAAGAGGTCCACGATGGACACGACGCCGCAGGGCTTTTGGTCGTCGTCGATGCAGACGAGCGAGGTGGTGTTTCGCTGCGCAAACATGAAAAAGAGGCAGGAAAGCGTCTCGTGCGCGCTGACGGTGAGCTGCGTGCTGAACGGCTGGAACTGCGGGTCAGACGGGAGCACAGAGAGGTACGCTGGAGATGAACGTGCTGATGGGGCAGTTGAAGATGGACATGTCGCGGAAGTCGAGCTTGATCAAGTCGGTGCGCTGGAAGATTCCGATCAGATTGCCTGGGAGTGAATCGACCCATCCAACAGAACGATCCGCATCGATCACCGGGACCGACGAAATGACGTGGCTCTCCATGATCCGCAGAACTAGCCGTGAGAACTCCGGCTCAAAGAAACCTTCGTAGAGCGGCGCGTCTTCGCGGACGTCCCAGACCTGATCGTAGGAACCGACGTTCAATTCGCGGATGGAGAAGTTGTAGTTGCTCAGAGGGTCCGAGTAGAAGTCCACCAGGTAGTGCAGGATGTTCAGATAGTTCACAACGCCGATCAGATTCCCTTCCTGCAGGTGAGGAGAGAAAGGAGGGCATACGTGGATGCGGTCGATGATGGGGATGCGATGCACATGACAGTCGAACATCGTTTTGAGAATCTGGAAGAGCGAGTTGTTCGGAATTCCGTAGGTGAGCGTCGGCTGATTCGGATAGAGCTTGTCTGCCCATCAAACCAATCGGATGTGTCTACCTCGGTATTCTTGGATTGTGTAGTCTAAATAGCGAGGAAACTTGATGGACTCCAGCGGAATACCGCTTCGCTGAGCATCTTGGAAGGCTTGATAGTAACTTGTATACTAGGCGTTAGATCCCGGATCTTTACCCACTTGACGATTTAGAACGATAAGCAGATCGCTGCTGGTGATGATTCCTTCGTACATTCCAGTGTTCGCATTCCATATCACTCCTTCCACTGCTTCTAAACGTTACAAAGGAACCTAGGCACAACCTTGACGTCGTAAGGATTGAAAGACCAGGTCGAGAGGAATGTTCGTATTGAACACTAGCAGCTTTTGGCTGTCGGGAAGGACATCGTACGCATATCTCTGAGACAGAATATCATATATCATGCTTCTTCCTGACAATTACCCTTCCAAAGCAAAAGTACCAGCATTTAGCTCATCTAATACCGTGTTGTCCGAATTTGACTCGTTTGCAACAGCAGTAAAGTCTAATTTCCCAACGACCATCCCACTCTATCATGATGAGGATTATTCGAAAACTAGTTACATCATCCCCATCACCAGTTGGAGAGGAAGGCGGAGAAGTCCCCGCAACAAACGTATCCTGCTCGTCCGCATAGAAAGCACCATTTGCATAACTTGGAGGGTTGTACTGCCCAAAATATGGGCTGTTCATTTGAATACATCCCTCTTCTTCCATATTTGACAGAAACTCAGCCTTGATATTGTTTTGTAACCGCGATTTCTAATCTTCAGTTTGGAAACTCTCCTCTCCCTATTTTTATGAGCGATAAGTTATTGCAAACGCTCCGATCGGACGACCCTGCGGCCTCACGCGAAGCCTTTGGGCAGTTGTGCACAGATTTGAGAGAAGGAAAAGGTTTTCGTTTTTAACTAGGGCCATATGTAGCTGCTACGTGTAAATATTTCGTCACGCATTTATCGGAACTTTTACAGAATTCTGATCATCCCGTAAAATGTTCTATACTTCTGCGTATGCCATTCAGAGTACAATGACATTTAGTTGCGAATGAAAATATCCAAACGCTTCAACCATTCATTTCAGAGGAAGTGTGGGATTCTATGCGAAATCTTTTATCCCTATTTTCAGCAAATGATACGGAGTCGCTCCTACTTACAAAATTTGTAATTGATTAGTATTTGTACAAATGTAGATTACACTCTATGGCTTCACGCAAGAAGCGGCCGAAAGCATATCTAACAATCCATTCTATTTGCTCTATGCCGAATCGAAGCTTGATTCCTCTCTTTTGGACACAATCGATTCTGTTCCCTGCATAGGCGCCTTCGAGCAGTTTTTGCTCTTTGCAATTGGTAGTGACAGTGCTTCTAACATACTGGAACCATTGCTCCATTTCTACCTACGACTCTTCTCATCCCGTCATGATTTCCTTCGTCTCCTCCTAGACACGGAAATTCGTCTGGGTAGCCATCCAAGCCTTCTCGCCCACGCTCTCTCCACATCCCCCTCGACCCCTCACATCGCCTACCACCTCCTCCGCCTTCTGGAATCAACCCTCTCTCTCGAAAGCGAATTTGTCAAAGTCGCAGCCATCGTCAATCGATTTCTACTCCAACAAAACCTTCAACTCGCCGAGGACTCGCTTCTGCCTCTCCTCTCCATCGCTCTCCATGCCCTCGAAATGCAATCGCCTGTGTATTGGATCGCGCAGCGGCTGATTTCATCGTTTCTCGGCGCGTGGAATCGCGCGGCCAATCGAAGCGTTCATCCATTCATTCAATCCGCGTTTGAACTGCTCGGGTTCCGCGACTTGCGCGCGGATTCCACGATGAAACTCCCCTATGATGGGAGTTTCGTTGCCGAATTGTTTGGTTTGATGGAGAAACGGAGAATCGAAGAATTGCGAAAGATCTGCGAAGTGACGCAGTCGCTGGGAGTTTCGTTTTGTCTGTGTTACGACGATGTTTCGATTGTGCGCGCAGCCGCAACGAATCTATCGAACCGGATCGATCCGATGAGTATTGTGTTTGCATTGATCGGGTATTGGATGATAAAGTGGATAGCTGAATGAATAGAAACGCAATCCGCATCCAAAGCTCTTCTTCTCAACGCGCTTCGTGCGTTTTGGCTTTGTACCAAGCGCTTCCCTTTGCGTTCCGCAGCTCCGCGATGACGAAGCCGCTCCTACAGCTGGTGTGTCCGCTATTCGATGTGCAGCCGACCGGAGAAATCGATCGTAGACTCCGCAGACTTCCTGCCTCGCCGTCTCGCTTCTTTCGACCTGCCGAATCAACGTGGCTTCGTTCGATCGCGCGTTCTGGGTGCTGCTTCGCCATCTCATCAAGCAATGTATCGTGTATCGCGCTTCTTCATCGCAGATCCGCGCGAAGAGCCCGTCCATCACAGCATTCTGCTCGCCTTCCAGCGCGTTCTGGAGCACACCGCGGTCGATTCGATCGAGATCCTGCAGATCGTCACGCACTTCACACGCCTCTACCTCCCTCCTTCCCTTCCCAAACCGCTTCTCTCTCCACTCCTCGACCTCCTCACCTCCCTCAGTCTCGACGGCTCGCTCAACCCGCTTCCTCTTCTCGATCTCGTCAAGCCCGTTCTCCGCTTCGACGACTCTTCGCTCCACGCCATCGCGTTGGACTTCATCGCCTCCGCCGCCACTCGCAAAGGAGTTCCTTGCTTCGATCCGCTTTCAGCGTAGCGCGCAGCGGCGACCGTTCGCTTCTTATGGGCCCAGACGAGCGAAGCTCCGTCGATTTCCGCCGCCGCGTTCGACGCATTGCTCTCCCTTCCGCGCGGAATTCTATTCGAAACTCTGCCCGCTGCCACGGAAACGGCCATCGAGGACAAGTCCCTTCTGGTTTTGCTGGTCGATCGACTGAGCCGGCTGCCCGCAGGCGACCGGCGAATCGATTCATTGGCGAAGCTCTGCTGCATGGTGGAGGGAATCGCGGGGAAACGGCGGGTGTTGAAGCGCGAAACGGCGTTCCAGAGCGTGAAAGGCTATTGGAAGGACGCCAACGAAGTGCTGAACTCGTATTCGCGATCCATCGATCTGCTGGCGCCCATCGCGTTCTTCGTCCCTTCCGCGGATTCCCGCGAATCTGCCGCGGCGTCGTACAAAAAGTACCCCATCAGAGCGTTTCAATGACCAGTTTGATTCGGTATTTGACGTCGATTCCTCCGCTCTTCGCGCTGCAATCGTTCCTGCAAGTGGATCACTCGCTTCTGCTGGCGACGGTCAGCCAGACCATTCGCTCGTTTTTTCTTCTGCGTTCCATTCGCTCGTAGACTGATCTCCCATTGCAGCGCTTCGTTCACTGACTCCGATTGGGACGACGTCGTCCAGCGCCTCGATTCCTTCCCCACCAACCCCAACGCGCTTCTCCTTCTTCTCTTCATCCTCGAATCGCAGCCTGCGCGTCTTTCCGAGTCGCTTTTCTCGCAGCTCGCTTCGATTTCTCCGGTCGCTTCGTCGTTCTCGGTGCTTCTTTGCTTCTTCTCGGTGCTCGCCGCGTGGAACGAGCCGCGGATCTCCGCGTTTTATCGAGCGGTTCAGTGCAGAAGCGAAGCCGCGTGGGCTGCCTGGATGCTCGGCGTTTCCGTGCTGCTGTGCAAGGGCGAAACGCCCTCTCGAAAAGAACTTCTATCGAAGATTTCGAACGCTGCGTATCCACTGCTTCAATCCATTTTAACCTCCAATTCGAATTCGAATTCGAATTCTTCGCGTCGTTCGACGAATGAATTGAATCTTTCGCTGCTCTGCGAAGGGCAGTCGGCTTCTTCTTCTTGTTCTTCTTTGTTTGATTCGGCTTCGCCGTTCGCCTTGTCTTGCCTTTCGTCGCTGTTTGCTTCCCTTCCTGCCATCGAACAGCTCCGACCTTCGCTTGCTCCACTTTTATTCTCGATTGCCTGCGAACTGACAAAGCTGCGCTTCGCCGAATCGCTTCGCTTTCTGGGGTTCTACGCGGTGCATCGCTTCTTAACGCAGTGCAAACTCGACGATCGTTCGGTGCTTCGCGGACAAACATTGCTGATAAACGGATCCAATTATGAATCGAAACTGAACCGAAGCGAAGTGTGCGTGATGATGTGCAATTTCGCGTTGAATCATTTGAAAAAAGATGACAAGATCGAATCCATTCTCACCAAAAACCGACCCACCAATCAGAATTGGATGATTTCGGACGTTTCGGAGATCGTTCATTACTCGGAAGTGTGGTCGAAGCTTCTTGCCGAAAAAACTCCCGAATTCCAGAAGTAGATCCACAACACATTCTTTATTCTAGCATCCTTTTAATCCAACTCCATTCTCTTCTCGTCCCATCACCTTCTTCTTCTTCTTCTTCTTCGTCATCATCATCATCAAATCCGCTGCTTTCTTTGCCTCCATTGGCTTTAAGTCGGCAGCTCTGGCAGCAATTCTCTCAACAACTCCATCAAAACAATCCAAACCCGAACACTCTCCAAGCTCTTCTTTCTTCGCTGCAACTCACTCGATTGCCTTCTTCGGGCGATTTAGGAACCATTTGCGGCATTTTAGTGGATTGCTGTCAGCGAAAGAGATGGTGGGAATTGTTGGAGGGCGTTTTGGAAACGGCGGCGTCGATTTTATCCAATCCGGAGATTGTGTTTAATGACTTGTTTGCACGCTTTTCGCTTGTGAATTGTAGCGTTCGGACCACTCTCCAAAACTCAGAGTTCGAATTGCTTTGCGTTTTGCTTCGCAAATTCCCGCTCTTTTTCGAATCAACGAAGCCGAATCTTTTCGCTTCGGCGATCCATCAAACCAAACAATCTCTTCAAAACGCATCCATTGAAAAGCAGCAAATCATCGCCGACTGCTTCTCTTCTTACCCCACTCCGCTTCCTTCCTTTGCTTGCACCGAGCTCGAATCGCTGATTCCGAGTTTGCCACACGCTTCCGTCTGCGAGATTCTGCGCCGCCTACCCGACGCCAATTTGCTGTCGCTCCTCCCTCAGCGCACGGGAGCGATTCTGAGCGAACTGCGAGAGCGATCGTCAGCGAACGTCTGGGAAATCGGCCGGAAATTGAGCGAACAGAACGCGTCGATCGCGGATTGGATCGATTTCGTCGCGTTGCTGCAGCGAAGGCGGGGAGAGAACAACGATTTGTTGCTGGAACAGATGGCGAGCGATCTCCAATCGAATCCACATTGCGAACTCTTCGTGTTGGCGGCTCGTTTTCTTGCGGGATTGACTTCATATCCATTCTCTTTCATTCATTCATTCATTCATTCATAAATGAATAGAATTCTATTTGGTTGGCTGTTTCCTTCATTTCAGCGATGAAAAAGCGATCAGCGTGGTGATTTCCGATCTCCCCATGGATCAACTCGACGTTTCCTTGCCTTCCTCTCGAATCACCAGCGTTTTTCTCCCTTCTCTCTCTTCACCACAGAACGAATCCGTTCTCCAATCGCTCTGTCGCGTCGCGCTGCAGCTTCGTCACTCCCCGTCCTTCCAATCCGCCGGTCGCTGGCTCCTTCGCACCTTCGTAACGCTCTCTCGCCGCTTCTGCACAACCCGCGACGCCTATCGAAGCCTCTTCATCACCTATTCCGTCAGCCTTCCCGAGTTCCGTGTTTTTTCGAACAAACAATCCATGCAGGACCCGCGTATTTCCCTGGCGGCAGGTAGCAAAACGGGGAATACGGCGGTGTTGGCGAGGGAATCGGCGCAGGCGGCTTGCTGATCATCACGCTCACCACTTTCTTGATCGCTCGTATCCAGGAGATGCGTCCTTTCTGATTCATTTCGTGCTTGATGAACTGCTTCTGCGTCATATTCAATCGAAACAGCCAGATGTAATGCACGAAAAACCCGCACAGCCACGCGCCGATCGCTCCCGCGATGATCGCGCACGACATATAGTGCAGTGAAGGAGCCCTCCATCCAAGCGAATCGAACACAAAGGATATGACGATCAGCCAGAAGAACGACGGAGCCACGAAAACCATGTGCGCCAACGAAAGAAAAACGCAGAACGACGCGACTCCCACCATGGCTCGCTTCTGAAAGCGATTTCCCGCGGGGAAGAAGAGCAGACAGAGCAGGAAGATGAAGAGAAGCAAGTCGTCCCAGACGGTGATGTGCTGCTTAAACTGGGAAAAGGGAAGGGCGTGAAAATGGCGAAAAGCGAAGGCGGAAATCCAGAAAAAGCAAACGACGCCGCAGATGCCGCTAAAGAATGAAGAGAAAGAGAGGGAGGGACGTGTCGAAGAGAACCCACAGGAAATAGCGAAGTGTGTGCTGGTTCACGCAGTTGTTTAGCCATCTATGAGAATCATGGAATCATAAAGGAAGGTACCCGCAGTGATGATCAAACCCCACCACACAACAATCGCAAACTTTACAATGATGAGCATCGACGGGTCTATTGTAAACTTGGCTGATGAGAAAAACCGGTAAAAATGGCAAGTATGACACCACTTCACTTGGATGACACCATCATTTGTTCGATATCGGATCGCAGGTATGACAACACGATCCTCAGAAACTGTGACAGATGGTAGCTTTTTTAACACACCTCCATTCTCTAGAATAAACATGTTACTCAAGTCGAACCTGAAATAGCGCGTGATAACATGTAAAAGTCATGAAGAAGCACGACCCGCAGAATAATACCAAACACATTCCAAGGAGTAAACTCTAATTTTAACGGAATGAGCAAACCTCAACGTTCTAGAAATATAACCTCCGCAATGAATAAAAGGATTGATATATATTTAATATCCGGTCCTCCGGGCTTCGGAAGGAAAAATCGTTTAACATCGATTCCTAAAATGGAAAACGACTAGAATGGAGGGTAGTACACAACGCATACATTCTGATTTTGTATTATTTCATCTTGATTATACATTTCCAAAAAAGGCTATAATTTCTTTAGAATACAGTTTTGCAGGTAGGGTTGAACAATCTATCTATCTATCCATACGGAACGAAAGAATCTTTCCAGCTAAGGAATATCTGGTAGAGAGATACTGCGTTCCAAGAGCAACAGTTTTTTTTGCCCATTAGTTTGAGTCTGATCTCTGTGATTAGCGTTTCCTTATCTGATACATTGATGATGGTGGGAAAAGAGAGTGCGAGCGGCTCTTCTATTCACAACAAAAAACTAACAGCATATAGGTATTTTGTTTGTTGCAACAAACCCAAACTAGAGAAGGAAGAAGATGCGAAGCAACTACAGTGCCGAAACCTGCCAATGACCGATACTTCCATCCACCAGTGTATTAAGTGCTTGGTGATACGATAAATACTCTTTCCACAGATCGTTGTACTTCAAAACCGACGTGTCTCCCACAATGATCATTCCAAACCTAGCTCGCGTTAGTGCGACGTTCAATCGCTTTGGATCCTTCAAGAACCCGATTATCCGCATGGGATTGGATCGCACGCACGACAACACAATGTAATCCATCTCTCGTCCCTGGAAGGTATTGACACTGGCGCACTCCACTTTTCCCAGCCGGCTTTGCTGCAGAAGATTCTTCAGCAGGACCTTCTGTCCGGTATAGCTGGTGATGACTCCGATCTTCTTCTCCTTGATTCCGCATTGCATGAGTTCCTTCACGATGTTCACCACCGCGGTGGCTTCCTGCACGTTCAGGAAGGACGAGCCCGTGTTCCCGATGCTCTCACGGCCCTTCACGTTCCAGAACAGCAGCGGAACCTTCGTGTTGGGGTAGCAGAACTTGATGAGCGGGCGATTGGCCTCGCCGATCCCGTCCTCCAAGCGGCCTTCGTAGAATTTGTGGTTGCTGAACACCGACAGCGCGGGGTGCATTCGGTACTGCACGCACAGCAGCTGCGGCTCCATCCCTGAGTCGATTAGCCGCTCGAACAGCGACACATCGTACCCCGCTCGCTTGCAAACTGCCGACAGAACCACGGGCTGCAGCTGCTTCTGGTCGCCGACCAACACGACGCGATGCGCTCCGTGCACGATCGGAATCAGCGTCTCGCACTCCGTGGCCTGCGACGCCTCGTCCACCAGAACGGAGTTGAACACGCAGCCGCTGAGGAGCGGCGACCCCGCGCTGTCGCACGTGGACACCACCACATCGGCGCTCTGAATCACTCGCCGCTTGTACTTTCCGCTTTCCTTCATAAAGTGCCGCCAGTCCGCCTCTTCGATTTCCTCTCCGTCCTACGAGTCACTTGGCTCGCTCATCCCAACATCGTGGCGCGTCTGGATGGCCAGCAGCTCGGATGCCTCGGCCTTCATCAGCTCCCTCGCCTTGATGTGCACGCAGAGCTCCTGCACGGGGCTCTCCATGCTCTCTTTGGAGACGGCCATCAGCCGCACCACGTTCACGCCGGTTCGGTGGATTCGCGCGCAGATTTCGTCGGCCGCGACGTTCGACGGCGTGCAGACCAGCACGGGGCCCGGCGTTTTGAACCGCCAGAGATGCTTGGGGTCGTTTCTGTAGGCTTTGTACTTGCGCGGGATGTCGCGGATGTTCTCCCTGTGCCGCTTGACGAGATTGTAGACCAGCGCGGCAGCTGTGACTAGCTATCAGAGTGAAAAAAAGGAGAGGAACCTGTCTTTCCCGTCCCGGGAGGTCCTTGGATCAATGTGAATTCGCTTTGGAGGGCGTAAGCGATCGCATCGTGCTGCGATCTGTTGAGAGGGCGAAGATTCGGAGCATCGAAGCTCACTTCGCGGTCTCTGTGGGAAACGTAGAATTCACGTTTGTTCATCATCGATTTGTTTCCTAAGAAAATGTTGTAGATGTGCTGACTAATTGCTTTTTCGTCATCCAGGAGCTTAATCGCGGTAAGTCGACGGGCTGCCGATGTCCCCGCTTCTTGCAAGCGAACATCGTAATACCCGTTTTTATACGCAGAAACGTTCCGAGGAATCTCTTTGCTCGTAATCACCAATCTACACTCAAAAAGATTTACTTCCGGACGAATGGATTTAATCTTCTTGACCTTTCCAGTATACTCAATCCGAGAGGTGAGTAAATTCTCATAATCGTTCGTCTGTAAAATCTCTTCATCCAGTTGATTCTGATTCTCCATCATCTCAACCAGATTTTCATGCTCGTCCGCTCGGTTACATTTCGAACCTTGCGAACTTTTCTTTTTCTCAAAATATTCATCATCCTGATCTTGGTCCAAATCCTCCTGATTGGAAGACCACGTCAATACCAGATTATCCCATTGCGTTATACCACGGCTATATTCTGTCATATGGATTTCAAAGACAGCAACGGGATGGTACCCCTGTTTGTGGTGTTCTCGAAAGAAAGAAACATAAACATGTTTGTCTCCATCGACCAACGAGCTTTGCCGTTGATCATACTCTTCAATGCGAATTAAGGGTTCAAAAACTTTGTAGTAAGCCAGAGAATCGTCGTACTCTTGTTGGGTATGACGAACCTGAGAATAGTCGTTTACTACAACGTCTTCAATGCGCAAGCTTTTATTCGCTATACGCTGGTGTTCGTACTGGGAGATACGTTGAGCAGACAAAATTGAACAGTACTCTGTTACATTTGGAATAGTACAGATAGCTGGGGTGAGGCGACGATCATCAACAATTGGTTTCCACAAGTCCATATCAAATGCCTTATCTTCAAGAGCATTTTTGGACAGGCACGAAGGTAAACAACGGATTTTGACCGCGCCATTCACCATTCTATAGTAGAGATCGAAGATATTCGAGTTTCCACAGGAACACTTAAACCGGCTCCCCTTCAGCACACTTTCTTTGTGAGACAGAGCCTGATAATGGCGGGTATACGACATATGCAAAAATATGTGTGAACCCTGCCGAACATCAGTAGAGTTACAAAACCAACGTTTACATATACGACAAAAAACGAGACTTGACCCAGTACGATTTTTACAGTAATCACACTGGATAGTTGAAGCCTCAACTATCTCTTCACCTGCGTCGTTGTCCTGCTTCACTTTTTTGGCCATATCACAATAAAGAATTAATAAATGAATTAGTATTTTAGCCCATTGTTTTGTAGTTATATGTCAAATTTGGAAACAGAAGGCATATTACTCCAAAACTCACTACAGAGCATAAAAAAGCACGAGAGTCAGTTAACTGACCTGATAATCGAATATGAAGGACTGCTAGATATGGTTCGATCTCATTTGTCCAAATATGATGTAGAAAAATTTACTGATACAGCGAGCCATCTTTAACAGACTGAGATCGCTGTCTACGCATCGAGACTATCTCTATGATATTCGTCTATTGTATTCTTCATACGAGTACAGGTGTGGGATGCTCGGTGAAAAGTGCACTAACCTTTTGCTTTCTCTCGATGGAGTCGAGTCGCATGGAAGTGATGCAGTCCGTAAAGAAAGGAAGGCCCTCGTCAATCGTATCCTTCACTTTCAGGACTACTGCATCGCAACCCATGTATTTAACTTTTCTAAGGGTAAATTACCCATAGGAAAAATCAAAGAAGCTCAATACATGGTTTAAGAAGCACCATCTCGAGCCAGTTCGTCTTTTGAACTACAAAGTGCAGAAAACGATCCTGCAGGAAAACGGTGTTCTGGTGAATCAAGAAAACAAATGTATATGTTGTTCCTCTGTTTCTTTTCACTCCCCAATCAAACAAACAATTCTACTTCCACAATTTACGCAACGACGTATTCGCATCACTATCTCTCTTCGTCACCTTCACCACCGCCATCTCAAAGTCCTCCTGTGTGACATGCATCCGCTTCTCCCGAATGGCGAACATTCCGGCCTCCGTGCACACCGCCTACATCCCACACGCTCCACTCCTCTACCTTGCACTCCGCGCCACTGGCATCGGTGAGCATTCCTGCGATCTTCCGCAGATCGATCCCGCGCATCAAATTCATCCGCCGACTGTGAATCTGCAGAATCTGCAGCCGTCCCTGCGCGTCACGCCCTCCCTCGCCGGCCCTACCGCCTCGTTCGGGTTGGGCAGCTCGATTTTGCGATCGATGCGTCCGGGTCGCAGCAGCGCGGGATCCAAAATATCGATCCGATTGGTCGCCATGATGATTTTGATGCGGTTCGACGGCTCGAACCCGTCCAGCTGGTTCAGCAGCTCCATCATCGTGCGCTGCACCTCGTTCTCTCCGCCTCGACTTTCGCGCCGCGTGCTTCCGATGCTGTCGATCTCGTCCATGAAGATCAAGCACGGCTCGTGCTCGCTACGCCTCACCCGCCATTTCTTCGCCTACCGCGCGCTCACGAACAGCTCGCGCACCATGCGCGCGCCCTCGCCGATGTACTTCTGCACCAGCTCCGACCCGCTCAGCCGGATGAACGAGCAGTCCGTGTGGTGCGCGACGGCGCGCGCGAGGAGCGTTTTTCCCGTGCCGGGCGGGCCGTAGAGCAAAACGCCCTTCGGCTGCTGCACGCCCAGCGCTTCGAACAGCTCGGGGTGCTTGAAGGGAAGCTCGATCACTTCTTTGATTTCCGCGATTTGCTTGTCCAGGCCGCCGCACATGTCGTAGGTGCTGTCTGGGACCTTCTCCACTTTCATCAGACTGACGATCGGGTCCACTTTCGAAGGCATGATCTTGGCGACTTTTTGGGAGTGGGCGTGCAGGGCGACGCGGGTGTTCGGCTTTAATTGGTCGATGGGGATGGTTTCGTCTATGTCGACGACGCAGTCGGAGTCCATCATTCCGTCCTGGAAGGTGAGGGTGTGCAAAGACAAAGAAATACTTTCACGATTGCCTTGTTTTTGCCGTCCATCTTTACCACTTTGATTATTTGAGCGATCGACCAGCTGGGGGCCAGCAGTCTGCGAATTTCATCTTGGAGGCCACGTACTGAAAAGAAACCGACATGAAATGTACATACCCTCCGCATTCAGTTGATTGCGTTGTTTCTCCAGACGCTCCATCTCCTGGCGCTTCTCGTTCACCTCTCTTTGTTTGTCCTCAATTCGTCTCTATTTGTCAGTGAAACTGGACATCTCCAACAGCATAGTACGAGCCTATCCAGTCGTTTTGTGTTGTTTCACTCTCCACCTCCATTGTATTAACTAACTTAGGATAAAAACCCTGGGTAGAAAAAACTACCTCCAGGTAAAAAAGGATCGAATCTCGAACAAACAGCAGTAATTCATGTTACAGACTACTTGGAATCAACACTAAGATACATGGGATTGGATGGGTTCAGTCGCTTCACGGTTGGACAAAAAGGATGTTCTGTTGTCAGGTTCTGCGAAGAAGTGGAGGGTTCTTTGACAGGAAGGGACATATCGGGAGCAAATTCTTCGACAGGAAGGGACATATCGGGAACAGGCTCTTTCACAGGCAGAGACATATCAGGAGCAGGCTCTTCAACCGGAAGAAACATGTTTGGAACAGGCTCTTCAACAGGAAGGAACATGCGACTTGCGGGATTCAACGACAATCGGTGAAAGAGTGACTCTTGGAGCTGTGTATCGGATATCTTGTCCAGAGGCGTGCATCCTCGATTGTTTCGCTTTTCTAATAGGGTTGGATCCAATCCTAAGAGTCAGAAAGGGACAATAATAAACTACGGGTCATAAGTTCGATGATATCTATATAATTCCCTTCGCACGCATAGTGGAGAGGAATGTTGCCCTCTCCATCTTCACAACGAATATCACAATCTTGGATTTATCGTAGCAAAATAGCTCTTACGACTCTGCAGCAAATAGGAAACAATGGAGTATCTTCCATATTTACAAGCTAGATGAAGAATTGACAAATCGTCAAATCGATCATTCACTACATCGATTCCCTGTCTAATGAGGTCGTAAAACTGCTGGTCCTTTCCTTCACGAAGAGAGTTCTAGGGTTCATCACATCCCAAATCCTCACTTCGAGTCTCCAACGAATTGTCCGTTTCTCCCAAAACTTTTTTCGCAGGAAAGAAACAAAGGAACTAAACAAGTTCATTCTTTCTCAAGGAACTGCCGATTTTTATTCAAAATATAAAACTATAGCACAAAAGAGAATCGCTCCTCCAAATGCACGATGGAAGAAAAAAGAATGTTCCAACAAACAATGCACAATTCTCTATAACCAATTACAGAAGTGACGAGCAGAGAGATCCAAACAAGGATAAAGCAGTAGAAGAACAGTTCCGCATACATCGAAATCTACGCCTCACTCCCCATCCCCATTTCGACTTGAAAGCTCATCTGGAGCGCTTGCTGCAGGTTCGACACGAACACCTTCGGGTTCTTGATGATCTTCGCAGCCTCGTAGATCTCTTTCAGCTGCTCCTGGTAGTGCGGAGGAATCGCATTCCCTACATGCAACGCAACCCCATTGCATACACAGCTTGGACGCAGCAGCAGAGAAGAACGACGCGATTCGATTCGGAATCTCCGGTCCAATTCGCTGCTGCACCATCTTGACTTGATTACACAGGATGCCCCAATAGTCCATCAGTTTGGCCCAGACAAGCGAAGAAATTTGCTTCGCCTGGGATTCAAAGCGAACGAACCAGTCAAGGGTGTGCAGATACTTCCAGAATTTTTTGAGATCCGATTCAATGGCGGAAAGGCTGGGGTCACAACTAACCAAATCAAATACATGATATCGGCGTATTTCAAGAAGCGGAACAAGAAGGGATAAATGTAGTCGATAAGGATCGTTCTGGACAATTTGAGCAAGTACAATTGGGTGATGGACATGTGGGATTTGGACTTCAGCTTCAGAATCGAACCCATCAGTCTGTTAATCGACGTGGTTTTCCTACTCACTTTCTACACACATTACCCAGTACAAGCAAATCTACGCTTTTCAGCTCAGTGATTCGCTCGTTGCACTCATCAATTTCCACTTTCAGATTGCTCAGAGTGCGAACACTGGCAAAACCGTCGATAGACATTTTTAACTGCTTCTGTTCTTCAAGCAATCTGTCCTACACAATGAAAGGATATGAAGAAAGCAACATAGTCCTGCTTTAGTTGAGCAAGCTGAGTCTCAATTCCTTCTTCATGCTAGATATGAGAATCGATGGGCCAATAGCATACAACATTTTGAACTTCCTCTGCCTTGATTGTACAGACAATGGCAAGGAAACACACGATTGCAACACGGAATAAGCCTATAATAGAATCTTCTTTTCAGAACACTTACACTTCATCGAATGTAATAAGAGAATGATCCCAAACAGTAAAAGGCTGGGAAATATGGATTTCCTAAAAACGGAAGTTTGGTCATATCTCGAGAAGCGTAAGAGATGTTACGGTTCTGCAGTTTGCAGCAATCTCAAAAGCGTTTGTGCTTGGGATTGCGTGGATTGTGCCGTTTCAAAAGCGATGAATTTGGTATTGAGGGTATAAAGTCGATTAAAGCAAACAAATGGCCAATCCTCAAGGGTTATGCCACCAAGGAAGACACAGCGAAAATAAAATCTCGTTATTTGAAGAAGCGTGTCGTAAATACGATTCCCAAGTATTATTAATTCAGTCTGAGTATTTCATTTAGGACAGGCTGGGAAGTGAGTGCACTGGGATACGGACGAGGCGGAAGTCGTGTGTACAATGACGATTGGAGTGGCGAAATCCAGCGTGCTTGTCGTTTCGGAACCAATCTGGTCCAAGCATGCCATTCCCGATCCATTTCACACATAGATCACCATCGGCGAGGAATACCTCGACGAGAACCACAGCGGGTACGCCGTCCCGCTCTCTCATCCCTAGAAACCCCTCAGGCTACATCCACCCTCACGGTATGCTTCACGGCCTTCTAACCGCGGATTCGCTTCCGCGCAGCGCCTTCGTTCTGAGCTCCAAAGTTTTTCTCTCTTTCTTCTCTCCTTCCCCTTAGATCTACTCCCACCAGCGCAGCGGCCAGGCCTACAGCCCTCAACAGCTGCGCCAGTGCGTGGACCTGTCTCTCAGCCAGCTCGGCGTGGACGCGCTGGACTTTCTGACGCTGGAGATTCCTCCCTTCATCACCGACTCCCAGCTCGCCATGGCGCTCTACCACATCCGAGTTTCCACTTTTTCCACTTTTCACACAGACCGAAATCGACGCGTCCCGCGTCCGCTTCTTCGCCATCGGCGGCACGTTCCCCTTCACCGCCGACGGCTCGCGTCCCGCCAGGCCTCCCCGCGGGGATCCCGTCGACGTCTCCGCCTTCTCCTACTCCTGGATCAAGCTCCTCCAGGCACCCTCCGTTCCCCGCGGTGACGCCTAGATCGTGCGGGACGTGGGGCTGCTGGACCGGCTCATTGGCGTCCAGTTCCCGCTCAATCTCTCCGAAACGCCCATCGCCACGCGCCCCCTCGCGCCCGCCGCCGTTTCCGCGCTTTCCCCGTTCTTCGTCGCCGACCCTCCCTCCCAGCTCACGGTTTCCCCGTTTCCACGTTTTGAGGGTAGTTAATGGAGTCGATGAAGCTGTGCGGGCTGGCGGTGTTCGCGGACCGGTGCTTCGAAGGGTACCAAGGCGCGCGGCCCGTGCGGCTGCTCGATTTGCAGGCGGTGGACGCGGGAAATTTGCTTTCGCGCCAAAAAGAGGCGTTCGAAATCGCGCGGTATTTGGAGGACCTCTATGCGCAGCGCATTCGGCCTTCGATCAAGGATGCGGAGTGCGTGCCGCCCGATCCGGAGTCGTTTCAGTATGGGTATTTGCTGCCCACGCTGATGGGACAAGCGGGATCATTGATGGTGTGGGAGGATCTGCGGCATACGGCGTTGGAACCGGCGTTGAGTGAGGGAATCGCCAGACTGGCCGGAATCAGCGAGGAGGTCAAGAAGGTGGGGATGATGGGGAGGTGTGAGGTAGTGGTGTTTTAGCTATCGGCTGGCGACGACGAACATGTTTAACGTGATTTCCACGGCGTTTAAGGCGAAGGAAATCGGATATGTGGAGAGTTGGCATGTTGAAGAGCTTTCAGCGTAGAAGTGGAAAAGTGCCTGGATGCGGTTTGTCCCGCGTATAGAGATAAGAATTTGCGGTTTTACTATGTAACGAACAGATGATGATCTCGGTGATGGTGTAGAAAGCGCTGGATAGCGTCCTATCGCTCGGAGTGACCTCGGTCTTCACGGATATGATCCATGTTCACGCGAACGATGTGAATCCTCCATTGCTGAAAGAAGACGAGGCGATCGAGATGCTGAGGCAGTTTACGATGCCAGAAGACGACGTTCATCTGGTTTCGATGAACGATTACGAGTTCACGACGAAAGCGAAGGATCTGGCGTCTATGCATCAGGATGTTTCTGCATTTGAAGAGAAGTCGAGCGAACAGTCGAAGTGATGTGTTTGTTAAAGTTATTTAATTTGAATTGCGAGTAGTCACAGAAGGATCACAGATACAAAGATGTCTGTTGTTCCGTCGAGAATTAAGAATCCAGTCGATCAAGGTGAAAATGGTCTTCCTGGACGTGAATTTGTTATGAATGCGATCAATGTCGATTCGGGGTTTCGCCTCTAAGCGCGTAGAAGGAAAAGCAGCAAGAAGAAGAAAGTCGAAAACAAAAGAAGCCCGGACTCTTTAAGCGACTCCAAACAACGATAAAGAGGAAGAAAGGTAGGATTACCCCGTTTATTTAAAGTAGATCCTCAGATCTCCAAACCGCAAGAGGTGAAGTTGGTTAACCATGTCGTTATCGATATCAACTCTACAACGGGTTTGCATTCCGTGACTGCATTTACAATAGGATTGTCGGGATTGCCGGCAGCATGGGAAGAAGTGTTAAAGACGTCCGATATTTCAAAGGAGGAGATCGTTCAGAACGGTACAGCATTGCTAGATGTTCTTCGTTTCCATTTCAACGGTGTGGACAACAAATTCGACAGCATCCCCTACAATTCCCTCGATAAGCAAGGAAGCAACGGTTTTTTGTATTTTTTGTCATGCTCACCCCCAGTCGTTCTCCAAGACAAAGATCCAGCGCAGTATTATCAAGGGTTGAATCATCTGCTGGGCGAAGGAGCTTTCAGCGCCGTGTACTCCAAATCTGGTCTGTGCATCTAGCTACAAAGCCACGCAGCGCAGCACGGGGAAGCAGGTCGCGATCAAGGTGTGTTCGGAGGAGAACTACCACTACATTCAGCACGAAATCGAGCTGCAAAGCCAAAGCCATCATCCCTGCATCGTGCCTCTCCTCGAATGCTTCCGATGGGGCAAGCGAATCTACGTCGTCTTTTCTTTTTATTATCAGAGAATAGATCGTGATGGAGTACATGGATCGCGGATCCCTCGCCGATATTTTGTCGCCCGAATATCCGCTTCCAGAGCCCCTCATCGCCTACGTTTGTCGCTGTCTCCTCCTCGCTCTCGACGCTCTCCACTCCAAGAACCGAATCCATCGCGGTGGGTTCCACGTTTCCACCATTCTGGGTAGATATAAAGAGCGATAACATCCTGATGGACTCGCAAGGCCACGTCAAACTCGCCGATTTCGGCTTCGCCGTGCATCTCCTTCAGGACGTTCGCTTCATTTTATTTAACGGTGTGATCGCGTAGGACGAGCAGCGTCGCTCGGTGGTGGGCACGCCGTTCTGGATGGCTCCCGAATTGATTCAGGGGAATGGATACGGCGTCGCCGTCGATGTGTGGAGCGCCGGCATCACGGCGTTGGAGATGGCGCAAGGCGAGCCGCCCTACTTTCACGAGCCCGCGTTGAAGGCGCTGTTTCGCATTTATAGCGCGCCGCCACCGACGCTGAAGGACCCCGAGCGATGGGGAAATAAATTCAAGTCGTTCCTGCGGATGGCGCTGGAGAAGGATGTAGGGGAGAGGAGAGGGGGTGAGGAAAGGTTTCGCGGAGGGCGACGGTCAAGGAGCTGCTCATGCACCCGTTCATGCAGGAAGCGTCCACGGCGGAGGTTTTTGCTGCGTATGTGTCGACGGCGTTGTCGAGAAAGAGGCATAAGTCGCCGACTACATAGTGGTGTGTTTGTTAGAAAACAGAAGAGAGGGATTCATATCCAGGATGGAAAATGGAGGTGCTCTGTACGGATTGGATTAAGTCTTGTAACTGCTCGATATCCTGAAGCGGTAAACGAAAAAGGACACGAATTACTTGTTTGACTGATTCTAGATCCGATTGGATCAACTCGCCTTCCTTCTTATCGCCACTTTCCTACACATCATACAGATATATGAATAGTATACATAAGCCCAAGTGTAGAGAGATATCAAGTCTTCTTTTCGCTTTCTCAATGCTCCCAAATTCTAAACGCATTATCTGCAAGCGAAATGCATACGCGTTTTAGCCTTTCCAGACGTCTCCTCTTTTCCAACCAGGCTTTAATGTATTTTGCGCCTAAAACACATGCTAGAGCTACTGCAACAAGAATCCATACAACTAAAACTAGTAAGCGCATTCGATTGAGGAATGCCAAGCAAATTATGAAATCTGGATATGGGACACACTGAATTTAAAGTATTCAATATGGAGATATAGAATATTGGCCAATTTGGTTTGATGACTAATGACATTACAAATTGAGTATATGTTGCAGTTTTACATATAAGCAGTGTGCATTTAATGTAACAAAACATGTTCATTGATCCCAGACGTGTATCTAGCAAAGATACACTTTGATTTTGCTAGATTGCAGTGTATCATTGAATTTAATCGACCTAGTTTCACTATTTTTGGTATCCTCAAAATTAGACGTAATGGATAGTGATAATAACCAATGCCAATTTGTATCTCAACCCAAATCAAATAATGGAACGCCACAGAATACTTAAAAACCTTTCCTCCGTTCTAATGCAACTACTCGTGTATGGTTTTGAAGCATTCTGTAAACTCACTACTACGAACATAGTAAAGCAAATAAATTGTCCAATTCAAATAGGAATTGATTTTGAAATCGTTCCTATTTGTGGATTCCATTTTCCACCTTTTTCACCTCAAGAAGGGAGAACAAATGGCCTCAATTTTTGATTCAATTGAAAAAGGCCTTGATGCATGGGGATTTGACCTATGCCAACCGTTCTCAAGTACAGATTGTTCGAAACGCGTAAATTGTAGTTGAGGATTACAACGAAAACGTTCCCGATATAAATAAAATACCGTCGATGGGGAGGAAGAGCACATTGGCGATTTTAGTTGGTAGGAGCAATCGTTGGTACTAATGGATAGGAAATTCCCGTAATGTATGGGAGCATTTTATTGACGCAATGGTCAAAGATGATGCTCTGTTTCAAAATGAGAATCCTTTGGACGAGTAGAGAAGTTTGTTTGAATCGACATCTAGATATACGAAAAGGGCTTTAGAGTCCGTTCTATCAAATATCCACATCCACTATCGCGTTTATTATACATTCAAGTCTCGAGAAGTTCCTTCGCTGAACTATCAACTAATTGCAGAAGTACGCGCTCCGTCTCTTCTCTTTTGTAGATTTCGGGAATGTGTAAGAGAAGCTACCAAAGTAAAATGTGTTATCACTATAAATATGGTCACTGGATTGGTCTGCGTGCGGTAATCGTGCTGGACCACTCCTTCGTGTACAATTTGTCAACCAAGCATATGCAGGACTTCCAGATCTGCCGACTGTGCGATCAGAAGTACGGCGAGCGTTTGGACTATTTATGGCGAGACAAGACGATGATTGCAAAGTACCGAGTACATGTTGTTAGATTTTTTGTGAAAATAGAATCCGTCGGTGTGGAGGTCCTGGTTAGCACTTCGCACGATTTGCACACACAACCAATACAACTACTCCTACGAAGAAGCTTGCTATCATTACAGCAAGAACCGGAAGGTTTTGGAGCGCGAAGTGGAGCGATTTCGGAAGGGAGATCGCACGCAGCGATACGACTGGATGGAGGAATTCAATCGGGATCCAGAACATTATCGATTAGAGGATGATTTATTTGTTTGTGAAAACACACGAAGAAGAAGAAGATGGAGGAGAAGAAGGAGAATCGTTTTGGAGCTGATTCAGCTCGTTGGATTCGTGGAGTTCTTTGAAACGAAGACGGTACATTTCAGCAATATACACTGCCCAGATCTGAATAATGACGATGACGAGAAGACTGAAGAAGAGGGCAAAGGGAGATCCGCGGGATCGGCACACAGTATTCCACACTTCCTGTTCTCCTTTCATGGCCAGTTCGGTGGTGCATTTCGGCCAGTTCGTGAAGAGAGACAGGGCGACTACGATGACAAGTGTGATTACAGTGATCATATATCTCCATCGCACATACTACGACTCAGCCTCCCAGCGAAAGCAAAGCTTACAATATCTACACGATCGAGCGACGAGTTCTCATTGAACGAAGTTGACATGAGGGTAAAGCCGATGAGTGGAATGCCAGCAACGGACAAGAAGAACAAAATCGTCTCGATCACACCGAAATAGTAGAGACACTTCGAGTAAGAGAGCAGATCCACGACCCTCTCATTCGTCAGATTGAAGAAAGCAAATCTCTTTTTCTTGTGGTTCGACTCGTTTTCGGTTTCCATAATTTACTGAGCAAATCATCGGCGAAGTTTGAAAGACAAGGCGTCTGTCAACAAACAAAAAAGAGCAATAACAATGAACTACTCACTCCGCTCCAAATGCTCGATAAGGAGCTTTCCAGCCTGCAACACATTATTCCCCTCACCGTTCACAGTCACACATCGCTGATGGATTCCCTTGCCAGCCTTGGTTATTTTGATTGACGTCTGGGTCGAAGCTCGAATCTGATTAATCACAGAGCCAGACGGGCCGATGATCGATCCTGCACTCTTGTTCGGAATGATAAACGAAAACGAACAATCATGCACACTTTCCTTGCCGCTCGGCTCCTTCTCGAGGATTTCGCGGAACTCTCCGATGGACATGGTCGGATTGAGGGCGAAGAAGAGATGTTCCGAGAACATGTCGGAGCTGGAGAGAAGTTCGCGGTTGAATTTCTTTGTAGCAGGAATCTCCTCGCCTTCAGATCCTGGGAGTAAAATTCCAGGACGCAGGCAGAGCAGGCGCATCAGTACCATAGGGAAGGTTTCGGAAATTGCACTCACACTTCCCTCGAGCTCAATAATGCTATCTCCGTCTTCTTTTTCAGCAAAATGGATAACAATGGAGGCTAAAGAAAGTTTACGCAAAGTGTCGATTGCTTGTCCGCCTTTCCCGACGAGTGCTCGAATGACAGTAGAAGGTACAGAAAAACGCAGAACAAACTTATTCATCAACTAGGTTAAACAGAGAACGGAAAAGATACATCACGAGATAGATCGCTGTCCGCTGGCTTTTCAAATATTATTATATCTTTCATAACATAAAAGAATTCCAGTAATTGATCATAACTGCCCTTAGTAGTAATCTACACTCCTCATTTCATAACACAGACCATCCTACAGTGGTAAAATCACTATCCAACTTTTTCACTAACAAGTCCAATCCTCTCTTTTGAGCCAGGGAATAGCAAGGATCCCCCTCATTACTAGCAAGTTCGGATCTGGTAAAAAATGATAGTGAAATGGTAGGCATTTAGAGAAACGATTAACCTTTTGAATAAAATAACGTTATCACGGTTAAATTGAAATTAACCAGTCATTATGAATGGATTCACTCCCGCGGTTATCCGGTCATTTCATTGACCGATTATTGAATACATACATGTCTTTCAATTATGTGATGGAACAATAAAAAGGGAGAGCTGCTTGTGAGAAAATCGAGCAGATCTCTTGTATCATCAGCACTAAAAAATCCCCTTCGCTTTCATTTTCCACAGTTTTCCACATTTTTAGTCTGACCTTTTTCCCTCCATCAATTCCCGCCAAAGAAATGAAACTCTCAGAACAGAATCAAAAATACCCTCTAATTTGGTCAGTTGTCCAAAAATCGTGACTATTTTGGAGAAGAGAGATTTGATTTTAAGCAGAAAGTAAATTGTTTGTACCAAATAGAAATCGATATCATTCTAACTGATGTCAGAACGCCCTGAAAAAGAGTATCGCATTCCAGTAGGCAGAATTGAACTTTTTGTTTTGTTTCGTTTCTAATCGTGTAATAGGTTACACCAAAAACCCCTGCTCATGCCAATAACTCGATGGATATGCTTATGGGCAACCAGCTCAGTAAGTAGTGTGTTTTTGTTAAAGCTTTCAAATTTATCGTGGATCGAAGGTGAACTAATAGCAATCTAGGAACACCATCTTCCCTACTGTATTCAACTCCGGAGTGTGATGTGTCGGTACTTGACACTTTTCTGTGTTTATTTTTGCTAGATAACGCGTGTGGCATCGAATCCAACATTACAACAAACAAAATTACTCGCTTATTGGAATAGTAGGACGACGAATACGAAGCGGGAGTTATTTTTGTTGGTGTGGAACAGACCGTGCTGCTTAAACACATAGAACTTGAGAAGAGTCATAGATCCAAATGAAATAGTAAAATTATACGACGAGGTGTTTAAATTTCTGGAAAGTATACATATCAACCGAACGGTTATAACCGATGTAACTAAGTGGGAATACCAGTTTCCTTTTGACCTTAGAATGACAATGACGATATTTAACTCTGTATTATCGTCAATGATGGACGAAGAATCGAGTCACAGTACTCCTAAGCAGTTGCTCGATCTTCTCCACCATAAGCAATTCATCAACTCGGTGTTGGCACTATCGTATTCCTTTTTTTCTTTTCTTTGATTTCTAGTTACGACACATCGATCTACCTTCTCATCAACAACAACTTCGACATTCTCAGCTATCTCACCCTCTTCTCGGTTTCTCCTTTTGACCTCCAGCGTGTCATCGACCGTTTCACCGACAAACTCAACCAGCAATCCTCGCAGCTGGTCATCGGCGACGTTCGGAACCATTTCAACCGCGTAGGGTTTCGTCCAGGCCGTCACGCCAGATCCTCGACTCGATCATCGACTGGGCGATTTGGAAGCGAGACAGCGAGATCTGGAAGTATCTGGGGAACACGGGCGGCGTGCGTGTGGAGGACGGCGATGAGGAATAGAAGCTGATCGTGTCGGTGGAGGTGTTCATTCGGCATTTGCTGTACTACTCGCTGCGGCATTTGAAGCAGCTGGTCGCGTGTCTGCGCTTCTCGGAGGAGATCGCGCGGTTTCTCACGGATCAAGTGAAAGCAGCGAAGCCAAATGAGGGATAGGCGTGGCAATTGCTGAAGGAGATCATTCAGAAGAAGACGTTTTTGATGAAGGATCGGAATATGAACAGCATTATTATTTGTGCGATTTATGCGGTGGCGAAGCTTTTCAAGATCGAAGTGACGTTCGTGCAGTTGCTGGGCGCGTTTGAGAGTTTGTATCCGGAATCGTTGAGTCGAACCAAATATAATATTTGCTTGTTTGTGGAGGAAGTGGAGATGGAGGTGGAGAAGGGCTATGGAAATATCATCGAGTTTTATAATAGCGTTTTTGTGGTGGTCAACACCGAATATCTCACGGAAATGAAAAAGAATATCCCAATTGTTTTGAATGAATTGAATCATCGATTGATTGAATTGAATGAATTGATTGAATGAACGGGTTTTGAATTGAATGAATTGAATTGAATGAATTAATTGACCCATTGAATGAATTGACCCATTGAATCGCTTTGTTGGCTCCTTCACCCCATGCATGGATTCGGGAAAGACCGAGAACTCCAGCCGTCTTTCCGATGAGCTCAAAACGCGCTCCGTGCACGACACCATCATCGACGAGGCGAAGATCACGCTCTCCACCATCCAGCACGCCCCTCTCTCTCCTCTCACGCTTAGAGAAAGCCGCGAGGCGGAGCCTGCGCGCCTGCACTCGCTCACCAACGCTATGGAGCTTTCGAAGACGGAGGAAAAGGCGATGGACGCGCTGGTCAATCTCGCGTTCGCCGCCCCGACGCTCCAAACACGCCTGGCTTCCCTGACCGAGGCGCAGAAAGAACAGAAGGAACAGAAAGAACAGAAAGAACAGAAAGAACAGAAAGAACAAAAGGAGGGAGCGGTGAAGAGAAGCGAGCCGGAAGGAAGGAAGGATGATGAAGGGGAAGCTGCCGAGAAAAGTGAGAAAGGAGAAACGACGGAAGAAGAGAAAACGGCGGAGGAGGAAAAGCAGGAGGAAAAGGAGAAACGTGATGGTTGGCCAGAAGAAAAAGATTAAGTGTAGATGTGGAAGCTAAGCGGCAACGAGTTGCTCAATAAGTTGTTATTTTATTATAATAGTCTAAATATCCAGCTTCCTTGTTTGTTTGAACTATGGTGGAAATCTGTAGAAGAACACAAAAACTTTTAAAATGGCTACCGAAGAATTTAAAAATCCTACCAAGGAGTTCTTTTATCGTTTCCTGAAGATTATTCTGATAATACCCGTTATTCTAGTGATCATTTTCGTGGTTTGGTATTACGTTGTGCCTTCTCGTTCTTCGAGGATCAAAGAGTAGTGCATGATAAAGCAAGTCAAAATATAGGTATAACGAAAAAGCCCAGAGATGGCAAGATGAAGGAATAAAGGAATTTGATAATATTGCCTTTAATATTACTGATTCAGGAAAGGACCACTCATTTACCAAGAACACGGAAGTCTCAGGGTTGTACTATCCGTGCCGTGATAGCTGTACCTCAGAGGGAGATCCTTCCTCGGGTTGTGTATACACAGACGATCTGCATTACTACCACTTTTTGATGTTATTGGATACCAACCACATCATCCTGAGAGACGCTGATCAGAACGTTATTCTCGAAACTCGATTTAACAGCAGCGCTGTACGCTACCGCACCGCCAGAGAAATGAGTTGCGCACATGCTCTGTACCCATCCACCCTCCTTGATCTATCTATGTAGGGATCGCTGCCAAAATATTTGTGATGACATGGGCGGCCTCTGGGACTTGAACTCCCAGACCTGCTCCATGGTTGTGTACGTTGACCACATCTGCTATCGTTTGGTGAAGAACGACAATAAATGGCAACTGGACACTTCGAAGTTCGTTTCGATGCTCCTCCATCACTTCTAGCGTGGACAATCTGCCGAAGAACAAGCATTTCAACATGGCATCGGACGGTGTGGGCTGCGACTTCGGCAACAACTGGAACTCGCTGCACTACGGAAAGAACAAGGTTTCGCTCGTCCGATTGGAGCTTCGGTCCCATCGTGATTCATTCATTGCCGCTTCGGCGATCACGGAGAGTTGCAGCAACGATTACCAGGCAGACAATAAGTGCTTTGGGCCGGTTCGACGCGATGAGCAGTATAGCACGTGGGTCTCGATCCACATTTCGTTTGCAGTGTTGATTACACTCATTTTGATCCAAGTGCTCATCCGTGTGAAGGCCAAGTGTGATTTTAAAAGAGCAGTCAGACAATCCTATTCGAATCCGGAGGAGCGTTTAGTGGATACGAAGGTTTAAAAATTGTTTGATCGAAAAAAAAAAGATGACTATACCGAGGCTCGAACTCGGGATCTCTCGCGTGTCAGGCGAGCGTGTTAGCCACTGCACTATACAGTCCTGAATTCTGTCCTGGAAATACCACACTTCAATACCACGCACTCTCGGGAGAGACAAAAAACTCTCAGGAAAAAAAGAGATGAAGGTGTTTGGTTCGGAGACACTCAAGGCTTTTTTGTGCGATGAGAAATGCTTTGTTGTAAATAGAAAGTGAGTTTTGGGGTTCTTGGTTGATTTCAGGGAGGAGTCGATCGAACGAACGATTCAGTGTGCTTCTGAAGTATTAATGGGAGTGTTCTCGATAGATTCCAAATATCTCATCCTAACAACCGTTTTAAAAACCTTGGAGGTTTATTTGGTGGAATCGGGAGAGCAGATTGCGAATATGTGAGATTTGGAGTTTATTTTATGAGTTTCTAGAAAATTGGAGAAGAAATGTTCAGCTGTGCTTACTCAGCTTCACAATGGGAAGGAATATCTGATCATTGGAGACAAAGTCGGTGATGTGATCGCTTTCGATCTGCCTTCTCTCCAAAAGAAGACTTACTTGTTAGGTCATTGTGCCACGGTGATCACAGATCTCGTTAGCTTTGGAAATTATCTAGCATCGAGCGACCGTGATGAAAAGGTGTTCATTAACCACTTCCCTCAGACGTTCAACATCCAGTCGATTTGCGTTGGTCACAAGCAATACGTTAGCTGTATTGCGAATGTAGCGGGCTCTCTCATTTCTGGCAGTGCGGACGGAACTCTTCGCAAGTGGGACATCGAATCGGGAACTTGCCTCCAAACATGGTATTTAGACGAATTGCTTGTACTTTCCTTATTCTCTGCATTAAGCCATAAGAAAATCGAAAGTGAAGAAGAAGTCTTGTTGATTCCCTCCCAAATCCTTCCTCTGCAAAAGACCCAGTTTGCTGTTATTGTTGAAGAGTAGTCGAGTTCTTCTTTCATTATTTGCAGTTCGAAGAAGGTTCTCATTCTCGATAGCACATTGCCCGATGCAGTGCAGGAAGTTGAGCTTTCGGCTCAGCCGGTCGTTTTGTCGATGGAAAATGACTCGCTGTGCGTGATGACAAGCGAATTATCGATGTTCCGAATTGAGGAAGGCAAGCTGATTCCCATGTGTGAAGCTTTGATGGGAAAATTGCGAGACGCTGGCTGTAGCAAATGTAGAACGGCTTCAATGTAGTTGTGTACAAGAAATCGACGGATGAAGAGGAATCGGGAGAGTTGTTTAAACGGTCTGTAAAGAACAAGGTGACGACGAGTATGGGCATGGAGAAGCAGATGGAGCATAATAAAAAGCGGAAGCATGAGTGAAGTGTTTGTTTGATATACTTTATTTGGGGTATGGCACAGAACTTTGTATACTATGCTCTTACGGCGGTCGTTGCAGCGTCGATTTCTTTTGCGGCCGGTATGTACAGAACGACTTCGTCTACGGTGATGGTCGAGGAAAAACCCTTCACAATGAAAATCGATTATCACGTACGTGTGTTACAAATGAGGTAAGCAATAGGTCAACAATTATCTTTCTTCAAAAGCCAACTATGATTATGGAAAATATCCTGTATTTTCTACATGTTGACTCGATTGCAGGTGGAAATCCCAAAATTTTGCCATGTTATTCACACGGAAACAATTCAGCGTCACGGTTCTCGTCACCTAAACAATGTCAACAAGTTAGACAAAGCGGTCCATTATTTTGAAGATTTAAGTACGCAATTTTTAATAGGATAATTTGAAACTAAGAGCAAAGAGGCCTTTTGATGAATGACACTATTTTGGACTGGGCAAAGGAACTTCGAGGTTGGGAAGAATCAAATGAAGGTACAATTTGCAAGACTGGAGAAATCGAAATTGCGGAGATCGCAAAGCGGCTTCGTGAGCGTCTCTACATGGACCAACGCGAGCAGGGTGAATTCATCGTCGAAAGCACGTTCAAAAAGCGCACCCAACAGACTCGCGACATTTTCATGGAGAACCTGATTCCCGAAAAATATCCCAAAGATCAGATTCATTATCGAGAACCAAACTATTGCGAAGACATCATCGGAACCGACGGGAAGGTGAATCGCACCGTCTTCGATCGCTACGCGCCGCTGCGTTTCTTCTCCGTTTGCCCCGTAGGTTTCCCCGTTTCCCCCATCAGCAGAACTACAAACTGCACAAGAAAGACCCGTCGACCACGGGAGAAATGGAAGCCAGGATCGCAACGGACTCCGAACTGATCATCATGCGCGGTCCGAACTTCGTTTCCACGTTTCTCCTTTCGGACTACCGCGAGCTGGACATCCAGTCCCGCTACGACTTGTTCGGTCACTTATATTTGATGTGCCAATTCGAGGTGGGGGTGTTGGAAGGATGCGATCTAGGCTTCTTGTTATAACATTTATAACAGGAGCTGCGCGCTGCTGCTGCGCGAGCCCGGCGTTCTGCAGTACTTGGCGCTCGCCGAGGACACGAAGCTGTGGGCCAGCAAGGGCAGCGGGAAGGCTCTGAACGTGAAGATGGCGTGCGTGCTGGGGCGATCGATGCTCTCGGGGATCGGCGCGAACTATTTGAAGCTGGAGCCGCGAAGAAAGGCGAAGCGGGAGTTCCTGGAGCGATACAAGGACTATTTCGATTTCGAGAGCGAGAAGGAGACCGTGGGACACCTCCGATTCGGACATGCGGAGTCGGTTCTGCCGCTGATTTCGCTGCTGGTAGGGATGGACGAGGGCTGGGACGCAGGTGCCGCGATTCCCGCGCGAAATGTTCAATGAGCTGGGGTTCAGCGGGTCGGCGTTTGTACCCATGGCGGCGAATCTGGAGGTCGATTTGTAGGCGGAGAGAGAGAGAGGGCGTAAGACGTAGAGTGGAGTGCTTCAGCGATTACTACGTGCAGGTGCTGATCAATGAGATGCCTGTGGAGATCTCGGCGAAGCCAGGCGTGTCGCGGATGTAAGGGAGGCGGAAGGACGGTGAGCGATAGGCTGTTTGATGTGGATGAACTGTTCAGCGCGTGGGTGTATCGGCTGAAGAAGGAGAACCTGGGAACCTGCTCCTACGAAGACTTTGTTGAGATGTGTGGAACTCCATCTTGTTTCCATGTTTGTTGCACCCAAGCCAACCCATACCACGCCACGCCACGCCACAACATCAACACTCAACGTTCGTCACCCAATCGAACCGCAGTCGCTTGCTCTCTCAGTTGGTATGAAGAACGCGAAATCGAACAAACAGCACACAAAAGCACTTCCATTGTTTCCATCCAAAGGACGAAAACAGCCCAACATTTATCGGTAAGACTTCTGGTAACGAGCACGAGCAGATGGACCTCCGTACTTCTTGGGCTCGCAGCGACGAGGATCTACCCATCAAACCAACCAACCAAACCGAACCGGCAGCAATCAGAGAACGATCGAAAGACACGAGAAGATCCTTGATCTCTCTCTTGGCCTGCTCGTCAACGTCTAACCCATCACGCCACACAACGACTTCCTACACTTCTGATAGAAGGCGACGATCGCTCTGGAGAGCGCCTGGCGGATGGCTACATTTCACCCAGCAACAAGGGCTGCCTACCGTAAATCTGAGCCACGCGACCTCCTCCCTTCACAGTCAGATGAATGTCGAGGTTGGCGAATCTCTCAGCTCCCAGAAGCAGAACAGGCTCAATAGCCTTGATCTTCAGGCATTCGGGCTGCATCACATCAATAGGCTGACCGTTCAGTCTCAACACACCCTTTCCATACTTGCAGTGGGCAACGGCCACAGCATTCTTCTATACAGAGTCAGAATACACAAAGTCCACCAAATGCCACAATTCATTGTTCCTACCTTACGACCAAAGCACTGGACAGAAGGCTTAGCTTCAGTAGACATGATATATTCAGAACAACGGAAGTTATTGTACTCTTGAGTTTCACAAAAATCGCAAGGGGGTAATTTAAATATACTTGAAATGAATACACGATTTTGGTATCTCTATAGATTTGCATAGATTTGCACATATAAAACCACCACAATGCTATTCATACTTCAACATACTCACAGGATGGGTGAATTCAAAGAGGCTGATATCTGGTAATAAACCCTTTCGAATAGCCTGATATGCTCTAAAAACAATGCTCTGTCCGTCTATCCATTTAGAATACTAAAGTAGTTCCTCGTTGTTGAAAACCGCTCCTTTCTCTATTCATGTCCTATTACCCGAGACTGTTTCAAAAGTGTCAAAAAAACAAAGAATTCACCACTGCGGCAGTTTCAAGTGGGAAAGATTGATGAACAGTGGTGCATCCAATGAAATGCATGCTCTTATTTCTATTCACGAGTACTATTATTCTCAAAAACTTTTGCAATTAGATGAACTTCTTTGTAATATTTTCTCTTTTGACCTTCAGTGTCGTGCTGTGTTCGACGCCCAAGGAGTCCTCGCACTATTCTAGATATGAAAGTGCATGCCCTGGTAACGTGAACGATGAGACCAAGACATTTGGCGAGTTTGTGACAAATGTTTTAACGGGAAACGACACCATTATTACTCTGTGCAAACCGGAGTATTTCCAGAATATTGATAGTATTGAATGTGGTGAGGAACATAGCAAGTGTGTGGTATGGTTTTCTCTTTGTTGCTAATGTTTAGAAAGCGGTGCAGGAGTTTATGTGGAATCGTTGCCACTGGAGATTGTTGTTTAACATGGCTCAGAAGAATAACGCCACACTTACTCATATCCAAAGCTTCGAGAATGGCGAACAGGCTTTGGCGATTATGAATGCGATGAATGTCAATGAAGGCATTTACAAGTTTGCGACCCATTGCGGACATTGGAACTGGGGTTTGATCGTTATCGTGCTGGTTTCCGGTATGGAGTGTGGTACTATTGTGATTTTTAGCTTTCTTTGGATCTTACATTATCCTCTGGATCGTCGGTGGTATCATGTATGCGACCAAGAAGGATCATCCTGAGGAAGAGAAGAAGACTGAGAAGACTGAGAAGACTGATTAAAACTACGTTGTACATTTCGCTTTTTGTTTGTTTGTTTGCCTCAAACACTCAACCTATTTATAAAAAATAACGACTCTCTCTATCTATCTTTCCATTCCATTCCATTCCATTTCAGTCCATTCGATTCGGTTCGGTCCGGTTTGGTTCCCTTTGGCTTAATGGTGGAAGAGACGCAGTCCCGTGTGCACCATCGTCATGCCATAGGAGTCCGCGGCAGCAGTGACGGCCTCATCCTGAATGGAGCCTCCGGGCTGCGCGATGTACTTGACTCCGTACTTGGAGGCCTGGTCAATGTTATCGCGGAAGGGGAAGAAGGCATCGGAGCAGAGCGATACGCCGTCCATGGTCTTGATGAACTCGTCCTTCTCCTGCTGGGAGAGAGGCTCGGGCACTTCCTCGAAGAGCGTCTTCCACTGCTCGTACTCCACCTCCGTGAAGTCGCCCTCGATGTACCGCACACGCGCGTTCACGCGGTCCTGCTTCTTCACGCCCTGCTTGAACTTCAGTCCCAGCACCTTCGGATGCTGGCGCAGATACCACAGCGCCGCTTTCCGCGCCTAGCCCTCACGCCTCGCTCCCTTCCTTCCTACCGCCAGCTTGACGCAGTCCACGCGGCTCTGCTGCCCCGCACCGACGCCGATCATCTGTCCGTTGCGCGCATAGGCGACGGAGTTGGACTGCGTGTACTTCAGGCAGATGTTGCCGAGGATGAGATCGTTCATCGCGGCCTCGGGGATCTCCTTCTTCGCCGTCACCACGTTGCCCATCTGCTCTCTCGACGGCACCACGTCGTTGTGTCGCTGCGCCAGCACGCAGCCGTGCAGCTCGCGGAACTCCATCGGCGGCATCGCGAAGTCCGCCACGCCCTGCAGCACGATGAACGCGCCCTTCTTCTTCTTCTTCAAAATCTCCAGCGCCTCGGGCTCGTATCCGGCCGCGATCACGCCGTCCGAGATGCACGTCGCCAGGAACTGCGCCGTCTCCACGTCCACCACGTCGCTGATCGCCGCGAAGTCGCCGAACGACGACATCGGATCCGCGTTCCGCGCGCGCAGATACGCCAGCGCCGCGCCGCTCATCTCCTTCTCTCCCACCTCGTACGCCTCCTTCTCCACCTCCGTCAGCGGCACCGCGATGGCCGCTCCCGCGGGGGACACGTGCTTGAAGGACGCCGCGGCGACGACGCCGAGCGCCTGGCGCGCCTCCTTGACGAGCATCCAGCTGTTCAGCGCGTCGCACAGGTTGATGTACCCCGGATTCCCGTGCACGATCGTGAACGGCAGGTCGCTGCCCAGGTGACGGTACAGGCCGGCCGGCTTCTGGTGCGGGTTGCAGCCGTATTTCAGCTCGCGGACCGGGATGTACGGACGCGTCGCGATGATGTCCGTAGCGCCCTCCGGGTTCAGCTGGCGCGCGAACCAGCTGCTGATCGCCGCGTCGTACTTTGCGGAGAGGGCGAAGGCCTCGGCGGCGAAGCGGCGGCGCAGCTCCAGGGTGGTGCAGCCATCATGCGTTTTCATCTGGGAGCGTCACGGGATGGGAAAGAGAAAGGTACCTCCTCCATGAGGGCAGCGTACTGGCTCGGAGAAGAGCAGATCACAACGGCAGCGTGGTTCTTGGCCGAGGAACGGAGCATCGAAGGACCACCAATATCGATGTTCTCAATGCAGGTCTCGAAATTGTATCCCTTCGCCACGGTGTCTTCGAAGGCATAGAGATTCAGAACAACCAGGTCGATCTTCTTGATTCCGTTGTCCTTCATGTCCTTCTCGTGTTTCTCGTTTCCACGGACAGCAAGGATTCCTCCATGGACCTATGTGATTACAATTAGAGGAAAAAGTGTGTTTACCTTGGGATGCAGCGTCTTGACACGGCCATCCATCATCTCAGGAGCACCCGTGTATTCAGATACGTCCATCACCTTCACGCCAGCATCACGCATGGCCTTGGCAGTTCCTCCAGTGGACAGCAACTCCACTCCGTAGGATTCCAGGAACTTGGCAAGATCCACGAGTCCCGTCTTGTCCGAGACGGAGAGAATGGCACGCTCCACCTTGAAGAGTGACTGAGTGGTTCCTACGCCTTATCGCCTCCACCAACCTCGAACCCTGAACGGCAGTAATAGTATGAGCCATGGTAGATCAAAAATCGAATCTGCTAAAAGAATCTTTGCACCTTAATCTGGAATGAAACGCCTTTGCGCCAAACTACCAAAATTCCCGTTTTCATCGAGAGGGACAACACTTCGTTTTTGCCTTTGTCTGGAGTGGACTGAACAAACCCTCCAACGAGAACGATTTGCATTTGCCAGGCCGGTTTCGTTCCACTGCTCTCTTCAACAAACACAACACAAAGCAATCACATTCAATTACGATCAGTCATCCAGAGACGAATACTCGAGTCATCCGACCCCGAAATAAACGCATCGCCCTCCGAGCAATAGCGCAACGAATGGACCGTGCCATGATGCCCATGATAGGCAGCAATGATTTCGTGCGTTTGATAATCCACTTCATAGATCGTGTCAATATCCGAGACGAGGTAGCGTGTATGCTTCCGGTTTACGTCACAGGCTATTCGTAAGGCGAGAAAGAGCACAGCCATACAGTTCGTATGGAAGGGATATTCCTTTTTGTTCATGATCACAAGATCCCATGATAAGAACCGAACGCCGTGACATGTCGCAAGACAGATGAGATCACCGCTCAGTGAAACGTCCAGAATAATATCTGTCAGTTGGATAGAGTGCAATTCAGAAGATGTCGAGGCTGAGTCGAAAAGGCTGGGGATGAGTCGAGAACGCAACAAGAATACACAATCTTTCCAGATAACCCGACACAGATCATTCTGGTAGAAAGAGAAGGTAAAGGACAGAATTCCAAGAAGGCCACTTCTTCATCGAAGTGAAACGTGGAAAGAAGATCGTAGGAGGAAGTAGAGTAAATATTCACCTCCTTTGATTTCCCTCCAAACGCAACTAAGGAAGAATCTTCACTAATTGCGGCTGCTTTCACGATGTGCTTCTGGGGGAATGAATGAAGGAGAGAACCGTTCGTTGCATTCCAAAGCCTGCCTGTGAAGTCTGCGCTAGCTGTGGCGACAAGCGTAGCGCCCTTGTTCACGCGAGCAGACCAAACCGCGCCCTAGGTCGTCAAGCAGCAAGAAAAAGAGTACTTCGTGCCCAATAAAGGACCCAATCCAATTTCCTGTTTTTGCTTCTCGTAACATGGGTTTACCATCTTTAATAACACGCATGAGAGAGTGATTACCGAGACAAGCACTGACGAAAAATACACCATCTGGTGTATTTGCACTGCAGTCCAATCCGACCACTGTTCGCGTATGTCCTGGACAGAGGATCGAAGCAGATGAGTTATGCTGTTTCATAGACTACACCTCACAAAGAACGCGCTTTTGAACCTTTCCCTCCATAGTGCGTTTCAGTAACGAAAGAAGATTCTAATGCGAAAGAGTGACTATTAGTCTCCTTTGTTATTCCAGGAGTTTGGATCTAATTCGTACAAAAAAAGTCTCGATTTTAGGATATTGTACTTTCTTCGCAAACAAACAATCTGGCTAAAGTAAACAGCTTCCAGGAACTCGCGGAACTGGAATCACATCGCGAATATTCTGAACTCCCGTAAACGTCTCAATCAAGCGTTCCAACCCTAATCCCCAACCTCCGTGAGGGACCGAGCCGTATCGACGTAGATCGAGGTACCAATCCAGCGCCTTCGTGCTCCTGCCACTCTCCACCTCTTCCGACAACAATCCCTTTTCCTCCATTCGGCGCTTCAGAACGTCGTACTGATCTTCTCGCATGCTTCCTCCCACGATTTCTCCCTGCACGTCACTCCGAATCCACCCAAAACATACAACGCGCGGAACGAGCAAGTCCATGGCCTCCACCGTCTTTCCATCTCCGCTGTCCTTCATATAGAACGGCTTAATCTCCGCCGGATAGTGCGTCAAGAAGAGAGGCTTGTTGCCACAGTACTTCTCGCACAAATAGCGTTCGTGTTCGGATTGGAGGTCGATTCCCCATTTCACCGGAACTTCGAACTTTTGTCCTTTGCGAGTCAGAATGTCGATGGCTTCCGTGTACGTCAGGTGGCAATAGTTCTTTTCTTCACGCAGAGTTTGCACCAATTCCGGTACGGTTTTGTCCACACGGCTTTCCAAAAATCGGAAATCTTCGCCGTGTTTTCCCTCCAAATTCTTCGCCACATCCATAATCACTCTATTTTTTATGCGCAATTCTCCTGTTTTACTTCTTCGCGAGGTCCATCAGATCGGGGAGCTGCACAAAACACATCTCCGGCTCGATCATCCAAAACTCGCACAAATGGCGCGATGTGTTGGAGTTCTCAGCACGGAACGTCGGAGCGAACGAGTACACGCGCGTCATCGCATGCGCCATCATTTCGGCCTGCAGCTGCCCCGACACGGTGAGAAACGCGCGCGAATTGAAGAAAGCGTTTAAATCGATTTGATTGGATGACGCCAAGGCCACCGAAAACAGCTCGCCGGCTCCCTCACAGTCGTTGGATGTCATGATTGGCGTCATGACTTGGATGAAATCGTTCGACTGCAGTGTGTGGTGGACGGACTGGATCATCGTGTTTCGCATACGGTTGACAACGCCCTGCAGATTGGAACGGGGGCGAATGTGCGGAATGCTTCGGAGGAATTCGGGAGTGTGGAACTACTGAGCACCCGATCCTGCACTCTACCTTCTTCTGAAGGGGATAGCTGCTCGGATCACAGTCTCCAATCACATGATAGGACGCAGCACTTAGCTCTAGACTATCCTAGAATGAAAACACGCACAAACCACACACATGATGCTTCTCCGAGAGGGGTTGCTTCAACACACCCGCAATCTGAATGCTACATCCATTCGAAATATCATGCGTGGCCGTAGAGGGAATTACACACTACTCTCACAACCGTGCACAGAAACTACCTGGATTCCATTCACATTGGATCCATCGTTCACCACCACAAACGTGAAGTCCTTAAACACTCGCTTGCTACGCACCCATCCAAACACGGTCGTTTCGGAGCCTTTTGGCTGTTGCAGAATGCGCTGAATAGGAGTAAAGGAGCAGCTCGGCGATGCGAGGGAGAGATTCCGAATGAGCGGGGACTACACAATTACGAAAACGAAATATTCCCACAGTCCATCTCGCGGCTCGAGCACAATGGTTTGCGATTCGGAGCATGAAATTAGCAATCGAAAATGAGAAACAACTGAATAGGACTTAGTTTTTCATGAGTCAGTTATCTGCTTTCAGCGCTCGCATCGCCAGCGAGCAGAAAATGTTCACATATAACCCTCCTCCAGGTACGAGCGAAAGATCAAACATGATGGTTAGGCGTGTGCATATACTCTATTGACAATAGTTTAACAAATTATCATGCAGGTAGCAGGTGAGGAAAACCTTGTTTTTGTAGAAATCACGGGTCCTGAGGATTCTCCGTATGAAAACGGTGTTTTCGAATTGGAATTGACACTTTCAAATCGGTATCCCTTTGAACCTCCCAAGCTACGCTTCATCACTCCAATTTACCACCCGAATATCGATACTACTGGGAGAATTTGCCTAGACCTGCTTAAAATGCCTCCAGCCGTATAGTCAATGGGATTGCATCATTTTCAGGGTAATTGGCTGCCCTCCATCAATATCTGTGTCCTCCTCACATCCCTCCGTCTTCTCCTATCGGCTCCAAACCCATTGGATCCATTGATGGTTGATATTGTAGAGGATGAAGGAGTTGTGAGACGTAGGCTGAGGAGTACTTGAAGAATAATGAGTTGTTTGTGAGGAAAGCAAGAGAGCAAACAGAGAAATATGCGATAAAGAAGAGTACCAAGCGACAGAAGGAGGAGGAGGAAAAGGAGGAAAAGGAGAAGGAGAAGGAGGCCAAATTGGAAACCCCAAAACAAGAGAAGCGTGTAGAAGTGAGTGATAAAAACAACAGCAGCAGCAGCAACAACAACAACAAGGAGGAAGAGAGAAAAGATACAAACGATATACATGACACAAATTTTAAAGAAAACGAAGAGATCGATAGTTCGGAGAGTAGCGAAGCAAGTTGGAGTGATTGCCAGTTTTTGTTCTATGAATCGTTTATTCTCTTGCTGCTATGGGAGCAAGAAAGAACGTCTAGAAGCCGAGAAGAAAACACAAGATTCGGCGGACATTGTCAGTTTTTGACATTATTACCATTCTTAGGAGTTACAGGTGATTCTTAACCACTCCATCTATGAAGATGTCACCGATACGAATCGTACACGGTTTCTGTGAAAACAATCAAAAGTAGGAAGAGCGAAATGGCTAGAATGTCTACAGATCCAAGAAACACGACTTGATGAGTTCAAGAAAAAAGGGGATTATCTACTTTATCAGCAAACGGTTTGGGGCGATAGTTCCATTGATCCTAATTTTGTTTTCGTTCTAAGATGTTCTTTACGGATAGTATCCAACTTTTGGTTCGACTCACTGTTCTGTGTTGCTTTCCGCGATTTCAAATGAGCAGCGGTGAGATAATATAAGATCATCTAGCTTCTAGAATGAGTTGTATTCGCATTTGTATTCTAGCAAAGGAACTCCTTGCAATCTCATATTGTCCACTTGTTCTTCCAATGACAATCGCTGTACTCTCGGTATTTAGCGAGGAAGAAACATTCTATGTACCAAACACAAATCTCTTTTGTTTGCAGATCCTCTACACACTCTTAAGCGATACGGAGCATTCAAAGTACTTTATCTGCAACGAAGTTTTGTATTCGGGCTTCTTGAAACGTATGCTCATTTCCCTTCTCCTCCTTTGCAGATTTCGAGATTCCCTCCTCCACGATTTCGCTGTCTTTCCTTCTAGAAACGTTTCTAATTCCAGAGAATAGCGATCTCGCTATTTTTGATGGCATTATTGCGCACGGATTTCTTGTAGAAATCCCATCTACTTGACACTCTAGTTTTTGTCATCTCTGTACACTGTATTCAACAATCAACACACATGGAACTATCTAGAAGCTTCTCTTCGCGCCTGTGAAAGTCTCAAACATTTCGACTCTTTAATATCCATTTTCCTTGAGAATGGAAATAATACTATTGCTTATACTGGAGATTACTACAATTTGAAACTGACAGGAAAGAGTCTTATTCTGGACGTGTCTCTTTGGCAAAAAATCGCCCCGTTGCTTCATCGAGTCTGCGCTCATCCACTTCGTCTTGTCTATTCGTCGAATCGCGACGGTTACACACTCATGTCTTTACTAAGGTGCGCAAAATCCGCAGTTCCTTCCCTCCTTTTGATGAAATTGGAGGGAAATCTTGTGATAGCGGTCTATCGGAATGATCCATGGGTCGATCGAAATGACGCCTATGGCAGTCCCGAAACGACGATTATTCGCATCGAAAACAATTCTGTGGAACACTGGCGTGGTCTTTTGTCGCAGGATAAGAAATACATTTACATTCGATCAACGACCGAATATTTGATAATCGGTGGCGGAGGAAGTACGGGGATGGCACTGTATTCAAATAGCGATTTTTCGAAAGTGACGAGCGATGCCAGCGAAGTATTTGGAAATCGAGCACTTTTGTCGCGAGGGTTTTTCTCCATCTCGTGCTTAGAATTGTTATCTCTAGAGGTTTTCTGTGTTTGATGAAAAAAATATTAGAAAATCCGCGGTTATCTTGGGCAAATTACATGCTAATTATAATGTTTGTAAAATGAGTTCTCTACCATATTCCGCCTATAAAAATAGCCGTTATATGCGAGAATTTTCCTATATGCACCGCTACCAGTATTCTGAAAATCGTGACTGGAGGCAGAGTTCAACCTATCAACATACTCAAGCGATTGTCTCTAAGACAGTTAAACGGAAAGAATACAAGAAACGAGCCATTTATGGTATTTTTGCAATGATAGTTCTAGTTGTTATTTTGGTGTATTTATTATATTTGTATTTCGTGGACAATACTACTACCACAAGGTTATGTGTTCCTGGCTTTAGCGGAGTACATTGTGATCGTAGTAATTTCATTGGGACTTATTTTTGGTCTACGAACGATTTTTATACCTTAGATGATGGTTTGCAGCACAGAAACGGACTTGCCTTTCGTGTCCTTGCTCCTAAAGCTGCATATGTAATAGTGAATGTAAAATCTCCAGGGTCTATGGAAGTTCATTATAATATGACGTACGTACTTGTGATTGGATTTGAACTGTAGCCCTCAAGTCAATGGCTATTGGTTTGCTAATATTGGCTCAATTGGAAGCAATTGTATTTACGACTATCAAATTTGTAACCTAAACAACGAGTGTAAACAGAAACTCATTCAAGGAGGACGCGAAATGTACTTTTGCTCTCCTTTGTTTTGCTCAACTCTAGTATATTTTTTCAAGGCAGATGGCGCAACCGCGAGCCTGCCGATCTGCGCCCCGATCCAACGGACAGTTCCGCCATCAATTCCACACTTTTTTCTTTTCCACGTTCCGTGTCGTCTCTCCGAAGTGCCAATCCGCACATTCCACAAAGCTCTGCTGAGCATGCTTCTCCCAGCGCCTCTGTTTCGACCTCAGCATCCTCGGCATCCTCAGCATTGTCATCAATGTCATCAATTTCATCAATGTCATCCACTTCTTCCTTGTCATCTTCGTCACCGAAAACCAGCGACACCGTCGCCTCGCTAAGCGAAGAAATCGTGTACGTTCTGCACATTCCCTCCTTCACCGGATCCGAACAGCGTAGGTTTCCACGTTTCCACGATAACTCGTAGAAGAAGGAACGTATCTATCCACGATCGACGAGCTGGACTACCTCCAGCACCTCGGCGTGACCATCATCCGCATCATGTCGCTCTGGCCAATGATCTGCGACGGCGACACCGAAGTCGATTCCCGCTGCTGGCGTATCGGTTTCCCCGTTTCCTCGATCCTAGACCACGGGACCATCCTCACTCCCGAGGCTCCTCACCCGGCGCACGGGAGTTTCACCGACCTCAAAGCCCTGGTCGAAGCGATCCATTCCCGCGGGATGCGCGTCCTGTTCGACGTGGACTGGACGGGGTTCTCGAACGCGTCCGTGTTCTACGACTACGACCAATCGGGCCACCCGTCGTCTTATGGCCCCTTATTCGAGCCGGGCGAGGAGTACCGCTACAACGCCCATCTCTCGCAGAAACCGCGGCTGACGGAGGACCAGGCGATGTTCTCGCTGTTCGCGAGCACGCTGGACGCCTTCACGGGGCCGCTGGGCTTCGACGGCGTCTACTGGAAGGGGCTGCTCTGCCTCCGCCTCGACGGCGCGCGCTGCGCCCACGGCCAGGGCTCCGAGAACGCCGCGCTCGCCGCCATGCTGCGCTCCGTGGTCGGCCATTTCCCCGCGGTGCGGCTCTGGGTGGGCGAGTCCCGCGGGACTGACGCGTAGTTCGGGGAGGACGACGACAACCTGCACGCGACGACGCGGCACTCGATCCAGAACATCGTCGACGCCGTCGGCCAAGGCGGCCTCGGCTTCCACGCCAAGCGCGACCTCGCCGGGTTCCCCGTTTTCCCTGTTTCTCACGCGTAGCGAGGCGGAGCTGCGCAGCGTGTTCCTCGCGGCGTCGCTGGACCCCGCGGCGGTGGCGCGGTTCTTCGTCCAGCGCGGTGCGCACGAGCGCGAGCTCACGCCCGTGGAGTCGCTGCCCAACGCGCACGCCGCGCGGCTGCTCGCGCTGCTGCTGCGCGTGGAGCCCTGCTTCGCGCTCGCCGCCAAGCGCCTGCTGCTGCTGCTCTTCGCGCGGCTCAGCGGCCCCGGCATCGTCACGCTGCTCCAGGGCGCCGAGTTCTTCGCGCTCGACCCGTTTGCCGCCAAGCCCGCCCCGCTCCGCCTGGAAGAAACCGTCGGCCGGTTCCGGAGCGGCGTATGGGAGACGCGCGGCGCGCACTGGGGCTTCGGCGAGGCGACGCGGCGATTGATTGCGCTGCGGAGAAGACTGCGATGGCACGCGGCGACGACGCTGACGAAGATCGAGCAGGGAGCCCACGCGGAAGACCCCGCCGTGCTCGTGATGCAGGCGGGGACGCGGGACGATCCGGTGGTGTTTGTGGTCAATGTGGCCGCGCGGAATCACACTGATTGGCCGTAGAAACGGGGAAACGGGGTCAGAGGTAGGGTGAGTTTGGTGATGCCTGCGCCCTTTGGGAGGAAGACGGTGTGGTATCCGGTGTTCACGAGCGACGATGACGCGATTTATCCGGAGTTCGAGTCTGTGGAGCAGACGCTGAAGATGCATCCCTGCATTAAAAACGAGGGGGTCCAGACCAGCGGGACGGAGCTGCTGTGCACGGAGATGTATCTGGGGAGTTATTCTGTAACGGTTCTGTCTACGAACAAAGCCGATGTCATCTAGAATTGTATTATATTCGATTGTTTGAGGAATAACCGCGGTTTTCGTACTATTTCCACTCTTTGATTTGCTATGTCGAATTCCTTCAAGTTAATTGTGCGAAATGCAAAGCAGCTGGTGACCATCACCAAGAATCACGAAAAGATGCTCTGCGGAGAAGCTATGAATCATATCGAGATTATCGAGAACGGGTAGCGCAGCGATGCGGCAGTTACTCCCTAGATCCATTATTATCGGCAAGGATGGCTTGATCTCTGCTGTGGGTCCTGCTGCCGAAATTGAGAAGACCTATGCGGGTTGCACGTTTGATAAGGAGATTGACGCTACGGGTAGGATCCATTCCACTTTCTGTAAAGACCAGGACTCTGCGTAATTCCTGGACTTGTCGATGGTCATACACACGTAATTTTATTTAGATCTGCTTCATCGAAAGCCCGTCTACGCCGGTGACCGTGTGAATGAGTACCGCATGAAGCTCGAAGGAGCTACCTACATGGACATTCACCGCATTGGTGGCGGTATCGGTTTCACCGTTCGCCACACGCACGACGCGTTCTTACTATTTATCAATCCTCTCATTCGCATAGATCGGAAGACGAACTTCTCGAGAACGTCAAGTCGCGTCTCATGACGATGCTTCGCCACGGAACCACGCTCGCTGAGTGCAAGAGCGGCTACGGCCTGGTCACCGACGACGAGATCAAGCTTCTGCGCGTGCTGCAGCGCGTGAAGAAGGAGGTGCCGTTGGACATCGTAATGAATCTGCTGGCTGCGCACTCGGTGCCTGTGGGCTACACATCCGAAGAGGCGACGCAAATGATCATCAACGAGATGATTCCCAAGGCCATCGCGCTGAAGGAGAAGGGAGAACTCGACATCGAACTCATCGACATATCCAATCCAAAAAAAGTCCCGATTTTTGGAATTCCATAATCCACGCCTTCTGCGAATCCGGCATTTACGACGTCGACCAGACCGAGCGCATCATGAAAGAAGGCCAGAAATTTGGACTCGGCGTCAACTTCCACGCCGATGAATTAACCGCGATTCAGGGCGCCGAAATGGGCGCCAAGCTCGGCGCGCTCGGCATGAGGTAGGAACCGCGGGGATCTGCCACCTAGTCATCTGGAGAAGATCAGTCCCGCGGGGATCCAGCTTATGGCGGAACACAAATCGGTGGCGGTTTTGCTGCCCACGACGGCGTAACCGCGGTTCTGGGGGCTGAGACGTAGGTGGATCATGCATCTGGAGCCGCCTCCAGCGCGGGAGATGATAACCGCGGGAGTGCCTGTGGCGGTGGCGTCGGATTTCAACCCGAACGCGTACTGCATGTCGATGCCGTTCGTGATGAATGTGGGTCGAGAGAGGACCGGCGTGAAGCGTAGCTTGGATGCATTCTGCTGGGGCTGAGCATGAACGAGGCGCTGGTCGCGGGAACGATTAACGCAGCGGCGTCCATCGGGAAGAGCGAATTGTACGGATCGCTGGAGGTGGGCAAGATGGGAGATCTGCTGGTGCTGGATGCGCCGCAGTGGGAGCATTTGTTCTATCGCATTGCGGACGAACCGATCAAGCATGTGATCAAGCGCGGAGAAGTGATCGAGTTTTGGAGTGTTTGTTGGAGATATGTGATGGTGGTGGTGGTGGAGGAGGAGGAGGAGAGGTGGTGTATAGCATAGAGCATGGAATTATGCAATGTTTGGGAAGAAATTGGTTGTAAAGGGATGTACGAAAGGTGGCATTGAATTCTGGTGAAAAGTGGTTTGCAGATCATAGGGAATTGGTCAAGTTGGAGAAATTCGATATCTACAATGATCTCTACAACAATGCATCCTTTAAAATCCAATTTATCTTTATTTCCCCCCCCCCCAAAAAAAAAATAAAATAAACTCCAATATGAAAGCATCCATTCATCAATACTACTCTCATTCATATCAACAAACAATCCACTCCATGGTCAGAACAATCTTTCCGATCTGTTCATTCTTCTCCATCATCGTATGAGCGCGAACCACCTCATCCAGCGGCACCTTCCCATCACCTTCCTCTCCATGTCCTACCGTCGCGTGAATCAGCGGCGCCAGCTTGCCCGCCTCAATCAGCGGCCACACTTTCTCGTACATTTCCATCGCAACCTGGTGCTTAAACTCCAGCGACCGCGATCGCAATGTCGATCCCGTGATGGTAAGTCGCTTCAGCAAAATGGGGTTCAGCGAAATGTTAACCTATGTCAGCACAGCCCGGCAAAGCCTACACGCGGGCCCTTCATAAATCCGATGATCACCATGCGACCTTCCTCCGCCAGCAACTTGATATTCTTCTCTGCATAATCTCCTCCAATATAATCCAGAATCACGTTCACGCCTCTACGTCTCATCGCAGTTTCCACGTTTCCCCACTTCTTCTTGGTTTCGGTTCGAATCACATCGAAAAAGTCTTCCTTCGTGTAATCGATCACCACGTCCGCGCCCAGCTTCCGGCACGCCTCGCACTTCTCGGGGCCTTCCGCGGTTGTGTACACCTTGTTCCCGAACGCTTTCGCCAGCTAGCCAAAAAACAAAAAGAACCGCGGGTACCTGGATCGAGCTCGTGCCGATGCCGCTGGTTCCGCCGTGGACCAGGAACGATTCGCCAGGCTTCAGAGCGCCGCGCATGAACACGTTGCTGTAGGAAGTGAAGAACGATTCGCAGATCGCAGCGGATTGGATCATGGAGGTGTTCTTCGGAACCGGGAGCGCCTAGATTGCAGGGTGAAAGAGCTTCCTACACACATGCAATTCATCGTGGTGTATTCCGCATAGCCACCACCGGTCAAAATGCCGCACACCTTGTCTCCCACTTTGAAGCCAGTGCAGCCATCGCCGAGAGCGACGACGGTGCCTGAGCACTCCAGACCCGGAATGTTGCTCGCTCCCTTCGGAGGAGGATACATTCCTTGACGCTAGGTTCGTAGACAAGAAATTGGAATGTACCTGGACGACGTCCGGACGGTTGATAGCAGCAGCAGCTACTTTGATGAGCATTTCTCCCTTTTGAGGAGTTGGGACATCACGAGTCACCACTTTCATAACCTAGAATATCACCAATCGAGCAGATACACGCACCTCAGGTCCACCGAATTCCGTAATGTCCACACAACGCATGGTCTTCGGAATTGTGGAGAAACAGCGAAGAACGTCTATCTTTCATTTCCATTGGCGAGCTCCTACTCGTAGAAGCAGATCGTGCAATAAAACGAGAGAGCATAATTGATATTTGTAAACCTACCAAAGTGTCTAAAAAAGAGAGTATTTGTTGATTTGGCCATTTGCTTGCAATTGCGAGTCTTTCATGAACGAAAAGTAAAGTGTATCTCTTAGGAAACAGAATGCCACAGAATTAGGGAGATATAAAAATGGTGAATAATGGGTGATTTTATAAGACTTTTAATTTTCGTATCTGATTTACTATGTTATGAAACTTAACGAATTACGAATAAAATGTACAATTCTCAATTCTTCTTCTTCTTCTTCTTCCCTCTCCTTTCTAATTCCAACAAACACATCAAACTAGCATCGCATCTTCACCAATACCATTTTTCTTAACTCAACTCCATCTCCCTCCGATTCTCCGCTTCCTTCGCTTCAGCTTCGCGTTTCTTTTCCTCTTTGATCACCACAATCTTCTCCTCCACTTCCTCCTTCGGTAGCACGCACTGTTCCTGATTGGGTCGAATCACCACGACATCCACGCTCTGCTCGACCATGCTGACCGTCTACGCTTCAATTCATTCATTTGCACGCACTTCCAGCAGACATGACAATACCAGATGCACACCTTCCTCTTCCGTCATGTTTTCCTTATAGTGCGACTCGAGGAAAGTGCGAAGGGCTGCTTCGTTGCGACCGCTCGCGTTGGCCTTCGATGAACCGACTTCATGAACATTACCTTCCACTCGACGACGATTCCTGCGGGATCCGTGGTGAAAAGACGTCCCTTCTCGCCGTCCATACCGCAAATAAACGTGCAGACGCCGAACGGACGACGACCACCTCGTTGTGTGTATCTACGCTCAATGCACGGGAAAATGCAAACAATTGCTGCTGGCGACCCACGTAGTTCGCTATATACTTTACAGAGGGAATCTCATCGAAGGACATGCGATAACTCTGAGCTTCCACGCGCGCCTTGATTGGACCCAAAGAAACAAAAGTACGATATCGACGAGCTTTCTTGCATCGGCACTCAAGCCAGTAAACAGAAAGGTGATGTTTTCGTCGATTTTCAGCAGTTTTTTGACTGTGCGAGAATCTTGAAGCTGTGCAGTTGTTTTCTTCTCAATTCCGAGGACAATACACTTGTCACACACTACGGCGACCACAGAATATCCCTATTCGAAAAACGACAACAAGGCAACGCACTTTTCTCACAGCTTCCATGGCATACTCAACTTGAAAGAGATGACCATCAGGTGAGAAGACAGTTAATGCTCGATCGTAACTATGCATTACTCTGCCTTTCAATCAAAAATACCTCATAGATTTATTCGATTTGTCCTAAAGATGAAAGCCTAAATAATGCAAATAGTAACTTTATTAGGAATTCCGAAAGTTCTATTTTTAAGAAAGAGTTTAGTTGGAGTGCTGATCTGTGTGGGATGCTCGATGATTTGCATAGGTAGGAGTGTAGGGAATACGATCACGGGGTTTGCTGTTGCTGTTCAGTGAAATGATGGGAAGAAATTGAAAGTGGGGGAAATGCAATCGAATTTATAGTTGTGTATATTGCAAATAGAAAGGGGCAGAAATTGCTTGTGATGAGTAGATCTGTTTTTTGAATGTATTTTGATTGTGTTGTCGTGAGTGTAGTGTCGTTTGAAAGGGCAACCTTAATGATATGAGTAGTACTCTCTTTCTCTTATCTAAACTGATTGTTTGTATGCCTATTCACTAGAACACAACACAAAGAATCTAATTTTTGTTTGAATCATACAAAACCTTTGATCATTTTAAGATTGGAGCAATACTCGTTCAATTCCACAACTATCATATTTCTCACTAATTTCTAAATCCTCATTCTAAAATAATGAAGAATTAGAATACAAAACAAACATTTCCACTCCCCATTCCCTTCTCCGTTTCCAACAAACACTCCAAGAAAGCGTGAGATACGACCGATTCGACGTATCCACATTCGTGTATCCAAATTTCCTCTGCGGCTCCTTCTTCTCGGTCTTCAGTCCATGATACCCTTCCTTCTCCCCCAAATTCAGCCGATACAACACATACGAGATCACATCGTGATCCAGACCGATCGTAAACTGCAAATGTCCCGCGTTCTCGAACTCCACATACGACGTTCTCTTGCCCAGTACCGGCAGCAACTTCGTGTAATGCCGGAACACCTGCGTCGACGGCACGATACTATCGTGTTTCCCCGCGATGAAATGAATCGGGACATCGAACTGCTCATAAAAGTCCGTATACCGCACCGGCTCTCTCTGCCCGTACCGCAATTCGTTCCCATTTCCCGGGTAATCGAACGACGTGAACGCATCGCGGCAATACCACTGCCGGAATTGCAGCATCACGTACAGCGACGTCACGCCCAGCGGGTACTTCGTGTAGTTCACCTTCTGGAACGGCCAGTCCCGCGGTTCTCCGCCAATCACCATGGCGCAGATCTGATTGACGAGCTCCAGAGTCGCGGGCGTGGTCTGCATGTCCTGCAAAAGCTTCGCGACGAGGAGATGGACGCGAGACGAGCGCGTGGGGAACGCGGTGGGCGGCGACCGCTCGGTGAAGAGGAGCGGAGAGACGCGGTTGAGCACGCGGACGATCCACGACTGGTCGGCGAGGAATCCCGCAGGGGAGAGCAGAACGACGTTGGAGAGATGGTGTGCAGTGTGGGTGAGATGAGAGAGCGCGATGTAGGCGAGCGTCACGGCGCCGCCCATGGAGTGAGAGACGGCGTGGAGCGTGTAGCGGCGATGCAGCTCCGACTCGTTCAGATTGCGGTACTCGGTGTTCATGATCTCGCGTTTGAACTGCACCGAGTAATCACTGCTCCCGGCGAGCTCCGCGTTCTGCTTCGCCGCGCGTTCCTGCTCCTTGATCACGTAGATGCTCTCCAGAAACGCGCGGTAATCCAGCGTCAAATCGTCGATGTTGTAGTCCCAGTAGTGCGCGTCGCTCACGTCCAGCACTTCGTGGCGCTTCCGGTCGCTCGCGTAATGCCCGTCCGTCCCGCGGAAGCTCCCGAAAAACACGTCGTAGCCCTGCTGGTAGGCCTGGATGGCCAAGGAAAGCGAGGGCTTGTCGGAGACCCAGGCGAGCGCGGTGTCCATCACGCCGTGCTGAAAATACACGACTCTCCGCGACTCGGGGCGAGGAATGCGGAAGAGAACGAGGCAGTAGCGATCGACGGTGTGGACGGAGTATTCCTCGAGGGGGTAGCCGAGCATGGGCTTGGTCAGCAGCGAAGCGGCGAAGCTTTCCTCCACTTCGATCGGCGTGCTGCTCTTGTTGAAGATCGTGGGCGGACGGTTCGCTTCCAGCGTGCCCAGATAGGACTGCAGCAGCGAGTTGATGTGCTGCTCCCACTCCTGCCATCGCTTGTAGCGCGAATTGGAGGGCTCCAAGAGCTCGGAGATGTGGAAATCGCCACGAAAAATGGAGAAACAGAGGTGGAAAAAGGAGCGAAGCACGCCCAGCACCCACATGAAGAGCGTTAGGAGACCGACGAAAAAGGAGCGGATGGAGTTGGGGTCGAAACAAGAGAGCCAGAAATAGCGGATCCCTTGGACCGACCGATGGATCAATCGAAACAATGCGACTTGAAGATCTTCCAAAAGCCCCGAAATGGCTTCGGAGTTCACGTCGATGTCCGACGGAAGACGTGATGTTGAGATGTGCGAGTTTTGATTGTGAATCGAGTAATCAGGCAAAATGATCGACCACAACCACATATAGAAACTACAACTCACTCACTATCGTTTGTACATTACTGAAGGCAATGAACAAACAAGGGGTAGAGGATGAAAAGGGGATAGAACACAAAATAGGTCATACTTTTGGATTTCACTTTTTTCTCGGGATTTTGGCGCTTTCGCTCAATCTTCGTAGGAATCGTTTTCGCATTGTAGTCCTTCTTCTTCTTCTGACTCAGCTGCTTTTGAACGGTCGGGCTCTTTACCTCCTCGGAGAGATAGTCAGCGTCCGATTTGTCATAATCCAGGAGATGTTGTACCGACTTTAAGCTGCTCACTTCCTTGGATCTGAACATAACCACATCGTTTGGAAACGCAGTACTCTTCATTTTTTATCACGGCAGTTTTCACAATACGATTTCTTCGAGATTCGTTATAGTTCGATGTAGAAATGAAATCGATTAGAATGGCACACCAGGAGTTCACGACTTGGTAACTGAGATGATAGCACTCCCGCACAACACTCTTGAAACCTTCCCCACACAAAATCTATCCAATCACGCAAAAACTATTGTTGCTACAATCACACGATCGCCTCCGTCATGAATTAGTTTCAAAAAGGGATGGCGTTTGAGGAATGCTTTGTTTTCCTAGAAATAGAACTTTCCGTACGATTCTACTTGTAAAAACGAGTTATCTCTAGAAAAATCATCAATATCTGTCATTGTACAAATAAAATCTACACTCCTGGTATCCCCACTCTCCAAAAATCGTGTATTCCACCTTCTCCCTTCTACGAAAACGCATTATTGAACAAAGAGCTCCTCCTCACCCCCATTATTACATAAACGCCGTTTCTCCTCCCAAGTAGGATCCCTCGATCGTAGAGCCATTCAGCACGCACTTCTCCTTCTTCTCCACCACATACCCTCGCATTCGAATCACCACCGGAATCGTCTCATCATTCTCGTCAATCTCCTTGAACCTCCATCCCTCGTTCTTAATCGTGCTTCCTTTCAAGACAGCCCCTCTCTCCCCAATGATCAGACATCCGTCGATCACCGTGTTCTCGATATACCACGTTCTGCTCTTCACGATCAGCACGCTTCCCGCCTTCAGCACCACGCCTTCGCCCACATGGCGATGGATTTCCTCCGTCACACACCCGCTCTCGGGGTCCAGCACCACCTTCGCTCCCTCCTCGATCGTCACGCAGTGTCTTCGCTCCGGATTGCACGTCGGGCAGTCGTTTCGACTCAGCAAAAGACGTCGATACAACTCCAACTGGTCCGCCTCGCCGCTTCGCGGGCTTTCTTCATGCCCCGTTTTCTTGAGTAATTCCCGCGCACGGGCCGGACTGTTCTTCACGGGAGACCACGTCATGAACCGCGGATACACCACGATTTGATGCGTGTTGTTCGCGATCGCGTGCTCCAGCATGAGCTTTGGATAGTCCTGCATCATCGACTCCAATCGAACCGGCTGCGCGTATTCCGTCGTGGAGCCCGGCTTCATTTTCGGGTTCACGAACTCCGGAACGATCCCGTGCGACTTCGAAAGCAGCTCCAGATAGTTCTGCGCGTCGAACGACAGAATGTTGGAATTGCCCGGGAACCTACGATTGCCGCCAACTTTCAAAACCTACGGAGAGAACCCGCCCTCGTCCGCGTAGTCTCCCCGCGGGTCCACGGAGCGCAGGAAATCCTCCAATTGGTTGTACTCCACATTGCACACCATCTCCTCGCCATGCACGTGCTTCAGCTGGCACAGCGCGCCCGACTAGTGGTTACGCATCCCCGCGGGACGTACTGCTTCGTGGGGCCGGCGCCGCACGGAAGTGGTGACCATGTGGGCATGCGTTGCATCGGCGATGGCGGCAGTGCACGGCATGGAGTAGAACGCCAGCGCGTTGGTATCCTGGAAGAAAACGAGGCGCTTCACGGAGAATTCGTTGATCCATTTGGTGACAATCCCGTCCTATTTTCGATTCGATTCTGCGGCGATACGCGGTATAAACAGAGGTGCACGTCGCCGTGGCCGTGCGGCTTGCGCAGGAGGTGGCCGTCGGGGAGAACGGCGAGGTGGCAGGCGGGGTCGACGACGGAAGGAACGACGTCCTGCTTCATGAGGAAGATCTGATCTCGGTCCATGCCGAAGTAATTGTGCTCTTCGAGGAATTGGAGAGTACTGAGGGGGAGGAAGAGGAAACGAGGAAATACAGAGCGTGGTTTGAGTCGGAGGTCATGATCGCGAGAGGAATACGATGAAACTCAGCGTCAGGGATGCGGTGCTGAGGAAAGAGAGAAGGTCAAATAGGGGTACCTGGTAAGATAGGATTTTGCGGATGTAAAACTCAAGATACGAAGTCATAGTGAGTGTCTCGACCGGAAGACTGACCTTGATGCCATTGTAGCCGAGACGTTCACCCAAGCCGCCAGCCACCAAAACAAATCCGCATTGCTGCAAAATGCGAAGTCCACGGAGCTCGAGAGAATAGTACTCTCTTGAGCCAAATTCAACAGAAATGGTCGGAGGAACCTAAATAAAAGCGGATACGACAAGGATACAGATGGAGTCCAACCCTGCAATGGATTAATCTTCATCGAAGCGTCATGAAGAAGCTGTTTCGCTTTTTTAAGGTACGCTTTATATCCTCCTGGATAGAAGGAATCGACATACTGAAGATCATGAATGAAATTGCGCAGTTCTACTCATAATTTTGCGTGGATAACTCAACGATCTTCAGTTGTGAGAGAAGAAATCACGCTTTCCTGTCCCTGCTTCGCTACCTCTTCAAGGTATTGTTTTTCTGCTTCAGTAAGATGCTCCATATTCTGGGTATTAGAAAACAAAAGGATCCCGACGAGACGATATAAACTGTCAAAATAATGTCATTGCTACTGAAAAACACCACGATCTCCGATTTTTGGAATTCCGAATGTATGTCATCAAACAAATCAAAACGGGTTGAGAGAGTTCGATTCTGCGTTTGCATTTGCATCTGCGTCTGGGAGCTTCGAGGGCTCCTGAGGCTTCATTTCGTTCAGAATCCGCGTTCCATTCGTAATGTTGGTGGTGGCAATCAAAATCTCATACGGGAAATTCTCCTGCACTCAACTCCAAACCAAAAGCCCAAACCTGAGCCGCCAAAAAGCGCAGAGCCGCGATTTCCGTGTAGGTCACTCCTCCGATAAAATACACCACAGCAGTCTGTTGTTTTTGAACCAATATCCCCAAATCCTACCTGCTTTCCGGTCTTCGCAGGAGTTCGCAAAATCGAGTGATCATAGTCGCAGCCGAGCAGTCGAGCCACGTCTACATCCCAAAGAATCACCTTTTTTACCCATTCCGAGTTTTCCATTGTTCAAAATCATCTCGATCAGTCTTGCGGAGATCGGCGCATATCCGCTCGTAATCGACCTTTCTCTCACTCCTTCTCCCCATCCTCACTGCATTTCCTTCGCGTTCTCGCCCCCCACATCCTTCACCAACTGCAGCTTATTCCGAATTGCCGCGTAATTTTTCCCGCCTTCCCGCTTCCCCAGCAGCCCCGCTCTCTCCAAATTGTACAGCGTCAGCAAGTTACTATACCCGTACGTCTTCGTTGCGCCCCTTTTCCCGGACCCTACCTGGATGATTTCCTTCCGCACGGCATCGTAGTCTTTCCCTCGCAATCCGCTGTTTACCAGCGAATACAGCACCAGCAGGCGCAGAATCAGCGGCAGCGCGTCCTGCAGCGTGATTCGCTCCACGATGTAATCCAGCAGCTGCTCTCCCTCCAAAATCTCGTGCTCCATCTGCCATCGCTGGCGAAATTGATAACCGTTCGTCACGTTTGTGATCAAATCGGAGATCTACGCTTGAAATACCCCCGATTTCTGGACTCCTTGGTGGATTTGGAGCTGGTCGAACGAGTCCTGTTTGGACGGGAGTTTCCTTCCGCTGTTCGACGTTTCCACTAGGGATGAGGGTTTCCACGCCTCCAAAACGCACTCTGCATTTCGTAGAGTTTGTTCTGGAGTGCCTGCGGGATCACCGCGATGTTTTTGTTCCGGATTTCGGAGAACAAATAATCGTCATTGCTCAGCAAAACCGATTCCGTTCCTTCTCCTCGCTATTCGTCACTTCTCTCTCGCTTCCTCGCTTACTCTCCCGATCACGGATGATCGCACGCTCACGCTGGACGTCTGGATGCCGAGGACTTCGTCGATGAGGCCTTCGTAAGTGAGCGGCGTGACGAACAGCGAATTGAAATCCACCGAACGATCCACTAAAATCAAGTGGCGGATCGGAGGGTTCGACGCGTCCGTCTCGCATTGCAGGAACTTGTTCTTTTGCTTTTGGATCGATTCGAGCAGAAATACGGCTCGGTCGCCAATGCCGTGAATCTCGCTGATGCCTCCGCTCTTGCTTTGGAGCACGCGGATCGATTCCAGGATGGAGGAATAGGCGGTTCGATCCTTCTTGGAAAACATTCGATAGCAGCAATCCGAGAGTTCTTGAGAAACAAGGTCATTCTCGAACGGGAAGAGAAGAAGGTTTAAGGAGTAGATCGAAACATCGACCAATGCCTTTTCATCACGTAGGCACTGCTTGCAAAGCAATGAGACTTGAGGATTGAAAAACACATGAAACTGAAGCTTAGGCTATCTATTAAAATCAAAAATTGAAGGAGACGTATTTTGCTTTCAGAGTTCGTATTTGATATCCAACAAAACGTGTTGTAGCGACATTTGCCTGGCAGAAGAAGATCACGACGTCTTTATCGCATGAAACCTCATCTTTCGACAGGTCATACACAATGTCATTCGGTTTCTATTCGAATTACACTCAACAACGCAAGTCTACTAATAGGGATGCAAACATCAATTGATCTTTCAGCTTTTTATCGACTATATACATTCGTGATGCAGGAATCTAGAACGTGCACACCATTCAGGATTTCAACCTGCGACAGGAGTTGCTCAGCTTGCTTCATCTGATCGTCCCATATCCCTCCGATATCCAAACTAGAGCCACGAATCGAGAGAGGTGGTGTCATGACAACGAAAATGTGTGCAACAAACCCAGCATAACACAGAACTCAGCAAATTCATTGCATTCACTTAGCTTCTTCCGCAGCCGGCGCATCGGCAGCAGCAGCAGGATTGGTTGCAGGCGCAGCAGCAGTAGCATCAGTAGCCGCCGCCGTAGGAGCGGCAGCCTTCTTCTTTCCCTTCTTCGATTTGGACTTGGGCTTTCCCAACGCACCCAGCGCGCCTACCGCCTCTTCTTTCTTTCCCCCTCGTCGACGTCGTTCTCGCTTCTCGCCCTCGGGAGCCTTTTCCTTCTTGTCGGCCTTCTTATCCGCCTTCTTGCCTTTCTTGCCGCCCTTTTTGTCGGCCTTCTTTCCTTTCTTGCCCTTGCCTTTGTCTTCCGGCTCCGCTTTCGCTTCTTCCTTCGGCTCCTCTTCTCCTTCCTCTTCCTTTGGCTCGTCCTCCGATCCTTCCTCCTTGTCATCCTCCGAATCATCGACGTCCTTGGGCTCTGCCTTCGGTTCTTCCTTGGGCTCTTCCTTCGGTTCTTCATCCTCCGAATCATCGACGTCCTTCGGCTCTGCCTTCAGTTCTTCCTTGGGCTCCTCCTTGGGCTCGTCGGGCTTATCAAAGTCTTCATCCTCCTCCACTTCCTTGGGCTCTTCCTTGGGCTCTTCCTTGGGCTCTTCCTTGGGCTCTTCCTTTGACTTCTTTCCTCCCTTCTTGGCTGCTTTCTTTCCCGCCTTCTTTCCCTTCTTCGCCGACTCCTTAGGCTTTTCGTCTGCTACTTCATCACCGAAGTCCTCGTCGTCGATCGCTTCCACCTTCGCTTTGGGTTTCGGCTTCTCCTCCTCTTTCGGCTCTTCATCAGCTACTTCATCACCGAAGTCCTCGTCCTCCTCCACCACTTCTACCTTTGGCTTCGGCTTCGGCTTTTCTTCCTCCATTTCCTCATCACCGAACTCTTCGTCGCTCACCGGAGCGGCCTTCTTCTTTTCCTTCGGCTTCTCCTCGGCCTCTTCCTCTTCTTTCGGCTTTTCTTCCTCCATTTCCTCATCGCCAAACTCCTCGTCGCTCACCGGAGCGGCCTCCTTCTTCTTCTTCGGCTTCTCTTCAGCCTCTTCTTCATCGCCAAACTCCTCGTCGCTCACCGGAGCGACCTTCTTCTTTTCCTTCGGCTTCTCTTCAGCCTCTTCTTCATCACCAAACTCCTCATCACTAAACGGAAGCTTTCCAATCTTCATCTTCGGCTTAGTCAATCCATTCTCATCATCGTAAGAATAGTCCGAATAGTCCGAATACGAATAGTCTGACTCCGATTCCGAATACGAATAATAAGACGAATAATCATCCTCGGAATCCGACATTCCATTCACTCTAAACAGAAGTTGGTCCGAGGCAGCACGCAGTCCGTACTTACTGCGATTATTTCGATGCAAGAATCCTGCTTCCCAGAAATTCACTTCGTCCAGCACAGGCTCTTGCTCCATCTACACAATGAACTGCAAATCACTCGCCTACATCATCGTCCAGAATCGGTCGCAGCGAACGTCGTCCGCTGATTCGCTCTCCTATGATCGTGTTCGCCTGGGTCTGCAGCTCCGCGATCTTCACGACTAGACATCATTGCTCTTCTCAATCCTTACGCTTATCCTTCACTTCCTGCTTCTTCTTCTCGAGCAGTTCTTTCGCTTCGCGGACCTGTCTGTGCAAATCAGCCATCGATTCCTTGCGCTTCTCGTATTCTTCCTCCTTCAGTGCAAACTGTTCCTCGCGACGCTTGATTTCCAGCTTATTCTGGCGCCATACAACCCACAGGTACTTCTTATCCTTGGTTTCATCGGGATTACTATCTTCAGGTTCAGGTTCAGGTTCAGGTTTGGGCTCCGGTTTGGGCTCCGGTTTGGGCTCCGGCTGCTGAGGAAGCTGCTGGGGCTGAGGAAGCTGCTGAGGCTGTTGAGGAGGCTGCTGAAGAGCAGGAGCAGGAGCAGGAGCAGGAGCAGGAGCACCGAAACCAAAGTCGAACATAGGCTGCTGGAGCTGCTGTTGAGGAGGCTGTTGAGGAGCAGGAGCACCAAAGTCGAACATAGGCTGTTCAGGCTGGGGCTGAGGTTGGGGTTGCTGCTGAGGAGCAGGAGCAGGAGCAGGAGCAGGAGCACCGAAACCAAAGTCGAACATAGGCTGCTGGGGTTGCTGGGGCTGTTGGGGAGGCTGCTGAGGAGGCTGAGGAGCAGGAGCACCGAAACCAAAGTCGAACATAGGCTGTTCAGACTGAGGCTGTTGAGGTTTCTGAGGCTGAGGAGCAGGAGCAGGAGCACCAAAACCAAAGTCGAACATAGGTTGCTGAGGCTGTTGAGGCTGAGGTTGAGGTTTCATTTCTTCCTCTTCTTCCTCTTCTTCTTCTTCTTCTTCCTCTGCTTCTTCTTCTTTCTTTATTAAGTGAGCCTTCGATGGAGGAATCAAACTCGCAGGTAACTCTTGAGGAAGAGGAACACCATTACGACAAGTGAATAAGATGTGAGTCATAATCACAAACTCAGCAAAGTCCAAACGACCGTCCTTATCCAAATCAGACATCGAATACAGTTTCTCTAATATTTCTTTAGGTAATCCACTCTGAGAATGATAAGCAATCACAGCATCATGAGGCAATTTGTGGCTCTTATCCTTATCCAATTGTAAGAACAATTGTTGATAGAAGGCACGCTGTTGAGGGTTCGTAGCAAATGGATCGCCCATAGGAGGTTGCTGAGGCTGTTGGGACTGAGGTTGAGGTTGAGGTTTCTGAGGCTTAGGAGGAGGAATTGGAGCTTCTTCTTCTTCTTCCTCTGCTTCTTCTTCTTTCTTTATTAAATGAGCCTTCGATGGAGGAATCAAACTCGCAGGTAACTCTTGAGGAAGAGGAACACCATTACGACAAGTGAACAGAATATGAGTCATAATTACAAACTCAGCAAAGTCCAAACGACCGTCCTTATCCAAATCAGACATCGAATACAATTTCTCTAATATTTCTTTAGGTAATCCACTCTGAGAATGATAAGCAATCACAGCATCATGAGGCAATTTGTGGCTCTTATCCTTATCCAATTGTAAGAACAATTGTTGATAGAAGGCACGCTGTTGAGGGTTCGTAGCAAATGGATCGCCCATAGGAGGTTGCTGAGGCTGTTGGGACTGAGGTTGAGGTTGAGGTTTCTGAGGCTTAGGAGGAGGAATTGGAGCTTCTTCTTTTGGTTGAGGTTGCTGTTGAGGCTGTTCAGGTTGCTGAGGAGCAGGAGCAGGAGCACCGAAACCAAAGTCGAACATAGGCTGTTCAGACTGAGGCTGTTGAGGAGGCTGAGGTTGAGGTTGCTGTTGAGGAGCAGGAGCACCAAAACCAAAGTCGAACATAGGTTGCTGGGGTTGCTGGGGTTGAGGTTGAGGTTTCATTTCTTCCTCTTCTTCCTCTTCTTCTTCTTCTTCTTCCTCTGCTTCTTCTTCTTTCTTTATTAAGTGAGCCTTCGATGGAGGAATCAAACTCGCAGGTAACTCTTGAGGAAGAGGAACACCATTACGACAAGTGAATAAGATGTGAGTCATAATCACAAACTCAGCAAAGTCCAAACGACCGTCCTTATCCAAATCAGACATCGAATACAATTTCTCTAATACTTCTTTAGGTAATCCACTCTGAGAATGATAAGCAATCACAGCATCATGAGGCAATTTGTGGCTCTTATCTTTGTCCAATTGTAAGAACAATTGTTGATAGAAGGCACGCTGTTGAGGGTTCGTAGCAAATGGATCGCCCATAGGAGGCTGTTGGGACTGAGGTTGAGGTTGAGGTTTCTGAGGCTTAGGAGGAGGAACTGGAGCTTCTTCTTTTGGTTGAGGTTGCTGTTGAGGCTGTTCAGGTTGCTGAGGAGCAGGAGCAGGAGCACCAAAACCAAAGTCGAACATAGGCTGTTCAGACTGAGGCTGTTGAGGAGGCTGAGGTTGAGGTTGCTGCTGAGGAGGCTGAGGAGCACCAAAACCAAAGTCGAACATAGGCTGTTCAGACTGAGGCTGTTGAGGAGGCTGAGGTTGAGGTTGAGGAGCAGGAGCAGGAGCACCAAAACCAAAGTCGAACATAGGCTGTTCAGACTGAGGCTGTTGAGGCTGAGGCTGAGGTTGAGGTTGCTGCTGAGGAGCAGGAGCAGGAGCACCAAAACCAAAGTCGAACATAGGTTGCTGAGGCTGTTGAGGCTGAGGTTGAGGTTTCATTTCTTCCTCTTCTTCCTCTTCTTCTTCTTCTGCTTCTTCTTCTTCCTCTGCTTCTTCTTCTTTCTTTATTAAGTGAGCCTTCGATGGAGGAATCAAACTCGCAGGCAGCTCTTGAGGAAGAGGAACACCATTACGACAAGTGAATAAGATGTGAGTCATAATTACAAACTCAGCAAAGTCCAAACGACCGTCCTTATCCAAATCAGACATCGAATACAGTTTCTCTAATACTTCTTTAGGTAATCCACTCTGAGAATGATAAGCAATCACAGCATCATGAGGCAATTTGTGGCTCTTATCCTTATCCAATTGTAAGAACAATTGTTGATAGAAGGCACGCTGTTGAGGGTTCGTAGCAAATGGATCGCCCATAGGAGGTTGCTGAGGCTGTTGAGGCTGAGGCTGTTGGGACTGAGGTTGAGGTTGAGGTTGAGGTTTCTGAGGCTTAGGAGGAGGAATTGGAGCTTCTTCTTCTTCCTCTGCTTCTTCTTCTTCTTCCTCTGCTTCCTCTTCTTTCTTTATTAAGTGAGCCTTCGATGGAGGAATCAAACTCGCAGGCAGCTCTTGAGGAAGAGGAACACCATTACGACAAGTGAACAGAATATGAGTCATAATCACAAACTCAGCAAAGTCCAAACGACCGTCCTTATCCAAATCAGACATCGAATACAATTTCTCCAATATTTCTTTAGGTAATCCACTCTGAGAATGATAAGCAATCACAGCATCATGAGGCAATTTGTGGCTCTTATCCTTATCCAATTGTAAGAACAATTGTTGATAGAAGGCACGCTGTTGAGGGTTCGTAGCAAATGGATCGCCAGCCTGCATAGGTGCAGAAGAATTCACTAGTTCATTAGATCAATAAAAACAGAGCAAACCTTGATTAGAGGGAGCATTACTTCCTTGCTGATTTGGAAAATTCATCATTCCTGGTCTTTGACCCGCCATTTCAGAAACAGGGTTAAATGAAGTAGGCATTCCCATCATAGACGGATTCTGCATTGATTCTTGTGTTCTACTCGGTTAATACATAAGAAATACAAAATACATCTGTTGCATCCTTTGTTCCTTAATTATCAATTATATCACTAAATATGTATATCCAACCAATGTTATCTTTTTCCTAGATAATAATGAATGGAACTCTAGTAAGAGAACGTCGGATTTATTGCAATAGAATCAAGATGCATCCAATAATCTATCATAATTGGGACATGCCCTTGGCTGGCCCGATTATATTACATTATACTCACTCCATTACAGAGGTATTAGGATATATGTTATGAATGAGATACACAAAAATATCTTTTGTATTCTCTGAATATAGGGCTACTTGATTGAAAAACAAACATTATCAATAGTGTATTCAAACTACTTTTTAGCCGCCATAGCCTCCACAACAATTGCCACGACAAACAAAATGAGGGCAATAATTTGAGTGGCCCAGGTGGATGCATTGGCACCATTAAACTCCTTGTAGCACAGAATTCCCAGAAGGGCAGACACCAGAAGAGTACCACGGCTCAAAGCATAGCTAATAGTAGTTGACAGCGTGCTTCCAGCAGTAGCAAAACACACATTTCCAATCGCAAGGAGAGCCGCAGACCAGATAGCTAAAGATCATCGTACCACTCTTCTCCTACCAGGCCAGCGCTGCTTCCAAGTAGCCTGGAAATACTCCTTCCAAGTAGCCTTAGCTCCCTTGACCGGCCAACGCATCAAGATACTACATGACATCATGCTCGTCACTCCTACTAAGCAAGAGGATAAACGACGACGAAGGAGGCGAAGGAGGCCACAAGGAACACTCCCTAAAGATAAACAAAAAGCGCTCCACTCCTACATAGGGCGAGAGAGGAATGTCTCCAGAACTACCCATGGCGGTGCAAGGAGCATAGAAGAAATCGAAGAACGCACCCAGCAGACCCAGAACGACGAACATCGTCATGGACAGCTTCTTGGCTTCCTTAGGCTCAGGAATAGGCACCGTTGTTTCACCAGAAGGAGCAGGAAGAGCCTCAGCAGTAGGAGCAGCAGGAGCAGACTCAGCAGGAAGAGGAGCAGGAACAGCTTCAGCAGCAGGAACAGCAGGAGCAGGAGCAGACTCAGCAGGAAGAGGAGCAGGAACAGCTTCAGCAGCAGGAACAGCAGGAGCAGGAGCAGCCTCAGCAGCAGGGACAGACTCGCTCTTTTGCTGGTCGTCCAGAAGAGGCTTCGTAATATCCTTCTCACTGGAACTGTTGGCCTTGCGACTCTTACTGTTCATTCTGGAGGCAATCGTATTTAAAAGAACTGCGAAGAAAAGAATCGCCACTCCAGAGAAAACGAGCACCTTGTTTCCACGTCTCGCAGGGTCCTCGACGTAGTAAGATGCAATCACACCAAAAAGCATGGCGGAACCAAAAAGAAGAGGAATAGCACTAGTCAGCCCAAAACCATCAGTAAGGGCAAACATAATCAAGCTAAATGCGGCGGTACTTGCTCCAGCCAGAGCAGGTCCTCCAAGTTGTACCCACAGACCCTTCGCCTACAAATTAGTCCTCGATACAGCAAATACATCGTCGTGATTGATGATCTCACGAAGGTTAGAAATCATTCCATATCCCAATTCAGGGGGCATGTAATCAGCACCAATAGTAAGGCCGAAAATAATATGGAAGATGAACACCCACGTAAAATAGTCAATAGTATAGAAAGCAACTGAATACGTAAGATACTTCACAGCAACCTTGTTGGTGCCCCAGGTGAGCATCGTAATAACGGTCAGAGCAAGGGCAACATAATAGTTGTTAGTCGTCAGCATTTTTGTCTGTAGAATTATGAAAAACCAAAGGAAAGGCCAGGAAAATTAAACGACGATTCCTTCTATTATTGCTCATTTTTACTCTACTGCCTAATACTCACTGAAATGAAGCGAATAGGACTCGTTTTGTCGAAAAACACAATTGAGCATAGCTTTTTCTTTACAGTATTTGAAATGAATTGGAATGACTAGCACGATTTTGCGTATGGATTTCTAGGACGATGGCTACAAAAGAATGTACAAAATAAGGGTATATTTTGATCGTTTTACACATTATTTCTTTTTAGATAGGTAATATTTAGTTATGCTTTGTCTATTTGGTACCTGGGTATCTCACTCACCATGGTTCTACAACAAAATGTCTAGTGGTGTTTTCATTCTGGTGGTTCCATTATTTGGAAGTAGAGAATATATCTAGTAGATCCGTCAATTCTAGAATCATGTCCAGTATACCAAACTAGGACCAAATTTGGAATTGACAATTCAAAGGATTAAATGAAGTATATTTATTTTAATTATTCACAGTTTCTCCCAACTCTATTGGTATTGTACTTGTTACTGTCAAGAATTGGAGATGGGATGCTGACGTGCTTTTTATCACTCATGATTCCAGAAATGCATTTATTCTACGTTATATATTTATTTTATTATAATTTTAAAATGAGTCTACTTGACTTCACAGATGAGAGACCTCCACTCTATGATAAATGGATTGTCTATGTGTGAATTGTCGTTCAAAATCAAACGAAATAGGCAGTTGAATATGTCTAATCTATTTCAACTGAACATGGCCTATCCAATTCAACAAGTCATTGAGCAAATTGAAACAAAAGGATAGTTAGAAGAGAATAAGGAGATGAACATGCCATATTCTTGGATAATATGGATCACGAACTCACATTGTTTATATCACAAACACGATTATTGACTCTTCGTCTTTCCATTCTGTGAAACCTTGCACAAATAGAAAATGATTGGAAACATTATCATCCCTTCAATTGTCCGTTCAAGGAAATAGGTCATTTGTAACGATCCTAGCAATACAGACACCAAATTGTTCAAGCTATGAAGCAATATGGAAAACATAACCGAATTCCCCTCAATCATTGCATAGGAGAAGCACATTCCTCCAAGAAAACTTAAACCTATCTACAGTCAGCAATTATCACACCACACCACAAACCTGACGAGCAATAAACGAGAATGGCCGAGAAAAGATCGAGAGAAAATGAAGGCCGGAAAAGAACAACGAATTCAAGATGATGGCTGATCTTTCTCCCAAACGGTTCATAATAAGATTGCACAAATATTGCCGAAACAACAACTCTTCAGATATAGGAGAGAGCAGCGCTGAGCTGAGATCCGAAAGTGAGAGGCTTCCTTGAGGAGGAAATAACACAAGTAAGAAATAAGGAGCAAGGAAATAGGGATGACGAGGAAGAAAACTAGACACAAAGCGTTTTGTAGCAGAAAGAGCAGAACGAATGTTGAAAGAAACCGGAAATAACACACAAATCGCAATAAGGAACAAAACTCTCTTTAATACAGCCAGCAATGAAAACAGACTCTACAATAATACGCAGCCCCATCGATTACTTGAGCCCGAATAAGCAATAGATGCCTTACCACAAACTCAAACAAGGATAGCACACTCCATAGGATCATATATGTTGAATAGACGATGACAGAATCAATAATGACTAGAATTCTTTGATAGGTTCTGTTTTTGCGAAACTCTTTGATTTGCTGCTCACCTACAGTCAAAACACTGAAACCACCTAATTACCTATAATAAGCCTCAACAGAAATTCAATTCCAAAAGAATCCTCCGAACTCAAGGGATTCCGATATTGCTCCAATCCTGATTCCATTAATTAAAAGGACGAATGTGTAAAAAAAACAAGATCACGGATTATTTCGATTTTTTAGGAAAAGGACCGAAATACTGATCATGATAAGCTAGCACAGCAAAAATCGTGTAGTCATCGCTATTCAATCCACTAATAGTAATGTCGACCGCGTCGTCCTCAAAGAACCCAACATTCTCTCCCTTGTCCACAACCTCCTGAATGTCCACGCCATCTGCGTTCTGCGAGCAATAAATATACAGATCCCCCTTTCCAAACACCAGCAGCAGTCCGCTGAACGTTCCATCCTCCCAGGTCAGGCTTCTCCAGTTCACATTATCATTCAGAATCTCATTGCTCACATCGTCGCTCATTCCCGCGTCCTGATTGCTTTTCTTCTTCATCTTCGCCAGCGCCTCGCTCATCGGACTCACCAAGATCCCTTGCGGCGTGATGTCCAGCTCGCGAAGCACCGAGCCCGGGTAAATCACTACATGCGAAACCGTTCCCGCGGGTACCTTGCCCATACCGTCGATACCGCACGCCGTGGTTCACATTTCCTTCTATAGATGAGGGATCGCGGGAATTCGCACGATTCTGACCCACCCAGATGGAGTTGCTCGCGACGCTCCACTTCACTTCTGGAGCGAAGGCTACGGTGGAAACGAGGAAACAGAGGTACAATCCGCAACGAAGGTATAGGTCTCGGGAAGGTGAACGCAACCGTCCTCCACGGCTGTGATGTAGAGCGTGTACTTGACGTTCTCGTAGACGCGGCAGAAGGCGGTGGTGATGTCCTCATTCGGATGGCTAGGAGAGTCAAAAGAGTGACAGACAGAGCGTACACGCCGAGGTACACGCCCTCGTTGACGATATTCAACGCATCAGGAACCTGGGTGTTGGCTATGCGGTTCAGGACGTAGAGTGCGCCATTGCCAGTATACTTAAAGGAAATAAACACGCAGGAGTCCTTCGTTTGGATCATGTTTCCTATCAATATTTTGTTTTCGTTGCACTCTGCAAATCACGCCATGCCGAAACAAGTACGATAATACTCCTGTGGGATCTTGAAATTAACCAGATCGTACGCCGTTTCATCCTCCGTAACGGCGAGGAGTGCAATATAAGGCTTTAGGGGAAGTTGATCATAACTGTAGTGAATAGCGAAATCTCCATTCTGTTCGATAGAGTAGACATATTTACAGGATTCCTTTGCCATTTGGTAGGAGAATGTGTCAAATCCATTTTGCAGGACATAAAAACGGCACGGCGAGTTGCTAGTGATCTTGCCAAATATCAAGTTTCCTGAGGAACCCTTCACTTCGATTTTGGGGGCGACTACACTTCACATGCGAAAGGGGTTCTCACTTGTCACCGAGATAGCACAGGATATCAAAAGGAGACTAAATGACAATCGCAAGTTCATGCTCCTGTGAAAATAAGGAAACCAAAATTTGTCCAAAAAACAGCAATTCCAAAAATAAGGCAACATCTATCATTATGTGAGATTCATCAATTCACGCAACAATTCTTCATCTTCCTTTTTTACAAACCTTCCCTTCACCCTCAGTCGCGAATCCGCGAAGTTCTTCCGCACATCATATTTCACCTTCTTTGTCCACACTCGCTGCTTTCTCTTCTCAAAAAACCTCTGAACCCGCTTCTTCCTCGCCTCCGGACTGTACATCCCAATATATTTCTTCTGCGTCTCCCCCTGCGTATTAATCGGCGTCAGCCCCGCGGGCGCCGGTCTCCGGTCTACCGCTCACTCCCTCGCCTCGCTCCTACCTCCCGTGTGTCCCTCGGAGGACAGCGTGAGCGTGCTGGTGTCCATGAGGACGTCGCCCGAGTCGTCCAGCAGCTCCATCGACTGCGCGAGATCGTCCAGGCCGTGCAGATCGCCGCCCCCGCCCAAAAACTCCGACTGCGGCGGGAACTGCGAGGCGTCCAGGTAGTGCTGCAGGTCGTTCTCGGCGCCGGGGTAGCGGGGGTAGGCGTGGGCGTCGCGGTCGGAGTCTTGGATGGAGTCGGGGTCCGCGACGTCGGGGTCGGGAAGGCGGCTGCGATCGGGGTAGGCGTCGTCGGGGTGAGGGTAGGCCAGGTAGTCCACCGATCCGAATCTCCGCTTCTCTGGGGGAAAGGGGAAAGAGGGAAACGTACTGAATTGAGTGGAGACGTCGAAGTCTTCGATCACCGTATCGTCGGCTAGGCCTCCATCGGAAGGGTAGCCCAAGGGAGGATTCATACCCGTTGGAAAGTCAAAAAGAGATGGGTTCTTTGGAGCCTGCAGGTTAGGAGGGCAGAAGAAGCGGACTTCAGTATCAATCATATTTAAGCTAAGATCGTCAAACCCGAAATCGTTATCTAGATCGAGGAATATAAATTCAGATGTTTTTTGGAGATAGCCACTACGGACAAGATCTAATCATGAAAAAGAGAAACGGACGTTTACCGAGCAGAGATGTTTCGTCTCCGTTTTCGAATTGAATTAGTGCTTCCTCGACAGTCGGATCTTGACACAAAATCAAATCCTATACTTTTAGGATTATGAAGAGTGGCACACTTTTAGCGCGTTTTTATCGTCGATAGAAATCTTTCCCGACTCAAATAAAATGGATGCGCTTCGAAGACGTCCACTTACACTCACTGAGCGATTTCTGGGATATTAGTGTAAAAAGCAGCTTCGTACCGTTTGGGCTTGTTAGGACATTCATTCGGGGTGCTACATGGTTACAAAAAACAAAATGACCGCAAACCTTTGTTTCTTTGGACAGTCTAGTTGGTTCATAATAGCCTCTTCTCGAAATAAAAAAAGGCAATTTAGACAGAACAACCCCTTTTGAAATAATAATAATAATAACTATTTACAATCATCCTTGATTATCATGGTTTCTCTCATTCATTCAAATTTGTCTAACAAACATCTCGAAATACCAAGAGACGCTCAAACCACAGAACGCTATAGCACCACCACCACCACTTCTACTACTTTCGTACACCAGTATATTGCTTCACCAACGAGTGATACATTTCCCCATCGAGCTCTTTATACAGGTCGAGCACATTCGACGCCATGTTCTGAATATTCTCCGTGGCTCCGCGAGAGCAGTCATAAAGAGATTTGAAAATGAGAGGGAAGATCACTCTGCGATTGTCCTCATTCCCGATCGTAACCCCGTAAAACGTCTGGCTGTTCCAGAACAGCAGGATTTTCTCTGCGATCTACGCATCACCCACGCTCCGCGCGCCCACTAGAATATTCGTACTGGCGATACACTTCGCCACGCGCTTGAAGAGAGGCACGCGGTAGGGCACGATGTCCTCCGGCTTCACCAGCTCGAGCAGATCCTCCAGCTCGTTCAGGAACCAGGTCTCCTTCGGCGTGTGGCCGTACGGCCAGTACTTCAGCAAGGCTTTGATGATCTAGCGATGAGCGGGGAAAAGAGAGAAAGAGGCACGGGCTCGCTGAGCGAAGGGTCCTTCGCGACGTAGAGAGTCATGCAGTAGGAGAGCTGGATGGAGTAGTTCTCGTAGGACTGCGTCTTGTGAAGCGGAATGAGCGATCGCTGCAGGGAGAGCTTGTGCTCGGGACGGATGGGGACGGTGAAGCCGTTGATGATCGAGGCGAGAATCTCCAGGAGCTCCGCGATGCCGTTATGCGATTTCTTCTCGTAGAGGAACTCGTAGAACACGTAATTGATCGTCTTGCGGATCGTCACGCGGCGATTGGTCAGCTTTCCGTAGATCCGGTGTGTGACTGTTTTGAGGAACTCGCGCTCTCGCTGGTCCAGAGAGTCGAACAACGAGATCAGATGGGTGAGGAAGTCGTCGTCGATGAGTCGCTTCCGCAGATTGTTGTCGATCTGCGGAGACAGCACGATTCGAATGAGGAGCTCGTACACCAGAGAGAGGTGCGGCCATTCGGGATCCGTGAACACTTCGTTCCCATCATCGTCTTCCGTCGAGGAATGAATCAGCTACTCTCTCAAGCTCCCCACTCGCTGCTACGTTCGAAGCGTTCGGAAGAGCGCGGAATAAGTTCGTACTGATCATGTTGATCGTGTCCTGAAGGCACTTCGGATCGTTGAACAGCTGTCTACGCATCACTCACTTCTCCTCCATCGCTCACCCCAGCATCTCCGTCGCTTCTGTCAGTTCCAGGAGCGTGTTGCGCTTCAGATCGCGAACGTCGTCCTCTCCGCTGCGCGAGAAATCGAAGCGAACGCCGCAGATGAGCAGCTTCTTCCAGAGCAAAGCACGTCGTTGAGGAGCCAAAACCTCTGCGCGTTAGACGTACATAAAAAGAGAAGCGAAGTACCTTTTAGCTTAGGCAAAGGAACCAGAATGCGCTGTTCTTCGGGAGTGTTGGAGTAGTACAGAGTGGCTAGGTTTGAGCGAGAAGAGAGAGAGGGGCATACAGCAGAAATGATTCGACAGCGTGCAACGGCTTAACATGCTGAACCACTCTTGCATGACCTCTTTGCTCTCCGAGTAGAAGCAATATCGCTTCTTATTTGGATTGTCTTGAATCTCACGTTCAGAGAGAACCTGGTGCTCTGATACTCCGGGCTAGATTGAGAAAGAATGAGCAGACATACGACAAGGATGATCTCCAGACCAAACATTTTACGAAGACACACGTTCAGCGTACGAACAATTGCTCCCTGGACATCAGATTTGCTTCTACGAGTAATCCTACCTGAATGTTTAGAATGACTTCATTTCCCTTATCTCGCTGATTGCTTCCATATGTGAATGTATTTCCGCTCAATGTCTACGCAGTGACGCTCCATTTTCAAGCAAACGCAAAAGAACTTCTTTAGCGACTTCTTTTCCTCTTGATGCAAATATAAATAACCTTCTTTATCATTTGGTGTTACTGTGACTTTGGCTTCACTTGCCATTCTCAAAACCGACTATTCACGAATCCACAGAGCAAAACGTATAAAAATGTCTTTTAGAGAAGATAGCAAGTACTTTTATAATAAAAAGCCTGGCAAATCAGGATTCAATGCTATCCGATAGATGCGATAATCGGCCGTTTTTTTGGATTTTTCGTAGCGTGCGTCATTTTGACGTGGTTTTGCAATATCGATGTGTTCTCATGTGCTGTAGGGAGAAAAGCATGCGAAATCAAATCCAACGAATCATTGATGGAAGCACACGTTTTATACCGCCTATGCACGAATCAAAGTATAGAGCCCCGTCGAATGCAAGCCTTTTTCAATTTCCTGCGATCTTAACAAAACGAAACTCCCTTCTCCATTCAGTAGCTTCTCTCAGATTTTGTATTTCGAGAAGATAGCATGCAGCAAATCTTAAGATCATTGGGTGGCGTGTCTATGAGAAGATCAACTCGTGGGAAACTCGTTTTGTTGCTAATTCATAGAGTTGGTCAGCAGAAGACTTGCTTCCACGTCTGGAGAATGGGCCCCGCCACACGTGAACAGAATGCACAAAATTTTGGGTACTGTTTGTGAAACGACCATGTGGCTGTGGATCTTCTGGAGAGCGAAGCACGACTGGAGAGAATTCCTGGTAGGGGCGTGCTCTTTTGATTTTACCATTTAGGGACTCGAGCATCCGTGGGAAGGACATCACTAAGCAAGGTGAAGTGTAACTGTAAATGGCCGATTTGTTTGTTAATTCATCAATCAATAGCAGCGAAATTAGGGGAATCGAACGGCATACCATTCACGCCCTTTCTCCCAAAAAGGGTGATTTCAGAGTCAAAAATGTTGTCACTCTGACTATGATAGATGATGGTTGAATATCTCAATTTGACAAGCAATTGACAACTTCTTCTGCAACTCTCAATATTTTTTTCAATGAGCTTTTTATACTCTGCCAAGGAGGACGACGAAATCTCCACTGTATGCATCCGAAGTCGTTGATAAGTCACTAGACTTCTTCTGATTTGCTTCACGTGTTCAACAATTGCCCTAAGCTTAATTTTGATCCATCCTTCGATGAGGAAAAGACAGCTTTGCGTGGACGTGCTTTTGGGCTTCATTCCAATCCACTCAATGGTAAGCTGATCGCATTGGTAGTGAGCGATAGAGAGTTCTTCTGTACTTTCCACTCTAACGAGTGATGATTACATGCTTGATCCCTTTGTCATGGAGCGTTCCCATGGTCCTATTTCTTCCGCTTCCTCTTCTTCCTCTTGTTGCTCTTCCTACGATATTGATCATCATCTGCGTAGTTCTTCTATCGACACTTACGAGGATGATGGTTTTTTCCAAGACTCAATGTACAGTAATCGTGCATATGGTTGTATGAACTACCATCCCTCCTTTGACTATGACGATGAAATTGTGTCTCCTGCCTATTGTGACTTTTACAGAAGAAGAAACGATTCCTATTTGAGTTGCCCAGATTTTCGTTTTTTGAATCAAAAGAATCCCTATTTCCGTTATCCTCCTCCCCCTCCCCCTCCACTCCCATCAACATCTACATCCACATCCCAGGGTATTTCGCTCTTTGATACTACCTCGTTTGGTGATTCTCGCTCTCTGTATGATGTGCCGTACTTGAGTCCCTACAAGAATCACGACTTTGACACTGGAGAAATGATTCGTCACCAATCGTTTCCCTTAGATAATCGGTCCATGGTGGCTACCAATCCGGATGTTTCAGAACAAGAGAAGGTCAAAAAGTGTGACGTGAGTCCTCAGCAATCTCCCTCAGAAGAAATAAGAGAGCCCAAGCAGAAAATGAGACTGAAGAAAGTGCCGTCTGCATCCGTGATTGAGACGAAAGCGACTCCGTCCTCAGCCACTTATCAACCAAAGCAGCGTAGAGTTTGTGTAAAGAAGGTTGTTCAGCCAGTCACTTCAGAAAAGCCAGGAAATCCCGACGATATCGACCCGGTACGTGTTGAAAACAGGATTGTAATTCTTCTAGACGATCAATCCCCGAGTATTTTCTGGCAAGAAACCTAAGAAGAACATGGACTACTCCCGGTTTATAATTGATTTGGAAAAGGTGAAATCGGGAGAAGATACAAGACTTACTTTGATGCTGAAGAACATTCCGAACGGGTAGCAGGCATGTGTGTGGCTTCACTCGTAGATTTTCGCAGTCATTCATGCTTAAAATACTGAACTCGTTCGTTGAGAACGAGTACGATTTTTTCTATATGCCTGTGGACTTCAAAACGAATTGTAATCTTGGATTCGGATATGTCTCCATGATCAATACGCATAGTGTTGTGAAGCTTTATAATGCTGTATCCTCTCCTTTGGACCTTCTGATATCTAGCTAAATCGTAAAAAATGGCCAGATACTCCTAGTACGAAAGTTTGTGAAGTGGTCTACGCCCGAATGCAGGGAAGAACGGATATGCAGAAACTGTGCAAAGACTGGGCGATTATGCAGCTTCCCGACCAATATCGACCTGTTTTCTTTGAAAAGACTACCACTCGTCGGAATGGCAAAGAGAAAGTTATCATGAGACGTTGTAATCTGCCGCTCTAATTCGCGCATTTTGAATTTGATTATCGATGTGGTGTTTGTTAGAATATGGATTCGATATGCGATCTGTTAGAATATGGATTCGATATGCGATCTGTTAGAATATGGATTCGATATGCGATCTGTTAGAATATGGATTCGATATGCGATCTGTTAGAATATGGATTCGATATACGATCTTCAGTATTATTACTCTTCAGATGAAAGTATCTATGCGCAAGCATCGTATAGCTGTGTCTTGAAGGACGGAGGAATCCTCATTGTTCACAGTACAAAGGACAGCATTAATCACATCATCCACAAAGATGGAAAGCAGAGAGCATTCCGAACAAATATAGGTAGGACTCTTTTCGCCTTGATTACCCTGTGCAGACAAAATGGATGTGGCATGCATTGGAATTGTCGGCTATCGTATTGGAATATGTGTAGCGTAAAAATAAAGTACTGATCCAAAGGAAGTACTCATTTTGCTGTTGAAGCTGAAGAATGAGGTTCACAACAGCTCAAAATATTTCTTTAAGATTGAGAAATTTAAGTCCAATTCAGGTAATCATGGCTTCCCACTCTAAGGCACAGGTTTCACAGAAGCGGATATTTTTACTCAGTATCAGAAAATCAATATCGATTTATCTGTTTCCTATATCAAGGCTATCAGTGTTCCCACATATAACGACCAGGCCGAGAATGGACATGACTATTATCACGTTGGCAGCTTGGTCATCCTTCCACTGTAGTTCATATTACTTGGTCGTATGGATGGGCTCGTACTTCCATTCAATCTGGAGTGGAGTCCAGATGCGTTAGTAGCGAACTCGTCCAAAGATCGTCAGTTCCGAATCACAAATTCAAAGATTTTTAACGACTTCTTCCCCAAATCGCTTTCTCCGCTCCTGTCCGTCGACTTCCTCATCGTTTCCGAAACGCAGAGATTGTGGGCGTTTGGGTATCGAAATGGATACGTGTGTGTGTACTTTATCAACGGCGTGAGATTCGATGATCGGCAGCGATTGCGCTACTGTCTGTAATTCCATTCCAGCTTGCATCAAGGAATAGATATGAAGTAAATCCGTTGCAGCGACGCGACGTAGTCCAGAAGAAAGACCCAGTTCGCAAGTTTGTCTATGCAGCGCATCTCAGTTCGCCCGTCGTCGCGGTGAAGTTGGTGCTGCCGAAAGGACTGCCGGTTGGCGACGAACCTCCGGTTGTGGACGTGTTGACAACGAGTTACGACAGTAAAATCGTGCGGTACGAAGACATTGTGAACAATATGCTGATGAAACCGACCTCGTTCGGAGATCTGTCTTCGATTCTTTGCATAAACTGCATTTGGTGTGATTGCTTCCATCCCTCGCAGCTCGTCTTCGGCGATCTGTCGAACTGCGTGCATGTGTATAAGCAATCCGAGGATCCGCGCCAGTACGACAAAGAAGGGATCATTCGCGTGAACGACAGCGTGTTTTACATCAATGCTGTGCCTTCCGGCGAACTCATCATCACAACGCGGCAAGGAATTTATATCTTTGGCCGACCCTCGAATCCTCGCAACGTTCCCCCTCCCCCCAATTTCTCTGTTTCCTGGAACAAACAATCCACAACGTAGTAAATCGCAGCATCTCCAGCGCGCAATCCGTCGTTCCCGCGATGATCGTCGACTGATCCACGTTCAGATCCACGCTGTACGACAGATGGTTCACGACTGTGTCGCTGTAGATCTGCGCGGACTGGCCCCGATTGAAGATGGCCAGTCCTTCCTGGTGGTTCGCCGCCACTGCCAGCAATCGCAGGGCGGGCGAGTAGTTGATATCAGCGCGCGGCACCGCGGTGGTCGTCACCGATTTCCGCAGCGGATACTCGCAAATGCAGTTCCGTGAAGGGTTCTCAGCGCATTTTCAAGGATATCTTCGACATGCTCCGACAGTCGAACTCGCGCACCACGCCGTCCGTGCTGCAGCAGAACATCACGGCGCCCTCCTCGGGCGTGACCAGCACGCGCATTCCGCTGATCTGTCCGGTCGAGACCTGCTCATTGCTCACCACGCGGTTCGACCGCACATCGAACAGTCGGATGTGTCCATCCGCGCAGCCGCAGTACAGTCCCGCGCCCGACGACAGATACTCCAGGCAGTTCACGCGCACGCCAGCCCCCAGCGCAGCGCCGTCGACCACCATCTTGTTCGTCGCCAGGTCCCAGAAGGAGAGCGGAGTGTTGCCTCCCAGCGTGGCGGCGCAGTAGCTCGTCATCAGCGGCGAAAACGCCACAGAGACGACGGCCAGGACGCCGGGGAGCGTCGTTTCGAAGAGCGCCGTGTTGGCCGTGGCGTTCATCACGCCCAATCCGCCCTCCTGCGTGCCGTAGACGATCAAATCGCGATTGGACTCGGTGGTGGGATAGCCCCAATCCAGACTGAGGATCTCGTTTCCGCAGGAGAACGAGGCGTAGAGCGAGCTTTCGTGCGAGTCTCCATCGAAGTTGTAGACACTGAGCATGCCCTCGCCGCCTCCCGCAGCGAACTGCTTTCCGTTCCGAGACCACTTGCAGCAGTTGATTCCCTCGGAGAACACGCCCACTTCCACCTGATTCGTGATCGTCAGCGACTGCACGGGCGTTTCCTTCTCGGTGGACACGACCTCCGTGGAGGCTTGGCGCGAGAGAGAGGAGTGGAGATCGACGGAGTCGGAGGTCTCCACTAGACGAATAAGAGAAGGCGTGGGAGCGTACAGAGCTCCGGATCGAGGAGCTGGGAGATGGGAAGCTGCTCGAGAATGCGTTTGAGATCGGTCTGCAGGGTTTCGCTGCGCGGTTAGGCACAATAAAACATTCAAAAAACGGCTTGGACTGGTTGACACAGGCGTTGATCTCCTTCAGAACGCAGAGAATGGAGGCGTAGCTGTCCTTGGCTTGCTGACACTCCTGACGGTACAACGCGCACTCGCTTTTGATGGTTTTGATCTGCGCCTGGCTTCGCTGCCGCTCCGTTTGGAAGATGCTGATGCCCAGGAGAGAAGGAGGAGAGAGGTTTTGGAAGATGGCTCGCAGGAAGTTGATAAGAGACTCGCGGAGAGAATCCTTCCAGGCACGTGAAAAGAATTGCATGAAGTAGCTGTCTTGGTCAGGGCGCGGAAGGTAGGGAAGCGAGCACCAGCGGCGCCAGTCGTCGTTATTCTTTTGACCTTCGGAAGAGGTCAGCACTTCCGGACAATAGAGGGAGAAGAATTTTGTAACCTATTCCTCAAATAGAGCGTTTTCACACACCTCTTCCTTCTTCGAATTTTGAATACAGGTCACGATGTAAAGTTTTCGTAACGAATTCCAAAAGGAATCCACTGATTCCATATAGCTCGCATCCAAAAGGCAAAAGAAACGCGAATTTAGAAAGCTCCAGGTATCGTCAAATGCTTTATAGTCTCCTCTAAATATTACGAGTCGGTAGACAATTCTACTTCTGGATCAGCTCAAACAACCGATCTACAATCTTATCGACATTGAATCCTTGTGTTTTGTCGTGTTCGCGATCATCTTCAAATGTTTTGAAAGTCTAGAGCTCATCGGAATAGAGTGTTTTCAAACGTTTGTAAAACCTCTAAAGAGGAGATACTCGCACACCATATCATCCACTTGATTCAAACTCTCCATTTTCTATAAGATATGTATTTCATAGGTCGGGGGGTCCCACAAAATCGATATCCTGGTAGAAAAGATTCATTTATTTGCTGATGAGTACTTCCGGCAGTAGCGAAACGCCGTTTCTAAATTTCCCACCGTTCTATACGTAAGCGCAATAACGACATTGTAATAGTCAGGTTGCAGCCATGCCTAGAAACTAGACAAAAGCAATTACAAATGTGGGTAAAATATGTTATTGATTACTGCAAAACAAATGGCGTTGCGGAGATTGTGCTGAGTTCATTTCCCCTATTTGATAACCGTTCCATTAACAGTATGGATGGGTGGTAATATTATTGGAAGGGAGCCTGAGTGAAGAGATGCGGCTGATGGTAATGGATCTTTTGTGCAGCCAAGGTAGGCTATGCGATAATGAAGATAGGTAGGATATGGCCATTGTGAAAGACCGGGAGTTTACAGTGTTGTTCAGCAGAGTGTAAAGGATTGGGCATATAAGATATACAACTGGATGATCTCAAATGGCTATCGCATGGAGGTAATGGATTTGGAAGATATTCGCTGTGGTGACCGAGTTTGTCACGAGAGTGGGATTTTGGGGCGTACTATTAATAATGTGTAGCTTTCTATAACATGCAAAAGAGCATCTTTAACGATTGCATAGATATTCTCATAAAGGATGGAAAGGTTTGCTTTTTAACATCGCTGATACTATTATTATATAGGCTCAACATATCACCGAAGAATCAATTCGCTTTTTGTAGCTTTATATATTGTTTGTTGTTTATACGATTTGTAAAATCTATTGTTTCTATGTTGTATTGTGGACGACTTCTATCCACCAGTTTTCAAACTGATCTTTTGCTTGTTTTTCCTATAATCTATTTAGTAAATCAATAATATGACTTCTTAGTCTTAAATGATTTGAATGAATCTATGCGTATTGTCTAGAATTGATGTGGTTCCATCAAAATAGGTTGATCTATCAACATTATCATCATTGTAGAATCAAGGTTATGAATACAATGTTTCTATTGTTCAACATTTGATATCAAACAGAGAAGATTGATCTTAATTTACTATTGAAATTGTATTATGATTCTTGCAAACTGCTTTCTTGTACTTATTTCCAAAACCAAACAATGTGTAGTTCATCCCAATTAATATCTCATGTAATCCCACTGTATGATTGCACTTGATTTAGAGTAGCATTATATGATGTAACATAACAATTTGTTCAAAATAGCAACTTGTTCATCAGTCTGGTTGATGCTATTACCACTTAAAATTCAATACATCGAAATACTAAAACTGTCACTAATGAATAGTAAGTTGAGGTATTTGTCAAAAAGGAATAATAATGTGTAATACATGTATTTCACACGTATCTTCACAGAAAAGCGCAAATGCTGTACACATAAACCTTCCTGTCATTTGATAGTATAATTAAAATCAAAATGGAAATCAAAATAGGGACATCAGTCTATGTACCTAATTTATAATCCCCCATTATAATTTTTCTTTTTAGAATGGCAAAAGGTAAAGGAAAAGGCAAAGGAAGCGGCAAAGGAGATAGTGATAGTAGTTGTAACTGCTGTGGTTGTCTTTGTTTCTGCATTATCTTACCACCTATCCTCTTTGTTATTGGAATTATCATTATACTTGGAGATAACACCCGAGTGGATAGAATTGAAGAGTTTAGATTTTGAGGATTCATTACATTTAGCTACAACGAGCGTGCTCAAATTTGGAAGGATAGTGGGCTGGATTCGTTTAAAAACATTTCGTTCTACTTAGATGAAACTGAAAGTCCTCTATATCCGGTTACCTCAACCTCGGGAAAATACTATCCTGTTCGAGATAAATGCCAGAAAGATGGTGATCCTGAGGAGGGGTGCGTTTTAACGGGAGCTTATTACTACAAAACTACAGCAACCTTACCAGTATCTAGTAGTGCAGAAATTTCGATTTATGGTCCTTCGAGAGAACTGATTAGTGAGGGATCATATGATAGTACCCAGACTACCTATTACAGTGCATCCCAACTCGACTGTAGCGATGATCTTTCGAAATGTTCCTCCAAATGCAAGTCGAAAGGAGGAAGTTGGAGTTCTTCTACAAGGCGTTGCACAGTCATTAGTTACTTAAATGAGTTATGTTACCGCGTTATAAAAGAAAACGGCAAATGGCAACTTGATATACCTGCGTAGGTGATTTCGTTTCAGTGTTTGATGTTTTAGGGAATGGACACTTACGGGTTCTGGAGCTGGTTGCTATTATAAGAATTCTCATAAGATTCCTGTATATTCTACTTCTCGTTCTTCGTCCATTGCTATCACTGTTCGTCATTATCAAGATTCGTTAATAGCTGCTGATGAATTCACTCAGGGTTGCAGTTACACGTCTTCATCCTCTTCTTCATGCTTCGGAATGTCTCGTAAAGAACAAAACATCACTGGCTTTGTGGTTGCTAGTATTGGTGCTGTTCTACTTATTATTGAAATTATTGTTATCTTAGCTATGTGTTACTGTTGCAAAGCAGGTGCCAAAACTTTATCCACGAAGCATCAGAATGATACGAATGCTCCTCTTATCAATCGATGGGCTCGTTTCGTTCCTACCGCTCAGCCAGTGTATCCTCAGCAACAACCTACATATGCTCCTCAACAACAACCTATATATGCTCCTCAGCAGCAACCTATTTTTGCGCCTCAGCAACGACCTGCATATGCTCCACAACAATCGACTTTTGGTCCTCAGCAACCTGCATATTATGCTCAACAAACTGGATATATTCCGCAGTATGGATATGTTTCTCAATAGTAAAACAGCACACTCGCTTATTTGTTTGTTTGTTTTCAAATATTGTGTTAAATACAGAATGTAATGAATTGTTATATATAATGTTTGTATATATATAGATAGATAGATAGGTAGATCGATAGATAGATACTTAACAATGAATTGAATAAATCAATTCGATTTTAGATTCGATTCTATTAGTTGATATAATAATCAAATATCCAATATATTCGTTTAGAATAACTGATAATGCATTCACATTCGATACAACAATAGTTTTTAACTCGCTCCAAATCAGCGTGACTGATCATAATGATTTCTTGTTTATCATGTAAAGAGTAGAGTTTGTAAATACATAAATATATATATATATTGATTAATAGTAGTTATATAACATGATGGATTACTATAAGTGATATACACATTTTCAATGTCCAAATGATCAAACATAGAAGATTTCTAAAGTGAGATAAAAACTCTCTCATCGAATGGAAAATTGTTATGTTAAATTAGAATGATTGGTAACTTGGAGTTTGATCAAGTTGTATGTTTTGGATTCCCGCGATTCTATGAGAATCAATGAATAATCGTGTCTAATTGGATAAATCGTTTGAAAGTATAATGATAATGAAATGGTGGAGAATAGTTGAGATATGGATGAATGAAGTGAAGAGATAGAATTCGATATGGTTTGATTAGTTGTGATTTCTTTAGAAATGATATTCCCAATTTGTCAGTTTCTCAAATAACACAACATAATATTCTACTACAGATTACGCCTCTCCTTGTCAGAACAAAGGCCGTCCTTGTC